TAATCCAGTCAACCAGAAAGTGATGATGAAATTCCTCAAGAAAGTTGGCCTCGATGTGGACATTGCAGTGGACGGAGAGGAGTGTTTAGATCGAGCCTTATCGAGGCCGCATAGCTATTACTCTCTCATACTGGTAAGCTTGATAAACTCTTTTTCAATTTCTCTTTTGTGATTGTATGATTTTTCTCTTTGGCTAACACATGACGCAGTGTGATCTACATATGCCACGCAAAGATGGCTACCAGGCCTGCCGCGAACTTCGCGAGTGGGAATTGTTGGGTAATTATCCAGCGATGCCCATCATTGCCCTTTCTGCAAACGTCATGTCGGATGTCCAAGAGAAGTGCATTGCAGCTGGATTCAGCGATTACGTGACGAAGCCTGTGGACTTTATTGATCTCAGCAGAGCTATGGCGCGATTTTTCTGATCATAACAGCTTGCTGTTGGATGACCTTATCTTTCTTTTTTCTCTTACTTCTTATAAACTTGGTTCACCTCTGACTTCATTCTACTACAATGAAGAGTCAAGGGACCCCCTCCCCCCCCCCCTTTCTTTTTATTGACGGTGATTGGTGGCTTTTTAGAGGGTGTACTGGCGAAATATTTCATTTTTTGCCCCCTAGCTCTTCTTCTTCTCCCTTCCTTTCTTTTCTGGCTCTTCATAATTAGGCTGGATGGAACCCGAAGAGCCAGGCAATTTTGTGATACCACATTATACAGCAAGCACCACCATGCCTTGGGGATTCTTTCAACATGTTTTTGATCACCCGAAACAATTTCTACGGTACTCATGAGGTCGAGATGGCAAGACGGAAAGGGGTTTATGTTTCGCTGTTTGGTATTTTTTATTCCATGTTGTTTTCTTTTTAGCTGCTTTTCCCTCACCCTGTTCTTAGCGCTGAGCATCAGAATGGCAAGACAGAGGCAAAGACTAGGGAGGCATTTTTTAGGGCAAAGGCTAGGCAAAGACAAAGGCATATGTTTACATAAAGGACTTAGGAATGGATGGAGCCTGATTTGTTTTATATGCTCGAGGCAAGCGAGGCATGTAGGGTCGCAGCGACAGCTCTGGCGTGCAAAAATGGCTGCGTGTTTTTTTTTTTTTTGATGTCTTCTTTACTACTTACTCTGTTGATATTATGGGGTTTATTTAGCCTCGATCCCCAAATTCTCCTTTTTTCCCACCCATTCATTTTCTTCTTCGTCCTCTTCAACTTTCTTCTTTTTAGCCTTGTCGGCGTGTGTGTTGTGTTGTGTTATGTTGTGCTATGTTGTGTGGTGTTGCTTGATTTGGGTTTGTGCACTAACATAATCATCTAATCATTGTGGCCTTTTTTTGCTTTCAATACGGAAAAAAGGAGAGAAAAGAATGAGGGTAGGGCCTATTATTATTTTTCTTCAATTTCTAATTGTGATGGGATTTTGGGTTGGCTTGGAAAAGGTATGGGATGAACAGATGGGACGGGTCAAGGAGGAATACAAAAACAAAAACAAAGGGGGGAAAAAAAAGGATTGGGATCGACCAAGGAAATTCGATCTCTGCGTATTCCCACATGTTTATTTTCTTCTCTGACAAGCTAATATAGAACAACTAAGTACTCAGTGGATTATAAGGGAAAGTAATAAGAGTTGTTTTAGCAAAGTGTTAGTAACAAAAAAGATAGCTGGCTGAAGCCTCGAATTGGAAAAAGAAATCATGTTTTGTCAATGGTGAGGATCAAATAAGTAACCGGCGTCATCCAGTCCAGTCACATTCATAGAGCTCTATATAGAGGCAAAGCTTCTCAAAAAGACATCAAAGGTGAACACAATATTTCATAAAACAATCAAACTCAGTGCAGCCCAACGCTTTTATTTTCATTTATACAGCCAGGAAATCCGGTCTATATAGTGGTATCCAACAAAAAAGAAAGAAAGAAAACAAATGTTGATATCGCTTCGTCTGTTGCGCTTATTCAAGGAAGTTGTCTCATATCCTCCCTTCACCTTTTCAGTATACGCTTCCTCTGATGCTTCTGTCCTCTTTCTCAGCCTGATCTAAATCTTCCAACTTGGGGTCTGCGGCACTGCTGTGTGGTTCAGGTTCATCTCCAAGGCGATTGGCCAGTCCCGTACCGGGATGGGTGCGAGAATCTATGGAGCCCATGCGACGGCGTGTGGTCTCGCCATCTGAAGCATCAGAATCGCTTCCTGCAATAGAGGGATGGCCTGAATATGTACCACCACCATCTCGGCCAATATGCATGTGGGTGGCTTTGATGTGGCGTATGCGGTCCTCTGCCGTGATGAAGGAGGGCGTGCCGTCAGGAGAAGAGACGGTCCCATCAATGGCCCGCGCCAAATCAATGTGAACCTTCTTCTTCTTTTCTCTTGGAATTTCCTTTGACGATTCTTCGCCGTCTGCGTCCCCTTCATCGGAGCCATTGGTCGATTTATGTCGTTGTAATCTCCTTATGGCCAGATTTGTGCCACTACTGCCATGGGTAGTCTTTTCAACTTGCTGCGGCAGGTTTTCTGGCGCTCGATGGCTCTCATAATGAGCAGCATGATTACAGCCATTGGGACAGCCTCCCCAACGACGTGTAACAACAAAGCTCCTGGTCTGCGCCAATTTGACCTCGTCCTTGGCGCCTTTGTCAGCCTTGTCGGCCTTGCCTTCTACGCCCTTCTCCTTCTCTTTTTCCTTGATTTGCTGTTCTTCGCGTTCTCTACGCAGTTCTGACCAGGTACGCAAATTGTTCTCCAAGAGATATTTGCTATTGTCTTGCTTGCGCATAATGAGAAACTCGCAGTGATTCACATTTCGAAGGTCCTCGAAATACTCGACCGAGAAATGATACCACTTCATGAGGAAAACACGGGACATGAGGCCATGAGTGACTGAACAATCGAGTTAGTACTGCGATGATGCGTAGAAAAAAAAAAAAGTCCCAATTTGGGGACGCCAGAATGAAAACTCACCCAAGACGCATACGCTGGCAAAGTCATCTTCTCCAAACTGACGCCACAAGCTCTCGTTGAAGCCACTAACACGGTCGTAGGCATCTGCAGCGCTCTCTCCGTTGGGTATACGATAGAAGAAGTGGCCATAGTCGGCTCTCTCCTGCCACATGCGCTCCATTTCAGCGCTACATGGCTGGAAATTCCCAAAATCTTGCTCGCGCAAACGGGGCTCCTCGTAGACTTTGATGTTGGACCGGCGGTACGGCGAGGGCCCGGGATCGTCCGAGGTCAAGGTGGACAAGATGCCCTCGGTGGTCTCTCGTGTGCGGCGATACGGCGACGTGAAGAAGTGGAGGGTGTCGTCTGGCCGGAGCAGCTTGCGCAGGCGGCGGCCGGCTTCATGGGCCTGGGCCCAGCCATCCTGCGTGAGCTTGACACGGTGATCGGGGATTGTCTGGTGGATGTCGCGGTTCTCTGGCACGGGCGGTCAGGTCAGCAGGAGGGGAGATGCAGACGGAAGCTGAATGACGACGTACTGTTGCCCTCGGACTGGGCATGGCGGATGAGGATGATCAATCGCGGCTTGGCCATGGTGGGAGCTCTGCGCACGTGCGGCTTGAGATGCTGAGGCTCAAGATGGGAAACCAAATCGATCGATCGATCAACGGAATAAGCAGATACTAATAGGCTGCCGGTCCGGTGGTGGGGGCCGCTGGTGCGTTTGGCAGGCCTGCTGGTGGGATGATATTCTGGTCGCTGCTGCGTTTCAACTGCCGGAGCCAAAACACCCCCTGTCCCGAAATCGGGCGGCTCAGAGAGACAGAGAGATGAAAGGATGAAGACTGAGGGGAGTCGACAAGATGGACGCCCGTATCTTGGGTGAGCCGTGAATGATGAAGAATAGAGATGGAAAAAAGCAGGAGACGGATATCGATGGGTGGAAGGTTGTAAATTATGAAGGTTACGTTGGAGGCGCCATGGCAGTAAGGTGCGAGTGGCGGCTTATAATAGGTACAAGGATACACGTAGCGATCCCCGTTTTACAGTGATTCATCAACTCTACAAAAGTACAACTTGGAGCACAGGGCTAGCAAAGCCTGCTGAACATGTGCCAGTAGAGCACCTGGCCTGAGTTTGCCTCATAGTGGAGAGAAGACAACTGCATGGTCTCCTAGCCGAGCTCCTTGAAACCTTCAACTCAGGGCGATAGAACCGAATGGCTGGATTAGAAAGCAACAACGCTGCTAAACAGTGAAGAGCAAGCAAAGAGCGTGTGGCGCAGCCTGAGCCATTCCGCCACTGTAGCCTCTGCTTGACTTTAGCCTGCCAGAACATTTTGGATGCAAAGTTTCGGGGCCTTTTAAGATGTCATCCAATCGCTAAACTCGCGTCCCATGTTGATTGGCAATGAATTCTTCCAAAGAAAGAATGCCTCTAGTCAGAACATAGAGGCGACTCTTTCTCTCTCGAGCTTGTTCCGATGCCATGTGTATTTGTCACCACTTCTATCCCCGTTCAGGCAACGCACAATCGCCCAGATCTCGGCTTATGGCATCGCATCGCATCTAAGCAAATCAGTCAATGCTACCGTAAACTTGTAAAATGGCCCCTCCAGTCCCCGGTTTAAGGCTGCTGCTGCTGCACTTGGTTTAGTGCCCTGCTGGCGGCGGCTGCAGCCTGCTAAGGCTTATACGGTTTGGTACAGTATGTATTTGAACGCTGCCGAATAATTTTTGGCAGCGCAGCCTCAAATCCAAGCGTTGATGACTCTGTAAAGCTCCGACGCTCAAGGGCAAATTCGACATTGGCTCTACGGCCTGCAGTGCCAATTCATTCTTCGGCTCTGTGTGCATCCATCTTCTGCCATTATACTGCATTGAGCAAAATACTTTTCTCTTGTTCTTCCATTCTCTCGCGCTCATTCATCTCTCTCTTCTGTCGCATATCGCGTCGCAATCGCATTCGACGTCCACGCAGAACTCAACTCCTCTACACCACAACTACAAACTACAAACCACAACTAACAATCCTTGAACATCGACTACTCTCATCCGCCATGTCTGCCGAAGGCCCCGAATCCATCCCCACCTCCGCCGACCCTCGCTCCAAGCGCCCGACCAAGAAACGCGCCCTCACCCCCGGCTCCGCCCAAGCCGCCTCCCTCGACGCCCTCTTCGCCAAACCCGACCAGGAGATCCGCGTCCCTCCGCCAGCGTCTTCCCTCGAAGGGGGCAGACGGCGGCCCCCGCCCCCAGAGATTGTTAGCAACGTCCAGGGCTCCAGCGCCGGTGCCGGCTCCGGCGAGTTCCACGTCTACAAGGCGGCCCGAAGGCGAGAGTATGAGCGGCTGAGGGAGATGGACGAGGAGGTCAAGAGGGAGCGCGACCAGGTCGATTTCGAAAAGGGCAAGACGGAGAAGGATCGCAAGGACGAGGAGAGGACGAGGAAGAACCGCGAGAAGAGGGACAAGGCGAAAGCTCGAAAGGCGAAGAAGGGCAAGGGAGGCGGGGGGAATGACGATAACGCAAAGGATACCGATGGCAACGGCAGCAAGACATCAGCGGTGGCTACACCAAATGGAGGTTCTCAGGAAAACGAAAAATTGAGCAAGGATGAAAACGGAACCGAGAGAAATGGTACTGAGAAACCAGCCTCAGAACCTGTTGGACTTGTCATCCACGACGATGACTAAAAATGAAGAGCAGGGAAAGCAAATAGGAGAGTTGCTCCGAAATTGTTTCTTTTGACAGTTTGGTGGTAACTTGTAATAATATACTAGATAGAAGCAGTGATACCCGTATAGAGTGCCATTTCATAGATCTATGCGTCGCCTTTTCTTTTTTTCCAGCGGCTCGTAGTTAATACCATTGTCTATTTTTTTAAATATAATTTGGTCCCCTTTTAGATTCGTCTGAAAATGCTCCCACGTCCGTCCCAGCCAAGGGCTAGAACAGGGTATGGCCTTTTCCAAGCAAATCTGGCGTGCCGTCCGCCCAGATCAAGGCTTCTCAGGACAGTATCTATCTGCCCCTCTTCCTCTCTTATACCAGAATTCCAGCTCGTTACTCATCACCGCCTCCAACTCCGGGAGCGGCACCCTGCTGCAGCGTCTTGGCACTGCAGATATCGTCTACTCTTAGCAATAAACAGGCGGCCTAATAGTCACACAAGAGTTAGTACGAATTGCTCTAATTCGAGGGGATAGGGGAGTCGGGTGGACATCATGGAAGCATACCTCGATAGCAGTCTTTAGGCTCTGCAGCTTAATAGCCTCAGGCTCCCATACGCCGTACTCGTTCATGTCCGCAATGGCGCCGGTATCACCGTTGACACCGAATGAGCTCTTACCCTCAGCTTGCTTGGCGCGCAGCTCGGTCAACACACGGACGGGAGACTTGCCGGCGTTCTGCACCAGCGTCCTGGGAATCACCTCTAGTGCGTCAGCAATAGCCTTGTACGGCCACTGCGCGACTCCCTCTACGCCCTTGGCCTTCTGAGCCAGTCGGACAGAGACGGCCATCTCGGTGGCGCCACCGCCAGGTGATAACCGAGGGTGGAACACGACATTTCGGGCAACGCCCATGGCATCCTGAAGATTTCGCTCAATCTCGTTGAGGACATCCTTTGAGGGGCCACGAAGCAAGATTGTGCAGGCCTTGGGGTCCTCGCACTTGGTGAGGAAAGTGAAGTACTCGTCACCAATCTTCTCAATCTCAAACAGACCACATCGAGTACCGACGTCTGCCTCCTGAAGGTCCTCTATTCTGTTGACAATGGTGGCACCCGTAGCGCGGGCTATTCTGTTGTTGTCTGTCTTACGGACTCGGCGAAGGGCTGTGATGTTGGCCTTCATTAGGTAGTGCTGGGCCAGATCTGAAGGAATGGTTAGCTTAGGCTACATCTTTGGGATGGCTGATGGTCATCTGTCGAGTCACTTACCAGAAACACCCTTTTCGGTAATGACCAAGTCGGGCTTAACAGCCAAGATGGCATCGCACATAATCTTGATCTGCTCCTCCTCAATCTGCAAAATTCGGTTCCAGTCTTCCTCCTTTGAGATTTCAATGTTTGTCTGTGATTCACCCTTCTTGTACTCCAGAGGGCAGTCCAGAAGGACGATTCGGGGGTTCTCGATGCGTCGGCGCATCTTGGGGTGCGTAATGTCCTTGTTGAGCATGAGTCCGTCCAGAACCCTGCTGTCCTCAATCTCGCCACCAGGAACTTTCTCGACACGCGCATATCGCTTAATGTCCACCTCGGTCTTGCCATTGCCAGCTTCCCATGTAACGGTTCGCACGGCCTTTAGAGCAAGGGAGCACATCTGGTCCATCCATCGGGAGACAAACTTGGTACCGATCGAGGAGGAGATGAGTTTGGCCATGGCATCGTCGTCGTTGACATCGATCGGCAGGGAGATCTCGTCGATGATATCGATGGCATCCTTCAGCGCACGCTTGAAAGCGGAAATGATGACCACGGGGTGGATGTTGCGCTCGAGTTGAGGAAGAGCCTGGGCTAGGATTTCACCGGCTATGTCAAGTCAGCATCAATTCTTTGTCGCTTCAGCTTGCCCCTCCCTTTTCTCCCCTCCTTCCTCTGCTTCCCCCCTTTTTTTTTCTTCCCCCCATATATCTGTTGGGCCACGTCTGCGAGAAGTGGGAAAAAAGAGAGTCGAACATACCTAGAATAATAACAGTGGTTGTACCATCGCCGACTTCTTCGTCCTGTGTCCGGCTGAGCTCGATCATGCTCTTGGCGGCGGGGTGGGAGACTTCGATTTCTCGGAGGATAGCGTGGCCGTCGTTGGTCAGGACGATACCGCCCATGGGATCGAGCAGCATCTTCAGCATGGCCTTGGGTCCGAGACATGATCGAATGATGTCGGCAACGCTAGATTGGAAGCATCGAGTCAGTTGGGCTGCACAGCCTGATGGAGGAGATGGGAGCAGAAGCATACGTCTTGGCGGCAGCAATGTTGGACATCTGAGCTCTCCTTCCAGTCTGCCTCTCACCGCTATTGGTGTCTGCGAGACAATGCGTTAGCTTGCAAACACTCTCCTCAGCTGCAGAAGGCCGAGGGCCATCTCGATTCGCCTGCCGGGACGAAGCCAGCGATGCTGTTCTGGCAGATGGGCAAGGTAGATGTCAGGTATACACACTCATAACCAACACAGGGGCCTGCATGGTGGGCTTTGTTTCTGTCTGCGAGCGGATAAAACGGGGCTTTGGTGATGGGACGCGTAGATGGCACCTCTAGGGAGCTTTGGATCAGATTCGGCACGCCTCCAGAAGCTGCTTTTCGGAGTCAGGGACCGGCAGAGGCTCGAGGCAGCTTTTGAGGTTGTGGAAGCGGTGGTTTGGAGGGGCGCACACTAGAAAAGTTCCCACGACGCCTGGCCTTTGGTGGGGAGGCTGCAGTGCTGTAAGCTCCAGGCCAAAAGGATCTGGTGCAATGTTAACCCGGCCCGCCAAGGGGTAGCAAGTAGCGGTACTTGGACTTGCCCCACGTTGGACGTTATACGGGTGCCTACATCAGTAACAATCCCGGATACATTTATAAACAAAACTCAAAAGAGAAGTATCAAGTAATACCTGACGAATCTGTTCTTGTAGACGCAAGTAGGATACAGATATTCCAACGTGGCAACATACAATGGTAGACATACAGATGGCAATCACCCATTACCCCCCTGTCAAGTAACGGTACTTTTAGCCTCTCCCAAGTTCTCAACTGGACATTTGTCATCGACGTCGTGCCAATCAAAAGGCTGTATCAGCACTTCCTTTACCCAACCAGGCATATATGACTTCGTGTATAGATGAGAATAATTCAACAGAATCAGTATGCTGAGAATATCCAGCATTAGCGTTCTACGATTGTAACATACGTGCTACTAAACTAGGACATGCCTGATTCACATGATCATCTCGGTCACATCGTCCTCGTCGGCAGTGTTAATGTCCACTCTAGTAGCGATACTTGATGATATGATGTGGCAAAGCAAGTCGATTCATTCATAGACAAGAATAAAATCTTTTAGAAAGATACATGGTTGAAAGTATAACCGGACCTGGAAGCAGCTGCAACGGCATAGCGAACTTTCTCAAGTTTTCCATCAAAAGCCAAGAGTTATTGCTGAGAGGCTTGAAGGAACATTGCGATTCGGAGGCCGGTTTTGATGAGAGCCTCGTGATTGTCTTCATTACTAAGAAACACAATGTTTTCGATACCACGGCTCTTCTTGAAGCAAGCCGTCAAAGCGAGTTCTCGGGGTAATTCAAGGGACACGGTGGGGGGGGCTGTGACTATCAGGGCCTATTCGGTATTCAATAATGAAGTGATGAAGAACAAGAGAGTTATTACAAAGCCAACAGAGCCAGCATACCCCAAACAAAACAAATACCATCTATTAATACGCCCTATCAATCCTCCAAATGCACTTCTTGGTTCAGATTCGAAGGCAGCCGGACGCCGCCACCACTTGATCGTTTAGGCTGCTCAGGCTGTTCAGGAGGGACAGTAACCCATCCAACCCCCGGCTTCGAAAACGCATATATGAGGCACGAATTGGTCGCCATATCCCCCTGAATATTATCCCACTGCATTTCGTTGAGATCCAGACGGAAATCGGACCACGCGCAATAGACCTCGCCCTTCTCGTCCGAACATGCCATGCTTGGCACTCCATCACGACTATACCGCATGGCTACATGTACTGATGGTCTCTTCAATTCAGCCGGCTCTGTGCCCTCCACGTTGTCGTCGCCGTTTGTTGTTTCGTTGGGAGCATCACTTTGGAACTCTTTTTTCTCAATCACAGTCACTTGTGACTTTGGGATCGCAATAATGTTCCAGGCTTCTTGATCCTCAGGCATATCTGGTGCAATAAAGTGTCCCGACTGCTCGTTACTCTTCAGTGGCCTGCAAATCTTGAGCCACATCCATGTGGTGACTTGGCCGTGCTCGTCGGGTCTAAATTTTTTTTTCCCTTTCTGTTAGCTTTTTTTTCCCCCTTCGAGCTTGCCCAACTCCAGAAAATGCTGATACTTACACATCAGACTGATAGATTGCAAGGCTTCCCTCTCTTGCGCCAAGGCTCGCGCGGGATTCGCTCTCCCCAGTCGGGAGCACAGGCGCAGAATCAAGCGGTTCGCCCTTGAGATCGTGGCAAGCCTTGACATGCCAAATTTTAAGGAGATCCAGTTCAAGTTTCCTATAGCCATATTTGCGGCAAGCAGAGTGCAGGAAGAGGCGTAATCCTTCTCCCGGACCATTCAGAGCTGAAGCTTGAGGTACGCCGGGAGGCACGAAAGGAGTGTCGTTTAAAAGCCCCATGACTGCCTGCATTCTTCGACTTGTATGTCGTCTATGGGCCAACACATGTTAGAATCTTTCGGCTTCATCTTCATCTTTTCTGCGCATCTCAGGGAGCTTTTATCGACTTACCTTTGGTCTGTTCTGCGAACAAAGTGGTCTAAGAGGATGTCACTTCGTTCACTCGGATGACGCTTCCGATACTTCTCTTCATCTTCTTCTACTTTTGGAATCTGCACATTCTGGGACTGCGATGGAGAATTCAAGTTTTGAAGAATGCGTGGATTCACATGAAATTCTTTGTCCAGAGAGTCTTGCCAAGTAGCCACTTCATAAAAGCTTTGAGTATCTTGAGCCGCTTGTTGCTGCTGCTGATTCCGAGCTTTCGTGAAGCCAATGGCGATGCCTGCGAGAAGCTTGTCTCGAACCGACTTTTCTGTCTTGTCCATATTCTTTGTGCCAAAGTCTATAGTCGAATTGTCTGAGACGTGTTTCTTCTTCTTAGCCCTCGGGGATTCGAGATGAGAGTCAAAAGCGTGCTTTGGCATAATGGCAAAGCCGGTACAGTGAGTTTTAAATATAGTGGGCGACCGTTGGCTCGACGAGATGATGACTGCCACGAGAGGTACAAAACAAGTCCTCAACATGTTTATCTTTTGTTTGTGCCAGAGAGAAGGAACAAACGGCTCAAAATATCGTGAATCGGCTGAGTTTGAAACAACTGGCAAAATTCATTGATTCACTTCATCACTGATTTGTGGCTCTGCGAGATAAAGGCCAGTCATAGTCCTCTTTAGGGGGATATATTTTATTCCTTTTTTTGCACTTTTTTTGTTTCAAATGACAGATACTTTGCTGCAACTACGCTGTATAGCTTTCTACTCATGTACTTATCAATTCCATGCGCATCTGTTCATTTGCTAGTGCGTCATCTAAAACAAATCAATGAATAGTACATGTAAGTGGAGACTCCGAAACTGCGAGGCTGCCTTTTGCATCTTGCAGTCTCTCGCGTATGGCTGGAAGAATTACGATTCATCTAATTAGCGAGTCAAGGGAGAGCTGCAAATGGAAGCGAGATTACATCAATGTATAGATGGTAACTGATCCGCTTACATTCGTGGCTATTCGCAGATGGCCTTTTCACGCCAAGAAAAAGAGCCCTTTGGCAGTGTCTTTTAAAGTCATTATAGGACAAAGCAATATCAATTTTTTCTTGAGCACAATTACATCTTCTTGATTTTCTGGTACCGCTGCTCCTCGCACTCGACGGCAGCCCGATAAAGCTGAGCGCTGGAAAATCAGGCTCTGGCCTCCACTAAAAGACGACAGATACCTACACGTAGACATCATTTCACGCCCACCACAAATACGAATGACTAACATCAAGGTGTGTAAAACAGACTAAATGAGACATTCGGGCTCTTAGAGTATATGATAATGCATGTCCTAAAGCCACAACTGCAAAGGACTAATGATCACCGCTCTGGCTCAATCACATGTTGCGGCAGTGAACGTGCACCTATTTGTATACATGTACAGTACTTATATGTAGCAGCCCATCTGTTCCGCGCGAGCTGAAAAAGCAAAAATAGTCTACCCGACTCAAATGATTGCGTGAGTCAGATATTTGGCAGGTCAGCGTCTAAACAAGAAGAAGAGAAAAGAAAGTGGTGGCTGACTGAGGTCTCATAATATAGGTGTGTTCAGCTTATATATGAAAACAGAAAAAAACTTGATTCTTGTACATGTAGGTAGGCAGACGCCCTGATTTCATTGGCCTGCTCGTAAACGCTCCAATAAGACAGCAGAGAGCACCATCGTCTTCACTATTACGAGCCTGCCAATGCTACTTCAGCCCGCTCACCGACCGCGGCCAAAAAAACAAACAACATGGGTCTCTCCCCTCAGCTCTTATTATGCACACGCCCTCCAACAAGATTGATTGACAGCCACTTGTCGCAGATCAGGGCCGGGTCACTCCCGAAAACCCGGTAAGCGTAGTGAGCAAGCTTATAAGAGACATGTTGATCTTGGAGGGTTTCAGGTCTCCGCACGTTAGTACTATTCTGCGTCGGTGAGGCAGAGCCTTATCCGGGTGCTTCTGTTTCCCCTTGTATAGGTGCGTTATCCGCTAGGAGATGCGGAAAGATTGCTGTGATTCTGCATGCGAATGCACACGAGTCCATAGCTATAGAAGCCCATAGTTTACAGCGCCAGTAATCAGGATCTCGAGAGATATTAGACAGATATAGGAATAATAGCATCTGCGGACTTTCTTAGGAACTATGAGCATAGATATCATGTGTATTCGTCGCTATAAAATGGTGAAAAATGAGGGAAATGAAGTAAATAGGTTCGCTAGCCGATGAAAAGCGAGGGCAGAGGGGATGTAGAGTGGAAAAGAAGAAAAGGGAAAACAAAGGCCAGCTAAGTCTCGAGCCGTAGGCCCGTCTAGCCCAAGCAAGGAGGAAATGGTGTTTGCTCGAACCCTTGTCGACACCCTCAAAACAAAAGGTTAACAAACAAAAAGTAAAGAGAGGAGAGGCGAAACAAGACAGGGGCGGCCACTTCAATTGGGCCACACTCTGGTTCTTAAGTACTCTGACGTCTCATTTCCACCTAAAAGAGGGGGGCACGGAACGCGCACGCCTCTCCCTCACATTACCTGGTATCTCATCGAGGTAGTACTGATCGTTCGTATCATCCTTGTCCCCGCCATCACCCGCGGCACTGCCAGGTAGCACAAGTTCCGAGGGACTGGACGGCATCAGATTCGTGTCATCAGACAGGGCACAAAGAGCGCAGGGGCTCATGTCGTGATATCTGGTCCACTCATGACCAGGAATCGTGAGCGTCGGTAGATAACACGGCACCGGTGGAGATTTGCATGCAGCCGCCATGCAGACCAGAATACAAGTGGCCAATAAGTCGGTGAGTGCCATCTTTTCAACAGTAGGCGGGGAATAAGTAGCCTCATTGCCAACTTTCAGAAGCTCATTTGAATGAGAGCCATACTGCTGCATCTGAAGGCCGCTGTACATCGCGGGCATTGTCCAATCCTGACTCCGTCCGACGAAGCGGAAATAGTTCTCCAGATATCCTGGTTTTGGGCCACCTAATCTGAGCCTAATCGTGTCAGGTTCGGATTTGTTTTTATCGCTGAAGACGAGGTAGCGACTTTTGAAGGACTCGGCTTTCAGGTATGCTAAGCGGCGAAGAAACAAAAGTTAGCAGTGAATAGCCAGATCAAGAGGACTACTTTCCGGTTCGGCAACGGCGTACCCAATACTCCTTCAAAGTTTTCTTTGCCCTCAACACAGACCCATCCTGAACAGCTGCCAGGAAAGATGTCAACAAAGCCGACACTGCAGGATTCTGAAAGCCAGGCCTTCACCTCTTGCCATGTCACTTTGAACGGCAACTAGGTAGTCCTCAATCACGTTAGACAAGAGTCTAATTGGGAATAGAAGAGAAGAAGAGAGGATACAGTGCTCGGCTCCGCTACTAACATTGCAAAAGGTGATGTGGTAAAAGCCAGTTTCGTCTCCCGGCTCTACCTTTAGTTGTATGGTTGGATAAACATATTGATTTGCCATATTGTAACAAGGAAAATATGTGAAGAGTATAACTCAGGAGTGAAAAGAAACAATGCTTGGAGCTTGGATGCTTCCCGTGGGGAGAGAACGTGGTATTTATATATGGATCCACGTTCAAGTGGACGCCGTTGATCACAAGACACTAAACCAAGAGGTGTTCACTGAACTCTCGTCACATAATACCGGGAGAAGCCGTTTATCGGTTAGATGCTGAAAGATCAGATTTGCTGTCGATCATGTATGCAGACACATGAGTATACCCTCTCGCGGCCTGGTGGCTGATCCACTACATCACTCTCCTTGTGTACTCCTACGTTCAGAGCCAATACAAAAGGTTCAGAAGCCAATGTAGCATTGAATCGCGGATACAACGTTGAAAAGGCAGCCGAAACATAGCTCATGACCCCGGCAAGGCGATCTGTTCATGCGCCTCATGCCATCATACTTTGGACCTTGTCTCACACGACGATGAGCTATATGCAAGTACATGGCCGGGGAACACCCCCAGCTTTGAAAGACAGGGTGCATGCAATATCATACATCCACACTATGGAGTGTTTTTATTATTATCAGCTCATGGTTTGTATGAAAAAGAGATGGACCTTCTCAGCTTGACGAGGAGAATGTTCATGCTTCACGGATGAGAATCAAGAACTTTTGATGCGGCCATCGTGGATGAAGTTTTCTCCTTGCGATATTTAGTACTTCCAGGGGCCAGAGAGCTGACAATTAGCAGAGTAAGCTGCCTCGGTAGATGAGACGGCAGGTCGATTTTCCATGACTTGGACTAGAGCGCGACATTCGGCCCTTCGCAAGGGAAATGCCTCTGCTTGTCGCTTTTTGGCAAGTGGCTTGTTTGGACTGTTTTATCCAGATCGCCTTGAAAGAAGAGAGTCAAATAGAAGCATGGATGTTTCTCTCTTTTGTTCTTACACCCCATGGCTATATGAAGTACCCCTCGTACCAAATTATCGTTGCATGGTCTTGCCATGGCACCCCATGGCACCCAGAACGCCACACGGCAGGGGCCTGATACCGGAATTAGGTGGCGTGCGCAATGCCTTTTGTCCGTGTTTTGCGGGTTGGCCGACATTAATGTGTATGCTGGCATGATGTTTCTCGTTCGATACTCACGGCCCGTAACGAGAGCGCGTTTCCATATCAAGACTGGCAAATCTGGCTGAAATGGCAAATAGCACGCGATTTAGACATTTCTAAAGGAAAAGGTATCATCCATAACTTCATCTTCGTCATCCATCGCGTAGTGATTCGATGTTGGGCTACCATATTGAAATTCACTACTGTCGTGGCTTACGGCGGCTTGCTGCCAGGGATTGGCGCCATCACTGGCAACTGACGGAGACAACAAAAGGTAGTGCTGAGTATCAGAGACAAACAACACCGGCAGCTCAGACTCGCGGTTAATCCACGCAACCTGCGCTTTCCCCGCCGCCCTTACTTCGGGCAGGTAAACTTCTGGCACAAGAGGCGTAGGTCCATTGGATAAAGGATCCCAAACGAACGACACCCCTTGGTGCGCTGGATCTTGCGAAGTAACCAGAAGGAGCTCGCGAGAGCTTACATGCCACTGAAAGGCAACAGTGGTGTGAAATATCAGCACAGCCCTAAGTTCGGCCGCAACAACATCCCAGATCCACAGCGTACACGGCGAATCGTCCAGCCTCGTTGCCAGGAGGGTCGAAGATGAGTCAAAAGCTGCCATGGAGCAACCGAATTTATTTTCTGGGGCACCATGTTCAGTGGCAGATCCGGGGGGTGATAATATCTGAGTGGCCCTAACAAAGGTGTGGGTGGTTCTCCCTTGAAGAGGCTCGGCTCCGATTTGCTCTTGCCATACCTAAAAGATGGGACTTAGTATTGTAGGATAATTGATATGCTTTGCTTATGTGTATTCTCTCACCTGAAGAGTATCTTTTGGTGCAATGGTGGCAGGATGAGGCAGCCTCAGTTGCGCCCTCCATGATTGTGTATGAAGAATGGCAACATTTCTACTGTAGTCTCCAATGGCACACAGTTCTGCATTGGGGCTCATTTGGCAGGTTTTAATGCCCAGTTCCAAGTCAGCATCCGGGCCCTTTAGCAGATTAGATGCTGTAATGGTGCGGAAATGCTGGCCATCGGCCGTGTAGAGAAGCAAGCGGTGACCTTGGGCAGCCGACTCCCAGAGAAGAAGCCAGCGGCCGTCAGGGGTCCATTCGAGGCCCTGGGCGTCCAGCGTCTCCGGACACCATGATCTGAGCACTTGCCGATCAGCCGGGCGATGAAGGCTCACGACGTCTTTGCCACCAGAGCGGGCCAGTAGTGCCAGATGCCCGGTCCCTGGGCGAAGAGATACCCCTCGTGACGCGGAGGTGGCTTGATGGAACTTTGGACTCGAGATCTCGACCACCCCTGAGCTGCATACGTCAAGAACCACAAGCTTTAGGCCAGATGCCGACCAGATTAGAACTTCGGTATCTCGAGCCCCGAACTGGAGGAAAGAGGGTTTCCCGCTAATAGAGCTGTAATTGCGAACTATTGCATGGAATTCAGAGCCGCGAAGCGCAGAAAATACATCCAGCTGATCAGCCGTAGAAACGAGAAACTTGGTCGACGACGGAGCCCACAGAAGCGTAGGTACATTTGCCGAGCTGGTACTTGCGGCTGTGGAGGCAAATGGGGAGCCGGATCCAAATGAGAGTGTCACAGCATTAGTGACTTGCAAGGTCTCAGTTGAGCGGACGATGATGCCAGAGGCTCGGAGGGTGACAATAAATCGGCCATCTGGACTCGGCCTGCAGTGGGGCGAGGCTGAAATGTGTCAGGATTAGCACTTTGAGCATCAAGGGAGGTCGCCGAGGCGCTTACATACACTCCAAAGCTGTAGCCGAATGCATTGGACCGGTGTGATCTGCCTGCAAGTTTGTCTGATAGAGTTTGTCGGGTGATATACCGGGCCAGGGCACGCGAAGGGCACGCTTGTGCCCGAGGCTTTCCACGCCTAGATGCTCGAAAGGAGCTCTTTTGGGCAGAAAATGATGTACCTTGCCCAAGCAGTCTTTCTTCTTGTACTTTGTGAGTCCAATTGTAAGTGTGCACTTGAGCAATGAGTTTTCCTAACCGGTTTAAGCGAATTAGCAATATTTGCTTTGTCTTGGTTTTTTCTTCTCTCGTTTGCGGTTGCGAAATGAAGACAGCAAGAGGAACAGAGCCGCTAGGAGCCGCTGTATAGCCGTATAGCTGTATAGCTGCATAAACACCGGCGGGAAGCCAAAAACACGCTCACATGTGGTGGTGCACGGCAACTCTGTGGGGTTGATGCTGAGATTAACCCGTGGAAGAGCGAGCGAATGAAAGAGTGCTGAGGTTGAATATTGGTGTGGTGGATGCTGCTTACAGGTTCCTGCTATGGAATAGACACATCACTACTGGCCAGATATAGCTGCTGAACAGCAGGGAGCGCTCGGCCGTATCAGTGGATGCGGTGCCCTACGGGGAGCTCTTTAGTGCTCTGCACCAGTAAACTTTGAAAACGCTTCCAGCTAGCGCCCGCAATTCCTCCCCTCCAACAGCACCTAAACGCGGCCTAGCCTACAGATTCCCCTCATCTCTGCAATCCGCGGCGTTATCGTCATGGTTGCATTTTGAGGAGGGAGGCAAAACTCAATACTCAGCTTCTTCCTCTTCTTACTCAATCTTTGATCTTTTAAATGATTTCTTTTCTTTTCATGTTCTGGGTTTAGTTCTATGTACGATTTGTGTTTTTGGTTCCATTCGCAGCGCAACTATACAAAACAGCTTACCAATCCGCTCCCTCGAGACGCCACCTATACGCCTTACACCTGGCTCACACATGCTCTTTAGCTCCTCCTGAGCTTCATCCAAGGTCCATCTGCCTAGAAGCCCGCTGTCTGGACTTCCAACCGGGTTTCTGGCGTCTTGAGCTTGTCCTGCTTGGTCTGCAGGAGCATGGCATATAGGCCGCCTTTGGAATAAACCGTCAGTTGGTATACACAACCGCTCGGCGCATAAAACCAACCGCCTCTGGCTGAATTCGCCACCAACGAGGTGCCCCCCGATGTAGCAAACACCACACGCCTCTCTAAGAATTGTGCTCTTGTGTCCCAGATGCAGGCCACTCGCCGTGTAGCAGCAAGGCTGCCTCCAGGCCTCGTACGGGCCCCAACTGTCTCAGGCTCTCGGTCACTCGCCGGCACGCTGGCCTTTCAGAGACATGTGGCGTCGACCGCAGCGGCTGCTGAGGCTGCGCAACCAACACCGCAGCCAGCACAAACGATTCCTCCAGCGGCGGGCATCCTTTCGCGCCGGGAGCGTATCCGCGAAGCCAAGCCCTTCTCCGAGTTCCTGACCGATACCTTCCACCGAGAGCATGACTATCTGCGCATCTCGCTCACCGAGCGGTGCAACCTGCGATGTGTATATTGCATGCCGGAGGAGGGCGTGCCACTGTCTCCGGACAGGGAACTCCTCACAACTCCAGAGATCATCATGCTGTCGTCCATCTTTGTGTCTCAAGGCGTAAACAAGATCCGACTTACCGGAGGAGAGCCGACGGTCCGACGGGACATCTTACCTCTGATGCATCAACTCGGCGCTTTGCGCCCGTACGGACTCAAGCAGCTGTGCATAACCACCAATGGCATCTCACTGCATCGAAAACTCGACAGCATGATCGAGTCTGGGCTCACCGGTGTAAACCTGAGCCTTGATACCCTGGACCCGTGGCAGTTCCAGATCATGACCAGGAGAAAAGGCTTCGACGCCGTCCAGAAAAGCATCGACCGCATCCTGGAGCTCAACAAGCTCGGCGCAGGCATCAAGCTAAAAATCAACTGCGTTGTGATGCGCGGTCTCAACGACCGGGAAATCATCCCGTTTGTCGAGCTGACTCGCGAGAAGGATCTCGAGGTGCGCTTCATCGAGTACATGCCATTTGACGGCAACAAGTGGAACAAGTGCAAGATGTTCTCATACAATGAGATGCTGGACGTGATCCGAGCCGAATATCCCGGATTGCAAAAAGTCCGTGACGGGAAGAATGACACGAGTAAGACTTGGAAAATCCCCGGCTTTGAAGGCCGTCTCGGCTTCGTCACGAGCATGACGCATAACTTCTGCGGCTCCTGCAATCGGCTGCGCATCACGAGCGACGGCAACCTCAAGGTCTGTCTCTTTGGAAACGCCGAGGTATCTCTACGAGACATCTTGCGCAAGTCCAACAGCGGGGAACCTATCGATGAAGAAGCATTCGAGGCCATGAAGCAAATCGAGATGAATCGTCGACAGGGCCTCAGGGGTACATCTGACGCCCCCTTGGGCATGGCACCAAACGAGGCCGAGCTCCTTGACATAATCGGAATGGCAGTCAAGAGGAAGAAGGCGAAGCATGCTGGTATCGGTCAGTTGGAGCACATGAAGAATCGACCAATGATCTTGATAGGTGGGTAAAACGAAACAGAAACAACACAAAGCACAGCAAACCAAGGATTTCATAGCATATACCCCCCTTGAAAAAAAAAATCATATATCAGGCGGATGGTTGTTGTTTCTATATATAATCCACGCCATCTTGCACAATCTCGATTGGCATCAGAAGCAATTTGATTGGGCGACGATATAAAATCTATCATTCATTCACCCTCGTTGGTTATACTTGGCGATTTTTCAATACGCTAAGTAATAAATGTATGATAGATCCTATTCCGCCAACGCTCGTCAACATGCCACCAAGAATACGACATCTTCTGAGTCGCAACACCATCTCATCTACGACTATACCATCAACAGCCATCTCAACAAGCCGCTCTCAGCAACTGCCTCATCAACTGAGACGACTATCAACCTCACGCAGTCTAAGAAATGGAAAGGAAGAAAAGGAAAGCACGGCATCATCATCATCATCCCGCCTAACACACGTCTCCGACTCCGGCTCAGCACACATGGTCAACATCTCGGAAAAGCAAGTGACGTCGCGCGTAGCCACGGCCGCCTGCGCTGTGCACTTCTCCTCCGACACGCCCATCAGGCTGATCCAGGAGAACCAGATGAAGAAGGGTGACGTCCTGGGCGTGGCCCGAGTCGCCGGCATCATGGCCGCGAAGCGCACCGCCGATCTCATCCCGCTTTGCCACCCGATTGCCATCTCAAAGGTCGGCGTCGACCTGGAGGTCGTCCCGGGGAGCCGGCAGATCGAGATCCGGGCCACCGTGGCCTGCGATGGGAAGACGGGGGTCGAGATGGAGGCGCTTACTGCGGCGTCGACGGCGGCGTTGACCGTGTATGACATGTGCAAGGCGGTGGACAAGGGGATGAGGATCGAGGGGCTTCGGGTTGTGCTCAAGGATGGTGGGAAGAGTGGGAGATGGGAGATGCCTTGACGGTAGATTGTGAGATGCCATGTTGTAATTGATTTTGTCCCATGTCTTTCATTTTACTCATTCACCCTCCTTAGCCTACGGGCATCAGAAGTTGGAATAGCATACAAGGGACAATGGCGTAGTTAATTGATCTACTAGGGATATACATGCAAGTATGTCATACTGAATTCTCTAGACCCCGCGACTGAGTAGAAAATTAACGGTTAGGAATGCAAGGGACAATGGCGTCTTGATTTCTATATTCAACACCGTCATGGCGTAGTTGTTTAGGTAGTTGATCTACTAGTGATATACACGCATGTCATACTGGATACCCTAGACCTTTGCGACTGAGTAGAGCACAACGCTTCAAAAACGGCCACTACCTAAGACATAGTCTAGTCCCACAAAGAGAATGATATGGGCAAGCATGAAAGAAAAAAGGAACAATGCTCTTCACCGCTAACCTTCCCTAGTGAGCGTCTTTGACCTCATCGGTGAACACGTCCATGACTTTCTACGCATATCGCGATCTCACTCTCGATGAGCCCGCTAAAACGACAAGGCGACGCGCCCCGATTAATAGACAAAAGACGGCCCCATGGCTGATCTGTGATTGGCATGCCCGTATGATTCATAGACTTGGTAACGGCCGCCCCTCCCCTCACCCTCACCACCACGACTCCAGGCGGGCCAGGCAGTAAGCTCCCAACAACGCAGCGGTGGAGGGGAGAAAGAGCTGGCCGGATGACCTCTCGCAGGAATAGCTTCAACTTTTACTGAGAGAGCCTGACCACCGGTCTGCGTTGTCAAGTTATGCATGTCGAGCGGTGAGCAGAAGCTAAAAAAAGCAAAAAGAAGCAGCACAAACCAAGAAATGCTCTAAACCCAGACACACCACACCACACACCATACCACACCTACAGCACAGAGCAGAACAAGGCCGTGTGGATGGGACGTTGAAACCCAACCTTGCCCTCCCACTTGCCGTCTCGCAGCAAGCAAGGTTGCAACGCTGCAAGCAAGCTGCCAAGCTGCGTCCATCGCGACGATCCCATCACGGCGTGCCCCTCCTCCGCACCTCGCCTCGATGGCTGTGGGATATACGGAGAAACGGCCCCTCCGTTCTCAGCAAAGCAACTTTGCTTGCCCTGCGATTTATCTCCGACGTGCTGGGGCTGCTGCGCGTGTGCCAGAAGGCGCATAAAGGCATCGGCCAATCAGGTGTTAGTTATAAAAGGCAATGAAGAATGCTTGAAACGAGATGCGCCAATCACAGCGCAGCGATAAGCACAAACTTGGAAGTCGTGCAGGCGATTACCCCATTCGGAAAGTAGCGAATAACTTGGCCTGATTGACAGATTGGCAGAAGCAATCCATAAAAAGAAGTAAAGTGAGAACCATAACTTGGAGCCTCAGCGTGTGTGGTCGATGATGCCTGCAGCCCATACTGTATCGCAGCCAGCTTCTATATTACCACGCCCGTGGACTTGGGCTCTTGCTGATACCTACTGTAGGTAGGCACATACTCCGCGTTATACATCATGGCACACTACACGTCATGGTTCTTCATAGGGCCTAGAAGCAGTCATGTTCGTTTCTGCAGCCCAAGCAGGTTGGGGATATCCATCTGCCGCACCGGAAAGTCTCAGAATCTGTCGATATTCACATTTCCTGTGAATGACTGCATGTACATGTGCATACGTAGATGGGCACGCAGAGCATGGTGGATGGATACACAGAGCATGGCTGCCACACGGCAACGACTGTAGGAATGCCGCCACTAGGGTACGCATGCGTTCGCTCTTCGGTGTGTCGATGAGTTGCTTCTCGTCTGTGGCATTCTGCTTTGCCTCTATTCGGAGCAGAGTGGCCGTGCAAGTGAATCCAGCAGCTCAAGTTGCCCTTTGATCGGCCAGATTAGGCTGACGGGGCGGCCGTGTGGTGGCGACCGAGTCGCTCTAGTGAGCTTCTTCGAACAAAAAAGCGCGAGTAAGTTCGGCTTCTGCCTGCCTGTGCTTTTCTCCTAGCAGCACACAAAAAAACATGGCGTTGTGGGTTTTTTGTCTTTTTTTGGTCGCTCCACAGACCGTGCCGAGGAACGTTGACAGGCCGCCAGAGATGACCGGGATGGCTTGTATCTGCTAGCAATAAGACACGTAAGAATAATTAGAGGCTCCGTAGAAAATGTGTTGCATTATATGCTGGCGGCAAATTCGCTAAAGAATGTTCCTGACGAAGCTTGCGGCGGCGGTGGCAAACTAGCCAGGAAGTAGCACCTATGCGAGATCTTCGCAGAGCCGCATTAGAAGTTCAACAGTTTCTAGTGCCTCTTCTTTTCCATCCAGAACAACGCCGTCTCTCCGCTACTTGGCGGTGTACTCCGAAGCAATGAGCTAGCTATCAATAGCAACGAGATAGATGGAGAGATGGAGCGTACAGAAGCTTTTCGGCAATGGCTCGGGACTGCAGCTGGCCTGGACTGTCGCCTGGTGCGGTCCGGGGCAGAGAAGGGAAGATCAAAGACTGTCCAGGCAAAAGACGCCGAGCCGCGAATGTTTAATTGCGCTCGGGATTTTTCCGTCTCTTCGAAAGCAAAAACTGTGTCTCGTTCTGCAGGACCCCTACAAAAAACGGGGAAAGCAGATATTGCAGCTACTGGGGTAGGACTCAAATGCACTCGTAATGGCGCGGGATGGATACCGTCGTGATGGGGTAAATGTGAATAATAGCTGTGTAAATACTCGCGGCAGAGCAAGAGAGAGGCTCCATAGCGGATGTTACCATGGCTCTGTGCTCCGGACTGGCGAGGCCCCTGTTCGGTTGAGACTGCAAAAAAAGACTCAAGATTCCTATCCAGGAACCAAAAAGCCTAGCAAGCTGTGGTGAAAAAAGATCAACACGCCGAGACCTTTGTGGTGGAGACTAGCGCGAGGGTCGTCTTGGACCTTTTTTTTTTTCTTGGGGGTGGGGGGCATTGGCATCTCCGAAACGGTTCATGCGACAGGCGACCAGAAAAGACGCAGAAGACGAGGAGAGGCGAGAGGCGGGGTGAGAAAGATGGAGAAGAGCATTGAGGGGAAGCGCAGGACTCGTAAAGACGGAGAGAGTTTGAGTCGTGCTCAATATACTGTAGAGAAACTGCTGCGAGCGAATGGGACAGCGAGAGTTTGACGGCCGTGCCCGAATTGATAGAGGAGGAACCAAAGTATAAGTCAGCTCCAGGCAAGATGGAAACATTGAAACATGTGAAAGCTCTCGAGCCTCATTGTCTGTAGCCACTGGCAAGGTTCTGGCTGCCTTGTCTTAATTAGCCATCCCGGCAGTGGCGGCGTCGACACCACTGCATTGCGTGAGCCGATCGAGATACTGCCGCCGATGTCATTGCCAGCGGAGGACTGGTCGAGGCCACTGCATGCATCGTCGTCAGGTGTCACCGTGCAGACCAGGCGTTTGCGTGTTGTTGTGTTGCGCTGCGTTGCGTTGAATGCGCTTCGCGCAGGGATGCGGCAGGGATGCCCAAGATTCAAACTTGATGCTGGACTGCAATGGCCACGGAGCCACAACTCAGCGTTACGAAGCACTACTGTACCGCCAGTCGCTCCCAGCACAATGCCAATGGCCTATTGTACAGCAGTAAGTTGTTGGTGCTCCACCGTCGCTGTGGGCTCCCGGACCCCTATCTGGGAAGGTAGCCCGTTGCCAATCGGGCGGCGGATACGATGGGGCGAAATCGTGGCGAGTGGGTGAGAGTGAGCGGCCAGAGTTGACCAGAACCGGCTGGCGTTTGCATTTGTCGCCGGGTCGTTTTTGGTGTTGAAAGCTGAGAGTGGTGGCACTCCCGCCTGCTTTGGAGCACAGGGCACTGCTATTTCCAGCATAGAGGCTCGTGCTGGGAGATGCTCGCGCCGTCGTACGAATTAGAACGGCTTTGGACGACCAGGCCGCCAAGACGGGGCGCGCGTTTTGCGCTGCAGGAAGGTGCCAGGGGACTCAGTAATTAGCGCTTGCTCTGTTTCTCTCTTTTTTTTCTTCAAGCTGTCGTTTTGGGCACGCGGCAGGTAGACGCTACCTTGTATGCCGCCTTGGTCACCGTACCAGAGACGTACTCTATACCCGCCGGCAAGGGACATCGGCTTCCCTCTCAGAGGCAAGAGAGGACAGGCTGAGAGCGCGAAAAGGCAACAAGAACAAGGCACCTGCCACCCTGGCCCGTTAAGCTTACTATGACGAAGGGATGCATCTCCGACCGTGACTAGTTTCTCCTAGAATCTTCAGTGCATTTTTGTTTTGACGAAGACGCTGCTTATGGTCATCGTTGACCGAATGTTGTTGCATGTAAACACTGCCAAACCTGGGCTGGGCTGGGCTGGCTTCTCACATCTCACAATAGCATCGACATCCATACTTTCCGCCCAAGACCCAAATCGTGCTCTAGCACCTGGTTAGCCGAAGTGGGCGACAGAGCGGGCCAATAGGCAGCCCATGAATTCAGTGCAGAGCAACAAACCCCAAAGTTCCGTGCCACACTGGAGCAGGGCCGGGAAAAAAAGAGGATACTCCAGGTGCCTTGTCCAGACCAGACCACGACGACCCAGCTTCATTAGTCGTAGGGCCCAGTACCAGTATGTGCCGTAAGTTGCAGGCTCATGATATGTGACCTGGGCTGCAGCTGGTGCATGTAAGTATGCATGCTTGCAGTAGCAGTAGCAGCATTAGCAGCATTAGTACTGTAGCAGCAGCTAAGTACCTAGGCGCAACTCTTTTTTCCCTTTCTTTTTCTCCCTGTTCCGATTTCCAACAACTCCTTCTGCCTCCTCCCTGCCCTCGTCGCAGATCCCACCAACACCAACACACAGACCGAGATATCTTACATCACCTGGGGATATCCTTGCCTCGTCCATTATAAACGTGTACTTGTAATACAAGCACTGCTGCTCTCCCCAGCGCCCCATATATTCCCATGTGCTTGCACCGGGCTCGTCTGCCATTCCAAGCACCATGGCTAGTGGCAGTTACTTCTTCCACCGTCCACAACCCAATCCATTGACTCGCATCGCCACCACGCCGCATCTGGCCAATGGCCGCCCAGCGATAGTCCGCCCCCTGCCAAATCGCTCCAATCCAGCCACACCCCGACACACCCGACACGCAGATGAATAGGAGGACCCAGTTTGCCGTGCTCCATCAATCTCGACTCGAGGCCCTGGAGAGCTCCGGACCGTGCAAGTACCCGCCAGCACTCGCCTCGGGTGCTGGCTGCCATGTGCCGGCCTTATATCTACAACTTGACCGTCACCTCGTCTCGTGTCCATCCTCATATACCTACTACCTACTACCTATACTATTGCCTCTCCGTCTTACACACATTACATACATTCATCTTTTAGGCCCAGCAAGTCTGCGGGTGTCAGGACGACTTTCCATCTCTTCGACACTTTAGCCCCCATCGTCTCTCTGTACTACCTCGCCTTGTTTCCCTTCCGCCGTCCTTTACAGCGTAGCGTGCGACGAAAGCCCTCTGGGACCAAAAGCCATCTTCCTCTGCACGATACAGGATACATCCACCTGCCATCCACGTCCATTTAAACTCATTCCACGAGACGCCTCTGACGTGGCCCCTTGCAACCCCCAACTCGACAGCAATTCTCCAGGAAATCAAAAGAGCCCCCAAACACCAGCTTCACAATGGCCGCCCAGCTCATCATGCCTTCTGCCCCGGGACCGCAGCACTCCCGCCACTTTCTGCCCGACAGCAGACGCCCCCATGCGCACAGCCGCTCGCAGTCCTTCCAGCTGCCTCCAGGGCCTCAGCTGTCGCCAAACAGCGCCAACGGCTTCCACGAGCCGCCCCATGCCGTCTCGACACCGCCATCGCCAAAGGCCCGCCACGCCCGTCCGCTGTACATGCCCGCGGCGCTGCGAGCCAACAACGAGTTCCCGTCACAGCCCTTGGCCAAGTCAAGATCGGGCGACTCCAGCTCCGACTCGGGCTCGGACACGACGCTGCGCCGCTCCAACACGGGCTTCATGAGCCTCGGCGGCCTCGTTGGCCAGCAGTTTAGCCGCCGCGCCAGCGAGAGCGGCAAGAGCAGCATCGACGGCGAGTGGAATCTCGAGCTCTTCCCTGACGTTACCGAACAGCCCACCCGCAAGCACTGGAAGGTTAGTTGAAGTCTCTGTGAAATCACCCTCATGGCCATCATACTCACATTGTATCCCACCAGCCCGATACTGAATCCTCCATCTGCGACGACCCGACCTGCAAGCGCAACTTCAGCTACTTTGTCCGTCGCCACCACTGCCGCAAATGTGGCAACATCTTCTGCGACTGGCACTCCAGCTATGCGCTGCCGCTGGACCAAAACGCAAACTTCAACCCTCGTGCCATGCCCTCTCGCACCTGCAACCACTGCTTCGAGCAGTTCAAGACATGGCACAGCCGCGAAGGCAGCCAGGTCTCCAGCTCGGCATCATCCGACGTTCGTGGCGCCGTATCTTCACCCATTGCTGCCCAGCCCGGAACACCTTTCGGCCTGCCTCAAGGCCCTGAGATTCCAGCCAGCGTGCCCCGCGACTGGAACTGGAGCACCTTTTAACATGCTTATGAGCCTAGGGGCTGTGTCCCTTACTGCACTCGTTTCGCCGCTGTGGCGGCATCATTGACGATACCCGGAGCGACATGAAATTTACGAGCAACTCAATGACGATAGAACATTAGACCAGATTGATGATTTTTTTTTCTTCTTCTCTTTTTCTTTCTTTGTCTACCTTTTCGCATCCCATCTATTTTCTATGGGACAAGCTTGATTTATTATAAGCGCAGAGATTTTTGGTTTGCATTTTTTTTGGAGATCAACTTGCATGGCAAACATCATCTTTTCTCGGCAGGCTTGGCCGAGAAAGCTTCAAAGGGACAGAAATTCAGGATTCCAGAACAGCACGGATACAGCTATTAGATATCTTTTTTTTTTTTTTTTTTTTTTTTTTTTTTTTTTTTTGGGAAAGCAGGCGTTGTTTCTTTTATAATAGTTCCTGTTATTGGGAATGTGTGTTTTCAGCGGAGGTGGGAATACCCCAGTGGCGGACGAGCCCGCTTCAATTGTTTTGTCTGCGATACTATAGATGGATAATTGATTTTACAACTATTTACTCTCCTAACTGTGTTATTGGTACAAGTGACTGCGATGTGATGCTTATCCCATTCATTACGCCCATCTCGTTGTAATCTAGTACTATCATAGCTACGAACTTCACGCTTGTCATGACACAGAATTTTCATGGCAGTTTGACTAAATCCATCACACATGGCTGTGTGACCACTCATTCGCCTGAGAGTGCAGCGTTTTCATGGTCAGCTTTTGATCAAGAAGGGGTAGGCAAAGGTTTTCACCAATACTTACAAAGGATCAAGGAACGGAGCATGTGAAAATCATAAAAGAAAATAGCCAATGAGATACGAAATAGAGAATTCGCATGAGCAATCAATCTAATTGACTTTGATCCTAATGTCTGGGTCGTACACGCACTTTGGCTGCTTGTCGTCGAATACAGAGGCTTTACGGAGTTGAAGTTGTTGTAGACTCTCATCTTGATAGGCATAGGACACATGTAATTGATTATTTATATCGAATTCAACAATGTGTCGTTGTTTTTTTTCTAGAGTAAGTAATAATTCTCGGCTCGGGCAACCTAATCAATTCATGAAAATAGATGTCTTATCGCACTCGTATATCTATACATACTTTTTTTTTTTTTTTTTGAACGAGTTATGATATTGGACAACATGTGTAAACTTCACTCCATCTTGTCCATGCACATGTATGAAAAATCCATTGTTATTCTTATTCTTCTCTTTGACTTCATCATCGCTATTGTCATCTACTCGCTTTATCCCCCCCCTCCAATGTTAATAATTCAAGCAACGCCATGTCCTTTTTGTGTCAAGAGCTATTGAGCTCTCTTCTTTTCCCATGCCCGTGAAATTGATAAATACAAGTTTTAACGCAAAACAAAAACAGAAAACGCACAGAAAACAGCCATGATCCATTTTTCAGCGTTTCAGCCCCCCTGTGGCAACTGACGCTACCTTGCATGCTCTCAATGGCATCATTCTTCTTCCCCTTCCTCTATGAGCTTTCTAAGCCCTGCGCTTGGTCGTCTTGGCCTTGGGGCTGGTGCTAGTGCTGGCGCTGGCGCTGGCATGGCCGTCCAGCATCTGCTCGCCACCATAGACCTCCCTCTCAACATTGCGGGCAGCCTCCCAGCCGGCCTTTTCCGCGAGGGTGACCTCGTCGCCCATATCACGAGCAGTCTTACCGTTCAGCTTGTGCGCAGCAGTGCTGCGCTTAACGTAGCTGGCAATAAAGAAACTGACAAAGAGGTAGGTGAGGGGAGCGAGGTAGAGGACGTTGAGCCAGATGGCAAATGTCTCACCAGAGGTGACGATACAAGGCTGCGCGAGCTGTGATGTCTGGGTGACGGTGGTCAGCTTCTGGGCGCTGGGAGAAGCGGCGGCGGCAGCAGCAGCGTTGTGAGCGACGTTGTCAGAGCCAAAGATGAGATTCTTAAGCGAATCCAGAGCACTGACGGCGGTGGGGATGATGTAGTCGAGGGGAGCGCTCTTGGTGGCAGGAGCGTCTTCGGCCACGACGTGAGTGGAGGTGACGGGCGCAATGTATGTGATGAAGGAGTGCACCATGGCAAAGGTGGCTCCGACAACGAACTGGGTGATTTGCATGCTGGTCAAGGTGCGCTTCATGACGTTGGGGATCTTGATGGAAAAGGCCGACAGAGTGTAGTAAGTGTACTGAAAAAAGCAGTTAGTAAACCAAAAATGATATACAGGCCGTTGAAACCAAGTTGATACTCACCATCAAAGCGTGGATAAAGGAGTTGAAGAGGCAGAAGATCCAGATCGGGCTGGCCATGTAGCGCATACCAGCCCACATGCACATCATGGCTCCGGCGTGGTGGTAGGTCTGCAGAGTCGAGCTATATTTGCCCTTGGCCAGGATGATGAAGGTGTCGAGGACCTCGTAGAACTTGCTCAGGTAGAAGATCCAGCCGTAGAAGTCGAGGCCCTCGGTCCACATGCGGCCAGGCTCAAGGCTGTTGGGCACGCCATTGCCGGCAGCCATGTACGCAGCGGTGCTTTGCGAGGCGGTATCCCATCCTCCAGTGGTGTCGTTGTAGTACATGGAGTTGCCCAGGCCTCGAGGCCCGTGTAAGCGGCAGAAGCTCTCGGCCGTAGCAGCAACGCCGCCAGGGCCAAAGGGATGGTTGATACTCCTCTGCATGACGCCCACCATGCCCCAGAAGGTCCAGGCCGAGTAGACGGCGAGCAGGATGTTGTGCAGCACGACAAAGGCGAAGAAGGGGCGTGTCTTGCTGATGCCCCAGGGCTTCTTGTTGCGGGCCTTGTTGTACTTGTTGAGCAGCTTGGCCGAGATGGCGTAGACAGCGGCAATGGTCAATGGGACTCGGGCATCCAGAGCAGCTCCGTAGAGATGGTCGGGAATGTTGAACGGCCTCAGAATCGAGGTGGGAACATGCGCCGGTGGCAGCGGTGCCGGAGGGTTGGCTGGAGGGAAGTTGAAGAGGCTCGCATCGGGCATTGAGCCCAGGACCTGAAGGCTCGACATGCTGAAGATCGAAAACGGGTTCGTATGAATGTGTGTATACTGCTTGATGGCAAAAAAAAAAAAAAAAAAAAGAAGAGAAATGTTGAAGATGAAGAAAAAGTGAGGCTCGTTGAAATGCAACAACGGGTGTAAGTCGTTGACACTAACACGCAAACACGCTTGTTCTTTTTCCTGCAAGCAGTAATTGATTGTAATGCAAGCTGTTGCTAGCGCTGCCCACTTGGCGATTAAAGCAGCAACGAAGAGCGTCTCTTGGTCTGATTCAATGCAAGTCGCACCAAACAGAAGTATTAAAGTAAACAGAGGGAGAAGAGAAGAGACGAACTTCTCCGTGTTACAAAGATATTAGAATATCAGTTGAGAAAAAGAGGGCGATGGTACCCGCTCTCGCCGCCGAGGCTCTTTTTTTTTTCTGCTCCAAGGGAGGGGTGAAAATACGCGGGCTGGCGATTTTTGTTGGGGGAAGGCGGTGGGTCAGGTTGACCAAAGCTCTTGTCAGTGCAAGCGAGAAAAAAGGTGAGTTGAGGAGAAAATAAACAATTCAACGGGGATCCGAATGCAGCTGGTCGTAGATGATCAATGTTTGTGATTGGCTGTGCCGGGCCTGGAGAAGTAACTCGCGGTTTTTAAAGTTTCGAGAGCACAGCGCAGTCTCTCTGGATTTGTACTTGGACGTCTGCGGTATGGAGAGATTATTATGAATTAAATATTAAGAATTCCCGGCCGCTGGATCTATGCGGGAGGAATTGGTTGGCGTATGGAGGGAGAGGGCGAGCGAGAGAGATAGAGCTTTCGTTGAGTGTCAGACAAGCTCGAGGGAGGCGGACGGATTGATGTTTAAGAGAGAAAACAGTCTTGCTCAATTACAGCTTCATCCAAGCACCGGCACCGTACTGGCTACCGGCCATGTTGACGTCTCTGCGCAGAGACTGCCAGTACCAGCTACCTCTGCCACCTGCCGCCAAGAAACAGCTAATATCGATGTCATAACAGCGCCAGAAGCTATTCCGCTTCACTTCTAGGCCAGCAGTTGGGGATCCCCTGTGGTTTTCCTTCGGCCGGGCAAGCCAAGGCGCTGATAGCCTCGTCCGTAGCGGCGGGCTGGCCACGGCAGCGAGACGATACCTGCTGCGGTATCAATCTGCCGCTCTCTCCGGCATATCGAACTTGTTATGGAGACTCCAGAAAGGCTATTCCGGAGCACCATCCAGCCCTTCACCCATGCTGGCGATTTTGAAGCGGGCCTCGCCCCCTGCCGTCTGTTCGGAACCCGCGGAGCAGCAGGGCGATCGATTTCGTGGCGCCCAGCTGGATGCCAATCCAGGGTTCAAGGCAGCTGAACCGAGCTGAGCTGACGCGCTGAAGAGACGAGCCTTAACGATCCCCAGAGCTCCCCAGAGCTGCATATACGTAGATGTTACCTACTGCCACTTCTTGTATAATACTTTGGTAAATACTACTAGATACTACCACAAGTATCAATTGGCAATTGTCAACTCCATAGCTTCCTTTCCTCCTCGGCTTCTTCCCTGTCCTTGTCCATACGCTCGCATTCGCTTCTCCCCACGATTGCGCTCTCAACGACCCATGCAGCATCACATCATGGCATCACGGGGGTCGTGCCAGCCGAGCCGGATCAAGCGGTAAAAGGCGTCAACGATACCGAAATACCTACATTATGCGCCGCGATGCCTGATACGATACCCGTACCAGCAGCCTGTTACTTTTCTTTCTGATCAGTCATTAGCACTGCCGTGTTTACCAGTTTCGGTCAATCATCTCCTGAAGATGCTTGTCACAGGCATAGCCATTCGCTGCTTGGCATCCCTTGCCACAGCTTGAGCCCAACCTGGCTCTAAGCCGAAATGACCCTCGCAGCACCAAGTGCCGCCCGCTTCCCAGAGTGTGTGCTACAGTATTGTGAATTTTGATTTGATGCCATCTACAAGTAAACGTGCGTCAAATATCACCCCCCCCCCCTTGGCGTTTTGCATCGGACAGCCGGAAGCAAGTAGATGCTGGATATTCAAAAAGCCGACAACCGCCCGGAGAGCGGCATAATGAATTGCCATTGCTTCTCCCACATGCCGCTTCACGCTTTATGGCCGCGGAGGATGCGCTTGAATCAGGTTTGTTAGGAAGCCTGCAAAACTCAAGAGTTCCATGGTCTTCACATCGGCTGCTCTAAAACATTGGAAAGGCTACCTAAGATACTGGACAATTGAATCTAACCGCTAAAAGCCCAATCTCCCACACCACCAACAACAACCCGCTCCCGCGCAAAGACTTGAAGATTCCATCCGTCTTACTACTGACTAGTACTTGGCATTTTTACCTTCCGCCCAGCCGCACCAATGCAAAAGAGTTAGCTCCTACTCTATGCAAACTGATGCAGTTTTTGTTTAAGAAAAAAAAAAAATGCGGAGAATCGCAAACCGTCCCAAGTTCAGCTCGTTTTTGTTGGGGGAGAGAGAATTAGCGTCACATCATGCGCCCACCAACACGCACCCAAACGTTGCATATATTATCTACATCTGTGCTTTTTTCTTCTCCTTTGGCCCCCTTCCCCGCAACAGTTTGTTTATCAATTGCCGAGCTTCAACGATAAGGAAGCATGTGTTAATGGATTATTATTAGAAACTGCTGCAGGATATTCTCTCTTTCTGGTTGTAACCTTCTCGACCAGCCGTTGCCGAAATTCGCTTCAATTCGCTCCCCCGTAGAAACAAGCTCTCAGTGCTCCCGGCGAATCCACGCCAAGACAACTTATACGCTCCGTAATGCTTGGGATACGTCGATATCGTGCCGCCTGGTAGCGGAAATCCCCGATTCTTTCTGAGACGTGCCATGAAGCACCCAAATCCTCCATATCCGCATCTCTCGTCGACGAGAGAAGAAAAAAAAAAGGCTCAAATCCGATCGTCGTTCACTAATATTCACCGCCCTACCCTATCTAGTAATCATGCTAATATCATTGAGGAGGCAAACTCCCCAATGAGCCAAGGACCAAGTTCTACGTAGGTACATACTTGTACACACATGCAGACATTTTGCCACCCATCTCCAAAACAAAGACATGAGTTTCCATAACTACTAATTATACCACCTTCACCTCTGTATATCAACATGCTAGTTAAAAAAACCCCCGATTACAAGTTTGCACCCCCCAAAAAGTGAATAAACCCATATCCCCGACCCGCGGCTTAAAGCACGAGATACCATCTCCGTATTGGCACACATCTGCGGAAATGAATTACTCCAGGGGTCCGTCCCATCACCGAACCGTAGCCTCGGACAACCTCCTTTCCACTGTCTTATTTTCTCCGAGGCATGCAAATACTATCCCTTCAACTGGAGTTAGAGCATGTGCTTGTTTGATTTGGCTTGTGAATCTGAGAGTAGTATTTAAAAGCATCACCAGGCGATGAGGCACGGACAAATGAATGACATGTTGAAACGAAATTTCGCAATCACTTATACGACAACGAATGATAGATATGCACCAAGTCATCATGTACATCACAACAGAGCATCATTCCACTGCATATAATCTCAAAACGTTCGATTGACCAATACTCATTGTCATGTAACCAAGTCATTTGTTCTGGGTGCTAACGATACTAAATATAAACATGCAACCAGGCATCAATACTTTGTCATTCTTCGTCTGATTATACGCTAACCAGCTAACCCGTTGGGTATCATAACCTCAATTGCAATTTATTTAGCAACCCACTCGCCAGCGATCCAGCGGTTGACAAAGTTGATGCTGCCCTCAGGCTCATCGGTCGGTGTCATGTGGCCGGCACCGTAGACCTGGATCCAGGTCAGGTTGTGCGAGGAGATGACGTTGCCGTATGACCTGCCGCCAACGGTAAGATCCTTCTCCTTTGTGGCGCGGAAGTCATCGCCGTGCTTCCACTCAAGCGCCTGGGTCCAAGCCTTGTTGCCAAGCCAGTTGCAGATGAAGTCGGCGTCACCAGCGTAGATGAGCACAGGGATCTTCTCCAAAATGGAAGGGACGAGGCGGTAGATGGGCTTCATCCAGTCACCGTGCATCAAGAAGTTGCGGTTAATGTCAAAATTGCAGCTGTCGTAGGATGAGACCTCAGCACCAAGAGCCTCCATGACATCGGGCTTGTTCAGGTACTCGGTGATGTAGCCCAGGCCCTTGTAGCACAGGTTGCCAGAATCCTCACACTTGGAGCGAATGTCATATGGGTTGTAGCCAGTCTGTTGGTACGGTCCAATGAAGGCATTGTTACAGTAGATGGAGGCGGGCACACAGAGCCACGCGCTCTCAGAGTCGTAGCATTGCTTGATAAGGCTCTGGCAGCGGGGGAGGGCATTGTCCATAGCGTTACATTGGCTCTCGCTCAGAACGGCATCGTAGCCACCCTCGCCACAGGCCATGGGTCGGTAGTATGCGTACTGAGTGAACTCATCAGTCAAGCCATTGCCGACAGCAATGCTCTTGAGGTTGATGTTGCGGTCCTCGTGCTTGAGGATCTCTGCCGCAAAGGTGGGAACGTAGTGTCCGCCATATGACTCTCCAGCAATGTGGAAGTCCTGAGTAGAGTACTCGGGGAACTGGTGGAAGAAGAGTGTGAGAAGGGCGTAAACGTCCTTGCCAGCAGCGACAGTGTCGCTGACGGAGCCACTGCCGTAGGAGTAGCCGACATTGACCGGCTGGTCCAAGAAGATGACGGAAGCATTGTTGTTCCATGCGTGTGGGTTGTTTACAATCTCAATCTTCTCGTTGATAGAAGCCGGTCCTAGCTCAAAGAAAAGACCGGTGAGGGAAGAGCATCCCGGGCCGCCATTGAGCCACAGGATGACGGGGTCGTTCTTGGGGTCGTTGCGGGACTCGAAGAACCCTACGGGACAAAGCTTGGTTAGCCCATTGGACTGCATGAGGCATTGAGTATATCAGAGAGCACTTACAGTAGAACAGATGCTTGTCCTTCTCGTCGTCATCGAGGTATCCACTGAACTGCTTCACCTTGTCGACACGGAGCTTGCGTGGGTCGACGCTCTTGGCTCGCAGATTGTAGTTGGACAGCTGGCCGCCCAGCAGCCGGCGAGACTCTCCAGACTCGTTCTCTACCCACAGCTTCTGGATGTCGGCGCCCTTGACGACATGGTCCCAGTGGCTGTCCTCCTTGCGGGAGTGCTTCTTGGCCTTGACACCCTTGACCTGAGCCTGGAAAGCCTCCATGGCATCCGGAGCAAGCAGCGAGATCTCATCCCAGAGGGCCTTGGCATCGGCAGTGAGCTCGCCGAAGGAGTCCTTCAGGGACGCGGCCCAGGACTTGAAGTCGGTGTCGAGGCCAAAGTTGACCTTCGGCTCGGACGTAGGGTCGCCGAGGACCTTTTGGTCCTGCAGCGCCATGGCCGACGAGGCAGCGCCCAGCACGAGGGCGGAAGTAGACAACCGCATTTTGCTGAAGCCTGTGTTCTGGTGGAATCAAAGTCTTGATGCGGGCGATGATAAAAGGTGTGGAAGGGGATGAATAGATGATTGGGGGATGGAAAGAAGGTGAAGGGAAGACGCAGGTTGGGCTTAAAAGGGCGGGCGTGCGAGGAGAGTCACTCATTACGTAGTCCGTCTGTCCAGCGCCCAACCTCTTCCTGGGATAAGGCCGGGGAAGGACGCCGCCAAGGGGCCGCCTAATCGGCAGCGCTATCTGTTACCCCACGCTTCTTTTCGGCTAACAGATAATGACTCAAATAGCACCACTGGCTGTTAGGACGAGACATCTGCCAGGGGCATCGTCTCCTTGCAGCCTGTGTCCCTGATACTACTACTAGTATAGTAGTGCTCACCCATCAAGGTACGCGTCTCAGATGCTCAATGAACAAAACCAAGTCATAGTATCAACTGCTGACTACTGCCACGCCAAGTTTCAGGTTCACGCTCATTGAGATGCTTGAAGAAATAATATCTGATAGGAAAAGCGTTGAATCATAAATACTTTGACGCAGCTCGCCATTCAATGGCAGAATCCATTAGCGTACTCTTGCTGCTGCTCATAATTGGCGGAAGTGGCTGGACTGGAACTGAGTCCAAGGGGAATGCTGCCAGTGTTTACTCCAGGCCAGTGGCCCGCCGAGAATTTCGTTACCTCAACCAGCCGTTTCATTGCCTCTAGCTCTCCCGTGGATTGCGATCAGGCGCCCATTCAACGTATTCTCGAGCTCGTCCAGTACATACTGCTTTACCGGTAGATCTGCGCATGGCCTCATACCCTGTAGATTGAGTGTTTTTCCAAGGTGACGATGGTGTGGGCGCTGGGATAAAAGTATCTTGACATAATATAAGCAAAATAGCCTAGTAGAGGGGATGGTGGTAGAGACATGCTTATGGACAGCCTCCAAGGAGATACATTTAGATTCAACAACACCTTTGCATACCACTCAGAAACTTAAAGAATACTACTATTACCACTACTAGTCCTTGAAGGTATTATGTTGAGACGATACTAAAGGATGCAAGAGTTTTGCTATTAAAGGAAAAGAGTTATCCAGTATCCCAGCAGTAGCAGCAGTAGCAGTTAAATTACCTGCTCTTGCCCTTGACGTGCCTGATATTAAGAGACAAGAAAGTTATAATAAGGCAGAGGGGAGAAAAAGAAAGATAAATCCAGTTGTTTACTTCTCAATAATTGGTACATTTCCCCCCAACTGCACTTCGTAGATCACGACTAATATGAGACTTCGTTGTTCCCAACTACGAACATCATCGAGACGACATGGCGAAGCGCACGCAACAAAATGATGCCTAAAATTAACAACTCTCGTCTTCAGACGTATCACTTAAATTCACCAGGGAGAGAATTTCACCAGCATCGGTGCCATCTACACCATACTTCCCTAGGAGGCTCTTGGCCTCATCCCCCAAACTCGGTTCCTCCCGAGGTTCAAGACCGCCGCTGTTGTCGTTCCGCACCTTCTTCGCAGGCGCACCGTCATCTCCCACGGCTTGCAACCAAGCGGTTGTTAAGATGGACGCCTTTCTGGATGACAATGGAGGGACATGGGCGATTCAAAACACCGGGATGGGCGAGGAAGGGATGCTTTACAACTTTTATAGATAGATTTAGTGGACAACAGGTTGTTTATAGGCAGAGTTGCGAATTTGTAGCAAGTACGAAAGGACGAATTTTCTTTTGATTATCCGAGTGCAATCTCCGCGTCCAGCAAGTGTCTATTTTGACTGGCGGAAAGTAGTCATCTGTTGAACTTGGAAGTCTTGTATTGGAACAAGGATGCCAACTTTAACCAGAAGCCGTTTTCATATCCTATACAGGTATAGAACAAGTTAAGATCCCAAATTGAAGACGCTGGAGGATTGACGTACAGTCTCTACCAGTGTTAGGCAAAGTAATTACTTCTCGGATATTGATTGCAATTGGGCCGATCGTGGAGCCAAACCCAATGACTCGAGCCTGGTCTTGATTTTTACCGGATACTATCGTGGATGAAGCGATCCCCTTACGTAGTGCCTGGAACGTCACGGAATGTATATGCACAGTGCAAGAGGTAGAAAGGCTTGTCTCTTCTCATGACGCAGGATCTAGTCTAGCTATATAGGTATATATAGGGTGGTCCCATATCTCCTTCCTCCCTGGGGATGTCAGGGCACGAGTCCCCCAACAGATACTGCACGTCGGGATTGACTTTTGAACCATCTTTCTTGACGAGATTCAGCAGAGAGCTAGAGTTGAAATCACTTTGGATATGTTGCAATTCAATGTCAGCTATATCGGCATGCTCGTTAACGCTCATAACTCCAATGAGTCGAGCCTGGTCTTGATTTTTACCGGATATTGCACGTCAGGATCGACTTTTGAACCATCGTTCTTGACGAGATTCAGCAGAAAGCTAGAGTTGAATTCACTTTGGATATGTTGCAATTCAACCAGGTTCCCAGAAGGCAGTACTAGGCACAGTCTTAAAGTAGACAAAGGTAGATGCTGAGATTTGAGTTTTGTCGGCGGCGCGTGAGGTGATGTTGCAAAATGTGATTGTGCCATGGTTGGAGCATTGAAGCAAGTTTTCGGAATTTATATTGGGCGGCAAGCCAGCTGCCAGCTAGGTAGGTAGGAAGGTGAGCACTCCCTCTTGCTCACGTGTCTGCAAACATCCCATGCCTTACTATTTACTTTCTCTCTCTTCACCTCTCTCTTTTCCCTTTTCTTCTTCTATCTCAACTCATCTCCTTATTATTAAGCGGAATATTTACTACTGCTACTACTGCTACTACTGCTACTACTGCTACTACTGTCTTCAAGTTTCTGGAAATTTTACCTAGGATACAAACGGGACCACACGTTGCCGCATCGCCCCCGGCATGCTCCGTGCTCACGATGTGACGTTCACGTGGTGCCAGCCAGCACTCTATTAGCACATTAAACACTGCCAAGGACAATCAATGCTCTAGTGGTTGTTCCCAGCAACGTAAATGTAGCCCCTTACAAGCATTCTGTGTAGGTCTTTGGCACTAGCAACTGCGTATGGGATACGAAATCTACCATGAGAAAGGACTCATCCAAATCATCCAAGCAGCGTTTGTCTTGCAAAACAGAGTGTAAATCTTTTCCAAGCTTTATTCTACAAACTTTGTTCTACCAAATTTGGTCTACGTGATCTTTGCTCGTCTACATATCATGGTAAAACATTTTCTTTCAACTTTTTATTTGTCTTTTGATACTCTTCATTTTTCCTATGATAAAAAAGCTCCCAGCTAAAGAGCATCGTCTATTTACCCTCCTCCTTCTGCTTCGCCTTTTCCGCCTTCTTGGCCGCAATCTGCTGCTCCTTCAGCAGCTTCTTCAGCTGGTTCTTGGTCAACTTCTCACCTCCCTCTGCTGAAGCGTCTGCCGCGGCTCCATCTGCCTTTACCACCGGCACGACAAGGTCAGCGCGAGGGACCTTGGGGTTGCCTTGCCATTCCAACGGGCGGATGGCCATGAACTCCTTTACGACCTCGTCCGTAACCTTGGCTCTTCTGTCCTGGAATGCGCCGACGTATTCTTGGAGTTTGGCGATGCAAATCGATTTGAGCTGTTCAGGGGGGGTGGTTAGCATATGGAAGAGGGAATTCAGCTGTTTAATAAGCCGGAATTAGGTATCTCACCTCGCCAGTCAGAAGCTTGCCGCTTGAGTACTCAGCCCTGATCTTGGCCAATTCCTAACCGCCATGTTAGTGAAATCTTCTTTGTAGCCGAAGATACAGATATCGCCTTACCTCATCATCTTCCAGGAAGAACTGCAGGTATTGGTACGCAACATCAACATCAGGGTTGCCCCCCTTCTCACGGTGCTCCTCGACAGTCTCCCGGCCTCCCGAGAAAGCGTACTTGTTGACCTTGGTCTTGATTTCCTTTGCCGTGTCCTTCATGAAAATGGCAGAGGTATCGTCACTGGCCGACATCTTGGAGCCCGGACCTTGCAAAGCATCCAGGAATCTCATGTGCACCAGAGAGGGCTTGGCGTACTTGAGGCTCACGGCGCAGTCTCGCGTCAGACGAAAGTAAGGATCCTGATCAATAGCGCAAGGGATCAGGCAAGGAATCTTGGCCGCCTTCTTCTCGTCTTCGCCAAAGATGTGGGGGAATGATGTGGCGAAGGATGTAGCACCCTGAATACTGGGGAAGTGAATCTTGCCAATGTTTGAGCTAGGGAGAGAAGTGGTGAGTCAACAGTTTTTGATCACAGCAAAAAGCGTGCGCCTAGGTAAGAACAAACTCACCTTCCGTCAAAGCCAAATACGGCCTTGGCCACGTTGAAAGTGACTCGCTTTGAGAATCTTGAAATGTTCCTGTAAAAGGCACCGCCCATGAACTCGTAGTCTGAGAAGATGAACGTCTTCTTTGGGTCGAAACCAGCAGAGATGATGTCCTTGGCGTTGGTTCGAGTATAGCCCATGACCTCTTCGATTGTTCGCTTCTCCGAGAAGAGGAACTTTTCGTCTGTCCACTCGATTCTTAGCTCCTTATTACAACTCATAAAGGAATGGAGATGGAACAACTAACCATCTGTCAACATGATAATCAGGGGTGCATCAAGCACATCCTGGAGCCACCTGCATACCACGTCAGAAAGTCCACTCAAGTGAAGCCCTATGAGAACTCATACTTGACAAAGTCAAACACTTGAGTGTGTCCAATGTGCATGCTGTCACTGCTGGGACCTCGTCCAGTGTAGAGGAAGAAGGGCTCATTCTGTCAATCCAAGCATTAGCGATATGAACTCCTCGGTCCATATATGATGGGCATGGATTCCGCCGTCTCATTTCCTCTCACCTTCTCATAACGATCCAGAATGGTGGTGAGATCTCTGTGGCTAAAGACAATCCCACGACGCATAAACCGATGCGGCTTGCTGCCCGTCACTCTCTCCCAGCGCTCCAGCAGCGCATCGTCAATCAAGCTGGTGCCGAACTCGTCAATGAGCTTTCGGTAGTCAATGGCCTTGACCTTTCCGTCCTCGCCAACCTCTCCAGACACGGACCACGGGTTGATGTCCTGCTTGCCAGTTGCAGCATGGGCATCGACAGTGGCGTCCTCGACAGCCGGGGCAATCGTAGCGTCGGCCATTCTCGCTAGCTCAAACAAGACTCTCTTTCTGGAGATTTGGTGTGAATAAACTGTGACACGATATTTGGCAATATCTCGGTGGAATCGATAAAAACGAGCTTCAGAAATGATAAAGAACCAACAAGGCAAAGCTTCAGTGGACTCTATGACTCTAAAGACGCTGCTGTGACTCAACGCACAACAAAGGCGGGGCTATGCCAGCAAGAATATCAGCAGAGAAGAAATTCAAAGGCCAGGGTGTTTCGCAAGGCTGGGTTCGCATCTGTTGGTGGGGTAGCAGTGAAGAAAAAAAGTTGGTAGTGTGTGCATCGCGGTGGAAATATGGACGTGGTGAGGAAATAAAACACCGCTATCTAACCCATTCTGGGCGTTGCTTACATTGAAACGCAGATATGCGTATGCCTTCATCTAGTCTAATAAAACCATCTAATTTTTCAGTTTACCAAATTGCCTATCCTGTAGAAATACCGACTGCAAAGTATCGTTGTGACTCTTATTATGACTCTTCGCTCTGCACTACCAAAGAGTGGCTGTTCCACGTAAAGGATGAAAAGTGGCAAAAGCCATCGTCATCCAGAAGCAGTCTAGTCATGGTCTATATTTGTCATCTCAAGGTACTTTCCGCTTTCCTCCTCCCCGCCAAAGTTGATCAGCCCAGCCAGCCTTTCCATGGATTATTAAGTTTGACGTCGTTTTTCGTTTCTTTGCGCATCAACCGAAGCTATAAATCATTTTCCTCCACCAAAGCGCCAACGCTTTCCCTTACTCTTTTTTTTTTTCTCGCTTCTTTTCCATCGTCTGTTTTTCTAGCGTATCTCTTCTTCGATTTAAACCAAAATGTCTCGCCAAATCACCCTTCCCTCCAACCAGATCAAACTCACAAACGTCTCCCTCGTGCGCCTGAAAAAAGGCAAGAAGCGCTTCGAAATCGCCTGCTACAAGAACAAGGTCCTCGAGTGGCGCTCCGGCATCGAAACCGACCTCGACAACGTCCTCCAGATCCCCAACGTCTTCCTCAACGTCTCAAAGGGCCAGACGGCGCCCAAGGAGGACCTCGAGAAGGCCTTTGGCAAGGGCAAGTCCACCGACGACATCGTCCTCGAGATCTTAAAGAAGGGGGAGCTTCAAGTGGGCGAAAAGGAGCGCGCGGCGCAGCTAGAAAGAGTGCACAATGAGGTCATCAGTATCGTGGTCAGCAAACTGGTGGATCCGAGGACGAAGAGAGTGTATACGCCCGGAATGATTGAAAAGGCCCTGGATATGCTGAGTTCGCAAGCGCATACCGGAGAGAAGACGACAGACTCAGGCACCGCCACGCCGACTACGACGGAGGCTGGTGAGGCCAAACCCAAGACAAAGGAACACACCTGGACGGGCGTGGTGACGACCAAGAGCGCAAAGAGTCAGGCCCTGGACGCCATGAAGGCGCTGATCGCTTTCCAGCCTATTCCCGTTGCGCGTGCTAGGATGAAGCTCCGCATTACGTGCCCTACGAACATTCTCAAGCAGGCCATCAAGGCCCCCAAGACCGCCTCAAAAGAAGAGGACGGCGAAACAAAGGCTCCCGGCACAGTCAAGGACCGGATTTTAGGTTACATTGAGGAGGTTGAGAACCAAGACGTCATGGGTTCAGAATGGGAGGTAGTGGGCTTTGCTGAGCCGGGTGCGTTCAAGGCCCTATCTGATTTCATCGGCAACGAGACAAAAGGCCAAGGCAGAGTCGAGGTGTTGGACATGGCGGTCACGCATGAGGATTAATATGCATGCACAAAGTAGAGCAAATTTTGGAGGGAAAAAAAGGAATAAAATGATACCCTAGGAGAAATTTGATCCTTAAAAACTCTATAACTCGTAGAACTCCTTTTTTGTTCCATCGTGATAATACGTCTCTCGGCGGGCACAGCAGGGATTTCACATTTTGCGGCCTTCACAACTTTGAGCACCGTCATCATGGTAAAAAACGCCTTGAAAATGCTTTTTAATTCATTTGACTCTGATCTAGAGTACAGCACCAGCTGCGTATGCCAGAAAGCAATCCCTTCGAAATGCTCATCATAACGATGAAAAACCCAGCCGTCACGCCTGTCCACCCCAGACCGAAAACAATAAAACCATTAGCCACCCTTCTTCTTGGAGACACCGACGGTCCGGCCGCGACGACCGGTAGTCTTGGTGTGCTGACCACGGACACGGAGACCCCAGTAGTGTCGGAGACCGCGGTGGGCGCGGATCTTCTTGAGGCGCTCGAGATCCTCACGGAGCTTGGAGTCGACACCGTTGGCCAGGATGTGAGAGTCCTTGCCGTCAACAATGTCGCGTTGTCTGTTGAGGAACCAGGCAGGGATCTTGTATTGTGTGGGGTTTTGGATGATCGTCACAATACGCTCGAGCTCTTCGGAGGTGAGCTCACCAGCACTGCAGCAAAATAATCGTTAGTTCCAAAATTTCTTCGAATTCCATCTTGATGGCTTGTTTGCCAAAGAAACTGGTGTTGGTGGGTGTATTATCGTACCGCTTGTTCAGATCGACATCAGCCTTCTTGCAGACCAAGTTGGAGTATCGGCGACCGACACCCTTGATCTTGGTCAAGGCGTACATGACCTTTTGCTTGCCATCAACGTTGGTGTTCAGAAGACGCAAGATCTAGAACAATTGAAAGTTAGCCCCCTGAAAATCTCTTCACTTTTTGAACATTGCTCCTTCTCGTCGCAGCAAAGAAAAAAAGTATCCCAGATGCCCAGAAATCTGGTCCCTCGAATCAATGACATTCGACCCATCGCGTGAACCCTTTCGTAGCAACTGGAACCCCGTCTCTTTGAATGCGAATAAGGATGAAGGGATGACTTACGAACTGGAAGTTCGTCTTCTCTCCCGTGACGAGCGACATGCTGGGCAACTGTATCGGGACGTTGCCTTGCTGCTCGTTAGAATCGATTGTTCGGGTTGAAGTAAAGAGAGCGGAGGATTTGGCAGCACTCGCTAAACATGGTGGAATTTTCGGCCCTTGTGGGGCCACAAAGTAGGGCACACGAAAGCGCCTGCTAACAAAATAGTCACGTGCCTTGCTCTCGGAGCTATCGGCGTCCAATCTTCCGGATACAGTGTGTCTTTACCGTGCGTATCTTGCCTTTGGGCCCTCCACGGATTCAAATTTTTGCCGGACAGTTCTCTTCGCCAGCTCTAGCTTGCGACTGCTTAAGCTTCATCAGGAGGCGGCACAGAGCGTTTCTGTAATACCAATGAGCATCTTCTTCAAGCTGGTTTTGAGAAATGCTAGCATGCTCCCACGGTAGGTACTCTGTAGATCTTGTCAAAATTAATAACCCGTCGTCTGTTTCCATGCTCGGTCAGCGTGTCCACGCCTGCTGATCTTGAGCCGGATGCCCATACTTGTATGAGCACAAGACAAGAACATTCACAACGCTTTTTGAGTACGAGGCCTTTTTTATTTATTTATGGAGGTTATCGTAATTTATCTGTTGTTACATGCCGCAATACACCACCATGCCTGCTAAATAAGAGCCCCAGTAGCTGTAGCTCATGACTATGGCTACGAGTATAAACTCGCTATCCATTAATTACCATGCTTGTTATTTGACTTGATCACCCAATCCCCGAGCTAGCCCCGAACATACGTAGACTTTGAAAAATTAAAACATGTCGATCGAGAGAGCCGCCCAGCCAATGATGAAATAAAGAAAGGAGAAGAGAAATCCCCGTGAGCAAACTTGCTGATACCATTTGGTGTTCATCTCGCCAATAAAAACGACCCACGCCACCACTTCTTTTACGCCAGCTCCATGTCGTGATCTTCGTCCTGTATAACATTAGATTGCTGCTGTTGAAAAGCAAACTCGAACGGCTGTAAACTTACCTCCTTTGCCTGCGTCAATCTGCTTGAAAGAAGCTCCAACAGGTTTGCCCGGTCCATCTTATATGACTGGGAACCACCTCTGGACGTCGGCGCAAGCATCACCCCCACCTGGTGCAATCCCCGAATTTCCAAAAGCTCATCCAAGCCAAGGACATCTGCTATTCTGATAGTCTTGAACGCCAAAGGAAAATAAGTCTTCATTAGAGCTGATCGTTCATTAAGATGAATAAAGGTCAACTTGGAAATTACGATGCCAAGACTTTCGAGTTTCGGCATTTTCGCCAGCAATCGGAATGTCTTTGCCGACTCTGAGCCACTCCAGTGAACCACGATGCTTCTCACATTGTCGAGGAACATGTCGTTGCTGATTAGATGCGACTGCAGTTCACAGGTGCATCTAAATCGAAAAGTCTTTTCGCGGAAAAAGACTCGAAAGAACTCGAGCGTGATGAGATTGGAGCCAAAGACGCATGCAAGATCCTTCATCTGAGCCGTCTGAAAGACAGTGTCTCGATCGAAGCGAGGGCACTTGCAGCTGCCATTCTTGTTACTGGCCGGTATAACGGATTTAGTCCGGAAGATGTTGTCAATCATAAGACCGAGGACTCGCTCTCGTATCTCGACCGGGAGTCGCATAAATGGAAATCCGTCCATCGGAGGCTTCCTATCTAGAGACATGTCGTCAGCAGAGAAGGCGTTTTTACCAAGTTCCATATGCTACTTACCTGCGATTTCGAGAAGCTCTGTGCACATTTCGATGACATCGACGCACGTCGTAATCTCCTCGGGCGACTTCTTGAGTAAGCCGGCACATTTTTGTATGGTGTTGGCGATGGATGCTCTCCGGTTACGACTAAGTCGAACGAGCCTACCAAGCTCAACCGCGTCGATGGAGCCGTCATGGTAGTGATCAAGGGCCATTAGAAGATCCTGAATATTCTTGGACAGGCCGTACTTGGCCGGCACTGTCTTGAGCTTGAGGACATAGAACGACTTGGCCGGCATGGTTTCTCGCGGCTGCTGAGCCTGAAGAACTATCAGTCAAAAGAGTACGTGGTTTTGAAGGAGAAGAAGAAGAAGCCCACATTCAGGACTCTGCTCTTTAAACAAAAAAAAAAAAAAAAAATTCATCAGATGACAGAGTTTCAGGAAACAAGGCAGTGACGCGTTTGACGTGCAAGAAGGAAGGAGCGAAGAGGCACCTGCCGGCATTCACTGCCTTTCTACATTCGCCAGCTGCCTGGTGGGGAAACTCTAACATGAAGCTTCGTGATGATGATAAGTATCAGAATTATCTATGCGCCGAATAAGGGATGATCAAATGATTAAATGGTTATCAGTATTGGAAGAAATGGTGGCGGGTAAAGAGAGAAATGATGTTGCTGATAAAGCAGCAGATAGGCACAGAGGACATTTATCGCAGGCCAGGTATAACTGCATGTAACGAAGATACTACACCTTCATGCGCATAGCGAAGAAGAATAGGAAACGAACAAGGATAGAAAAGGTAGGCTGTGGGATCACATCACATTGTGGAAGATTGTTGGTATTGGCAATTACCAAAGATTCATTCATTAAAATAGATACTAAACTGTCAAATACCAGTACGTAAAATCCTGTACTGTATATAAAGCCCAATTCTTCGTGATATTCTCCCTCCAACGCCGTGTACCCTCTACAGCCCAGGCTAGTAGCCCTGTAGAATTTATGCCGCATTCCATCTATCCAATGGAAAAGAAAACGAATTTTTGAGTGACAAAGGAAAGTAGCTCTGAGCGCAAAGATGCAATAACCACTCCAAGCATCCAGATGTAGTGTAAAGCCGACCCCGTGATCATAACCATTTGTGCGTCGTGATAAAAAAGACCCATACACACCCGCAGCGCCGTAGCTGAAATGCGGACTGCACCGAAAGAGGAAAAGGAAAAAAAAATCAGCCGTCGCATGAGGGCCTCGTCAGTCTAAATACTAGATCTAGACCCTAAGCCGATTTCCCCTCATGCAGGTACGCTAGCCACCCCCCAACACTTGGTGGTGGCGTCTCTTAGTATGTAAACAACAAGGTAGAAAGAAAACGCCAAGTAGATAATAGCGAGATAAAAAAACAAGATCGAATGAGATCCAAAAAGCAGCCGGCGTCCAAAAAGCAGCCGGCGTCCACATCGCAGATCGATCTTTGCCAGTCAGGTGATTTTTTGGAGACTGAATGCTCAAGGAGTTAATTGATGTGCTGCGTGCGTGCATTGCATATTAGCCGGTGCGTGTGATTTGACGAATAGGAAAAATTCCCGATGGTGGTAGCATGGCATCGCGTCGATTTCGGCAGTCGGATGCCGCAGTACACAACCAGTGCATTTGCGATTATATGCTCTCTGAGGGTCCGAGGTCGATGCTGCAGGCACGAGTGCAGCAGGGACTGATGCCATCAAAGTCGGGGTCGATGATCTGGCTCGGGTCGCTGGCGCCAAACGTCATGGTGAAATGGCTGAGCATCTCCTGGTGCTTGAGGTTCTGCTCCGTCAGGGGCTTTTCGCTGGGGTGTTTGTAGGTTCGGCCCTCATTTCGCTTGCGGGCTCGTTCTTGCTTTCTAGCAATCTTCTCCTCGTTCTTCTTAGAGCTGTCGCCGCGCCCAAAGGAGAAGGCCTTGGAGAGGGTTGAGCTGGTCTTTTTTAATGAGAGCTGAGGAGCCGAGGACTCGGAGCTGGAGCTTTGTCGGGTTGATGATGTGGTGCCAGTGGATTCTGTCTGAGAGATGGTGTCTGAGTCGTCGGATCGGCGCAGGGCGCGGCGGAAACGTTCCCGAATGGCCATTGTGGTGTTGATGCTGGGTAGCGAAGTCGTAGTAGACAGGTGAAAAGAGTCGCAGGAGGCAGCGACGTTTATGTTTGTGATGTTTGTATAGAGAAGAGCGGCCGTGGTTGCAGATGCGGAGTGGGTATCACGATAAAAGCGAAAAAAGGCTGTGGATTGACTGCTCGTCAATCTTCGGGGTGACGCAGTCTATATAGAACCCGAAAGTTAAGGTATTCGCTTCGTTGCGGCAAAAGGTACTTCGGTGATAAAGGATTCAAGGTTTGTGTATATGGTTTGTAGTGCAGAGTTTGGCTGAACAAGCTTCGACGCCAGGCTTGACGAGAAAGAGCAGGCGCAGGCGCGGCAGCAGATCGTCGGACTATTAAAGGGGAGCGAGCGAAAACCGCTCACGGCTTCCATGGATCCATGGGCAAATCTGCGAACTGCTGCTAGTCAGGCAGTGCCACAAAGGTCCAACACAGATGCTCTTTACGGAGCGCCCAGTGGTGGCAACGGGCCTGTTTCTACTCTCCCCTCGCTGGGTTGCTCCGCGTCCCCAACGCTCGGCGCATTTAGCGGAGCAAACAGAAGGCAGCAGCCAAAGTCCAGGGGGGCCAAAGAGCTGGTTGCGGCCGGCGATTGGCTTAGCCAGCGGTAAATTGGACCCAAGCGACTCCAGAATCTCCAGGAATTTCTTCTGTAAGCTGTAATTCCCCAGCCCGGGGTTCCCGCAGTCCCCACTGATGAAGTCAGAATGGAGTGCAGGAGCCCGGAGAAGGACCAGACCTTGTTTGAAAATTGAGTGGGCTCTGTTTTCGACGGGGGGCGTTTAGGAGGGAGAATCAGGAGGTCGCTAAGGGCCGCCCACCCCCCTAAGCGGAATTTTTCTCAGCCTCAAGACCAACCATGGCGCTGAATCGACCGAATTGGGTCCCCAGCGTGCAAGCCCGGCGGCGATACTACAAGTGCTAGAAGCCTTCGCTGCTGGCAGTCAGTACGAAGGATTGCGGAGGCGCCGCTAACCCTCACGCCATTCGAGATTTTTCTAGATTTTAATTTCCTTGGCTGCTGCTCGGGACACCATCATCCCATCTGGAAGGGCTGCTAGAGCCAGAACCTTGGAACGCCACCCGCGATGCATGAGAATGGCAGGGGAGGGGGACAACACGAAGCAATATTGGCCACAGCGGCAGGCTCTGTATGCACGTTTAATTAAGCTGTGATTTTTTTTTTTTTCCTTTGCACTCCTCCTGATCTGCTTGCTTACTCCTGTCTTGCTTTTTTTTTCTTTTTTTGTCCCACGGGTACAGTAATAGTAATAGCGGAGACGGCGAGCGAGACATCGACTTGGTAAGCCGAGCGTGGGCATCCGGACTCGTCTATTCCACGCACAATCCCAGCATCTCTAAGCACTGGCCAAGCCACGCGGACGGGGTGGACACTCTTGTCGTGCGCGGGTTCCGTTTTCTCACGAGCTCGTGATTGCGCGCAGCGGTCGAAGAGACCCGATCCAGCCAGAGCCAGAGTCTTACTAAGTGCGGAGCATTGTGTGCAATTTGCCCTCGATTGGTTGCTTTTTCCCTCTTATTCCGAGGCTGTCTGTCTGAGGTGCCGGCATTATCGTTGAAACTTTGGTCCAACATTCCCGCTCGATGTGGCGTTTGATGCGACAGCGACTGCCGGCATAGATGTGCAAAATCTCTCCGTCCGCGGTGCTTGACTTGTATTTGCACACATTATTCAAACCCCATTCCGAATCGCCGAGGAAACTCATGTAGGAGACCCGCACTGACTCGCTGCGTCGCACGTCCACGTTAGCGCCCTGGTGTTGAATAGTGAATAGCAGAATAGGCAGATGGTTTTGTCAAGGCCTTCATGTGGGATTCGCAAACGGACAGGGATGTCTGTCAGTTGTCGATGCGCGATGGCGACGGGCCTCGCTTTCGATCGGTCACGGATCTGTGCTCCTTGCATAAGGGTGGCATCTTGCTTACATGTGTGTTACTGCCACTACATGTAGTAATACCATTACCATCTTACAATGTGCTATTAATTGCTACTAGTATTACTACTGCTACCATAATTGATAATATTACTAGTAGTAGTAAGATACTTAGAGATTCAACGGCCTCGGCGCGACCGCATCAACTTGCAATTTCTCCTTCTTGATGCGCCGGCACATTATCCAATTGTAGCAGTAAACCTGGCAGCACGGATTATCTAAGCTCTGACCCAATCCCGAACCGTGTGGCCAAACGTGTCGGTGATCTGCTACCACTGGAAAAAAGCCGTCCAAGGCTTCAGCCATACTGTACTAGTAGTGTCTTCGATTTCGGGTCTTCAGCGGCTGTGGCGGTTTTCCGTCTGTGCCACCATCTTCATGTACCGCCCAACACGCCCTCCTGTTCGGTAGTGCCGTTCCCGCAAAGCGCCGGCGATACAACGTTGATCTGCTCGTCGTCTCCGATGCGGGCGCCTCTTTTTTTCTTCTAGGCCTTCAGCCACAGTACGGGATAATGCAGAGGGCAGCCCTACAGAAAATACTAGTCCTTTGCCCCCTTGATTATTTACCTGTAGGTTGAGAAATTGTTGAGGGAGGCGAACTAAGAGGCAGGTTCCCGTGCACGTGCATCTATTCCCAGCCTACATGTACCGTTCAAGACAAAAATCTTTGTGTGAGCGTTTGTCTGGCCGCACTGAGACCCAACGCTAATAAGAGAAAGAAGAGGAGTGAAGAATGATTGGAAAAATCACACACAATGGGTGGAACTGAAACAGCGGTGCCAGCGCTACGTTACCTGTTCCTAGAGCTCCATCGTTTGAATCTTTGTTACGGTCCGTCCATCCGGACTGACATATGCGAACAGAAGGTCTTGGGAATGCTGGAGCGCTGGATGCGACCTAGCCTGTCAGATTTCTGTAATCTACGCTTCTAGACCGAGACTCCACAATTAACAACCTGACAATAAGGGAGACTGGTCTAAGACGGCATGTTTTCAGGAAGCTTTGACATTCCTGCGGGTTGTATTAATAGAAAATTTTTCTTCAAATGAGTTTTAGCCTACTAGTAGATTGTAGATCTTCGGTGAATTGCCATCTACTAGCATGCTTATATAGGCTTCGATGTCAGTCAGCGTTCAGTTACATGCCCGTCCTGTGCTAACCGGGATTCATCCATGGTTGTTTTGGTAAAACTGCCTTCTTTTACACTGCATGCAATGAAAAGTCCAAACTGTTCATATCCTGACAGAAGAATTTAAAATTTTCATTAGGTGTTATCATGCTAAAGGGCTAATGAGAGAGTTGACGTGTGGGAGTGATGCTCTAGCCGTGCGTCCGTGAGACAATCTATGAGGGCCTATAACAATCAAGACGCGGTATGGCTTAAGAAAGCTAGGCGTCTTCATGCTTGTCTGCTCAAGAATGGCCAAGATGCTGCACGTTAAGCCAAAATGCAAGCAGATCTTCTTCGGGAAGGGTGGAGAGCTACTCGGTCAGTGCTAAGTACACCCAATATGTATTTTCATAAATCATGCTGTGAGACCTGGCCATTGATGATAAAAAAAAATCTATTTGTAGATTTACTTTTATTAAAACAATAGCAGATGTCTCAAATTGGAAGTGTAAATGAAGCTTGGTGATGATCAGCAGATGCTCCAAGTCGCTTGGCAGGCCCGTGGTAGAGACATTTCATCAGCATATAGGTACTAGTAGTTGTCCCTCAAAAATCTCCGAGATAAATGCTTTGCTCTGGGCCAAGTTTTGCTAGCTATTCTGCTAGCATTTCGACACATACATACAGCGTAATAGCCCCGTCATCTTCATGTTCGTGGTGGGGCTATCTATGAATCTATTTGGCGACTCAGCTCCTGGCCAGTGACGTGAGTGCCCCTCCAGCGCTTTTTTTTAGCACTCACCGTGCCTGAGCATCAGCGCCTGCGTCAGTGCCCAGGCGCCCTGATTGGCTGCGGCCCACATGACGCATCACGATGCCCACCGAGCTGCTGCCAGAGCTCGTGATGCAGTCTAGTCTGACATGACAATTGAAGGCTCCCTCACCAACGACGACTGCCGTATATGCTGTGTGCCTCGCTATTATTGACACCTGCATCTGTACCACCGCTGCCTCGATCGGCCATCTTTAAATCGCTAACAGTAGCACCAGGTATGCGATCGCGTGGTCAAATCCTCAGCTCCGCCACATGATTTGTCTGATTTGAGCAAAGCGCCTGATTTGTTCGAGCTCCTCCTAGCCATCCATCTGTGAACCCGGCTGCACGGCTGCCGTCTCCAACTCGATTGATACCCAGCACGAAGCCTCTAGGGCTGTCCCAGCATCGCACCGCCGCAGCCGGCCATGGCCCTCTCGTGAAGCTATCGCCAGCATCCGTCGCCTTCATACCATCGCCATCGTCGCTCTGCTGTCGAAGCATCGCATGCTTCTCCGCTGAATCAACGAAGCTAAACGCATCCACATCGCAGGGGCGTGTCAACGCGCCTGCTCCACCCCCATCATGACGGCATCACCCCCCCACGGCGCTGATCAAGGCGAGACGCCTAATCACCAGCAACACGGCGGCGCTTCAAGCGCGAGCGCGTCGCAAACTCCAGACACCAGCACCCCTCGCAACCGCTCCGTCGACGAGCCTCGAGAGCGCGAAACGACAAACGACGAGCAGTCGCCGCTGCTACCACCGGCCGACTACGATGCCTTTGGAGCTCGCTTGGGACGAGTCGATAGCCATGTCGACGACAGTCAAACCACCAAGAGCTTGTGGTATCTGACCGTCTTGACGATTGGAATCGGAGGTCTTCAAATCGCTTGGTCTGTTGAGCTCTCTAATGGCTCGCCATATTTACTGTCCCTGGGGCTGAGCAAGTCTCTCATGGCCTTGGTCTGGATAGCGGGACCTCTTACCGGCACTTTGGTGCAGCCCTATGTTGGCATGTTGAGTGACAATTGCCGCCTGTCATGGGGTAAACGAAAACCGTTCATGCTTGGCGGCGCTGCTGCCACCATCATCTCGCTCCTCTTCTTAGCCTGGACCAAGGAAATTGTCGGTGGTGTACTGGGCGTCTTTGGAGCAGATCCCCAGTCCCATGGCGTCAAAGTCACCATCATTGTGGTGGCGGTGATTGGGGTATATCTTCTCGATTTTGCCATCAATACAGTCCAAGCTGCTCTCCGAACATTCATTGTCGACTGCGGACCCGCTCACCAGCAGGAGGCCGCAAACTCCATGGCCAGCCGAATGACTGGTATTGGAAATATCATTGGTTACATTGCGGGATACGTCAACTTGACGACGTCCTTTTGGTTCTTGGGCGACACTCAATTTAAAATCCTCTGCGCGGTTGCGAGCATTGCTCTGGGCGCTACGGTAATTCTGAGCGCCGCCCTGATCAAAGAACGAGATCCCCGATTGGACGGGCCTCCGAAAAAGAAGCAAAGCATCTTTGTCTTCTTCTTTACGCTATTCAAGTCCATCAAGAGGATGCCACCCCAGATCAAGCGGGTATGCCAGGTCCAGTTCTTTGGCTGGGTGGGCTTCTTTCCCCTCTTGTTTTATACATCTTCGTACATTGGCGAGATCTACGTTCAGCCCTTCCTCGAGGAGAACCCTCACATGTCTCCTGAAGAGATTGACAAGCTGTACGAGCACGCGACCCGAATTGGCTCATTTGCTCTCCTCATAAACTCGATCGTTAGCTTGCTGATAAATGTCTTTCTCCCGTTTTTCGTTGCGCCGACTTATGACAACCATCCCGTGTTGGATGATTCCGAGTCTGGCACCAAGAAGTCGTTGTTGGATAGCTTGAGGATACCTGGTCTTACCCTTAGGCGGGCTTGGTTTGGGTCCCTCATCCTCTTCGCCATCGTCATGGTTTGCACAGTATTTGTGAGGTCCGTTAACGCGGCTACCGTCTTGATTGGAATCGCTGGCATTACGTGGGCCATCACTTTGTGGGCACCATTCGCTATTATCAGTGCCGAGATCAGTCGACGCGATGCCCTCGCTCGAGCCCAACGCCGTCATCACCGAATTGACAATCATGATTCGCCTTCAACACTCCCTGCCCCTATTCCCGCCACCGACAATACATCTCCAATGGAGCTAACAGAGACGCCAAAGGAAGAAGTTGACCAAGCGGGTGTCATTATGGGCATCCATAATATGTCTGTTTCTGCTCCACAAATCATAGCCAACGTAGGATCAAGCTTGATCTTCAGAATCTGGCAAAAGCCGAGAGGAACCCCGGGTGACCACAGCATCGGTATTGTCTTGGCTCTTGGAGGTGTCTTTGCCCTTGTCGCTGCCTTTTTTGTGTTGAGGATCAAAGACGACGTGTCTCGCCCGCCGGAGACCTTGGCTGATGAAGAGCACGGTGTTGACGATCAAGATGACGATGAGTCTTCTCCCAATGGAGACCTTTCTACGCGCACTAAACCCGGCTACTCTGCGGTGCCGACAGCAGATTCTGAGGCTCCGAGGTTAGTGAGAAACCGAAGTTTCGGGGGCTTAGAAGTGGCTTCTGGTCCTGATTACTGATATATATATGCAGAGAAGTTGAAGCTTCTTGACGAAGCGTGTTAGATTCTTTACGGTGAGCCGCTAGTATAGCGTGTAGACATAGATAGCCGGATGGTATATACGTGATGGTAGAATTTGCTAGAGAATGTTGGACAGGACTTGTATAATTTGAGTCGGCCAAGTGGCAGCTATGCGTACTTGATGCACTGGATTTCATCATTCTATAATTTTCACCTATACAGTCAATCTTGAGCCGAACTGAAAGCTGCGAAGCCCATTTCCTCAGCCCACCTGTGTCTGCCATCTATAGCTATTCCGTCATCAACGAGTAATTTGAATCCTACCACCCACAATATAGCATCTCCAGCTTTCCCATATTCTTCCCATCAGTCCAATCCAGCATCATCCATACTGGACACCTTTCCAGAGTACCAGATTCTCGTCATTCGTACCCCCCCTTTTCCCTTTTCAAGCCGCCGTTCTCCTCGATTTTCCAAGCTTGCAGCTTCCCAATGTCGTCCGCACCTCTCCCGGCGACGGGCCCGACATGTGCCATGTGCTAATGCCGGCCCAGAAATGGCAGAAGGACGTGCCGTTGACGCAGTACGTGATGTCGCAATGGATGGACGACGTGGCGATCGGGGCGGCGGTAGTAGAGATGGTCGTGTTGAGAGTGATGGGCAAGGTGGATGTCGCAGGGACAGTGGCTGGCAACGACGGAGCGGGACTGGTGGCCCAGGTGGTGGAGAGGAGGAGAGAGGTGGAGAGGATGGACTTGAGGGAAGGCATCTTGGTTTATATATAAGTAGGAATTCTGCTTGTCTTTTTTTTTTCTTTGTGTTGCTGTTGTTGTTGTTGTTGTTGTTGTTGTTGTTGTTGTTGTTGTTGTGAGTGCGTTGTTGTCGTTGTTGTTGTTTGATCGGTTTGCGCAAGCTGTAGTGCTGGTTTATATAAGAATTTGCTTTCTTCTGTGGTACAATGTCACAATGTTGTTGTTTGTAGAACAGCAGCTGGTTGAACTTGCCCTAGGTAGGTATGCCAAGAAGACAAAGTTTGTGAGGCGGATCAAGTGATTGCTTGGTGCCTTGTTGTGGCAGGAAAGCTGCATGTGTACATTACACAATGTTGGAAGGTGCCTGCCCCCCCCGAACGTTTATAGAATCGGGCAAGGCACAAGACACGTCATGGCCTCGTTTATGTGCTTTAATGACGATGATGTACGCCGAAGCGGTGTGGGAAATGCATGATTTGATGATTCACGAATTCAAGCCCAGGCAACTGCCAGCGCACATGACATTTTTGTTGAAATCCGAGAAAGAGGTCTGTTTCAAACATGTACTCGAGTCCCGCTGCATGGTCTTGCTGATTTGCTCTCAGATATTTCCCCTTCTTCCTCTCACTACGCAATCAAAGAGATTTCAGCAATCTGCTACTCACCAGCCTTCATCCCAGCCAACACCCATAGCGCAAGCATGCTCACAACCCCCAGCAGCCACGACAGCGTCCTTAGCACCGACAGCCTCCCGTCCGCACACAACACGACGTACACAAAGATGTACAGCGCCCGCGACAAGACATACTCCATCGTCAGCAGGTTGAGTGTGTAGACGTCCACGCCTGCGCAGTTGGCCGCCGCCACGGCCCCGGCGAACATGCCCAGCGATTCGAAGCCGTTTTCCATGGCGCTGAGGGCTCGGGTGATGCGTTGCTGGCGCTGTTTCAAGGGAGAGTATCTAGTCAGTTTTGTATTTTTACATCGAGTACACGTATATACATGGACTTGAAGTTGGTTGGTAAAAGAGAGAGAGACAAAAAGGTATGCCTACAGCCTTGTCCATCGTGTCATCTTTGAGAACAGCCGCCTGCGTATGTCGCGGATTGGTTTCGTCGAAATTCTTGCCGGCCAGAGTATGGCCATACGCGGCGGGCAGCCAGCATAAAGTAAAGGCGATTGGAACCTGAGTGCAACATCAAATTCTTAGTCGCCATCTGTTGACCTTTTTTTTTTTTTTATGTTGTGCAAGAGACAAATAAGATGATGTGCTCAAAACCCCCCCTCGTACCGTGTAGAATGAGTAGTTTATGGAAAGATCCACCATTGTGAACATGGTACTACTCATATCGACATATGAACTAGTAGGCAATGTTTGCAAAAGCCAGTTGTACATTTACTGATGAGAGGCTTCGATGCCAGCTAAAAGGGCCTTGTTGCGATAACTCGAGCAGTTGAAGAATGACGATTGCGTATGTCTCATGTCTCACTGAGAAGAATAAGACTGCCCTGCCTCGGTGTCGAAAAGAGGCATGATTGGCCCATATAAATGGCAACTCAGCTTTGTAACGGTACGTGCATTTACTCCGAAAAATCCCACCTACCAGATAAAAAGTCCCTCAAACCAGCGCAACCTGCGAATATGGAATTTTTTTTTACTCTTAATTGTCCTTGGGAAAATGCAGCAGCTTCCGAAAGAACGTTTCTTGATTCTGAGCAGAGCTTGCAGGGCACTAACAAAAAGCCGCTGTGATAATGACCAGATCGATACCTTCTACCAATTATTGATTTGGGCATTTTGCAGCTCCAAGGTGGCTTGTGCATTCGACATCAAGGACGTGGCATTAAGCTCCCGAATCGATTTGGTTCATCTACACATATCTACCTATATAAAACGCCGGGCTAACATCACATCAAACTATTTACAGTCAAGATAGCCTAGCTAGGCTCGGCCCGCCTTAGTCACGCTAGGTTAGGTTCAGATCAATCGTAATTGAGCGAGGACGCTTATTATTCAACATCAATCACAATAATCCATGTTATTTGTTTGTAATCTCACGTATTACGATATGGTTGCAAAAGGATGGATATGAATTGCTCTCGCTATAGAGCCATCTATATATACACAAGTGTCATGTATAAGAAGAAGAAGAAGAAGTAAAATCTCAAAAGGTAAAAAGAAGAAAAAGAGACATATATAGATATGCATGTATATACACTCATAAAGCGTCATACCCATTATCCCGCCGACAGATTTCTCCATCGGCGTCTCAGCTAGCCGCATCGAATATTCCCCATAATCACATCTCATCGGCTCTCGAGTCTAAGCCCTGAACTTGAGAGATCTCCGTGGGCCAGTAGCCCTGACAGCAACGTTGGAAGTAGCGTTGGAAGCTTGATCATATACTTTGATGGAGTTGACGCTCCAGAAAGCATCCACAAAAGCCAAAGGGTTGTTAGCGACGTACTCCTGGCACGTACTGGCCAAGGCGGAGCATTCGGCGTTGGAGTTCCAGACATTGGCATTGCCAGCCCAGTCGCCGCAAAAGGTAGTGTCAAAGACAAGCTGGTTGTTCTGGAAGTGGTCGTCAATGCTGCTACCGTCGGCAGGATTAAACTGGGCCAGAGGAGTGCCCCATCCGCTAGGATTGGGGTTCTCGGAACTGATATCAGAGGGAATTCCAGTTCGGGGGAAGAACCAGACGGCAATGTGGTCGGAAGTCCACTCAGTAGCGTAAACGCCGCCATTGATGGCATTGAATCCATCTCCGTAATTCTGATTGTCCGATGTAGTCTGACTACATCCATTGTTGCCCTCGCAGTCGCTGCCGAGCAGCTGAGTGCCCGAGTTGGACCCATCGTTGCTGACAGAGAAGCCAGCAGAAGTGTGCAGGGTGATGGAATCAGACGTCTGGGTGTTGACGCCTTCGATGATGTCTATCTCGCCCGAGCTTGGCCAGTTGGGGCCAACCATCCAGAAGGCGGGCCAGGCTCCGCAGACGCTGCCTGGCATGTGAGCAATATCGGCGATGAAGAGGCCGTGGTTGAAAGATTGCTGCGATGTCACGCGGACTGACTTGCGGCCGTTGGCCGGGTTTGTTTCCGTCGAATCGACGCCCATGATGACCGATCCCGTCAAGGTTGAAGTAAGGTTGAGGGAGTTGGCAGTGTTGGCATCGACATATTCAACAAATCCATTAGTCGGGTCGTGGTCAGTGAAAAAGTCGAAGCTAGAAAAGAAGTTGCTGACGTCGTACGTCACGCTCAAGCTGTAACCCTGGGCGGTGGCTCTGGTGGCGAGGAGCGCGCCGAGAGACAAGGTGATACCCGTAGAAGTATACATGGTGATGGTTGATCTGCAAAAGCCCGCAAAAGTATATTCGTTCAAGTATCCAAGAAGAATGTATTGGTCGTGTGTGAGCCGGCCACAAGGATAAAGAAGGTAGAAGCTGCGTCAAGCAATGCTCGTGATGGTCAAGGAATGAATAAGAGTTGGCAAAGATCCAATAACCACCAAGGTTAGAGCAAAAGGATCGTATATAGCAATTGAACTGATATCAGATTGCACAAGAGGCAAGAGGTAGCAGCTTCTGTATAAAGAGCGAGTGTTTGGGGCCGGGCTGAGGTATCAATAGCGGAGCTTATTGATCTGTTGTGAATAACGGGCGAACACGGATCGCTTAATTCCGCCACTTAAAGAAAGACTATTCGACACTCTGTTTGCAACACTGAACCGCCGAAAGGATTGAACGGCAAAGAACAATAGTCGTGTGAGTGGAAGGGATGGGCTGAAAGAGGCCAAAGCGCGCTGCTTGTAACGAGGCTGCAGGAAACCAAGGCAGTATCACGAGGGGGGCACATGGCCATCTAAATACAAAAACTCCCGTGTCTCTGGTTTTCTTCTTCCTGTTCCAATGGACGGGGTCCAACGGCAATGAGCGAGAGACATGCCAGACCCCCCAAGTCTCATACATGGTGTGGATCACCCAGAGAGCCTTTGCACAGGTACCATTTCTGTGACAGCCGCTGCCGATAGTACCTCGTCTCGACTCGACGTCCAGAATCCAAGGGACAGAGTGCCATGCGAGCACCAGACTCTCGCGTGTGGTTGACTCGACGGTCAAATTGTGAGACGGCCAGTGTCAGCACACGACGGCCAATGAACGCCGGCGACAGGGGGGTCGTACGGGCTGCTCGCGCCTAAAGTTGGCGCGGCTCGGCGAGCCACGGAGCTTCTGAGCCCCTGATCAGCGTATGCGTAGGCCCTGAGTGGCTAGCTGAGGACGGGCGAGATGAGACGATGCGCCGTCTAAGTTCGGACCGTCTGGCCGTGGCCGTCGAGGCTAGAGGAACACGCTTCTGTTTCACTGGCGATCGTTGCCGGTCTGGCTCTCGCTCTGCTGCCGGTGAGAGGAGCCGTGTTAGAGACTATACTGAACGGAGCATGGAAAAGTCAGATTTCGCTCTTTGCTGGGATGAAGAGTTGCGTTGGAGGATAGAGAACTGACAATGGCTTATTAAGAGGTTGCATTCTGCACGTGAACTCATACAATGGGCAAGAGTTGACGAATCGTACCTTCCTTCTAAGAGATAGATGCGCCCATCATTGTCTTTATAGGGAGGTCCCAGCAATAAGGAAGGGCCCCAGCAGCGCAGATCAGCTGCAATTGCAGAGTGAACGCCTAAATTATAGCGCATCGAGCCTTTGTCTCCATTATCGTGACATTTCACCACCAGACCAGAAGCGTTGGGCAATACCAGAGACTCGGAGAAACCTGCCTCTAAAATTGACTTTGCAAAATATTTTTCTCACATCTTCACAATATGGCGTGCCAAGCTTTTGACCCTGGTCTCATCCGTCTGGTTCCTGCGCTTGCAGTTAGTCTCCCCTTGCATTTGCTCGGAATTAACGAGTATGCTTATTATTCACGATCCCTCACAGGCAATCTAACAGCTTAGCCGCGCTGCCAAGCATTTCAGCTACATGGCCATTCTGACTTGCCTAATAGGTACACTTCATCAAAGTGACACAGACATGCTGATGTTATTAGACGGTGGTTTTTTTTTTTTTTTTACTTGCTATATCAGCAAAGAAAAGTCCAAATCTTTTTTCCTCAACATGGCGCTTATTTCAAACTTCTTTTTTGCGGCCGCAAGCGAGAGAGCATGGGTGGAAAGGATGCAGCATCCCGAATTATTTCGCCGCCGCCGAAAGGCAAAAAGATGGTAGATGCAGAAGTAGCAAACTCAATGCACACAATATCGCAACCCCGAAACTTTCGTAAGCAAAAACTCCAATCAATTGAAACAACGGTGCCACACCTTCCAAAACAAAGAAGAAAACGTGTCTGGTAATCCAAATTAGGCGAGCACAGGGTCTCCTCCCTAGGTCCCCTTTGCGATCTTCAGGGCAACTTTCCGCAAGTAAAACTTCTCTCCACTTTACCATTTATATGCCATTCAACAGCAGCGAGATACCGCCGGATCGGCACGTCTGGATTGATTGCCAATTCGGGCCTACAACAGTTTGCAATGCCGTTTTTCTGTTTCAAGCAAATGGCCTAATGTGTACTATCGATCGTTTGCCTTGTCCGGCCGAGGAGAATCTAGAGTCGGGTACAACCATGTATAGAAGAATGAAGATGAGCTCAAGTATATAAGTAGCACCTGGGGAGCCGCTCAACATCGTTGAAGCCTCAGTCTAACTAACAATATACCTAGATTTGGCATGCCTTTGGACAATCCTGGATCACATGTATCTACATTTGTTCTCTGGTTGACAAAGTCATGAAATCCAGCCGCCTTCAAATGCTCTTCAAGCCTCGAGCCACTCCAGTTCCCCCAGTTCCCCCATCTTTCTACAGACTGCTATCTGAAATGCCATCACGTCCTGCCGCCGTTTTCACTGCAGATCATATTCCCTCGCAGCTATTCTATATTCATCACCCCCCTTGTCTCCATCGCTTATCTACTCCACGACTCGCCTCGAGAGCCATAAACGGGGCTCTTCCTTGACATGGCTCCGCCGGGGATCAGCAATCACTTCTGCACGGATGCGCGGTACAGAGCCCTCATCTCGTACCATCAATTCTGGACGTAGATCTAACGGCTTGGTGATCTTTTTCCTTTTCTACATAAGATATATTTACTATTCTAATAGTGTAGGTATCACCAATTAAGTGGCTGACCAAAAAAGTGGAAGAAAGAGAAGAAGAAGAAAAGTGTCCAAAAAATACAAAAAGCGTTTCTATGAATTATCTCTTTGGAGTATATACCCAGTCATAAAATACGGGCGGCCAGTTTTGAATGCCGCCCCAAGATTTTCTTTTTTTAAAAAAAAAATTTTTAAAGAAAAAATTTCACCAAAAATGTTACAAGTGCCCAACGCCAGGCGACAGCCACGCAATGGGCACCCTATGCATCGTGAGCCTTTGCCTTTCCCAAATCTCTTCTTTCCTTTTGGATAATCCCCCTCCGTTTGTTTGTTTATACCTCCATACCCCCATGTTTGTTTGACTTTGAGAAGCGAGTGTTTCGCCTCTCTTCCGCTCCATATTGACATCTCGCTTTCCCGGCAAAGCTGCCATCAGCCGCTGAACTTGTGGCCCCATTGTGAAGAAAATTGCAAGCCGCGTCGGTCCGCTGCAAGCCTCAGCCGTTTGGTGTAGATGTAGTTGTAGTTCGTCATCTCATCAGAAAGTAGCGCCCCCTCCCCAACCATCGTAAATTATAATCGTCCAACCGTGAAGAAAAAAAAAAAAAGGTCAACATGTTGATGCGTTGATACAGTCAAGAAAGAAATATGTAAGATCAGCATCTATGCAACAAGCAAAATCAAAGAAGAAGAAGAAGCAAATGATTTCTCAGAATGCTCTGTGCTAAATAAAATGGAGCCGGCAACGAGTACGTTGTCTAATTCTTGGTTTGTGAAATGGGAGGTTGTGCCGGCACAATATGGATATGGAGAAGCCAAGTCAAACTGCTCGCTCCGCGCTGGTGACGCAATATGAAGCAAAAGATTATAACTTGACTCGCTGGCCAGTAAGCTTGAACCAAATGAGGGCCACAATCTCCTCCTTGAAGAGTTCCCAAGGGTTTCGGTTGAGCCAGTAGCTGAACTCTCGGTAGTGATACATCTCACCCCAACAATCGCGTCCCCATTCGCAGCCAGCCATATTGACTACAAAGTCGCGATCATTTTCATTGTAGTGTATCCTGGTGTTGTTCAAGCCAGAGTCGTCCGCGCACGCAGCAGGGGGGAAACTGTTGATCATGCGCTGCGGTAAGAAGCCAGTGTGTTGTCGAATCCAAGGCTGCGTTCGATACAGCTGCTCAAGGGCGTCTTGTTCCTTGTGCTCCCATTCCATGTGCTTCTGCTCATACAAGACTGGGTCCCACCAAATATCCAAAAGTTGTTCGGTCCAGTCGCTGCGTCTGACGAAGAAAGAGCCGAGATTGAATCCTGAGCAGTCCTGAGAGAGCAAGAAGTTGACAGAGTTGATTTTTCCATCGCCGACAGGGCTTCGCGCATCTGCGTCCAGATACAGGTCGGTGGGAGGGTGGCTGACGTTGAGAGGGTTGAAGTCGTTGATGTCACGGTATACATGGCGATCGAGGTGGTTGAACAGATGGTGTTGCAGCGAGTATCCGGGCTCCATAACGTAAGTGTTGAGGTCGAGCCACCAGAACCTATCGTCTTTTGTTTAGTCTTGGTCAAAGGTCGTCAAAAGGATTTGTCGTCTCACCATTCAGCCTTGGGGTATTTCCGCATCGTATTCCGCAAAAAGTCCACCTTTTCCCAGCTCTCTCGCCATTCGTGCGCATATCGCTTCTTGGTCTTCATGTCGACGATTTCCAAATCGTAGCCCCACCTAGTGGCATATTTCCGCTTGTTGCGTACGCTGTCTCGCTCAATGGCCCATTCTCGAGCGCCCTTCCACTCCATGACACCTCCACCGACATTGGCGGCCAGAATGATGACGAACTTTTCGCCATTTCCTCCCATGCTAGATCGTCGCCACCAATGAACGAACCCGGGGGCCTCGTCTGTCCTCCAGTTAGCCAAGCCGAACCCTCCCAAAAAAAAATGCCAAATTAAATGCCAAATTAAGCTGGATGTCATCGTTCCACTTACGAGTGCCGTAGTAGATGGCAATGGTGCAGAATATTATCAGCGGAAGGAGGATCCTCCACTTCAGTCTTCTGTTGACGCGGGCAAAGAACGAGCGTATCCTCCCACCAGAGGCTGCGTTGTATCCCTCGCGTTCGTACTTCTCTCGCTCAGCATGGGTATTGCCAAGGCCAGAGTTGAATCGTGGCAGGCTGCTGGATATGCGACGCATGTGGCGAGTGAAGAAGCCCTGGTTCTGCGTCGAGAAGGACGGGTAGCCGTTGGCACCGTGCTTCCTCATCTTGGCGGATTCCCACGACACGGAGCTGCCACCAGCATTGGCAGGACTCGTCGTGCCGCTGTTCATATTCAGGCCAGGACTCGACCACCCACCACCCGGCACAGGTGATGGGCTCCGGGAGAGAGACATTGGATCAGCCGGGGTGCCTATGGACGCGGGCCAGGAGACACAGAGGTTAGCCAGCGAGTAACTCGAGGTTTGCGCAACACAAGATGATGCAGGGCAGACGGCACCCAAGCGGCCGCGGGAAGGGCTGCAAGGAAGAGGCGGGAGAAGAGACGAAGCGAAACGTACCAACGATAGGGGACAGCTGGGACTGATTGGCAGCACGAGGATGGATGGACAGCAGATTGCCCGAGCGCACCTCGCTTAGGGTGTGGTGTCCCGCCGAAGAGCGCCGTCGGTGATGTGACGGCACAGGCCGGTCGTTGAAGGAGCTCGAGGAGCCGGCCGGGTGCCTTTGGGAAGCCAGGGTGAATAGCTGTGATCCGAACTGCGGGAAGAAGGTCAAGAGTCGACAGGTGTCGAAATAGGAATCGGCGTGGCAGCAGAAGCGGATGCGTTGGCGGCGTCGTGTGGGCTTCCAGATACGGAGCCACGCTAGGAAGAGCAATGGGAAAAAAAAATGCAAGCAGCTCAATGCAGAGCCAAAAAATGAGAGACAGGACACAGCCAGAAGGGGGGGGGCTAATGCGCCGTTTCTGACCGCACAAGCAAAGATCGTGAGAAGAGCCCCCAAAAAGCAGAGGCACGGAACCAAGCCGAACCCACAACCACAATGGGCAGATGCAACAGACCAACGGCCACGGACTGCAACACAGGCGCTAGCTGGGCAGATTCAGCGTTCTGGACAGATGTCGGGTTGAGATATGGGATGGGAATATGGGATGGGATGGGGGTCGAGAAAAAAAAGAGGCGGTTTATTGGCAGATGGCGGGCTGGTCCAGATACATGCTAAGGGTCCCCGTAGGGCCAGGTCGAGTACTTGTAGCCGGTACGCAGGGACCGCTGCGCGCCAAGTACCTCGCCGTGCCCCTGGACTCGCAACTGCGGTTGACTTGCGGCGCTCGCGGGCTTGGCTGAAAACGATGGGGGCACAGCCAGCGGGCTACAGCGGTGGCAGCAGACTGGCGGTACTTGGCGCGCGCTGTACTGGGTACGGCCAAGTGCTAGGATGGTGCTGCACACTGCGCCGGCGGCGTGGTTGCTGACGATGCTCGATACGGCCAAGTGCGTACCGGTGACTTGACAGGTACCGCTCATTCGTGCAGCGGCAGCGGGCGCCAGTAAGGCTGCCACATGGTACTCTAGATGTATTCCAAAACTCTATAACACCTGCCAGCGCGGACGAATAGGGGAGATGGCCGCAGTGGCCTTTGATACGAAGTCCAGATACGAGAACAAGCAATATTTGAGATTGATTGAGGGTCTTTGGATGATTATCGGAGATACCTACGGAGCACGGTTGCTTCGATCTCACTTTTTTTTTTCCCTCGCCTACATGGATGAGCAAAACGTTAACGTTACGGTGTTTTTTTTTTCTCGGCCCTTGTTCTGGGCTTAGATGTAGATGACACGGTGCCGGAAACTGGCGAATCGAGATCCTCTTTTGCTGGTAAAAAGGGGGCCGCACGATTTGGTCAGAATTTCTCGTATCTGCGTTGGCGATGGAACGGTGGCATAGGCCGCGATGCTTAGCAGCCTATAATTAACACGCTGATTAACCAAAGCGGGCAAGATTATGCACCATGCGAGTTTGCGCAGCCAGGTAGCAGTATTTTGTGCTTTGACCACCATGGGAGAGGAAGGATTCCCTTCTGTATATCAGTTTCGTCTCGCGTCATGGGGCACAAGACCCGTCTCAGGTACGACGGTTACGGGAAGGACAGCCGATAAGGCAACGGGCACCGACCGAGCAGAGAACAAGAAGCAATCACAAATCAGATTAAATAACAGACGGCAGCACATGTCTGGAGCCCACTCAATCGCGTGTGTGACAGGAACACACAGAACCCGCTGCCCGTATTGCCATATGAGCCGTGGATGGAGCATGGAGCAAGTAGGTCCAGGTACCAATACTTGGCTCCAGCGCCCTGGCATTGCGCGATAAGGAGGATTCTTAGCCGCTACCGGGGCGTAAATTTTTAAGATTGATGAACCGTGGACTGGTTGATGCCAGCCAGCATATCCATCCATCATCTCATCAGCTTCAGGGGGCCTGCCGCGGGGCCAACCATTAACGAGTCCGGCGATGGAGTCCCTCAGCGGCTCGTTTCTTCGCGGCGAGATTTTCTCCGTCGTCCAGTCTCAATCAACCAATACGGCGCTGGCCTTCGTAACAACTTTGCACCTTGCCACAAGCGCAGGCCCAATCGCGTCTGGAGCTCTCGTATGCGGCTGAGCGCCCCGTGCTGGCGCTGGCCTCTAGAGACTTTGGCTCCTCCAATGCGCATCGGTTTCTTCATCTTCACCAGCGCTCCCAGCACCGCTACTCTGAACAGCCCCCCTGTAGCGCTATGCTTAGCCCAGGACCAACGCGTTGCGGAGGAGCGCCCATCGCCGAAGAGGTTAGACGGCAGAGAGTTGTGGTGAGCCTTGCCGGCGCTGCAAACTCGGAGCAGCCGCCACGATCCACCGCTTGGGGTTTAGCGGCACGGCGTTAAATTTGATGTCAAGCGATTGACACGCATTCACGAAGGCATGCCGCTGCGTCGAATAGAATACTGTAGTCGTCGAGCTCGTGCAGAGGCCAAGGCTTTGGGGAAAGTATCGTGGCCCGTATTTTGGGTAGTTGCAAAGTCAATTCGAGCCATGTTGCGTTTGTCTGCTTGCGTAGCTTGGCTGTGGCCGTTTTTCGATCTTGGTGATTGAGACAAAGGACGCTTGATAATGGCGGCGTTGTTTGCTAGGTGCCAAACTGCTCTTTCTACAACCTGCAACGCCGAAATAATGGCCCTAAAGTGCATCAGACTGTCAGCTTACAGGTCATCAATTATAATATCGGCGACTTGTGGTAATAGCGATGCCTGCGCCATCTGCGGCTCCTCGTTGCCGCTTTTGATGCTGCCGGATTAGTATGGATTGCACTAGTCGTGGAAGATGGCGTGCATGCAAACTGCACTCGACAAACTTCAATCCTTTCCAGAGGCGCACTTTAACTCAAGCATCGCAACCAAGGTTTACTGTCGTCATGGCATCTCAAGGGCGTCGGGAATCCCCCGCCTTTGCCAACCGTCTTCCCCAGGGGGAGCCGTCTGTAAATTTGACCGAAAGCCAATTTCTGGAGTCTCGTGGACGGCACTTCTCGGCTTGTTGGAGGTGCTCAATTCTCATGGTGCCTGGGTAGTGCATGGGTAATTTGGTGTTCTATCTCAAGCAATGACCAGACATTGCTGTGACAACAATTTATAACCATCATGAGATGTTTTGTATCCAGTGGTTTGACTGTTCGATGCTTTGGCTGCGAGGTTGAGGTTCTAGACATGGCATTGGCACACAGTGGCGTATGCGGGGGTTTCCAACGTGGCTGAGACGCGTATCAAACGTGTGTCTCCTTCGTCTTGACTTGCCAATTTCTGCCTGTCTCTAGGCTTGTTTTGGGCCATGACATCTCACGCAACATTGGCTGTGCAGTGCTTCTTGTTGTGTCATCAGTTAGTAGGTATTTGCGCGCCCAGATTTGGCCATGGCAGCATCTGGTTTCCTCGACACCGCAGCAATACCAAATTCTTCCATCAAGTAAAAATGATAAATACTAATTGTAATATTTGAGCTCTTCACGCCAAGCAGCGAGATGTATCAACTAGATGCAGCTTGGAGTATTCACTTATGAATCTAACTACATAGCTCTTGTATTTCCTCGTGCTGCTACTCTCTCTGCATTCTACCATCAGCACAGAACCTAGTAAATCGAATTCTCGGGCGCTTGTTTCATCAACATATGAGTAAAGTACATCTAGCAACCCTACTTTCTGGGCACATGCAGCTCTGTCGTTGCATCAATCATTCCATCTGTGGTGCATTTTCCCGGGTAGGCTTCCAGGCCTCTCATTACAGCATCTGCACCCCTGACGGTCCCACCGCGGGTGTTGCGCAGTGGCCAATCTTTAGCCGCCCAAGCGACCAATCAGCGACCCGGCGCCGTAGCGCCCAAGCCTACAGCCAAGCCCACAGCCAATCACGATGAGCATTCCCGCTCACACGGCGCCTATTTCATATTTGCAGACTGCACCTTCAACCATTCAGCTCAAACTTCCGACAAAAGAGCTCGGAAACGTGCCACCATGGAGTGCTTTGCCGCAAGGGAATCGAGACACAGCGACGAGGATGAAGCAGATGATGGATAGGCCATGCTCGAGACCGGGCCGAGAATCCAGAGTGGAGGCCTTTGCTGGCTGAAGCAGCAGCCCGCATATCCTCGCCTATTGTCGACCGATTGTTTTTCTTTATCAATAGAGTAGCCTTCACTTTGTATTGTTTCTGTTTCTACCTTTATTGTGAGCGGATGTGTTCGTGATTCATTGTTGGAATAGGCGTTGTTTCCTTTTTTCTTTCGCCTCACACCCTCCATCTTGCACTCTTTGTATATTCAATCCTTGTTCATTATTCATTCTTTGTCACCCGCATCTTGGACACCTTCATCATCGCGTGGCCTGGCGCTTTGTGATGACTGCGATTTGACTTATGTGCTACGATATCCCATCACCCGACGAAATAATTACGATACCCAAGCCATCACGATCACGAGTCCGACCTATATGCTGCTTTATACGACCTAAACATGTCTTTCAATCACGGCAAATACGCTGAGCCTCTGCATAGCAGCAGGCTCTCATCACAAACTCGCAAGTCCGCAGTGCCCCGGCATGCCTCCTATCTTTCATCAAGACGCCACACAGGGACAGACTGGGAAGACTGGGAGGATGACGACGTCGTCACATTAATAGACATTGGCGAGACCCCCGCTGGCGACCATTCGGACCACCAGAAACTCTTCGCAAGCAGCCCATTTTTAAATATAAACGCCGGAAGCTCGGCCATGACTACCCGCAGCCCATCTCCTCTGGAAAGCGACAGCCTCTCTATCAGCTCCAATGAAGACGTTTCCCCCATCGAAGACGATGTCCAGACTGGCCTCCAAGCCCCACCACCTACGCCGGCCTTGTTCCTCACCAAGGTGGCCAAACACCCAAGTGTCAAGGTATCCATGAGACGGTCGACAGCTAGAATGAGCCGGCCGGTGTCAAAGAGGCCTCCGAAACAGCGGAACGCAAAGCTTGGAATCACGCTCATCACGGACATGACAAAGCTGAGGCGGCAAAATCACTTGGCCAATCAAGCAAAGTCACCGGCAAGGCGAAACGCAAAGTTTGCCGATGCAGCTGCTCTAAGAGCCTTGGAGGGATCTCCTAACCCGCAGTCTGTTGGAAACTGGAACTGGCTGAGGAGAGGGAACAACGGGGATCGTGAGGCCGCATCTCCTTCTCCCCTTCGAGCCAACGAGGCCCGTTCTCCCGAACAGCTCTCCCCAGAAGCTAGACCGATAGTCATCGGCATTACTCTGCCTTCCGATGAGGTTGAAAGCCGAGGAATTGATCCGCTCACGGCGACGGTCAACAACATTGACACTCCGAGCGGGGATATGAGAAACCCATATCCTTTTAATTTCCAGACAACCAATGGCCGGGAAAATCCTCCCTCAATCCCTACCCAACTCAAATCAATGTGGTCGCCAGATACCCCTGATACCGCTAGCTCGTTTAGCACAATCAGATATCCGTCAAGCGTATACTCGCAGGCATCTATGGCGGCAATCATTGCGCCTGGATTGAGAGATGATGAAGTCCCCCCTGTTCCTGCTCTTCCTGCCGGTTACAAACAGACAACATCGACGATGCCACAGCGCCTCATCGGCACAGAACAACGTAAGAACAAGGATGAAGAAGATGACTCTGGGACACCTTGCACGCTTTTCGAAGAGGACGGAATCACTCCTTTGAAATCTCCCGCAAGTAAACTATCTGCGCGCACTCCTGATAGTGTGCGTGGCTGGTGGGATCACCATTTAGTTACCCCGTTTTTGGACATGAGAATGTCTTTTGCGAGCCGAAGAACGCATATGGAATCGCCTTTGGATCAGAGGGGGCATCAACTAGCCAGGGGTACAGACAACAAAGGAGAACAGAACTCTGCGCTGACTCCAAAGAGCCCTTGGAAAACCATCATTTCAAAGCCCGACACGAAACAGATTTCTCCGTCTGCAGAAAAAGATGAAGACCAAAGTTCTACAACTGTCAATATTGAAGGCGGCCGTGCCATCCTGGGGTTATCCATGCTGGAAAAGCAACGGGGCCTGTCTACATTTTCTCCTGATTCTGACATGTCGAGGGACGTTGAGGAGAAGAACTCAAAAAATACTTTTCAAGGCGTTTCCAAGGTAGAGGATGACAATATCATGATTGCCCTTGACACAAAGGAGAGGAGAACACAGTCTGACAAGTCCCGTGCTGTGAATGAGAGCTCAACACTCACGTCCCGGTCTGACAAACATCAGAACTCTTCCTCAAAATTTCATGAAATGATTTCCTCAGAGACATCAAAATCCAAAGAAGTACACACATACGAGTTTGTATCTACTGAGATCAGAGAGCGTCAAATAATGCCCACCGACTCTCAACCAAAACACGAACAGAAACGCAATCTTACGCCTCCGCCCAGACCTCAGCGGCAAGAAGTCCAGGCCCCAATCATCAAAGCACCAACACCTCGGCAGACTCCACCACCGAGAGAGGTTGGCATGCGGGAAGGCTCTGAGCGACCGATCGTGGTCCACATAGAGATCAACACTGGCGAGCAGCCGCAGAAGTTTGTGGTAGATCGTGTCGGGTTGAATTCTACGCCAGCTATAAAGATCCCTACGCCACGACGGACGCCGTCGCCTCGAGGAGATGTCCTCAAGGTTGGTGTAGCTGCTGAAGCTGCTCGAGGCGCTTTTGGACACCATGAAGCAGGTTCGCGAGAGATGGTGCAAGGTTTGGGGATAACCCATTTGAGGGCAGATACTCCGCCTTCGCCTTCATCTAAGAAGCAGGCTGAAGCTGCTATCAAGTACCAGGCTGTCTTCCCACCTGGCCATCATCTGCATACCCAGGCTCCCCAGACAGAAGCGTCTCGTAGTGTCACATCGGCACCGGCACCAGTTGCATCGGCGATGACAACTATACCTGCGGCTTACACTGCCCACACTGCAGCACATATCGCAGCACCTATCGCAGCGTCGACAACAGCTGCACCCACCACGTCGGTAGCAGCAGAGAGGGCAGCACCTGTTACTTTGCGGCTAGCTGGCCATGAGGCAGATGGAGCTACCGCGGTCTCTGCTGGCGCTGGCATACTGTCGTCACAGGTTTTGCATCGACTTGAACAGATCGAAAGATCTAGAAAAGAAGCAGGCAGTACTACACACGAAGCGTCGACCACAAATCGGTCTGGGGGTGTCTCTCTATCTACACGTAACGCTGAGGATACTTCTGCCAATGTGTCTCGATCTGTGGGAGTTCAGCTGCTAGCACATGAACGCGAGACACAAGCTTCTACCACAAATCCCACTTTGGAGCATCATAGCCGTTTTTCTGTATCGCCAACCTCGTCAAAATCACCTGATGCAGAGCGAAAGGCTCGAGTGGGCTCAGGACACGTGCGGGCGGCGAGCAACTTTGTGACGTCGGTTTTGAATCGGCAGCGCTCTCCAGTTGATCATCGCCGCGGCGAGACTCGCGCTATCCAGCCAGTTGAGATTGTGCTTGAGGAACGAAGAGCCCCTGAGGCGTTACCAGCGGCCCCGGAGAGAGCTTATCTAACAATAAAGGAGATTCCTTCTGGAAACAAGAACTGGATAAGGGTCGATTCTCCCTCCCTGGAGCATGGATTCACTGAGTCATCACCTGCGCACTCTGCTGAAGCGTCACATGGTGAGCGAAGATTGGGAAAAGATGGCAAAATTGAGCGGAAGAGACTACGGCACGAAAAGGAAGAAAAGATTGTAAAACGAGCCGGCGGTCTCTGGAGGGGCCGAGGTTGCGTGCCGAAAAAAGGCTGCTTTGGCCGCCTTGGACCAGAGGGCCGCAAGAAGAGAAGAATCTGGTGTTATATCATCGGATTCCTCCTGCTTCTCCTCATAATCTTGGCAATTGTTCTGGGTGTCGTCCTTTCCAAGCATCATGGATCAGGCGGCCAAAGCTCGAACCCAGCTCCGGGACAGGCCCAATCCCCCTCATCTCCGTCGACCCCATTAAAGCCTTCTCCGCTACCCTCATCCATATGGGTCAACCTCACTGATTATCCCGCCATGCCTACTGGCGTGTTGACCTTTGTCGGTCCGAACAACACCATTGCCAGGAGCGACTGCACCGGACCATCTACCTTGTGGAGCTGCTCCTTGCCCAAAGATTCCCAGGCGTCTGTGTCACCATTTAAGCCTAACCAGCCAACTATTATTTTCCAGATCCAGTGGGATAACAGCACAGACAAGGCGTGGAATATTCCCAACGGCGCTCCACCCACTCCCATTTCTAAGAGAGGCGAGAGCAACAGCAACTCTTCGATAGACGGATTCACCCCAGACCCGAGCCCCCCGACGTTTGACGAGATGTTTTTCCTGGGCGAAACCACGGATAACATTCAATCGAGCCAAAAGGCTGGAGAGCCAACTCCTTTTTTCATTAGTATTCTCGAGTCTCTAAATGATACGGTCAAGTCGCCATCTTTGAGCCGAAGGGTCACCGCTGCCTCGGATATTGTTAACATTTCGGATATCATCTTCCCACCAGACTTGAAAGCAGATGGCACTCCAGCGCCTGCTGTCATGCTTCCTACCCCAGTTCAACAACCGGTGCGGCTGTTCGACCGCGGCCTACCAACCGAGCACTATGGGTTTTACACGTACTTTCAACGAACAATCTTTCTCAAGTCTGTCACTGTTCTCGATAAGTCGAGTGAAGGAAACGTACCCGCAGATGAAAACGGGGGCTGCAGCGAAACAGAGGCCAACCACCTTGTGACCTGGGCTGAAACCCGTATGCTGGTGCAGATTTGGACACGAAAACTGAATAGCACAGGTTCACTGCTACCTTCAGATGGCGAGGGTATTGATAACTCGCCCCAGCTGATCCAACCGGGAACAATGCCATATCCTGTGACAGTAACGCTGGACACCCACGGCGGCGATCCTAACCACAAAGTGGTGTGGGAGTGGCCCATGGACGATCGCCAGAAGCTGAATACAAGCGCTCCTGAATTACTTGCCAACAATATGGCTGTGGGGGGAACTTGGATCAACCATCGTGGTAGCGGCAATGCCACATTTGGAGGCTTCGATGGAGGCACCGGAGGGTGCAAGTGCCAATGGGCGAATTGGTCGTGAAAGATGAAGGGAGCAGTAGACGAATGATGCTATGAGAGGGGAGTGGAGCATATGAAAGTACGAAGAAATGCTTCTTTCAAATAAATTTTCTTTTGTTCTTGGCTATATGCTACGGTATGACATGTATCAAAATGGATTGGATTGGATTGGATTGGATTGGGTATTAGGACACTGCATACTGTGCTGATATGCACATTAACTAGCGCTGTAGGCTTATGAAAGGCCTTTTGATTACTTGAGAAAAATAATATGTATCAAAAAAAAAAAAAAAGTTAAACCCTTTGTAACTGTATTTCAGACCTTCTTCAGCGCGTCGCTGTGAATGATTGTATTGACGTGGATGCAAAGGCCAGCGGCAGAGTGGAGCCCCGCCACTCCGGCATAGTGGGAGCGAAAAAGTTGATAATTCGAGTCTTGACATCAACTCAACTCGATGACTATTACACAACGAATAATGAATTGAGGAGCATTTTGTATTTTCTTTCATAAATACTGCTTTTTATTCACAGAGGACATTTACAACACACACATCTATATACATATCAAATAGGGCAGCTCCCAATGCTCTCGCCGCGATGTCCTCTCACCATCCGCCACTGCCTCATCTCCATCCGCACTCTCACAACCGGTAACATCAGCACATGCTCACACAAGACAAAGAACAGGCCCCTGACTACCCTCGCAATCGAGACGTCATGCGACGACACAGCCGTGGCGGTGCTGTCGAAATCGGCAAATGGCAAGACGTCGCTTCTGTTCAACGAGCGCATCTCGTCGGACAATCGAGCCTTCAAGGGCATCAACCCGATGATTACGGTGGAGGGGCATAATTCGACGTTGGCGTTGTTGGTGGAGAGGGCGTTGGGGAGTTTGCCTGATGAGGATGATGGAGAGAAGATGGCGAGCAAGAAGAAGAAGAAGAAGATTCCCGACTTTGTCTGCGCCACTCGCGGCCCTGGAATCATGCCGAATCTATCCGTTGGATTAAACGTCGCAAAGGGCCTCGCTCTGGCATGGCAAGCCCCCCTCGTCGGCGTCCATCACATGCAAGCACACGCCCTGACGCCGCGTCTCGTCCACGCCCTACAAGACACAAAGCACAAGGACCATGTCGAGAGCATCACGGCTTCAACTCCAAGCCCGTCCTTCCCCTTCCTCTCCCTCCTCGTCTCCGGCGGCCACACCCAACTCATCCTCTCGTCCAGCCTCACCGCCCACCAAATCCTCGCCACCACCGCCGACGTCGCCATCGGCAACCTCCTCGACCAGACCGCCCGCGTGATCCTCCCGCCTGCCATCCTGCGGTCCAGCCCAGACGTCAGTTACGGCCGCGTCATGGAGGCGTTTGCTTTTCCTCCCGGACAAGACACGGTTGCAGACTATGAAGCGTTTTTCAAGCCGGCGCTGTCGAGGCAGGAGGAGATTGAACATGTGGCCTCGGGGTATGGATGGGCGATTGCGCTGCCGTTTCGGAATTCGAGGAAGCTTGCGTATTCGTTTTCGAGTATCTATACGCAGGTTCACAGTATTGTTGCTGCTATTGAAGCCAGCCATGGTGCCAACAGCAATAGCAGCATCAACGACTCATCATCATCATCTTCCCCCGACGAAGACGTGGACAAAATCTCGCTCGACCAACGCCGCGCCCTCGCCCGCCACACCCTGCGCGCCTCCTTCCAACACCTCGTCAGCCGCCTCATCCTCGCCCTCCAAGACCACCCTTCTCTGCGGCAATCTGCATCTGCATCTGCATCTACATCCTCAACCATAGACACGCTCGTCGTCGCCGGTGGCGTCGCCAGCAACCGCTTCCTGATGCACGTCTTGCGCACGACGCTCGCCGCGCGCGGGTTCCCGCACATGCAAATCGTCGCGCCGCCGCCGGCGCTGTGCACCGACAACGCCGCCATGATTGCCTGGGCCGGCATGGAGATGTTCGAGGCTGGGTACAGGTCCGAGCTGTCGGTGCGGCCGATTGCGCGGTGGCCCATGGATCCGGCGGTTGGCGGCGGGATGCTGGGCGTTGGAGGGTGGATAAAGGAGGGAGAAGAAAAGGAGGATTGAAAGATGGTGGATTTGTATGTATGATGAAAGAGAGAGAAAGTTGGTTTTCTCGTTGACGATGAAATGACGATACCCTTGGTGTTGAAGCAGTTGACTGATATATATTAAGCTGCTTTTGTTTGTACGTTGGAGAATTGGCAACAACGTTGGCATCATGAGCGATAAAGACTTGTTATAACAATAAAAACTTTCAAGTTTAAACCCAAAAGTAAAGAAATCTTCCCGTATTTCTTTTTTGCCTACTTTCTCTTTTATGCATGAAAACACAAGTATCAAAAGCGTCATTCGATTTCTTTATTTCTTCTTTATTGCTTCATAACAAACGCAAATTTATTCCATAGTCCACTGCATCCCACTCTAATCCAACGCGCTCGTCACGTTTGAAAACTCGCCCTTCTCCAGCTTCGTCTGCCAGAAAATCGGATTCGTGTCCATGAAGCCGTGCTTGACCCAGCCCGCCTCCTTGACATGGTACAGGTTGATGTAGCCACCAGAGTAGGCATCACGGTGCGTCGCCGCCAGGATACTCCGCTTGCCCAGCTCCAGCGCCTCCTCGTCCGTCAGATCGTACTTGTACTCGGAATCCAGCACGCCATAGGCAAACGTCTGACCGCTGCCCACGCAAAACAGGTTGCCCGCCAGCCGCGTGCCGTCGCTGTCGACGTAGTACAGCGCGGGGCCCTCCTCCTTGGTCACGCCGGCGCACATTGTGCCCATGCTGAGGCCCATGCCCTTGTAGCTGTAGATGAGGTTGGCCAGGATCTTGCTGGCGGCGGCGACGCTGATGCGGCGCTTGTGGCGGAGCTCGTGCAGGCGGCACTGCATGCCCAGCCAGGCGAGCCAGTACTGGCAGTCTGCGGCACCGCCGGCCATGGTGCCCAGCAGCACGCTGTTGATCTCAATCACCTTCTTGACCGTCTGCGAGGCAATCCAGTTGCCGGCCGTGGCTCGAGAGTCCGTGGCCACGATGATGCCGCCCTGGAAGCGAAAGGCCAGTGTCGTCGTTCCGTGGGCAATCTTGATGGGGCAGTCGGGGTTGGAGCGGTCGTCTGTGGCGGCGCGGAGCCAAGCAGAGGGCTAAAGGTAAAGGTTCAAAGTCAGCTGTCTGTTTTGATTGAATGGCATGCGCAAGCTGCATCTTCATCTTCAGTCCATCTGCAGGCATATGGATATGCATGTAGCTACTACATCGCAGCGAATAGCTGAGCTGACGTACCTGCGCAACAGGTGGCATGGCAAAGTTGCCCGACAGGTGAGCCGTCGGGTTCATCAGCTCCTGGCCATACTCGTCATCCTCAAGAGGCTCGTTCTGCGCATATGCCGGCCGGCTGTACTTGGCCACAAGAGAATCCATCGCTGCTGTGTGTGTGTTCTGTTGATGCGGATGCTGAAAGATTCCCCGCCACAGTTCAAGTCAATGCTCCCCCAGTTCTGCTGCGGAGAGACAATTCTGTAGGTCGAGGCTCACTCAAATTCAGTGCAGCCTGCGGGTTATCGAGATGGCGGCCCGTGGACTGTAATTGCGTGGGTTTTGTGGTTCTGGTTGAGGTTCAGAAAGGCCAAAAGACGCCCCTCGTTGCTTGTTGCTTCTTACTAGAGCACCGGTCCCAGGTCAGGCAGCTTCCGTCTCGCGCGTCACTGAACTGACCTCTTTCGAGCAGTGCGAGCTTCTGATTGGCTGTAAGCAAGCGAGCTGACTAAGATGGCTTCGAGCCCGATCTTGGTGCCTTGTTGCCTGATGACTTACAACACCTCTACTTCTACCATCTTCATTCTACGAAGAGGCAATATTGCCGTCAGAAAAGAGAGAAATGGGACAAAAAGAATTCACTGCATAATGATTGGAATCTATCCTGAATATAGCAAACTGACCGTCCCATTTGGCTGGACATTGCTTGTCCAGCGCCGCCTATAAATATATACACAAGAGCATGAATTCCCCTCGCCCTCGAGATCCCTCAGATTTTAACAATACATAGCTATAGCAGTAAAAAAATAAATAAAAGGCCAAAAAAAACAAAAAAACAATTACAAGTGGGATAAGAGAGCGACGACGCGGCTATATCATTAATTCGATGCAAATACCAATACTCGCTCCCAGCTTAGCTTCAAAAGCAAAAGAGAGAGGAATAAAACACGAATGTCATAAACGATGGTCGTCATATTTCTTCTCATCAAAGACGTCTCCGCTCAAGGGTTTGGTGTCGATTCTCGACTCCGCGGCTCTCGCTTGCTCAAGAACTTATGTCGCGAAAACGATTTGGGGCTGTCGGGATATTTGTCTTCTGCAGGCTGAAACGAGCTCTTGATAGTCACGAAGCCACCGCCGACGGTGACCTCCTTTGGCGTTGGTGAATTCGTTTCATCTATAAAGTAGAAAAACTCGCCCAAGACATCATCACTGCTAAACGTATGCTCGCCCTTGGCCTCAATCTTGAATTGTGCTTCTGGGGAGCAGCTGATTTTGAACGTCTCATCAAAGTTCCACTCTCCTGAGGATGACTTGTGATGCTTCGTCTTACCAACAAGCTTTTCCTTGGGGGCGATTTGCGTAATGCTGATATACAAATCTGTCGAATGAGGATATCCCGAAGCCCCAACAACAGTAATTGAACCCGTGCCGGTTGGTGCGCCGACACCGACGGCACTATGAACGGAAGAACTGCCAAAGCTCCTAGTCCTATTATGACCTGAGCCGCCCTCCGGCATCAAATGCGGAGGGTAGTCCTTGGAACCGTCGACAGCGCTAGTTGTTGGCCTGGAGCTGTTGTTGCTGGCAGGGAAATCGCTGCCATTCGTAATGATGCTGGGCACACCCGGCAGCGTTGGCGCCTCCGCGAGCTCTGACAGCGAACCATTCGAGTTCTCTCGATCCTTCTTACCAAGGATACCGCGCTTCAGGAAAGAAGCGCCTCTGCCCACGCCGTGGCCCACGGCGGTGGCTCCCTTGAATGGCACGCCAGCTACTCCGGTGACAATGCGCGAACCTCCGCCAAAGGTGCCCTGGAACGTGGACGTTCCCTGTCTGGATCGTGTGACGTAATCAGGCCGGAATACCATTCTAAGCTTGATGCTTCCTGACTTGCCATCTAGCGGGTAGCTCTGCTCCATCGCCTTGAAGGGCTCCATAGTGTCAAGTCTAATGACAGTGGCGCCCAAGAAATCGGGTTTGTCGGCAAAATCGTAATCGTAGACGTTGCAGATGAATTTGGCTCCCGTCCTCGATGGCACAGTTACCTCAAAGAATTCATTCCAAACGGGCGACAACGTCTTTTTCTGCACCTTTGTCTTGTATACTTCCACGTCGTTGAGTTCAAATTTGCAGTAAGGATCGCTCTTTCCGTTCCTGTCCGCTGAAGGCAAGTCGTGGCCGCTCAACACATCTACACGGAGATTGCCCATGTTGTTGATACTCTCACTTGGATCGAGATCCATTTTGAGGGGAATATACTTGAGGCTGACTTTGACCCAGCTAGTCCTACCGTCGTCGCTCTTGAACTTCAATGTTGTGGGGTTGTTCTATAGATGACATTAGAAAAAAAAAAGACTAGTTGGAGTAGGGGTAAAGCAAAGCAAGGCACTTTGTTACGTTCAAGACTTACCAAACATTGCTTCAGCGTCTCCATCGTATTACCGGCCAAGTACGCCAACGTATCGTCAACATCATCGCCCTTCTTTCGCGCCTTGAGTGTTAAGCGAGAAAAGTCAAGTTCTCGGATAACACAGTCGCCAATCTCATCGAATTTATGCGCCTTTGATGGCACCGTTGAAGACGTGTAAGATGGGTAGGCCATATCGTCCACAAATATTTCCAAGTGGCTGTCCCTCTCGGGCATCTCTGTTTCCATGAGCCTGAAGATGAGAATACCACTCTCGTACTTGAGAAGCTCCTCAGGGCTCAGATGGATCTTGGGCGGACCCTTCTTCTCTTCCGATAACGACGACCTCATAGACGATGGTGATATAGGCCGGCCATCTTCACCAAAGCTGGGGCTTAGTTTGCCTGTATCCACCGATTTCCTGGAAACGTCAACTGACTTTCTAGATACATCGAGAGACTGCCGGGATGGAGCTTTGGATGCGGAGCTAAGTGGTCTGTCGGAGGGAGTTTTGGGCTCTTCGCTTGCGGCCCTGGCCTCCTCTGCCTCCTCCTCTGCCTCCTCCTCAGGGTCGGCGACGTTGAGGCAAGGGAAGAACGAAGCCGTGTAAGTTATCGTACCCTTGGGCATGCCCTTTCCGTGCATGCGAAGGTCGCTTTGGAAAACGCGCTTTGTGTCATTGATGAGATACTCGCCAATTTCATCCTGCTGAACAAAATCAGCGGTAGAAATTTCGCACAGTCCGAGGGAGCGATCTTTTCCAAGCTTTTCTTCGTCCATGACCTCGAGAGTGAGCGTTTCTCGTGCAGAATGAACCGGCACATAGAGAACCTCGTCCCATTCGGGATTCAAGTCATTTTTGAAAGTTACCGTTCGTCCTTTGTCAATACCAGAAAGAAGCACTCGAACATATGGATCAGATTTGCCAAAAGCCTCGTAGTTGCGGAGATCATTCGCCTTCCTGAAATGGAGTCTCATAACACCAATCGGAGTCATGTAGCCGCCGGTGCCAGCAACACCTGAAATAGCCACTGGCCTCCATTGGGCCATCATCTTCACTCGGCCAGTTTGGGCTCCTGAGAGCTCATACCACTCTTTGCCCTGTTCCATGCAATCCAATAAATCATCGAGCTTGATCTGGTACTTGCCGAGTGTCAAATCAGAGGACAGATCTCGTTCGTCCTTGATAGTGAGACCGAGTTTAGCCTTCTTGCGATCCGTAATAAGAATTTCCTTGGATCCATTATCCCAGATGGGGTTATTGGTTCGCTTGAGTTTCTTTGTCTGATGGATAACTTTGCCATTGAGGAACATGACGGCATAGGGATTCAAGAGGCCAACAAGACTCTTGGTGCCATCCAGGTCTTTGGCCTGCTCGACAGTAAAGCGCAGAATACCTTGATTGGAAACCGGCGGAGGCCCCTTTTTGCCATCTTCGCCAATCGGACCTTCAAGGACGGGGAAGAAGCGGAGGTCGCAAGAGACGACACCACGGCTCTTGCCGCCACCAAGAACCTCGAGACGCTCATTCTCGTACACGTGAAGATCCTCAATTCTCTCCAAAGGAAAGGTAGCCATGCCCAGTTCTTTGGATTTGCGGAAGCCGTTCTTGTCAAAGACCTGGATATTGAGAGTGTCGGTGAAGGATGTGACGATGATGTAATGTGTTTCGTTCCATCTGGGGTTGGCGTTGTCATCGACAACTTTGGTTCGTGCAAGCTCTTGGCGGCCATTAAGAGTGAGAATCGCATAGGGATCAACAGTGCCCGCAAAGTTGTCAGTGTTCTTGAGATTGTATGCCCCGTGGAGAGTCACGACGAGCACGCCGACAGCCTGGTCGACTGGCGACCCAGCCAGCATCTTGGCGACCTCGATGGGGAAGACATGAGGAGCGTACATCATGGGCGCCAAATTGCCATGGATCTGTTCCAAAATGAATTTCTCCAAACCAGGGATGAAGTTGATGTCAAAGCCGAAGCTTTCACCACCGAGAGGTTTGCAAACATAGTCAATAGTTGGCTTCTCCAAGAAACACATTTCAATCTTTTCAATGTGGGGGAAGGGAATCTGCAGCTTCATGTTGATTCGCATAATGCCGGAAAAAGACATATCCTCTACGATGACGTCGAGGCCTTTGCTGATCATGGCTTTTCCGACTCGGATTTCCAGCACGACTTTGGGGTTGATTTTATTCTTGACCTGTCGCGCAGTCATGTCGGCAGTATCATTAGGCGTGAAACTGAACTTCCAGTCCATTCGGACAATGTCGTCTCCCACATTGGGGTACGTTTTCACGTGTTCCATTCGAGGAGGCTTGGTACCCAATGTAAACGTCTTGAGCTTCAAACTGTCAAGAAAGGCAGGCGTTGCGGAGCTTAGCACTTGATCGACGGAGTTGATAATGGTCTGAGCGAGGACAGGCTGGTAGATGGGCCAGAACTTGACCAAGAAGGAGTTTATCCATTCGAGAGACTCGTGGTCAGTCTCTAGCTTCTTGAGGGCAAGCTCTCGGGTGATGTCATCGCGAAAGTTTCGGCGCACTCGTCTCAGAGAAGTCCTGTAGTAGGTACCGCAGATTGCCATGACCATAATGACCCAACCGAGGCCGCCGCCGAAAACTGCCACCAGCCATGAAGCAATGCAGGCAAAAATGATGACGCCAGTGTTGTGGTACCAATCTATTGAATCTGTGTAAGCCGACGGTATCGTTTCTGTTTGGCTGGTGAAACCTACCTCCGTATAGATGATCCGGCAGTTGGCTATCCACCCATGTGGTGTGGTCGAGCAGACTTTCGCCAGCGAGTGTGCTATCGGCAGGCCATCCAATTCGAGGAGCCCAGCCAGTTCGCGAGAATTCTTCTTCCACAGGCTCCAAAGTTCCATTGGCCAGTTTGTGTTGTTCATCTTTGCCCACGTCGAGGGCACCCGCTTTAGTCGGTTCCGGGAGCTCTTCGTCTGGGCCAGTACCGTCATCGACGTCGGTTACGATCGCCGTGGCTTTGTTTTGTCTAATATGGTGAAGTCCGGGAGGGATGGCCTGTAGCGAGGTATGTGGTTAGCACAAGTGCGCACATGTACATGGGGATCCAAAGATGTGCCATACAGCAGCAACCTGAGCGCGCTTTTCTTCTATAGTGGCGTTGGGATCAAAGGAAAAGCCAGGAACACCGGCGCTCTTGGCCTGCTCGACCAGAACCCTTTCGGCATCCTCAGCCGAAACCAGGCTCTGGGGATCTTGGGCAGCCTCGATGGCCCCCTGCTGCTTGAGTTCGCGCGCCTCAAGGGCCGACATGTTGGCCAGCAATGGGCGCTGCTACGGCAATTATTCGAGTGCAGCAGCAACTGGGCAGTTCAATTGATCTGGCTGCTTTGCGATAACGTCATTCAGAAGCCCCGGCCGCGGATGGATGGAGGGGCAGGTGGTCAGACTGGCGCCCCAGTCAGAAGTTCGATTACGAGTAATGAAAAGACGAAGGCAAGAGGGAAAAGAGGAAGAAAAAGGGCTATCTATCAAAGTTTATTTAACAATCAGTACGATTGTGTGAATGGCCCCGTCACCGAGCTAGTGAGAGCATCAAAGAAGAAGAAGAAAGAGAAAGGAAAAAAGAACAATGCTCCAGAGGAAAGAAATCGTGATGACGGAGGGATAAAGAGGACAAGTTGTTAGCGGCAGCGGCTAGCCTTGACCACTCCTTGATTTTGAGAGACGAAGCCACAGGCTAATGCACGTGTGGCTCGGCACAATCTGGAAATGAAGCAGCAGAAGGAGCAAGGAGTGGTGCAGTGGAGCTGGCCACGGGCGGTTGTCCGTGGCGCAGAGCAAAGATTACCTGTGCCATTGCTCTTGTGGTGCGTCAGTGTTTCTGTGCGTGTGTCGACGTCAACTGTCTGAGCTCAGCGCGGCGGGGATTTGCTGCTTGTGCTATTCCAGATGCTGCCGCCCAGGGAGCTACAGTGGAGCCCGTGGCTGTCAATACCCACTGGAGCTTTGCTGGCCGGGCCCCTGTACTGCTGAAAGCGTGGCGGCCACGACGACGTAATTGCTAGTGCCGCCGCTCAATCAGATGGGGCCGGGGGCCAGGCTCAACCCCAACCAGCGCGATTGGCGCCTTCGAGACTGCCTTAGGGGCGCCGTAGACTGCAGTAGCGCCTGGTCCGGAGGGGATGATCTAGAGCCTCGGGGGCCTGAGGATTCGCTGCTGCAGGAGTTTAGCGCCATCTGCACCGCTAGCAGTGGAAGTTCGGCATGCTACGGGATGGAGGCCTCGAAATTGTATTGATTCACGTTGACATTCAATTCATGTCTGGTGCCCATTCAGGTGAGGTGGGCGCTTATCAGCATCAGACCCTTTCGCTCCACCGTTGGGTACGGCTGCGTGATGAAACGCCAAGCGTATACCGACCTTTGTGCGCTGAGATAGCCGAAGAGTGGCAGCTTCACGCAGAGTTTGGGTTGTTTGGTGAAAAAAAGGAGAATGGGCGGGTAACACAGTAATACAAGCATGAATGCCAAGTAAATTGGCCGTCATCTCGGGCAGCCAGCGCAAATGTGGCCAAATATGCTTAAGATTTGGTGCCACAATTGCAACAGGCATTTCTCGCTTCTTCTCCCATGGCCGTTTGCAGAGGTGGCACCTTTTTGAAGCATAGACCGCAATCGTCGCGCGGCGGGGAAAGCGACGAAGAGAAAAAATAAGGGAGAGAACTCATTTCGGAAGCAGCATGAGAGCGGGAGAGCTTGAGAAATTGTTCAATATGGATCATCTGCAGCAAGAAACAGCACCATATCTTGAGAAATAGGAGCTGGACCTCGGTACAGACCCATGCTGAAATCCGACTTCTCGCCATGCCCTGGGCAATATCTACAATTGATGAGATGCCGCGAGGCTGTTTAGCCAAGGGAAGAGCACATAACGCAATTTACGTGTATCAAACTGCTGCGGCGTTGAATAACCGCAACCAACTCTACGTTTGCACTTTTTACAACTTGCAAAATTATTTGCCAGACATCGCACATGATTGTGGGACACTAAACCGCAGTGACTGCGAGCAAACAATACAAACGCTTGAGCCCTAAACAATTACTACAAACAATTACATGTCGATACAGAAACTTCCCCTCCCAACTGCATGCCGCCGTCTTCTTTAGACTCCCCCTACCAACACACACGTACCCAGCCCTTCAGCCAGACAGGGGTTCGACTTGGTTCTTCCATGCATACATTTCCCGCTAAAAAGGAAAAAAATCCCACACTTTAGCGGCCCATGCCCCGATCGCCCGGGCTCAGGTTGCAGATGATCATCATTCTCAGCTCATGATCTGCATGGGATGAAGTCATACCCAGCTGAGAGAAATTATTTTCTATACAGTAGAGCAAAGGAGAAGAAAAAAAAAAAAGAAGTCTAAAACAAATAAAGGACACCCTCACTGCATTGTTTCCCATCGGCTGTCCCGCCCTTTATGGGGTTTGATATAGATACCTAGGCGAACAAGAGCCATTATAGGTACCTGTATCGTACAAGCAGTAGATTGACGATCTGGGTCTCAGAGAAATACGTGTAAATAAAGTACCTGCATGAAGTATCCAAAGATCAAGCGTTACATCAAGCACCTCCAATCCAAGTTTCAAGGATTCACGTCAGTAGGCCGGACCCCTCACACTGACTGATGCCGGGTTGCGATTGCGGGGTATAATCACCAAGAGCAAAGCCTGGTGTGACTGCAAGGGCCATTTGGCTTCCCAAGATTTCTTCAATGGTCGTGGCACAATGTGTGACTGCGGAGCAGGTTTCGGACAATCACAGTTGCATCAGTCTCAAGCACGTCTTCCTGATGGTTCATGCCTACGTGTCCAGTCACGTCGAAAGAAAGGGCATCCAGTTGTTGCACGGCACGTTATATTTGTAGATGACAAGACAAGTCTGTTTATCAGTTCAAATCGCTACCGTACATGTCTTTCATTCGTTCAAAAAGAAAAATCCATAACAGCTAGATCAAGAGGCTTTCTGTGCTCAAATTGCCAACAACGCCGTTAGAGAGGAGGGGGGAGCCTCAGTTTGAAAAAAAGACTGCCAGACTAACTTGATAACATCAAAAAAAAACGAGGGGAATCTGGTATGTGCTCCGGCAAATAAGCCTACAAAAACAGACAAAAGTCTGCCCAAAAAACTCCAATATGCAAACGAATGGATATACGAAAACAGTCAAACACACCGCCGGGGCCGACCGTCGGCCGTCTTTTCATCTAGTACCCGAACCCGTCATGCTGATGCACCGGGCATCTTCCCGGGTGATTGACAAACCAGGCTGAAATACAAGATCGGTGAAATCTACAAAGACATTCGAGTCGCGCCATCGAAATGCCAACCGTAAACTCTTCTAGACAAATAGTGCACTCTGCGTCATCGACACAGTCTTTCTCCGTTGCGGGATACGTGTACATGCCGGTGCGCCGCGGGGGAGGAGGTGGTGTGGCGCTGTCTGCTGCTGCGCGAGGGCTGCCGTAGGTGCTATGAGATTGGATACATGTGGTGATATGTGACTCTCGTAAGGCTTCAAAGTTGGGCAGTTCTCTAGATGGCAGCTCCAGATGGCAGATGGGACACTCATCCTCCTCTGCAATTTGGGGAGGGAGAGGCAGCGCCCTCTGCCGAGATGACGAGCCCGGCTCTCCAGTCAAACGCCGTCGATGAATATGGTGCTGGTTCTGCATATTAAAGGGCGATGGTCCAGCGGCCAGCAGGCGATTCAAGGATGATACCTCATAGTTGGCACTGCTGCGCCGGCGTGAGGATGACGAGGATGAAGCAGCTCCTGCTCTCTGTCCGGTAGGATCCTAAGTAGAAAACCAAAGGTTAGATAAGTGTACCCATTTGACGATATTGTTCCATATGTTGAATATATGCCTACCATTGTGATGCTCCTTGTCCTGGAGGTGTAGAATTGGTAAGGATCATTACTCTGACCAGCTGCAAACACTCCCCCGTATCGATTGTTCACAGAAGGCGAAGGTGGATATCCGCTGCCCGTGCTATTCCGAGACCTGCGTCGTGCCGTACGTGGTGACAAACCGGGAGAGCCGGGGCTTTGCGGAGGCGCTGTATTGGGATCAGGAACGCATGGGTTGCAGAGACGCACTCGCTCGCCCCCGGAGAGTCCATTCATGTCAACATAACCACCACCTGAGCTGTCGAAAAACAGTGCTGGGGGAAGTGGCACATCGGAGCCAGGTGCCCGGACGATGAACTGGTGCGGAATGATGATCCTGTGAGGAGAGCAAGAGTTGCAAACAACTCTCCCGCATTTTCTGTTTCCCATCATTGTCAGTCATCCATATTTGTTCAGTGGCTCCTTGTCTGATTCATGGACAATAAACATACCTGCAGTGGTGTTTGCGCACAAAGATGCTGAACTGAGTACGACATATAGGACAGTAAGTCACTTCGCCATCGGGTTGCCACCTAGGAAGAACAACCGATGACTGGCGTTCGCGCTCACGTTCAGACGATCTTGTCAAAGTGTGGTGGTGGTGGTGTAGAGCGTTCTCATTCGATATTCTATCCGTATCGACAGCATACATGGCTGATAGCTGGTCCCGTGCGGACATCCTGGGCGAGGTGTTCTCTGATATATCCGCAGCTGGCGCGCTGGTAGACATTGCTCCACTGGGCTGTTCGAAAAGCTCGCTCCAGCTTTCACTGCTGGCCGAGCCGGCTGGCCGCAAGTCGATACTTCTAGAGGAAATGCGAGTCCTGATCGGCAACGATGATGTTCGAGCGGGTAGAGCCGCAGGATCCGCTGTTGGCGTCCTCGCTGCGTAGCTCTCTCCTCTCTCAGCCGCCAGCCCAGATGCTATCTCCGACGAGGACGCCAAAGGATCCGCAACAAGATTATCTTCACCCCGCTGCTGTTCGGCTGCCGTATCTTCTTGTTCTGTTTCTGGGATTTCGTCGATGGAGCTTCTGGGAGAAACGTGATCGTCTCGAATTTCGGGCGCTTCGGCAGCGCTCTCCCTTGGCTCGTCGGTGCCGTCTATAGAGAGCCGCCTCTCCACCAGGTGAGACGGACAGTCAAAGTATCGATAGCACTCTTGGTCGTGGAATTCGGGCGTTCGCCAGCGACAGGAAAATCGTTCCTCATCGCTCGAATATGGCGAGTCAGGTGTCGCATCAGCAGTGACACTCGCCTCCCTTGCATCATGGGGGGCGAGAGCGCTCGGTCCACCTTGCTGGCTGGCCATGCTGCGACAGTTTAGACAAAGACAGCAGCTTCAACAAAGAGAGATGAAGAGATAGAACGGTCGGTGATGCCGAAAGGAAGCCAGGTTGGCCCTGACAGCCTCTGCTCGAACGAGGGATTAACAGTAGCGAAATAGAGTGTGGGCGGGAAGCTTATTATGAGTTGATGATTATAGACCTCAAGCCCCCCCAAGCGCGAGACACTTTGAGCGATGATGCAGCACAGTACCACGCCTCCTGAGAGGGTTCAAGTCATGTTCGAGTGATGGAGCCCGCTGTAAAGGAGACGCCGCGTCAGGGCAGCAGAGCGATCAAACAGAGCAGAAATGCATGGAATCACCACCTCGTCGAAGCCCCCTTGAATGTAATGTAGGTTGAGACACACGCGATCACTTATCGCTCAGGCGGGTGACGCTTATCGAGAGGGTGGCGCCAGCGCTTAGTCACCCGACCCAGCTCTTTTTCGTGGCAATGCTGGCTGGAGGATGCGGATGAAGCGTTGCATCTGGTCACGGCATGGTACTATACATGTAATATAAACTACCTAGGCAGTAGTATCATTAATATGATAAACAACGCAACTACCGAATACTACCCAAGTAGCTTAGCATCTGCGCTTTTTTGTTCTAAAAATACTGAGAAAAGATTACGGCTCATCCATTTGTACGAAAACGTCCATGCACTCTGGAGGAACGATAGTTTATCTGCTAGCTTTGCAAATGGGGTATCTCGCTTAGACGACCAGGACGCCTCCTTAATCATAACTGCGCAACAAGCAACCTTGGTGGTAATGTCAACGAATGATGATGATGATGATGATGTGGACTGATAGTTACTCTCCCACTTCACGGTCGTTATCCCAGTGTATAAATGAAATGACCCTCCATTGCCACGAGTAATGCCGAATTTGCTTTCCCCAGAAATACAAGGGGATCCACATAAGGAGGACTCCCCCCGCAATTCCCGCCATGGCTCCAAATGCGTCCTGGTAGCCAGAGAGGTCGACCCAGGGATTTGTTTCAAAGGAGAGAAAGAAGGCGAATAGGGCTGGACCTTGTTAGTCGTGGTGAAATCCTTTGTCATCACATATACAAGTAGTGAGTGAAACGTACCCTTGAATCCGGTGACTGCCAACGTTATCTCACCTGCCACTGGACGGTAAGAATCAATGACATAGACTATGCAAATCGTATTGGACTGCGTGATGGAAAAGTTGACTGCATTCAGTGGATTAGAGCCAAACTCATTTTGTAATTGTTAGCTGGGGGGGTTCTCTTACGGAGGCCTAGTCCTATGGTTGGGCATATCCAGTGAAGCTTGTACTGAATACCAACGCCATAGAGAATCAGCGCAAGTGGCGCGGTGATTGCAGATATCATCACTGCCGGTAGTCGCATCTCCGGTTCTCGAATGCCATTGTTTCGCTTCGTCAAGATGTCGGCAACCTTGTCCCCAAGGTGGCCACCTGCTGGTAGTCCACAGAGAGAGCCGATGACGGCGGCGATGTAGCAGAGCCCAACCTGGTACGAAGCAAAGCCGTACGTCTGGTTGAAAGCCGCAGCCGAGTTGGATGTAACCGCCACTAGAAACCCGATGGTCACTGCTAGAGAGATAGCAGCCCATAGCACCGGCGGGAGGATAATCAAGCCAAAGGGGCGAATCATCATTTTGAACATGTTTTCGCTCGTACCCGCAGCCTTGAATACCAAAAGCGACTCAATGTAGCTCATTTTCCTTGTGGAATTCCGTGCCTCTTGGCGTACAACTGATGGCTGTTTCTCATCTGACGCGTCTGAAGAGGGCGGTTCATAATGACCCGGCCGCAAATAGCTGGTCTCGGGCACAGTGAAAATAAGGAGAAGAAGGACAAAGCCCACCAAAGCAGCGCCGACTTGATAGATGGTTCTCCAAGTATGGTCTATTGTAATCAGACCAGATATTATCAGACCTCCAGCCGCGCCCACAGATAAAAAGCAGGTATACGCAGACATGACCCCTCCTCTTTCGTGGAGAAAGAAGATGTCCGCAATGGAGATGGGCGCAAGCGTCTCTGCCGCGCCAGAACCAAATCCCATAAGGATTCTTCCCACCAGGAATCTGGCATACGATTTTTCAAAGATGAGCCATATAGCCATGGCAAGGTAGATTGCGTAGCTCACGACGTATACTGGCCGGCGGCCCCATTTGTTGGCAGCAGGGACCCAGACAATGTTGCCCATGCCTTGAAGCAAAGACGTAGTAGTGAAAAAGTACGCAGCCTTTGGAATGGCTGAAGTAATTAGTGTGCCATTGGCCAAAGCATCTGGATAGAAATCCATAGCCGTGGCCACCATGGCGATGGCTGGCCCAGCTGCTAGGAAGTTGCACACTGCCATGGTCAGGCAGAGAACGCCAGCGACATAGTATTTGCGCCCTTTCGACCTGGAGTGTATATATGCGTGAGCTAGAAAACTACCGAATAATGCTGTTTATTGTAAGGATAAGATGCAGTATGCAATTACATACCAGTTGAGCGGATCATTGGGGTCAGAGGATGGCGTGGGGACCAGAATCACGGCATTCGTTTCTTGATCAATCAGTCGCAGATTGCCGAGAGTTCGTTTGCGGCTCTTCTCCTTGATATGCTCCTCGGCCTGCGGATCAAGTGTTGGGGCAATGACATCGTTTTGGGAGGTCATGATGGAGCGTGCAAAGAGTGGCGCGAGATGGGCCCGGAGGAGATTGAAAGACAGCTTCAACCCGTGCTCACGAATCTGGCATCGTTTAGGAACCGTCCATAGGCTTTCTATTCTTTTCAGGCAAAAATCCTCTCTCAGGCGATTGGCGCCGTGAGCATGTTGTGCGGCCGCAGAATTAGCCGGAGCAGGCACAACGACAGGATAGGCTCTGCAACCTCAGGGGGGGCTGCAGACCGCAGATTGCATGTACAAGTAAGAAATGCAATATCAAGGAGAGCACATGCAGGGAGGGAACGGGCCCACAGAGGCGATGGCAAATGCGCGGCGCTTGGAGGACGAAGTGAGGGTTGAGCTGAGACACGCGGCTCACGGCTGCCCTATGGCAGCTGAGGCAGATCTAACCTACAAACAGCCGTCCATTTCCAGCTGCCGAGATAGAAAAGAAAAATACATTTATATTCAGCCTTTGAACAGAAATCCGAAACATGTCGTGCCAGGTTTAAGGATCTAGCAGGCTTGCCGTTGGCGCCAGGCCTAGCAATCGATAGCGCTGCCGCGAGATGGGTGACGGCAGAATTGAGAGTAGGGCGCCGAGTTTAGATACCGGCACCAGCAAGATACTGTCCCGGTATTGGTGTAGAGCACTAAGCCTACCTGTAAACGGGCAAGACGGGATAGATAGGGGTCCCTAGCCTGTGGGCAGGCTCCAGGGAACCACGAGGGATCTGATGCCGGGCGACAACGTGCGCGTCCAGAAATGGGCACATGGAGATTATGCATCTGGGGGCATCAACAAGCCCGTTTCAGCATCCCTGTGCCGTTACGATTGCGCAACCAGCAGGACGGATTCTTCCGTCTATGAGATGCCAACGGTGCTACTGTATCGTATCAGATGGTAGCACTCCGAGGCAGTATTAACGCTGTCGCATTGAGCATCAGGCAATGTCAATATTCGTATGCCTGAACTGGTAGTTCGCATCATGGCATGCCAATATAATATCAAGACCGGCACGTGTAAACGACGCAGATTAGTACCGGGCGATCTTCTCCATCTGGAGACTGCATAGTCCGCCGCATGATCTCAATCTTGTGCTACCTGTCAACTCAGCCGGAAGCCACATGGCCGCACCCAATTAGTCGGAATTCCAATGGAATTACAGCCGTCATTGCGAACAAACTAGCGCGGGCAGTGCCAACTCAGCTCGGGACGATGCCAACGCTAATATAACCATATCATCAGACATGTCCCGCCAGGTCCGATGTGCTATATGATCTATCTCCAGGTACTATACCAAATAGACACACGTACTGTGGAGGTTGGAGCATCACTTGGAGCAGTAATAGGCCGAAAGCACCGTAGATGAAACAATGCCTGGCTTTTCTGTTTTGTATGCAGCTTAACCGCATCCTGATGGGCTCGCAAGTAGCAACTACTAGTAGTATCTTCTCTGGATAAAAAAAGAGCATCGCGGCACTCTGGCTAAGCTTTGGCCCTAGGGAGCGCCGACAGAGCTTTGCAGCAATGTGCCCAAACATCTCCAGCTGAGGCCCGGCTCCATGCTAAAAAGCGCCAACAAAGCGCCTCGTACGAGCGGCACTGCTCAGGAAGATGCAGCCGAAGAGATTGTCGTCGGCCGTCTACACGTACAGGCCGTAATGCCGCGCAAGGCCCGGCGGCACCCCAGATCGCCCCCACACTCTGCAGCCAGCTCGTTCGTCGGAGCCGCAGTCCAGGTACTCGACCTCTCTCTCCATCTTACAAGTACTTGCCAGAACCTCAGCTGTGTCTTCAGCCCTGGCGGCAAAGCTCGTGGCACGCGTCTTCAGAGCTGCTAGTAGAGTCGGCCAAGGAGAAAATTCCCCGATAAAACCCACCGGGGGGCCCGAGCCGCTCGTTTGCGTTGCGGCTTCACCATTGGCTGCCGGTACGGGAGATGCTGGAGGGTCTACAAGTAGCACTCCGAGCACATTACGCGTAACAGCAGGTCTGGTCTCTGCAACTGTTTCAACCGCCGAATCGTCGACTTTGACCACGCAAGCCACGCTGCGGCGATTCGCTAAGCTACATAGTAGATTGCCGGCTAGTGGCATGCCAAGCTCGCTCGCCATAATTGCGCGCCGAATCTACTCGCGACGTCTTGGGCGCCACAGTGGTCGAGTCCAGGTGTAAGTAGCGCCATCTGCGCTTCGGTGGCTGGGATCGGCTCATGTCTGGTGTTTAGGTTGATTGCACGTTGAAAGACCGCTACAACAACGTGCACTATTTGACGACATTCCACTGCCGTTCAACACCGACCACTAACTAGCATCGACTACTAGCATCGACTACTAGCATCAATTGCCGCTTCAGGTCCTCAGCCTTACCGGTAACCGCGTTGCCATTGCCCCGGCCCCTCTCATCCGGGAGCCTCTAGTCTAGCTGTCGTAACCTCGATTCGAGGGCGCCGTCTCCTAATCTCCCTCGCGAGGCTGTCTCCAGAATCCAGAGGCCTTGATGTGTTGCTAAACCCTGCCAAGCCAGAGAACCAGGTGGATATTGGGGCCTCCGCCAGCTCCATAGCCTGGCCACGCACAATGGCCGGAACGCTATCCCACATCCTCGATGGCCCGGGCAGCGATCCTCGGCCTCTGTCTGGGTCTCTGTCTGGGTCTCTGTCTGGGTCCCAACCTGCACCTGTACCTGCACCTGCACCTATGCCTGTGCCTGTCTCCGAGACCTTTCTGGCGGCAAAGCAACCGGCTGTGGGCTCTGATGCTACCGCTACCAGTATAGCAGGCCCGGCGCCGTCGAATCCAACGACCCAAAGTCACACCATGCAGGCGGTACCGTCATCAACCACGCCTGGTCTTCCTTCAACTTCTCCAGGGACGAACACTACTGCTGGCACTTCTTTCTCTGCTCCAGATACGACTGCCGACCCATTCGCCAGCAGTGTCACCGGCGAAACTCCAGCATCAGCATCCCACCAGAGCCATCAGAACACCAATCCTTATGCGTGCCGCGACTGTGGGCGCTCATACTCGCGGCCAGAGCATCTTGTTCGACATGTTCAGACGCACACCTTGGGCCGGCGCTTTGCTTGCGAAATCTGTAACAAGTCGTTTGCACGGAAGGATCTGTTGAGAAGGCATGTTAGCAATCATGACAACGACTCGCCCAAGAAGCGTCAACGACTGGTTTCAACTCCCAACTCCAGCCGCGTCACCCAGGCCTGCCGCCCTTGCGCCGCTGCTCGAGTCAAATGCGACGAAACGAAGCCGTGCAGACGCTGCGTCAGTCGTAACTTGGCATGTTCTGCCTTCGAGACCAGCCCAGGCTCTTCCACGCATCTTGCTCACCTTCCAGGGAGCGGACAGGATGCCCCTGTACAAAATCAAACGAATAGCGGCTCCTATATAGCACCCGCAGATTCGAATTCCGCGCTTCTGAATACCCCCAGGAACTTGATCCGCGATAATACAACCAACAAGAGCAGCCCTCTATCGCAAACCAACTCATCAAGGCAAGATGATATTAGCCAGTTGACAACTCCGGATACTGGAGTGGAGTCAGGTAAGTCTTGCGATTGGCTCGGGGGAACAAGCTTTTGATTTCTTCACCACGTCAGGAGGCAAGACTGACGGCGTCCTCATTTTGTAGGCCACACTCTTAGCCAGGCAGCTCACCCACATAACACGGCGAAAACTGGCCCCATGGACTTTAACCAAATCCCATTTTTCGATTTCCTGCGCGATGTCCTCTATCAGCAGCCTTTAGATCTGCCGCGGCCAACCGAATCTCAAGGTCCAGCCGTGTTAGATTTCTGCGACAACATGGACATGGCTCTTACCGAAATGGACTTTGGCCTCCTAGATCACTGGAATCTGGATCTAGAGGACGGCGGGGCACTGGTAGCACCTGCTTTGGTCGGCCAGAATCCCCAAAACTCGGTTGAAATGTCCCAGATGCGGCAGAATCTTGCCAACGTCTGGGGAGAATTGCCGTGGAAATGGGAGCCGACTGCCAGGGATAGTGGCTATACTGAGCAGGGCAATCTACCCATATCCGCCAAAGATCTTTCTAATGCGCAGTTTCAAGAAACCAAAAAGAATCTTGAGCGAGTCGTTGACCAGAAGCTGAGTCTTTCCAGCCGCGACCAGATCTTGGCCATCATCTTAAAAACTTGTCGCGATCCCTCGACGGCCGGTCGGGTGGCTGCCTCTTTCCCAAATGTGGACGTGATGGATACGATGATGCAAGCTTTCCTGGCCGCTCATATTCAACAAGTATCAACATGGATACACTTTCCCACCCTCAAGCTGAATTCGCTATGGCCCGAATGGGTTGGGAATGCTGTGGCTGCTGGTGCTGTGCTGATGCCGGCCCCGACGTTACGCAAGTTTGGATTTGCCATCCAAGAGGCAGTTCGTAAGTGCAAACCATACGAGAAATCAACTAAATCGTAGCAAAGGTCATTTTCTCACATCAAAATCCGCTAGGCATTACCATTCCTGCAAGAGTAAGATTCAAAGAGCCAACCAGCATATTCATATCCGCCAAAGGATAATGAGCTTACGTCTAACTTACATTACAGTTTGAAGAAAATAACACCGCTATCCAAAACCTTAGTTTGGTCCAATCACTCATTTTGGGGCAAGACATTGGTCTATGGAGCGGTAACCGCAGAAAGATGGAGATTGCCGAGTGCCATTTGGTGATTCCTGTGACGGTAAGGGGGATGATACTACATGCAAATTATACAAGATGCATACTTACCAAGTGACTCTAGATGATGAGATATCGACGATTTTTCCAGCGGCACATGTATCCTATTATCACCGTAAATCCCTCAGACGAGGGTGAAACATTACAACAAAAGTGGATGAGGTGGGCGGCTGCGGAGCAATGGAAGAGGTCAGTCTTTGGAAAAGGTTGCTTCTCTAATTTCCATCAGCCTATCACTAACGTTGGGGGGGAAAGACTAGCATACCACTGTTACATCCGAGAAGCCCAGTTATCGATGACAGCATTGACAAATCCCTGCATGTCGTATTCCGAGTTGACGCTGCCACTACCAGAACGGAAGGAACTGTGGTTGGCAAAATCGGCGTCTGAGTGGAAGACACTTTATTTATCGGGGACGGCTGGACAAGAGAATCCAAGGCTGCCATCAATCGCCGATGCGTATCGAGACGTACGCCAGCTTGCTGAAAATTCTACACGGATTGACACGCAGCTGTCTGTGTCAATTTTCCTTCACGGCTTTTGGTCAATGATTTTGGAATACTCTCAGCTAAGTGTGGTGCATCAATTTCGGAGCTACACCAAAGAAAAGCCCAACTCTATGCTCAACTCCAGGCGCCAGGAGCTCCTTAGAGATCTACAGTCGTTTCAGTTCAACTCTTCAGATTTACCAGGCGTCACCCCTCAAGAACACGTCGTGTTAAACCTTCTCATGATGCACCTTTACGTATCTCTAGACGACCTACAAATCTTCTCGGGCAAACAAGGTGAAGAAGAAGCCCGTCGTATGTACCCCATTTTGCAACAGTGGACAGCCAACCCTGAGTCATGGTTCGCAGTTTGGTGCGCGGGGCAGATCTTGCGATATGCCAAACTGTTTCCTCTCAGCCAGCTGAAGGATTTCTACGCCATAGCGGTCCATCATGCCGCACTGGCTTTGTGGACCTATGGCGTTGTGGCTCGAGCCAGCCAGCAGCAGGACATGGCATCGCAGTATGGATATGAGCCCATGTATCTGGATGAAGGCAATGCCACATCAATCCAGCATTTCTTGAGCTTTGGGCAGGGGAGACCTCTTATTCAAGGACCCGCAGGCGGATCAAGTTCAGGAGCGGCACCCGGCGAGGCGTGTGTTTACGACCCTCGTGCGTGCATGGATATTGCGCAAGAGATTTTGCAGACGAATTTTAGAAGACCCCAAGACGCCTTGCCGCCTCTCGTGGAGAATCTTTGCCAGCTGATCAAACAGCTTGGAAACGCGGCATGGGCGGTTGGCTTGGGGTGAGCATTCTATTTTTTATTTATTCTTCTCCCAGATGAATCCTCCCTACCCGCATGTATAAACATCATCTTACTGATCACTGGTCGGAGTTGTGTGTGTTTTCGGTGCAAGTGTTTAAAAAAAAAATTTTTTTGGTTTATCCTTGTACTTCTTTCTTGATGAACTATTTAACCACGGATGGCGCATCGTTGCATAATACCCGAGTAGGGGCTGTTGGTGTACGAAGGAGACGAGTGCGCTGAGTTTCGAGTGTGGATTGTATCATACAGATTGGTGTATATACAGCCTGTTGCATTTGTCAATATATATTCGTACATGTGCTCTCTATCTATACATATCTCTATTTCTACATATTGTTGGTAGGTAGATATGGACAATTACATTTCATCAACAAGATCGATCTGAATACTACTACTACTACTACTAGCTGGTGAGTGTCAGATTGATTGGATGCCAACCAACCAAGTCGCAGAGCCACGTGCGTTAGATTGTGCTATTAATGTCCTTGGAGCTACTGTATAATCGGCAACAGGCGTCTCCACCGTCAGGCTATACTGGAAATGAACAGCTGCGTTTGCGCAGTTCATAAGACGAGGCTGAGCCGAGATTGGTCATCTCTACCTTGAGCTTCTGTTCCCCCAACGGGCACAAAGCCGTATTGGCGTCATATTTCATCTCTCGTCTTACCTACTCAAACTTTTTTTAAGCCGGCTGCTCTCTCTTTTGCTACGCGGAAATAGAGAGGCTGGGCGATAGAGTTTTCGCTTTCGCTTTCTGGCTTCCCGCGGCCCGTCCCCCACGTCGCCGCGTTTCTCTCTTCTCCATTTTCATCTGCTCGCTCTTGTACAATCTGAGGAAAATATCACGACAAAGACATTGAATTTCTCACCATTCAATTCCTGGTCCATCTGTCGTGACATCTTTATTTATTTTTTCATTTTATTCTCTCATCTCCCCACTGTTACAGCACAAAAACAGAATCCCCTACCAACGAGAACAAGCCACGACCCCACGGGGGCAATCATCAACATCATCACCCACCACTCATACTCACCCCATGTTGGAGAATCCACTCAGCCTTGTTAATTAACAAACCCGTTCTCCGCCTTCCCGTATCTTTGTCCCATCTCGCCCTTTGTTGAGGGGGGGCCATGGATTCCAGCTTCTTCCGCTGGCCATCGCCCGGGCCGCAAACAGCCGTCGCCGTCACCGTCACCGTCACGGCCGTAGCCACGGCGACGCTGCTGCTGCTGGCCAGATCCGCGCTGCGGCCGCGGTGGGGCAGGGCGCTGCCGAGCCCGCTCAAGACGACGATTCCGAGGCTGCCGCGGGACGAGGTCGAACGCCTGGTCTATCAGCCGGACGCCTTTCCGGGGGCGAGGGACGTTGATACGCCGGTGAGTTTGAGTGGGATGAGAAGGCAGATCAAATGAATGAGGAATGAAGAATTGCCAAGCTAAAACATCATGCCAGTATGGATCCATCCGCGTCTATGAGTTTGGCCCCGAGGATGGCGAAAAGGTCCTGCTCGTCCATGGTATCAGCACTCCCTGTATAACGCTCGCTCTCATCGCCCACGGGCTCGTTAAACGCGGATGTCGAGTAATGCTCTTTGTAAGGCACTCTTCCCCCAGGGTCAGGCAAAGCACCGTACTAACGGCGTCTTATAGGATCTCTTTGGCCGAGGCTTCTCAGACGGCGTCGGCGATCTCCCTCATGATGAGCGCCTCTACACCACTCAGATCCTCCTCGTGCTCGCCTCAAGCCCCTTGGCCTGGACTGGAAACGACGCCTTCCGCCTCGTTGGATACTCCTTGGGCGGAGGCATCGCCGTTCACTTTGCCACTGCGTTTCCTCACCTTGTCTCGTCGCTCGTTCTGCTCGCCCCCGCCGGTCTCATCAATGCCGCAGACTTTGGCGCCGTGTCATTGTTCATCTTCAAGTCTGGCTTCGTGCCGGAGAGAATCCTCGCGTACCTGACCCGAATTCGCCTGCAGCAACCCATTGCCGCCTCCCGAAAGGCCAAAGAGATCTCGCCGTCCGCAGCAGCCGCCGACATTGCCGCCACAGAGGCCACCAGCGACAGCGAGACGCAGAAAGCCGACGGATCTTCCATTCCTTTTGAGCAGCATGTGCTCATGTACGTCCGATGGATGGCTCTTCATCATACCGGCTTCATCCCGGCCTTCATGTCTTCGATTCGATGGTCGCCCTTGACGGACCAGCATGAGAGCTGGAGGCTGCTTGCGCGCCGAAAGCCGGGCTCGACGATGGTCCTGTTGGCGCAGAATGATGAGATTATCGACGTAAAGGGCTACGAGCGCGAGGGCCTGCCTCTTGTGGGCGGTAAGGAGAATGCGGTTTGGAAGGTTCTTCCTGGTACGCATGACTTTGTCATGACGCACTCGGAGAGGATCCTCAAGGAGATGGATGAGCTGTGGAACTAAATACGCTGCTGGACGTGGCAGACTTGAATACTGGTATTATCTTTCGATTTGGAAAGACATGAACAATTTATATAAAACTTAGCGGGAGAGCGGCCATGTATCAGGCTTAGAGAAGAGAATCTTTGTGTCTATTTGTTCGTTGGAGTTGCGTTACTAGATCTTTCTATGCTGATCCAATTGATTAAACCAAATATATATATAACATGCAGAAAATTGCCTCATAAAATATAACAAGGCGCCGCTGATTGCGCCCAAGATAACATGGTCAGTTCATAAGCCCCAATTGTATTCTCCCACGTAGGATTTTACCTGTCCAAAGCTTGACTTTGACACTATTTTCACCACATGTGTTAAGAACGATTTATAAACAGTGAGAGGATCATGTTCACAGAGGAGGATAAAACTCACCATGTTCCAGTAAACTCCCTTCTTCTTCAACAGCTCCATATGACTGCCCTGCTCCAGAAGCTGGCCCTCGCCCAGCACAAAAATGACATCTGCATTCTGCACCGTCGCCAGCCGATGAGCAACCACAACCATGGTGCGTCCCTTGCTGGCGCGCTCAAACGCCGCCTGCACGAGCTTTTCGCTCTCCGAGTCGAGCGAGCTTGTGGCCTCGTCCAAGAGCAGGATGTTTGGCTTGCGGATCAGGGCGCGGGCAATGGCAACGCGCTGCTTCTGGCCTCCTGAGAGGGAAACGCCGCGGGAGCCAATGTTTGTGTTGTAGCCTTCGGGGAGGGAGACGATGAAGTCGTGGATGGAGGCGTCGCGGCAGGCTTGGTGGATCTGTTCATCGGTGGTGGTGGCGTCGTCGACGCCAAGGATGATGTTGTCTCTGAGAGTGCCTGCAATGACGGATTAAAATTCAGCTTCACAGATATAAAAAGGGATTTCGGCAGAAATAGAAGAAACTTACCTTGGAATAGGGTTGGTTCTTGTGCTACGAGTGAAAGGTATTTGCGGTAGTCAAAGACGTTGACATCAGCGATGTCTTGGCCGTTGCATAGAATGCGGCCCTTATCGAGATCGTAGAATCTACTCATTCGAAATATTAGTAACTCAGCTAGAAATATCAAGCTGCCAATCGGACTAACCGTTCAAGAAGTGAAATGATGCTCGTCTTGCCACACCCAGACGATCCCACAAGAGCCGCAAACTGGCCCTTTTCAATCGTCAAGTTCAGCCCGCGGAAGACTGCCATGTCTCGAGTCGGGTACTTGAAATGCACGTCCTTGAGCTCAATCTTCACACCTCCTTCCACGTCTGGGATCTCGTTTCCTCCTCCAGAGCTCTTGTCTCGGAACATTGTCTCTCTCGTGTTCAAGATGCGGTTCGAAGCTTCCGTTACTTGTGCCGCATTAGGGCCAAAGCCGAAACTCTGACCGGCAGACTGCGAGGCGTTCATGATGGCCATGAAGCAGACAAAGTAGTTTTCAGGCTTGTACTCGCCGCTCGCCAACAGGCGGCTTCCATAGTAGAAGATGAGCGCTTGGCAGGCCAATGTGCAGCTGTCGGCGAATCCAAAGAGAAAGCTGGCGAAGCGGGCTTTTTTGAACGCCGTCTTAACGTGGCCATCGCAGAGTGTTTTGAAACGGTCCGTGATGGGAGTTTCCAGAGTAAGCGACGTAACGGTTCTAAAAGCACCAATTGACTCGGAAGCAAACTTGGAGCTTTCGGCAAAGACTTCGTTGTTCATCTTTTCGAATTGCAATTCATACCTAAAGCGCCAGTACGACGAGGCAAGAAGAATGGGCATGACGACAGCGACACCGACCAAGGCCAGTTTCCAGCCAAAGTAGAAAGAGATGATGATTGATCCAGTGAGGTTGAAAAGCGCAATGTAGACGCTGGCCATGTTGGCACCCATGAGCTCCTCCAGCCGCTGAGGATCTCCTGCGGCGCGAGCCGTCATGGTGCCGTGAGAGTGGTCCTCGTGATCAAAATACGAAGTCTTTTGGTAAAGGATGGCCTCGAAATACTGCTGCTGATACTTGGCTCGAATGATTGATGCCATTCGAGTGGAAGCTAAAAACGCTCCAAAGTAAGAGATTCCAACACCGATAGCCAGCACGAACCACATCAAGGACCAGAACCGGCTTTCATGAAGAAGCTTTTGGCCAGTGAATTCGAATACCACAATGAGTTTTGCAAAGAGCCAGGCTTGCAGCGGAGTTGCCGCGCCGGCACAGGCGGTGAAGATCAATGTTATAAACATCAAGTACCAGTAGGTATTAGTCTCATAGAAGAGGCGGCCAAAACTGCTGAAAATGTTGCGTTCTTTTTCGGTGCTGCTGCTATCAGTTTGAGCTGTGGCTTCATAAAGAGCCTGGCTCTTCTCGCGAGTCAGATTGTCATCGCTATCCGTCGGGTCATCGCTTTCTTCGGCCTGTGACGCATTTCCTAGTGAGAGTGCCTGAGCTTGTACGAGGCCAGCATAGACACCACCTTCCAAGGCAATAAGGCTCTCGTGGTTACCCTGCTCTGCAACTTTTCCCTTCTTGATGACAATGATTCGATCGGCCTTCTTGATGGTGGACAGACGATGAGCTATCGTGATTGTTGTCCGATTCTGTGCCACGCGGTCGAGAGCAGCCTGGACAATGCGTTCTCCTCGAACATCGATCGCACTTGTCGCTTCGTCTAGAATAAGGATCTTTGGCTTTCGAACGATGGACCGAGCGATGGCAATACGTTGACGCTGGCCGCCAGAGAGTTTAGCACCACTGTCGCCAACTAAGGTATCGTAGCCCTGCAACATGTACAAACATTAGCACATTAATCGGAAAGAGGGGGGGATGCCATGGAAACGAAAAAGACGATGCTACGAAGGATCCGTGAGCAACTAACCTGTGGAAGCTTGTCAACAAACTCATCAACAAATGCTTCAATGCACGCTTCCTTGACCAATTTCCTCTTTACTTCTTCCGGCTCGTTCTCCCATTCCGTGCCAATGAGGCCATTCGCCACGTTTTTGTATATCGAGTCGTTGAATAGAAAGGGCTCCTGCTGGACCAGTCCAATCTGAGATCTCCACCACTTCAGATGGATGTCATCCAGAGCATGTCCGCACGTTGTGAGTGTGCCGCTGAGCTTCACTGGTGGGCCGGTGTCTTCCACTTTCGGGGCCTCAAGCTCTTCCTCAGCCTCGCCCGCCTTCTTCTTCTTCTTCTTCTTCTTTTCCGGTTCCACGGCCTCTTCGATAACGTATTGGTGCTTGAGCGTATACCATCTTTCTATCAATCCGACAACGGTACTCTTTCCTGATCCCGATGGACCGACAATGGCGTTAATTTTGCCTGCCTCAATGCGGAGATCCAGCTCGTCTAGGATCTTGACATGAGGACGGCTTGGATACGCAAAGGTGACTTTGTCGAATACAATGTCGTCTGTGGCAGAGACCTCGGGATCTGTAAGATGACCCTTTTCTGGCTGGGGTGCGTCTATAACAGTAAAGAACTGGCAGGCTGCAACTGTAGCTTTGCTAACAGCCAACATGGGGGTGGTCGTTCGTTCCAGCGAGAAAACAACGTTCATCACAGACATTAAAACGCTTCACAACTTAGTACCAGATCAAAATAGTCATCTCAAGAGGAAAACACTCACATGACAATTGTTCCAACATTATTGGCATGCCCCTCAGCTATTTCCTTGGTTCCATACCAGAATGCCAGCGCAAACGCCGAGAATACGCTGAAGAACTGTGGCGCTGTTAAAGACGCTCTGTTTTCTAAACAACAAAGGGCGTGTGTTACTTACGATCAATCCAAACTGCAGAGAAAGGAATGGAGATGTGTGCTGGGCATGCATTTTTGCTTCCTCGACAGATATTCCATACTTTTTCGCCATACGGCTCTCCGCGCCGCACGCTGAAATCATGCGAATACTAGCAAAGGTCTCACTCGCAACGGCAGAGGATTTCGCTTCGGCCTAGCAAAGACGTCAGTCCCGTATTGACAGCTGTATACCCATAATTAATATGATTGCTCACCTGTGACACTCGTCCGTGGCCTTTGACAATAAGAGGCATCAATACAGAGACAGAGAGTCCAATGAAGAGGATGGTCGAAGACGTAACCAGCGTGAGAGCCCAGTTTCGGGTAAACGCAATGATGATGGAAGCAACAATTGTCGCATTGTACTCGAAAAAGACACCGAGCTTTTCCGAAATGCCAAGCTGAAGAACGTTGCTGGTCGAGGTGATTGTTGTCGTCGCGTAGCCCGGCGGCATCGAGTCCAGAACATGGATGCTCTGGCCAAGCAGTGCTGTCAGGTAGTGCAACCGAATCGCCGAAGATATCCTAATTCCAATCATTCGAAAGGCAAACTATCGCACAGCATATATCTCTTAGCAGCCGAATCATTCAATATAGGGCAGGCATAATATAGACGAAAATGCCACGGGGCCTGTAATCAATGACAGGGGTTTTCGCACCTTGTTGATATAGTTGAGTCCTAATCGGCCGAGAAAGAGAGCAAACATGTATAAGCTGGTAATACGCCTAAGTAATTTGACACAAGATAAACATCAAGAATAGTTACTGACGACAACTTGTTTGCTCTTCGGTGAAAAGCTTCCTCGCTTTGGTTGGAGGGATCGGTAAAGTCGCTTATGCTGCCGACGAAATTACCTGGACAACACCGTAAACTTTCTGCACAACACGGCAACATGGGATGACAGAAATGGGTGTAAGAAGAAGCAGATCATTAAAGACATACCAAAGACTACATTCATCAACGGCAACGTGATACCAGCACCGATAGAAGCCAAGATGCCCGCCGCGTACGCAAAGAAGTCCCATTTCGTCGCATATTGAAAGACTCGCTGAGAAGCATTGATGCTGATTAGCACTCTCGGGTTCCATCGTTTTGTCTTTTGGTGTATTTATTCAGCAAGACACACCAAGTAATCTTTAAACGATGCTAGTCTCTGAGGCCGAGCCTTTGGCTGCTCTTGCGCCGGCTCAGAAGCGGTGCCATCGTCAACAGAGGCCGATGCCTTGTCATCCACAGGATAGCTCGACAGCTCGACGTCGGTCTCCTTCATCTCGAAGTGGTGACGATCCCAAATCCAATACTGATGGAAATCAAGTACCGGACCTTAGGCGAGAATTAAAGAAGACGAAGTTGATGGAGGCGAGCCGAAGCGCAGCTGAGGGTGTGCGCCGCAATGCATAAGTACCAGGTACAAGTACAAATGCGCGGTTGGCGGATGGCGATTGTCGTCATGAACCGATACGCTGGGCTTCCCAGGTCGGCCTAGTCCCCCAGCGCGATGCCGGAAACTCACCGCGAGTTCAAGCCCCTGAGGCCCTTTTTTAGGATACGGAAAATTAATTAGAGCTGGGCGGGCTTCAAAACGTGGAAACGATCAATACGCGGGAGCTGCAGACGGCGATTCGCAGTGGATACTGGTTCTGAGGTAGGGCGGCAGTGGCATGTTGGAGAGCTAGAGACTGGAGGCAGCCGATCAAATTGTTAGTGACTGGAGTTTTCATGGCGTGAAACGGGCTATTGGCAGCTTCTACTTGCAGCCCCTGCTTAGATGCCTAAGAGGAATCCATCAGTCATTAAAGCCATCATGCTACTGCTTCTAGACCTGCTGCTGCTCCATTCCTCAGCGGGTGGAGGGGCCAAATAGCGATTGATTGCAATCATTTCCCCAAGGACTCTTTTATCGTCTACTTGCTACATGTAGTTATATTTGGAGTATTCATGTCCGTTGCGCCAAATCACAGGCAACACTACTGAGGTACTCGGTGTTATAAACTCGCCTGTATGTACTCTGATACTGAGCTTCAATGAATCTGTCAAGGGCATTGGCATCCTAATTTCCCACAATAGCCCAGCGTAGCTCGTTGCAATCTGGCTTCAACTGCGCATCCCCAAGAACAAGCATTTCTTCGGTGCATCTCAAAGCGATACGAGTATGCACTCATCAACATGAAACTCTCACTCGGGATTACCTCGAACCCGCTATTAGCACGCAGGTAATGCTGGGGTTGGCCAATCACGGCGCAGCCACATACGTGTAAAGCCTTCTGCCAGTTATGTGCGAGCAATAGTAATCGACAGCAGACCTGGCCTTGTTCTGGAACAATCGCGCTAGGGCCAGGTGGCGCCGTATTGTTCGGTTTGCAGGGATGGATGACAATATCATCGCTAGACGATGGAATGCTGCTGGCTGGATTGAAAATGTACAAGTACAGTTGACAGGTCAAAGCAAGAGGCGTCGTGTCTGCGTCAATAGTGGCATCGTTTGATCTGGTTTTGACTCTGCCGGGGAGTTGATATAGCCCGAGAAGCCGTTCTGCAAATGGAGCATTTCCGGCACGCCACGCGAAAGGCAGCAGCCCATTGACTGCATGTCTCGCCTCCTATAGGCGGCACTTTAACCCAATCTGAAGAGCTTAGATGGTCTGATGTCAACCACCACCAGCACCGAAGAGGACACTTGTGCTTCTGCGCTTCGCATTGTGAGTCACGCATCGTCCATGCACTCGTCATGCTTCTCGAGGCGAATACGCACTACGGCTTCTCGTGGGGAATCTGGGGTTTTATCATCAAAGTGGCGATCAAAAGGGGACAGCTCTGCATTCGCTAGCTGGTTCTTCCCGATTTGACTACTACCCTGAATAGGTCTCTGACCAGAGTACATGATGCCTCCTAACCTTTAAAGCTGTACTCGGGTTGGCCCATTTCCGCTACATAGCTGCGTACAGTACTATGTAGTAAAGTATGACTTGCATGATATATAGGGCGAGATGGGTGCAGAGTGCACAGCTCAATGATGCTCGATGCGACCAAATTCTTTCAATCAATTCTAGTCTATTGTTCCGTGTTCTCAGTCGGTTATATGTACGTATATATATACATACTACTATTTGCGTTCGGCTATTATGTATTCACCAAAATTGAATCAAACGCATCCGATACAATGCAAAACACCACGAGCATCGCGTCATGCATTCCATTCAACCTCCATCAGACGTTTCGCTCATTGGAGCTGAGTTCTACAAGTGATTGAGCTCTAGGTCTACTGTTCGCAATCTTTATTCCTTATCGATAAACAAAAATTCTGCCCCGCCTGTCGAGGCACCCAAAATTGGCGGGGCTGACTTTTGCGTGACCCATACAAACAGCGCCGATGACTCCTGCCACAACTTCAAGCCTATTTTTTCCCCCTCCACCCCTCGGATGAAGATAGTTTTGGCTGCATTTAGGTCCCTTCGACCATATCGGCCATTGTCGCAATTGCAAAGACTTCGGCTTGCAACTCCTCTTCTACGTACTGCATCTTTGTTCCACTCACAGGCGCCAACCGTCGACATGGCTCCCAAAACCAAGTTCGAGCTAAAAACTGCCAAGGGCACAAAAGATTGTAAGTTGCGATACTCGATTCGCGGGAGCGCGAATGTAGCAAAAACTCGAAGCTTACTCACCCCACGGGAGTGGCAAGGAAATGGTCATTCGAGACAAGATCTTCAGCACCATCACCGAAGTCTTCAAGCGCCACGGCGGAGTCACCATCGACACACCTGTATTTGAGCTCAAGGAGATCCTCGCTGGCAAATATGGTGAGGACAGCAAGCTCATCTACGACCTTGCCGACCAAGGCGGCGAGATTACCTCGCTGAGATACGACCTGACGGTCCCATTCGCTCGTTTCCTGGCCATGAACAAGGACATTCAGAACATCAAGCGCTACCACATCGCCAAGGTCTATCGCCGTGACCAGCCCGCCATGACCAAGGGCAGAATGCGAGAGTTTTACCAGTGCGATTTTGATATTGCTGGCAACTACGACTCTATGCTGCCCGACGCCGAAGTCATCCGAATCATCACCGAAGTCTTTGAGGGCCTAGGATGGAACGGCGCATATACCATCAAGCTAAACCACCGCAAGATCCTGGATGGCATCTTCCAGGTCTGCGGAGTCCCCGAAGACAAGATTAGAACAATCTCCTCTGCAGTTGACAAGCTTGACAAGCTACCATGGGCGGATGTCCGAAAAGAGATGACCGAAGAGAAGGGCCTGGATGGGGAGATTGCAGACCGTATTGGAAAGTGGGTTGTTTTGAGGGGACGCCACGAGCTGCTCGAGAAGCTCCGCAACGACGAGAAGCTTTCAGCAAACGAGTCCATGAAGCAGGGCGTTGCAGATGTTACTCTCCTTTTCGACTATCTTGAGGCTTTTGGCGTTCTTGATAAGGTATCATTTGATCTTGGCCTGGCTCGTGGCTTGGATTACTACACTGGCCTCATCTATGAAGTTGTCACCGAAGGTTCTGCTCCGGAGGCAACACCAGGATCAGAAGCTGCGGCTGTAAAGCCATCCAAGAAGAAGTCAAAGAGCAATGGAGAGGACGAAGATCGGTCTGATGATCCCACCATCGGTGTTGGAAGCGTGGCTGCTGGCGGTCGATATGACAACCTGGTCGGCATGTTTTCCGGAAAGAATCAGATCCCTTGCGTTGGCATCTCATTTGGTGTCGATCGCATCTTCTCCATCATCAACGCTCGGATGGCTGCCGACAAGTCCGCCGAGCAAGTGCGTGGCAATGAAGTCGATGTCTACGTCATGGCTCTTGGTGGAAAGGGACTAGTCAAAGAGCGTTTAGAGATTTGCGCAAAGCTGTGGCAGGCTGGTATCAAGGTAAGGCATTATGTTTTCATGGAATTACACTTGCTATGAACTGTTGGTGGCCATTTACTAACGTATAATCTGCAGGCCGAGTTTCTGTACAAGGCAAAGCCCAAGATGCAGGCTCAGTTCAAAGCTGCCGAAGCCAACGGCGTGCCATTTGCCATCTTTATTGGCGAAGACGAGTTAGCTCAAGGCAAGATCAAGGTCAAGGAGATGGGCTTGAAGGATGGACACCCCGAAAAGGACGGAGTCCTGGTGGACACAGTTCGCATGGCGGAAGATTTGAAGTACCGCATTCAACGCAAGAGAGAACTAGAGAGCATCACAATACAAGCCGGGGGTCTGAAGGTGGTGGACGGCATTAAGGGTAACCAGGCAGCCAAGAAGGAGGCTGAAGCCAAGGCGGAGGAGGCCCCAGCAGCTCCCGCGGCAGATGCGACGACTGAGGCCCCAGCTTCATAGAGCAACATGACCGAATTGAAAAAAAAAGTTGAACGCTATGATGTGTCGCAATCGAGTAGCATTTTGCTATCTGGTGAAGTAGAGAGCAAGGTAGTCAGTATGCAGTCAGCCTTGAATTGGAATCTGACAGCAAGTCAGCCGCAAAGTCGGGTTTTAGCTAGAACGGCAAAGAGGATTAGCCGTTGGGGACTTATGCGCTTGGTGATATGCTTGTTGGGCCCCTAAATGGCCGAGTGTTAGCCACTGAGTTGGTGTTTATGTATTTGAAATAACGACATAAACAAAAAAATTAATTTTTCTCATGTACCACCCTAAATGATGATATAACCCAGGTTTCGTATACGTGATGTGTGTTACATAACAAGGGAAATAAAGTAATTACGCGCCTGAATTCGCCCACCCTCTGATAGTTGACCTGAATGTTCTCCATCGTCTAATACTTGCAGTTGGCTCATGACCGTCCGTGCTGGCTACCTAGATATGTATGACGTCGGAAATAAACCTACCCGGTGAGCTAGTGAGCCTAGCTGTTAGTAGATATAAGTTGATCTGTGACTAGTTGATGGAAAGAGAACCAACATCACATATCACAAAAGATAGCATATCGGAGTCGTGAGCAACACTATTCTCCAGTGTGGACGCACAAGTGCTTCGACGATAATAGTGTTCTTATGCACAGTATGTAATACTATTACAAAGTCTGATGCGTGATCGACGCAGTCTGCATAACGCACATGCAGCAAAGAGGGTCGCTGTAGGCTGGACGATGCATACCAGGTACCCAGCTTTCGGAGCGCGGCATCCTTGACACAATTAAAAACCTTACTCTGTACTAGGATTGCCAGATTGAATAGATCAACCTTGGGTGAGATATATGATTATAATGCCTGCTTTGTTGCAAATATAGACATTAAACATAACATTTATCATTTACCAATCTGATACGAGGTATGGAGTAAAGATTTTGGAGTGACCTGCAGCTACGATGCATCAAGATGAGCCGCCGATGTTGATAGCGCCAACAACACTGGCATACCTAGATAACAGAGTGGAGTTTTTACGGAACCTTATTGGTCTGCCGTTCCGAAATTGATGAGACTCATGATAGTGACACGCTGGGCTACGGGGAGATGGAAGTATTGAGAGACACTGCCGCTTTGTACTTTGTTTCACAGGGCATAGAAAGTACCGTCAAAGTACTAAGAGAACGCGTTTGAAGACACCCTCTTCTCGGATACCTGAGGTGGAAAGGAGGTGAATACGAGCCGTAATTCCAAGGTGTATGATGACAAGAAGAAGAAAAAGAGGGAAAAGGAAAGACAATAACAGGAGCACAGACTGCAACGCCTCAAAAGGAGACGAGAGAGTAATCACTAGGCTAGACGAGCGAACGGTCAGCGAACGGACGCGTCGTAACGCCCTGAAGCCATACAAAATGCAAAGAAGAAGAGAATCAAGTTTTGCTTTTTTGGGGTGCTGTCTTGGTTCGCTGCAGGAGAGTGGCTCCGGTGACTCTTGGATGCAGGTGAGAATTTCTTGTTTCGGTCTTTTATTATTTTCTTTCCTTTTCCCCTCTCTTTTTTTTCATTTTTTCATTTAAACGAGTGGGACGATAAGCAGTAGTGAGTAAACCGCTGGCTAGCGTCCAAATGGTGATATGTATGCTGTGGCATGTTTGTTGGGTCCCGGTATCTGGTTTGCATTAAGCGGTTGGACTTATATGCAGAAGTAGTAGGTTATAAGACGGGGAGGCTGATAGCTTGACTGGGCTACCTAGAGAGAATATCAAGATGGAAGCAACAGAAAAAAATAACCGGCTGATACATTAGGGCAGCAACGTGCATATGGATACTGCAGCGTGCATTCCCAATAATAAAAACAAACAACGCGAGACGCGGTAGCAGGTTCTGCGACTCAAGGAGGATTTGATTCGCGTCAATGCAGGCGGCTGGGGGCGGTACCTGCCTTGGCGATGCACCGGCTTTAGCAGATGCGGGTGGCGCATGGGGAAAGAACGACAGGTGCCAGGCACATACTCCACTCGCCCGTCGTTCCTGCTCTCGCATCACAGCTCACCTGCAGCGAGTTCCAGTGCACTGACAACCTCCTTCCGACATGTTGCGTTTGTCACGGGACGCAGAGCCTGGGATAACTCGGTGTCGTCCCCAGTACCGGGCAATCTTACCTCGTCCTGGTGCTACCTCGGGCTGCCATATTTCGCTGCTCATTTGCCCATCCGGACGGTGGCTCGCAGGCAACAAACAGGGCCTTGCCGCCTGTGCAGGCCCGCGGCCCTGGTCCCCCCCAATTTCACAATCTCGTCTTCGTGCCTGGGAGCGCCACTATTCGCAAGGCAGGGAGGCCGGGGAAGCGGGATCCAGGGGGCAAGGCCTGCAAACGCCAGCGTCTCATCCCGGCCAGCGCCACTCTTTTGCGGTAGCCGTACCGGTTGGCCGCTGAGTGACAGCAGGGTCTAAGTTGAACGAAAGGGGGATTGGGGCCAGGGACGCCGGCTGCTAACGTTATACTACAGTAGCAGCAGCACCGTATCGTTGGGAGCGGGCTTTTCACCAGTCTCCCGGGACGCCTCTATGCGACGTCGTTGGAGGGCTATCCTCAGCAAGGAGCCGAAACACAACGCCGCCGCCGCAGGGAACAGGCACAACACCGGCTCGCTAACAGCAGGGGATGCGGACGGCGCACCAATCACACCAAGCAACGCCAACACTGAGATGAGAGAGATGCGGGAAAGGGACTAGGAAGACCAAAGGCTCTTCCCCGAGGTGGCGGGCCAAGTCAAACCCCTCTCAAGCGGACCCCCGGGATGCCGGTAGACGTCTGTGTTGCGTCTGTCAGTCTTAGACAGCGCACGAGCGTTTTTGCTTTTTCCTCTCTCTCTTTTCTTTTTTTTTTCTCCCATCCCTCGCGTACTCGATTTTTGTCGCCGTTTTCACTCTCATTGTACTTCGTACAAGCCGGTCCTTAAAAAGCTCAACTCGCAGTCTCTCCCTCCCTTGGCTGGACGGTTTTTGAAATCGTACTTCTACCAGCTTCTCCATCCTTATTGTCTTGCACCCTGCCACTCACTCCTCCCTTTCCCTGCCTTTCATTAGTTTCACGGGTATACTTATCATCCTCTCTTTCGTTCTACGGCTTGAATTCAGACAAGTAGTTTTATTTCTTTACGTGAATAATATACGTTGCATACTACTCTTCGTCTCCAAGCCTTTATTCGTCGCTGCCACTCTCTTTCTCTCACACTTCCTCAACATTCTCTAATACCTATATTTGTGTGTTCCAATATATACATACATTCCTGGTCCTTTACAATCTCCTTTTTTCGAGTACGCTATTACGACACTGCTTCGTCAAACACTGTTTCCAGACTTTCCACACGCTCTTTTATCTGATCAAATTCGATTCCATCACCATTCATTCATCAACTCACAAGTTCATCTTCAATATGCCGGGTCTGATCCCCCTTCGCATGAGCGCGCTCATTCCAGCATCAAAAATCGCAACATCTTTCGCAGAAGGCAAATCCAATGCCACAAGTTGGGAGCCCACGCCGTACAAGCCAAGAACAGCTGAGATGCAGTTCCGGCAAGCAACGCGCGAGCGCATAATTCCCGAGCCTCTCATTACATCTAGACCAGCTCCTTCTACGCCTTCCCAGTGGAGGAGGGCGTTGGCTGAGATCAAAAGAGACTTCATCAACCGAAGATACCGGCACTGCTCTATGCGATGTCAAGAGATTCTCGACACCATGAAGGATTCGGTAAGATATACTTTACGCAGCGATGCGTCTTGCCACAATTTTATTAACATGATATTTCCCAGCACAAGCCAGACACAGCATGCCTGATCTATATCCGTTTCTACGGCGCATCTGCTCTTGAGATGCAAGTCCGCTCTCTTCATCACACGTCTCCTTATCGGATGAAGCTCCTCCTCCAAGCCCGCGACCACTACCGCGCCGCATCCGAACTCGCCAAAGAAGACGATGCTACTAAGCGGCGGCCCCCTTCTCGATCACTGTCTCCAATGTCCAGCCGACACACTCCTTTTGGATCGGACGCATCATTCTCTACAATCTCCTCCGGAAGCTCTGCTTCACTCTCAATCAGCTCTCTTGACAGCTGTCTGAAGAGCCCCGGTAGCCGGCCCAAGCAAAAGAAGCGCGTCGCGTTCTGTGACGTGCCCTCATATGAACCTTTGCACGAGTCTACCTTTGAGCCTTTTATTCGCCCAGACTCTCCAACCCTCGGTTTTGACGATGACTGGTGCCCCCGCCAACCTACTCCTGAGCCTCCGGTTCTCTATCCGGCTCCCATCCGACCCAGCTCTGGAAAGTCGCAGTTTCCACTCCCTTCTCCTACAAATTCAGAATTCAGCTCTACTCAGGGCGACGATGACAGCTACTTCGATACTCCCACTACTGCAGACAGCTTCCTCCATGCCCGTTCCGTCCACCACTATTGCACGGTACTTGCCAGCCTGCAGCGCCAAATCACCTCTCACCTGGAATGGTTAGAGCGTGATCTTGCTGCCGCAGAGAATCCCCAGCCTCCGCAAGTCCTCAGCGAGGAAATGCGTAGCCTGGAACTGCGCACGCGGATTGAGCGGCTGAGGGCCAGTGGCTGGAAGCGACAGCGTTTTGATTTCCGAAAATACGAGGCACTTCGAGAGAGGGCCTTGGAGGACATCAATTAGGGGTAGGCGGATGTGGTAAAAACAAAAAAAGTAAAACTGAAATTGAAAAAATATTGCTGTTTTATTGCTGTTATTGGCTAGAATTCGGAGTTTGCATTGTTTGATTGGATTCTTTGGCATTGATAGATGGCGTTATGGGCTGCTTGCCTTGGGATACTTGCTATGAAGGCGCTCGTTGGGAAAAGTACATAGATCTCCAGATTGGATAGGATAGAAAAAGGGACAAAAGATGCCCTCAAAAGCCATGTTTTTTACTTCAACTGTACCATCTCCCCTTTCATCCGTTGAAAATGAGCCAAATCGCCTTGTTCATGATTGCTATTCACGTCTCATCTCAAAATACTTTGCTTATAACCAATGTCGCGAGAAGAGAGAAAATTATATTTCGGAAAACCAAAAAAAAAAGGGAAAGCAAGAGACCAAAAAAAGAATATCCCAAAAAAAAGTCCTCATAACCAGTCCTTCTCTTTCGAGACGCGAGCGCTTTAAGAGGCGTCGCTAAAGCTACGCCGCTTCGCCTCCTTTCCCATCTCTTCCTCAATCTGCAGCGTCTCCTGCTTCTGCTTGACGTCCTTCAGCGCAAAGAGACCCAGGGCGTGCAACCGAGCGCCATCTCCCTTTTCTTGGCCACCTTGCACGTCTCCCATTTCCGAGTTCTCGGGGTCTTCTTCGTGTTCTCTGAGCTTGTTGATCCTGTTCTGAAGCTTGACAATTTCGATGGCGCGGCGGAGGCGGGACCGTCTGCGGAAGGCCTCGATTTCTGGCAGCAAGTTGTGGTCGCTGGCGGTCTGGCCGCTGAGCCAGATGTGGCCCAAAGCTTGCTGCAGGTTTGTTAGCTCATGTCTATGTGTGAAGTGCCAAAGGATCGTACCTCGCTGGTCCATCTCAGCTCAGGCTCTGGGACAAGGAGACGGTTGATAAAGTCCTTTGCATCAGCGCTGACATCCTTCCAGTATCTCTCGTGGAACACGACGTTGCCCCTTGTGCACTCATCAAGAAGATCTTGCAGGTTCTCGCTTCGGAAAGGGGAGTAACCGCAGAGCAGGGTATAGGTGATGACGCCCATAGACCACATGTCTACAGGCTTTCCGTGGCCTTTCTTGGCCATCACTTCAGGGGCCGCATAGCCAAAAGATCCAGCCATAGTCTTGAGTGTTTCGTCCTTGCTGTCCAGCGTCTTGGCAATACCAAAATCGGCCAGCACGAGATCGGAGTCGTCTTCGGCAGTAACATAGATGAGGTTCTCTGGCTTAAGATCTGCAACTTTACGTTAGTCTCACTTCAGATACTCGAGTAGATTCAGTTTTCAGGGAAAATCGCATACCTCTGTGGACGACGTCGTTCTTGTGCAGGTAGTCAACGGCGTCAAGAACCTGCTTGATAGTTTGCGAGGCATCTTTCTCAGTGAACTTGCCCCTGTCACAAATACGATCGAAAAGCTCTCCTCCTGTTGCCAACTGAGTGACAATGTAGAATTTATCCTGTGGCGCATGGTCAGCCAGGCTCCTAAGTACCCCATTCCTTCCCCTCCCTAGTAGTGTATAAAGTATCGACGTACTCTGGACTCGAACCAATCGACAAACTTGACAATGTGAGGGTGCTTCAGTCGTTGCAGCATGGAAAGCTCGTCATAGACCATCTGCTCGTTACCCTTGACGTTCTTCTTCAGGATGATCTTGACGGCAACCTTGCCAGTAGGGCCGTCTGCCTCACGAACGACTCCATAGGTACCAGCACCGAGGGTGCGTCCGAACTTGTACTTTGATCTATTTCAAGAGTTCGAATCGTTAATGCCGAGTTCAATGTCGGTAGTCTCTCAGGTTTTGCATCGTACTTTTTCTCATAGCTCTCGGGTTGCCCATGGAGGCGATTGAGCATGTTGGCGACTGAATCCAGAGAGAGCACCCGTTAGCAACCAGCACATGATCCCAAGCATTATTGAATAACGGGAAAAGGGACGAAACAGAAGAAGAATGTATCTGATAGTCTCGCAGATGGGGCTGCTACCATCTTCGGCCGTAGGAATACAGCGGTGTAAGAGAAATGCGACTTACAACTCATCTTGATGTCTGGCGGGGTATTTCGACGCGAGAGGCGGTATTCAAGCCAAGCTGCGATTCAGAGCGATTCAAGCACACGCAGCCCAAAGCTCGCAAGGGTCACCTAGGAAAGGGAGCCGCAGGATAATTATGTGCTGCAAAGAAAGCGGCGAGAGGCAGCCCAAGAGCAAGTAAAGAAGGAAAGGAGAGAAGAGAGAGACGAGGCGCCACAAAAGTCCAGGACGACAAGAGCCAGAAGCTGAAGGAGCTACAGCGACGGCTGAGATTAAATACGACCCGAGTAAAATATCAGCCCCTCACAGGCCTGGCGGTTTCCAGCCGTCAGCCAAAGGGGCACTAGCACCACAGCCATACGGCATAGTGGGGATAGCGCCAGGAGAGGGAGTCTGTCGCCGCCAAGGTACAACGAGCACTGTAGATCAACTAACAGCACCAGCTGAATAGCGCCCGTAACTCTGCTAAGAGTCCTAGACATTCTTTTCCTAAAGCTCAATAACATCAAATCACTTTTGACCACAGTTTCAACCAAAGGGGAGACGACAGTGTTCTCTCGGATGCGTGTACGCGTGTTGCACAAGCACATGTAAAATTATCCAATTCTTGGGCAAGCAAAGGCCCCCACGCAGCAGAGGATAGGTAGGTATCAACAGCCCTGCGTTCAAATCGCAGCCATGTCGGCATTTCCAGCCAGCGTCGGGGCGCCTTCGTGGCTGTGCCCGCGACAAGGTCTCCATCTGCTCTGGTCCGGCCAACGAGAGGTAATTCACCATCGACAATGTCTAACCAGCGCAGAAAAAGGGACGAATTAGACGGCAGATCATGTACCAAGACGTCACAACGGCTGGGCTGTGGCTCAGCGACCGAGCCGCAAAATTGCCATACCGACAGCCCTTTGACACATACAGCCCTCGCTTCGATTTTTGGGATACAACCACCTACCAGAGCAGGCCGGCATGTATGTCGAGGCTGTCGTCTTAGGCGGCCTCCGTCGCCATTCCGAGATGTAATGTGCGATATGCCAAGACAGCTGCCGAAGCACCGTGACGGCTTTTTGCAAGGCTGATTAGGGCTGCTTATTCGCCGCATCAGACTTCAAGTGTCTGATAATCCCTGGCGAGCGGCCTCTCGCAGTGGGTCGTGTGTTTTGATTCTCAGAACGACAGCGTTTGCCAACCCCGTGGGACGTGTTTATGCTGTTCGCGCTTGGGCGGCTAGCAGTGGGCACTAATGACTGACATGTCGCATCTGCTGATACATACTGTACAAAGTAAGGATTAAATACCTTGTATGATCCCGGCCATATTGCTCTGGTAGGCGTCATATTCGTCCGTGGACCGGGGGAGATGGCCAGGAAACTTACATACAGTCAAATATTCACAATATTGAGAGCTTCTAGCCCTAGGATTGGCTGCTCATCCAAAATGCGAGAGTCCAAGATGCATTCGATTGGCCAAGATGCAAATTAAAGGCGCCAGAGCTGAGACTAAGTCCATGATTTGACCATGAAAGGCCGAGCGAGATGAAAGTCAGCCTGCAGAAGCAACTTGGCTAATAATCCTAGGAGCGGCTATCCTTTGGGTCATGGCTCATCAATGATATCTTTGACAGAATGCGAATGCACTGACCCTTCTTAAGCACGTTTTATTATTCGGCATTTATCGCTAGCAAAAATACTCCCGAGATTAAACGTTGTATTGGCTGCCTCACTCTCACTCTCACACGAGTTAGTGTTCATGTTGTCCAGAGTACAAAATTGACTTCACATGAGATGATATAATGGGATTCTCAGCAAGGCCTCCAAAATTATATAACCGTAGGATTACATTTTGTGTTGATTCAAGGCAGTTGTCTGTTTTCGATACGCCACATCATCCTTTCCGAGACTACATATATACTTGCTAGAGGCTGATAGATTTGTCTTGATGTTTCAATACAATTGTTGATTTCAAGTAGTAGGTAGGCAGCATGTGTCATTCACATGTTGCGAACTGCTTTAGAAATATTAATACATCTTTCTCTCCTTTTTTTTTGTTTTTTCCTTCTTTTTTTTTACCTTGCCACAATTTTCTAATCTTCGAAGGAGGTCCCTTCACCTTTAAATAGCAGAATGAATTAGGTAGGTAGCTTGATAGCCAATTTGAAATGGTGGGGTGGAGAGAAAATGCGTGTAGGTACATGTATCGACGTACCTCTACAGCCGAATAGCAACTCGCTGAATGTTGGCACTAAAAAAAGGTGCTGATGAGCAAGAAACCGAAGCTATTGGCGATACCGAGATACCTACAAAGAAATCAATATTGTTGGTATATCCTGCATGAAACGCATACGTGCAGCTACAAGCGCTTACCTACATCCTTTCAGCCTGCATTCTGGATTCTGCAATTCTCCAATTCTATAGCAGCCGTCACCTGACAATATATGTGCAAGTACACATGTACCTTGTCAGACCAGCTTAGGCGCTGAATGGCTACGGTTGGCCGCGCAGAAAGCGCTGCTGCAGCACTACAAGGAATCTTGCGTCTTGAATCATGCACTGCACACGCTGGCGGTTCAAAAGATCCGCAACAGAGACCTGCTGCTGGCCTGATTCTTGCTATTGAAACAAAGACCGGGAAAAAAAAGGGAGGGCAGAAAAAAGGTTATAACTGCGCCGGCACCAGCGCCACACATGATCCAACCCCTCCAGCGCGTTTAAAACTTGGAATGCTGCCACGCAACCAGCCTTGCGAGTACAAACTTTGAATACCACAAAAATTAACCACCAACACAAGCCGCGCAATTCTGCTGTCGTTATTCTCAAGTTACGCTTCTCAATAGAAAGCCCCTGCGCAGCAAAGACAATATGGCCACGGGAATGCGAACGAAGAGAGTGGCCAAGGAGCGCCAAAAGGTAAGATGTTTCGCTGTGCATTTGGCTGGCACAGGTGCCCTTCTCCAGAGCTGACGCTACTGTAGATAGAGAAATTCGGTCTACCTCCCGGTATAGAGCTCGTGGACGGCGAAGACTTGAAGGAATGGCTCTTTGACATTCGTGTCTTGGACAACAACCCTCTGTATCAGGATAATGTCTATCGGCTGAAATTCGTCTTCTTCGATTCGTACCCCATAGGTACGTTCCTGCTGCCAGCATCCCCTCGGCGCCCTCGAAGCAATCAGACTAACAGACAAACCAGAGCCCCCAGAGGTCACCTTTGTCGACAAACCAACCCGCCCAGTCCCCATGCACCCACACATCTACTCGAACGGAATCATATGCCTTGACCTTTTGGGAAATCAGGGATGGAGCCCTGTCCAAAGCGCCGAGAGCATCTGCATGAGCATACAAAGCATGCTTACCAGCAACAGCAAGAACGAGCGACCGCCTGGCGATGCAGAGTTTGTGCGTGTGAACAGACAGCGACCACGAGATATAGAATTCTTGTATCACGACAATACCGTGTAACAGCCTCAATCCTACAGATGACTGCACCTCATTTGCTTTCTCGTCCTTTTTCTTAGTACTTCTGGGGGGGTTCCTGTATTTAGCGGTCATAATGGCTCATCGGCGTTCATGATACAACCCCTTCTTGCAGCATGGGACTAGACACATATCACTGCTTGTCTTGGGTCTTCTATCTGCTGATTTTTATTTGGGGCCAAGCAAGATTTTTTTTCGGCGGCTATTACGGAGTAGTCTGGGGTCTTGATTCGACGCCTCGCGCAAAGTCGTGCATGGCGCAACTAAGAGCGAGGACTGGCGGGGAGAGCTCAAGTACCTTTTGCGGCGTGGAGGACGACTATTTACATATATGCACAGCTTATAGAATTGGCTGGGGATTTTTATGCTATTCATTTTAGGCCACAAATAGCGTCAAAATGGACTATTTTTTGCCTTCTTTTGCGGCAAACCAGAAACAGTAAATATCCAATCTCATGGATGGCATGATTGCTGCTATGCCTGGACATATGACGTCGCCCCCTCCGCTGCTTTTTGTGCCAGTGACAGCTCTCCCCTCTGGCGGGGCTGGCCTCACCGCCCGCCGCAAGCCACACTTTGGCTCCCCTGGCTGCTACGGAAACCAGGACCTGCCTAGAACTGAAGCCTCATCTACCGCCAAATATCCCCCACGAGCTCTCTGCCGCGGGCAATCATGGCTCCCCGCGCGGAATTCAGCACCGAGCAGATCCGGGGCAAAGCTCGAAAGGACCTGCTCTACCTGCTCGAGGGTGTAAGTAAGGCTCACTGTCGCTGAGAGTTCGCTGGAAGCTCTGCCTTGCTAACCAGCAGCTTTCGCGCAATCTGTAGGTCCGCGGCAAGAAGAACCTCGTGTTTGATCGCAGCCTTGTCGGCCCCATCGGTACAATCGTCAAGGTCGCCACGCTCCAAGAGTACGGGGTCGACAAATTCTTCATCTTGGAGAATAATAATGTGGACGCGAGCCAGCGCAATGTCGTCTTTGTGGCCAGAGGCGAGTGCGGTCGGCATGCCGAGGCCATAGCAGGTAAGATGCAGGAAGCGACGATACCCATGCGGGCGCCCTACTCTGTTTCCTTGGCGCTATATTCAGCTCCATTGACTTGAGATGTCGTGGTCGCAGATGAAATGGTTTGCTAGCCAGCTGGTGCAGTGAGTGAGCTGACGCAACGTGCCCCTCCAGCGCAGATCAAGCGAATTCAGCGTGAGAGCCAGACAACTCATGACTTCCACATATTCTGGGTGCCACGTCGCACCCTTGTGTCCGATCAACTACTCGAAGAAGCCGGCGTTCTAGGCGATGTCAACATATCTGAACTGCCCCTGCTCTTCTTCCCGCTCGAAGAAGACGTTCTATCGCTTGAGCTGGAGGATTCCTTCAAGGACCTCTACCTGTCCAAAGATGTCACACCAAACTTCCTTATGGCCAAAGCGCTCATGGAAGTGCAGCAAAACCACGGCCTGTTTCCAAGAATCATTGGAAAAGGTGACAATGCGAAGCGGGTAGCAGATCTCCTCGTCCGCATGCGTCAAGAACGGCTGGCGGGTGAAGATGGGAGCGACGTCAAAACAGCGCTGACGCCCAGCACCACGAACGAGAGTGTCATCATCATCGACCGTGAAGTCGATTTTGTTACCCCACTACTCACGCAGCTGACATATGAGGGACTCATTGATGAGATTTTTGAAATTCAAAATAACCAGGCCAAGGTAGACACAACCATCGTCGGGGCACCGGCGCAATCTTCAGCGGCCACCTCACAAAGCAGAAAGCGGACGGTACAGCTCGATTCCAGCGATAAGCTATATGAGCAATTACGAAACGCCAATTTCGCCATCGTGGGCGGACTGCTCAACAAGGTCGCCCGGCGTCTGCAAAAGGTACAATCAGATTACGAGAGCAAGCACAAGACGAAGACGATTGCCGAGCTGAAAGACTTCGTGAGCCAACTGCCTGGCTACCAACAAGAGCACCAAAGCGCGAGGATACACACCGGCCTTGCTGAGGAAATCATTAAACACACACGAACCGATTTATTCAAGGGCCTTCTCGAAGTCCAACAGAATCTCGCTGCCGGTGCCGACCCATCGTCTCAATTCGACGGCATCGAAGAGCTCATTGCTAGAGATGCTCCCTTGCGGGAGACTCTTCGTTTGCTCTGCATCTACTCGTGCATATCTGGAGGAATAAAACCCAAGGATTTCGAGCAGTTTAAGCGTCTGATTCTGCAAGGATATGGCTACCAACATCTGCTCACACTTAACAATCTTGAGAAGCTGCAGTTGTTTCTATCGCGCTCTTCTCCACTAGCGGGAATGATCCCGATGGCGGGCAATGCTGGCGCCGACGGCAACAAGACCAACTACACATACCTACGAAAGCAGCTGCGTCTTATTGTCGACGAAGTGCAGGAAGACGACCCCAACGACATTGCATACGTTTACAGCGGCTATGCTCCTCTTTCCATCCGACTCGTACAATGCGTTCTTCAGAAGCAGTATCTATTGTCTATTACAAAAGGAAATGGCGCAGCGAATGCCAGCGGTACTGTCCCTGGTGCGGGAGCCCAAGGATGGCACGGATTTGATGAAGCCGTCAAGCATGTCAGGGGCCAGACTTTCTATGAGCTTCAGAAGGGCGAGGATAAAGCCGTCAAAGCTAGAACCCTGTTATCCGGCAGTGGACACAAGCAGACGGTCTTTGTCGTCTTCATCGGAGGTGTTACGTTTACAGAGATCGCCGCGCTAAGATTCATCGCGAAGCAGGAGGAGGGTAAGTCGTGCAAAAAATGCGGACGCGGTGCAAAAGCTAACAGCTCTTCTCAGACCGGAGAAATATAGTAATCTGTGCGACTTCTATAATCAGCGGGAACAGGATGATGGATGCGGCAACCGAGAAAGAGGCGTTCGCCCGCAAAGAGGCGACGCTGCCCAACAGCCCATAGGCTTTGGCGCATCGAGTCGTGAAACGATATTTGGAGTTTGGCGGCGTACTGGTCGGTGGGAGATAAATTCTGTGTGGCATGCACGCACCTTGATCGACATTTTGATATGAAAGCTTCTTTTCCCTCTCTCTTTCCTTATTTTTCCTTTTCTTCTCCTCTTTCCGTTTTTTCCTACAACCTCAGTCGCGCTGTCTCATCGCTGATGCCTCGTTGTTTGAAGTTCGTCCGGAGTCCATAACTCGAAATATCACCGCATTAGTTCGGAGTAGAGCGCGCCCCACATCAGAGAGCGCCGCGATTGGATTGTCCGTCCCACGTGACCAGTGCCTATGCGATTGAACTCGGCGTCCTTGAGGGGCCATGATGAGCTGATGGCCTCTATTATTCCTGCTTATTGGCCCTTCCTTGCAGTAAAAGACGGACGGCTGCGCTGTTGGACTCTTTCTGATCCCAGCCGAAAACTCATTCAATGGCCCAATAATCAATCATCTCAGCCCATTTCGGATCTGCAGTGCGGCTCTTGTAATCACTACTCCTTTAGACTGCTCTTCAGCCGCTGAAGCCTCCAGGCCATCTTATTCCGCTTACAACAGCAGGTACATATACACCAGGCAGTGAGATCAATGGAGGTCTTTGGCTGACATCTCGATTAGACAGAGGCTCTTCATGACAGGCCCTCTCATGATATGATGCATTTGCCCAGCGTCATGCTGTACATGTATGACATAGTGCCGAGTATCGACCTCCAAAACACCGTCGCCATTCCGACATCCGTAGCCTCTCATACATCGACGCCGAACCGTCCTAGCCGTCGTTAGAGCAGGTGCCTGGTTGGGCTCTTCACCATGGCAACTGTTTTCGAGAATCGCCTCAGACTAGAAAAGGAAGTCCCGGCTGGGCAGATTTTTTCGCATGCGCAAGACATCGACTCTTCATCGATATCAAGCTTAGCGCCCGAGTCCGTCTCCAACAACCAGGGCCACATAGCGGTGTCACCCAGCAGCAGTCTAAGCACTCCCCAAGCATCGAGGCAAGGCTCATCTGATGAGTCTTCAGAGGTCGCGCCTGAGATTGTTGTGTGGACGGAAGATATGGATTTGAGCAGCAACTTATCATCCCAAGACCCGGAAGAGACTTCCAGCATGCATCTCGACACGGAGTGAGTTTTGGCCACCACAAACACCCTTGAGAGAAGAAAAATGGCGAAATTGTTTTCACCTCTCTATCTGGTCTATTGTTCACTACAGTTTTCATGTCCTTTTTTTTTCCTTTTCCCTAACATCTCGATAGTGATGAAAGGCCTCAATTCAGCGACCATGCCCCACAGCAAGCCGAACCTAAGGAGGATGCTTTTACCGAATCATTCTCCTCCTCGCACTCTGCATTGACGGAGCTTTCAGAGCCTTCGTCTACCCCATCCATTGTCTCTAGTAAAGCCACGACGCCTATCGAGACAGAGTTACCTAGCCATCCGCAATTTATTGAGGCTACGTCAAGTTTTTCAGCCTCATTACATCGCCATGATATCGAGAGTTTAACCTTCAACATTCGGCCAAAATCATCTATACCAACTGATATCCCATCATATCAATATGCCCGCGAGTGCATCGCCGCAGCCGAATCATCGCGACTCAATCCATACGCGCTGCATCCTGGAGAATATCATTTCCTACGCCACCACATATCTCATACTCAGGTTACGACGTATCTAAACATCAGAAACGGAATACTGCGTATATGGATGAAGCAGCCGTCAGTTGGTGTAACGCGGCAAGACGCAGTCGGATGTGCAAATGCACGCTGGTTTGATGCTGCAAACGTGTGCTACGACTGGCTAGTTCGCAACGGGTACATAAATTACGGTTGCGTGCAGCTTCCTAAACCCCAATTGGAGTTCAGGAACGGGTCGCCCACAACGAAGCGAAAGACCATTGCTGTTATCGGAGCAGGTATCTCAGGCTTATCCTGTGCCAGACAGCTAGAGAGCCTGTTTACACAATATGCAGGCCGATTCTATGCAAGAGGAGAAGAGATACCAAAAGTGATCGTTGTCGAAGGTAGAAGTCGCGTTGGCGGTAGAGTATATTCTCGCGAATTCAAAACAAAAGCAGCTGGAATTGAGCCTGAGTTCAAGGGGAAGCGGCATACTGCCGAGATGGGCGGTATGATTATCACAGGGTTTGATCGTGGCAATCCCATGAATGTTATTGTCCGTGGGCAGTTGGGAATACCATACCACGCACTTACTGCTGAAACTACAATTTACGACAGCAATGGCAAACCTGTGGATCCAGTGAGGGATCTACAGGTTGAGAAGCTCTACAATGACTGTTTAGATCGTGTCAGCGAATTCAAGTTTAAGTCTCAGCCATCTAAGCTGATCGAAGGCAATCGTGATCTTCTCGACGAAGGTCGGGATAGTCTCGGGGATGGCTCCAAGTCGATTATCCAAGCTGAGGAAGCAACCGCCGCGCTTCCAGATGCCCCATCAGTATCACAACAAAACGTACCGGAAACTGTAAATATGGTTCCAGTGTCTGCGGACAAACTAACAGGACGAGTACATACCGAACCCGGTGTTCCCGCGACTCTAAAAGCTTCAGAAAAGGCAAAACTTATGGGGTGGAGCATTAAACCAGGAGCAGCAGACAAGGGCAATCTCGATTTAACCCAAGCCAGCTCCCTGGAGAAAGCAACGCTGGGATCAGTTTTGGATCATGCCATCACCCAGTACAAGAATATTGTTGATTTAAACGCACAAGATCACCGATTGATAAACTGGCACATTGCCAATCTGGAATACAGCAATGCTACGAACCTGCATAAACTAAGTCTTGGCCTCTGGGACATTGATGCAGGCAACGAATGGGAGGGCAATCACACAATGGTCGTCGGCGGGTATCAAAGCGTTGCCCGCGGCCTGCTCCAGTGTCCCTCGCCGCTCAACATTACGACCAAATTCCCCGTCCAAAAAATCACCTATCACGGTGAACGCTTTGATGGCCCCGCTACCATTGAAAGCGAAGACGGCACAAAGGTGGAAGCAGACGCTGTTGTCTGCACGATACCACTGGGCGTCCTAAAACAAGGAAACGTGATTTTTGAGCCTCCGATGCCTTCCGAAAAGGCGGATGTGGTTGGCCGTCTAGGCTTTGGCATCCTCAATAAAGTCGTCTTACTTTACGACAGGGTGTTCTGGGATTCAAATAGGCACATATTTGGTGTGCTCAGAGATGCTCCTAACAGGCATAGCACATCCCAGCAGGATTACGGCGTGAACCGTGGGCGCTTCTTCCAGTGGTTCAACGTTTCCAATACAACTGGCCTGCCCTGCCTGATCGCGCTTATGGCTGGCGATGCTGGCTTTGATACAGAGCATACGAGCAATGACAGCCTTGTCGCCGAAGCCACAGAGATCTTAAGAAGCGTATTCGGTAAAGATGTTCCATATCCCGTAGAGACAGTAGTAACGCGATGGGGTTCGGATCGATTTGCCCGTGGAAGCTACTCTTCTGCCGCGCCCGACATGCAACCAGACGATTATAACATCATGGCCCAGTCTACAGGCAACCTATTCTTCGCTGGAGAGCACACCATCGGTACACACCCTGCAACTGTGCACGGAGCATATCTGTCAGGACTACGCGCCGCCTCTGAAATACTGGAAGCAATGATTGGTCCCATTGAAGTTCCGACTCCTCTCGTCCTCCCGAGGGACTCACTTCTGCTGCATAAACGTAAGGAGGCAGCCAAGGATCCCCGGCAGGCGCGCTTAGAAGCATACGAGATAGAAATATGGGAGCATGTCCTTTCAAAGATTGGCGAACGGCCACTCCGTCCAAACAAGGTGTCCGGCAGCGCCTACATCATATTTAGCAAAACCCACTTGGACGCCGCGAAAAAGAGGTGCGAAGCAAGCCGCAAACCTGGCAGAAGCCGGTCAGTGCCTAATGAAGTCCGCATCATGATGTCCCGCATGTGGAAGGAGACTACTCCAGACGAGCGAAAGCCGTACGAGGAGCAGGCCGCTGAACAGAAGAGGCTCTACTTGCAAGCCATGCAGGAGTATAATGGGCTAGCTGAGAAGTGGGATCGCGAGGCTATCGCTATCCGGGCTGCCTACGAAAAAGAACATCCTAGCCTGCCAGGCCCAGAGGAGGGCCCGGAAGATCTCTCGATGACGCCGAAGCATCGTCGGGCCAGGAATGTGAGCTATACAGATGTCAGAGATTACGAGTAGGAGTTGTAAAATGACGAGGGATCTTCTCGTTGCAAAGCATTTAAAACCATGGCGTTTGGATGTCTAATTTCCTCCTAGGTCCCGCGGGATCGTGGGAAAGTTTTATGAAAATCTCTTTTTTTTTTTTTTTACGTCGAGGATAGGGGTTCCATGATTGGGGCGCAAGGCAGTTTTCATGGGATGGATTTTTTTTTATGTGTGTCGCATGTCTGCCTATAGTTTATAAGTAATTCATACCTACCTACCTACTCTAGGCATCTAATAATCAATGGGACGCTGTGATTCAACCCTTTACTTTTCGCTTTTCTCATCTTAGTACTTAAACTGTATACACTTTTGGTTCATTTTCCTCTTTTGATCTACTAAGAAAATTTATTTGTGGGTTTGATACACTGGCTGGGGGACCACCGCGCTGGGTAACCTCTAGCTTCGATATTACAAAGGATGGGGGGGAAAAGCTCAGCGCGCCAGCTCTCTTTCTACCAACATAAAAAAAAAGATGTAAACTTTATTCTTCTTCTTCTTTTTTTTTACATATCGGCGGAGGCAGTAGCACCAGTAATAATCTCGACCAGCTCTCCGGTAATGACAGCCTGTCGGGTACGGTTGTACAGAATCTGGTATCTGCCAATCATCTCACCGGCGTTCTTGGAGGCGTTCTGAGAAGATTTGAATTAGTGTTTGATAAGGGAACAAAAGGGTATATAGAAGAAATTAATAAAAACTCACGTCCATGGCGTTTCGTCGGGCAGACTGCTCGCAGGCGTGACCCTCAGCCAGAGCCCAGTAGAGGGAGTTGGCAAGGCTGTACTCGCGGAGGTTGCCGAGAGCCTCGTCCTCAACCTCAAAGGCAGAGATGTTGGCTATGTGGCTGTTAGTATTATGCCCTGATCAAAAAAAAAAAATGGCAAGCACAACATACGGGACTGGGAAATGGCCTCCTCGGAAAATGCCTCAATGAAGGTGGGCTCGTAGCTGGTGGCGTTGATGAACTTGTTGTACAAGATCTTGACGTCGGTGTACTCGGTGGGCAGGTTGACAATCTGGTCGGCGATGGCCTGGGCATCGGCAAAGGTAGGAATGTCCTTGCCAATACCGGCGAAGCTGAGCTGGATGTTCTTGGCGTTGGTTCGCTGCAGCTGAGCCTTGCTCTTCTCACCAATGAGGACCAGGTCGAAGTTCTCGCCCTCGGCGAAAAGGCGACGAATGGTACGGGACATTCCGGAGTGAATACCACCGCAGAGGCCCTTGTCGGAGGAGCAGACGATGACGAGGGACTTTTTCTCGTCGGCCTCGGCGGCGGCGGTCTCGGCGGCCTCGAAGACCTCGTTGGAGGTCTGTCCGTACTTGCGGGAGTCGTTCATGCTGCGGGTAGCACGGGTGAGCTTGGTGGAGGCGACGATCTTCATGGTGTTTGTGATCTTCTCAATGTTTCGAATCGACTTGAGACGAGTCTCGATCTCACGGAGAGTCGCATAGGTGGCGGCGGTGCTGGGGCCAGCAGCAGCTCTAAAGCAGAGTCATTATTAGCCCCAATAAGTCCGTTGAACTTTGCATTTTCCCTCTCTTCTAAGCAGTTAAATGAAGTAATTCGCCCTCGCATCCCTCCAGTAGCCGCAGGCCCCTTCGCGTTGGTTGTCGTAGAGGCGTCCATAAAAAATCGCAAAACTCGTTCGCGGGCCGCTTCAATGCGGCTATAACAAATTCTTATAGATGCTAGTTCCCGAAGAGAAAAAAAACTTACCGCGAGGGAGCTGCAACTGCAGCTCGCAGAGCAGGTCGGGCAGCCCTTGACAGCATTGTGGCAAGTGTGAGAAGTCGAAGCTAAGCCCTCTGGTCGACGCAGACCCAATTGATCGTGACGGCAGCGGATCAATTGACGGGGTGTTCGTGGGGATGCGGTTCGGGTTGTTGAGTGATTGCAGTTTTGCTCACTTTCTCGGCAAATCGACGGGAGACCACGGGAGGACCAAAGGTATCTTCGTACCTGCTATACCGCTATATGCAAAGTGTGGGGACTGCAGCCTTGTTCGTGCACTAACAGCTGTTGCAGGTGGCATACGAGGAAAAATGTTATCCTATTGTTGCAGCGGGACCCGTTACGGCGATATTTAAAGCGGGTCTACTAGATATCACTATAAAACATACTTAGGATAGCTGCATCGAAGACGATAGATGCATAAGGCTTTTCATGCCGAAAACACGAGGGCGTTCCTTCTTGAACTCTTTTTCCGCCCAGCTTTTCTGCCTTCTTTAGACTCTCTCTCGCCTTAAGGCTGTCGAGGTTAACTTCTCGCCAGCCTGCTCTAAAGTCAGCAGATCTGTTCTTTTCATTTTTCCCCCGATTCTCCCTCGGCCTTGCACTTGGCAATCGCGGCTTCAGCATTCCTTCGGTCTCTCGCGCCTCATTCAGAGCCTTGCATCTATCGAGTGCCAGCCGGTCCACGCTACAAACCATGGCTTCCGACAGCTCAGACGACGATCTGCCTATTGCGAGGACAAATGGGCGTTGTGAGTCATCTCCAGTTTGCATCCTGGCTTTTTTTCCGTCTTTCTCTTCTCTCTCTTCTTCAGTTTTCAAACTCCCAGGATCGATCTATTCTCGGCACACGCGCGATTGCGCTGGCGCTTACGGTCGAGACACACCTCCATGTCGAATCGCGCGCAAGTAAGCATTGGCTACTGGCTAACCGTGGCATCAACTCTAGTGTCATCCTCGAAGATATCTCGCGCCCAAGACATCGCCTTGGATAAGTCCATGTCCAAGCCCTCTGGAATGGCAGGCTTGTCCATCCGAAATGGACCTGTTGAGAACGGCGAGATGGATATGGATTCGCCGTCTACCAACGGATCCAAGCGCAAGTCACGAGATTCGATCACCAAGGTTGACTACAAGGATGAGTCGGAAAGTGATGGGGAGCCTCTGGTAGGTGATGCCCTTGATAACTTTGATGGCGATATTGGTGTAAGCGCAGTCAGCTAACACTATGCGCTGTAGGCGAAACGACAACGATCCAAAAAGGTCCGGGAGTCGGATTCAGATGATGAGCCTATGGTGAAGGCCAGAGGGAAGAAACTGCCGCCGTCTTACAAAGAGACTGCGCTACCTGAGTCCTCTTCTGATGATCAGCCACTCGGTGTTAAGCTCGCTAAGAAAAAGGCTGACATCGAGAGGAAAGGTGAATTGGAGGCCAAAGCGATTCGTGCTAAGGAAGCAAAGGCAAAGGCGACATCGAAGAAGGCCGTGAAGAACGAATCAGATGACGACCTGCCTCTCGCGTCATCCAAAAAGCGACAATCAAATGGCACGACTGCAAAGAGAAAATCTACGGTCGTGAAGAAGGATGAATCTGACTCTGACGCTCCCATCTCCAAGAAGTCCAAGGCTGCCAGTGCCCCTGCCAAGGGGAAGAGAGCCTCTTCGGCAAAGGATACAAAGGATGTTAAGAAGGGCAAGGCCAAGTCTAAGGAACCCAGCGATGAAGATGAGGAAGAGGGATTCGAGTGGTGGAACGCGCCAAAGAAAGAAGATGACAGCATCAAGTGGAATACTCTTGAGCACAACGGAGTTCTCTTTGCGCCAGAATATCAACCTCTCCCAAAGAACGTCAAGATGTACTACGATGGAAAACCTGTAACCCTCAGTCCGGAAGCCGAAGAAGTCGCCACCTTCTGGGCGTCAATGATGACCGCTGCTTCCACTCATCACCTTGACAACCCTGTCTTCCGCAAAAACTTCTTCACCGATTTCTCTGATTTTATCAAGAAGCATGGCGCTAAAGACGCGAGTGGAAACAAGATTGACATCAAGAGCTTTGACTTGTGTGACTTCTCCAAGATTGCAGAATATTGGGCGGCAAGGAATGAGGCCAAGAAAGCTATGACCAAAGAGGAGAAGGCAGCTGCCAAGGCCGAAAAGGATGCACTCGAAGCTCCATATCTTTACTGTACGTGGGACGGAAGAAAGCAGAAAGTTGGCAACTTCCGAGTAGAACCTCCCAGCTTATTCCGTGGTCGAGGAGAGCATCCCAAGACTGGTAAAGTCAAGACTCGAGTTTTACCGGAGCAAATCACCATCAACATTGGCAAGGGTGCCAAAGTCCCAACTCCGCCAGCTGGACATAAGTGGAAGGCCGTCCAGCATGACCAGAAAGCGACATGGCTTGCCATGTGGCAGGAAAACATCAATGGCGCTTACAAGTATGTCATGCTTGGCGCTGCCAGTGATGTCAAGGGGCAGAGTGACTTTAAAAAGTTCGAGAAGGCTCGTGAGCTCAAGAAACACATTGACAAGATTCGCCGAGATTATACCAAAGATCTTAAGAGTGAGGTTATGGCGGATCGTCAAAGGGCTACAGCCATGTACCTGATTGACAAGCTTGCTCTCAGAGCTGGAAACGAGAAGGACACGGAAAACGAGGCCGATACTGTTGGCTGCTGCTCATTGAAATACGAGCATATCTCCCTGCAGCCCCCAGACCAAGTCACATTCGACTTTTTGGGTAAGGACAGTATCAGGTACAACGAGACGGCCCGCGTGGATCCCCAAGTTTTCAAAAACTTGAAGCTTTTCAAGAAGGCGCCGAAGACTGATGGCGATGACCTCTTTGATCGTCTTAACGTAAGTAACATGACATCCTATACGATCTAAACAACTAAAAATAAATCACTAACCAACTCCTAGACATCTCAACTGAACAAGCACTTGAACAGCTACATGACTGGACTGACGGCCAAGGTCTTTCGTACTTACAACGCGTCTCACACCATGTCCGAGCTTCTCAAGGAGCTGGGTAAGGACCCACGCTCTCGAGGAACTATTGCGGACAAAGTGAAGCTGTACAATGACTGCAATCGCAAGGTTGCCATTCTTTGTAACCACAAGCGAACTGTTGGCGCAGGCCACGAGCAGCAGATGCAAAAGCTTGGAGATCGCGTAAGCTCCTTTCCTCCCCCTTCTATATATATATATATATATATATATAACGAAGACAAGCTGCTAACTAGTTTTCAGATCAAGGGCCTCAGATACCAAAAATGGCGCACAAAGAAGATGATCCTTGACCTTGATTCAACTCAAAAGAAGAAGAAGGGCGCAGCTTATTTTGTGCGGGATGAAGATCTCGAGGATGAATGGGTCAAGGAGCATCAGGCTTTCTTGGTTGATGAACTCCGCACCAAGATCCAAAAGAAGTTTGAAAAGGACAACGAGAAGCTCAAGGCTAACAAGGAGCGAGTGATGCCTGAAAAGGAGCTTAAAGAACGCCTGGGGGCAGTTAAGGAGATGGAAGCCAGATTCAAGAAGGAGAATAAAACTGGCAAAGTCGAAGCCGAGGGCAGAGGCGCGTCAGTCGACAAATATCTGTCTGCTATTGAGAAGATAGATGAGCGTATCAGGGTCTTGGAGACTCAAGCCGAAGACCGTGATGGCAACAAAGAGGTTGCCCTGAGCACTTCGAAGATTGTAAGTGGAAGAAGATTGCAATCAAGGCAAAAGATACTAACAATGGACTGCAGAATTACATTGATCCTCGTCTGACGGTAGTGTTCTCGAAGAAATTCGATGTTCCTATCGAGAAATTCTTCTCCAAAACTCTGCGAGACAAGTTCCGATGGGCTATCAAGTCTGTCGAAGACGCAGAAGACTGGGAATTCTAAGCAGAATTCACAGAGACGAAGGCTTTCACGGTGCTCACTGTAAGAACATTAATTTCTTCTTTTGTTGCTTTTTGCTTTTTCCTTTCCTCTTTATTGAAGTCAATCTGCGGCCTCCACAAACAGAGGCATATATATATATATACAATATACATTTTACAGTAAAGGTCGCGGGCAATCTGCACCTTGAGGAATCCAGCCCAAATATCATTCAGATAGACGCGGCGCAGCAAACAGAGCACTTTTTTTTTTTCCAAGTTTTTTTCATTCAACTGTATTTTCACGGCTCCCACGAGACATGGTACGATGGAGTTTATGAGGGGTGACGGCGAAAAAAAAGGAGAGATTCGAACATGGTCACACGCACACGGCGGGAAAATTGGGAGGAGGCTCGCACACGCACACACAAACGTGCTTATTTCGGGGTGTCTAGGGCGATGGACGGAGTCGTAAAGGGTAGAGAGATACGGTTGAGGGGGAAAGGGATGGGGCAGGTATAGGAGATAACGAGAAACATAGCGAGGAATCTAAGATAGCTTTGAGCTGGTATAGCTTGAGCCATGCCGTATTGCTTTAATTGATGATTTTACTTGATGTTTTTCTTTCCAAATTGTTAGATGTGAGATGGCCTTGGTGTTTGCTTCATTTCACGGTCAACGATTGTCGCATAATCAAAAGCGTTCAACGGGTGATGCAGGTTATCGGCTTCATTAGTATGTGAGCTAACGCCTGCCTATACACTTGGAGTATATACAAAGATTTGATATCAAAACAGCATAATGCGACTGCCAACTTGACCATCGTTCTCTTCATGCTCATGCCATCTATAGTGAGTATCCAAAAGCTATGTATGCCGTGATATAACGCCCTAGTAAAATGCAATCCCCGTGTGGAGCACTATTCCTCTTGTTTCTTTTGCCATTTTATAAACCCCAATCAGCGTCTTCTTCCCCAATATATACATATATTCCCACCATTCATTATGCATCATCAGCCATTAAAACCGCTATTGGTTTGTTCGTGCACTCGTCATTATATTCTTACAGCAAGTGCCAGCGCACCCATGGCCACGTGGCCCAGCACAACCATCAGCAGCGACGGTATAGGCACACCCAAAGCTGTGCCAGCGTTGTCACGCGCAATCCTGCCATTGGGATTGATGTGCCATCCACTAGGGATGCTCCCCCCTGTAGCAGATACACCATCAAGCCAGGGGAAGTCAGTCTGGGTGGCAGTAGCTGGGCTTTTATCCGTGCCGATGCCGCCCACGGGGATGGAAAGGACAATCGACGGGGAGCTATCAGGCGTGCTGGCTGTGGCTGTGGCAGTGAGGTCACTCTCGCCGTTTGCATTGCCATTAACTTTGCCGCCGACAGCTTGAATCGACTGCCACGAGCCAGAATTGTTGCTGTAGACATATTGCTTGCCCGTCGAGTAGTCTGTGATGCTGATGCTCTGTACCATCATGGTAAAAGGGCCTTTGCTGAAGTCAGTAGGCCCCTCGGCCCATTTGACAGTGCCTGGGGCATTGGTGGCTGGATCACCACCGGCCCAGGAACCGAACTTGACCTGCATCGGTGTCTGCGGGTATTGGTTCGATTCAGCATCAGCCACGGTCAGAGTGCGCAACACAGAATCGCCCGCCTGCCAAACAATCCTGTCTTGGGTCCAGTCCACCGTATACTTGATCCAGTTTGCCTGGGTGCCCGAGACGGTGTGGAACTCTCCACGGTTGTAGGATGTGGTTTGGCCCTTGCCAAAGTAGTTGGACTGCATCTGGTCTGGCTCAGCCCCAAGCCACTCCATATCAATCTCATCAAGGTCATCCGACTGTAACACCACCGATGAGACAATACCGGCACCAGGGGCAGCTTTCATAGTGACTTCCACCCGGCCAAACATGATGTAAAACACGGAAGTGAGCTGTGGAGCATCGCCACCACTTGCAACGGTGAACGAGGCCCCGTTGCTGTTGTATGTTGGCGCCCCAGATGCAGCGAATGAGTTGACGCCGCCCTTGGTAAAGTCAACGTTGATGCTCATGCCCAGAGCCGTGTCCGCGGGACATGAGCCTGCCCAGCCGCAAAGACATCTCAGTTAGAATCAAAACTGAGTCAACTGTCGGGATCGATCAACTCACTGGTCAATGGATTGCACCGGCTATAGGTCTGTGCCAGAACCGCTCCCGGCAGCGCCAATGCAGCTGCAGCCGCGCAGGCAAAGCTCGCCGCTCGTCTCATGGCTGCAAGGAGTGCCAGGAAAGTGACGGGTCGAAAGCAGGAACAAAAGCAGCAAAGGATAGTCCCTGCAAGCGATGCAGCCTCGTGCAGCCTGTGTGGCAGAAGGACTGGGCTAGTGCCACGCAAGGGCGAGGCCCGATAAGATAGTGCAAGCAAGCAAGCAGGCAGGCAGAAAGAGAAGCGAGAAATAAAACCGCTAGGTATTCGTGCTTGCACGTAATAGGAGCCGATGCTGCGTGATGCTGCTATCTGTTGCTTCCAATATGTACGTGCGTGTACGTACTCCCCAGCTGGTCCAAAGTAAAGCGCGCACAAAAAAAGCAAAAAAGGATATGCAAGGAGACTCAGACTATGCCTCTCAGCATTCCAGTCTCAGAACGGCTTCAAAACGAGAGGGAAATGGGGGAAAAAAAGATGTGAAGCAACGCAAAGCTGGGAGCTGCGATGCAGTAAAACCAACCAGAATAAACAAATGGCTGGTTATAAGCGGGGGCGCCTTGCACCTTCCCAGCCACTCGAGTTGCCAAACGTCTTCGTCATCGAGGCCAACTTCCAAGGCAGGCTCGTATCAAATTAACGCTACTTCTGGAGTAGTTGCCGTGTGCTTGTTTCCTGCTTTGCTTTTTTTCTCAGGTCTCTTTCCTTGCCTATGTTTCTTTTGGCCCTCGCCGGTTCTCGCACAAGACGTGTGTGGAAACTGGGCAGTTCCTCCCTCGCATCAACGACCCACCGCCTTCTCTCAATTTTCACGTCCAACGCAGTGCCATTTCTCTTATTAACCGAATCATATGCTTTCCCGCTTTGGCATTTCTGCCTTTTCCTCATTCTCTGCATAATGCATATGCAGCCGTCGTTAGTGACTTTTTTTTTTCTCGCAGTCTTTCCCTAGACTATGGGGAAAGAGAGCATCTTCTTCATCTCCCAGCGTGCATTGGCGGTCAACCACTCATGCGCTGGCGTCTGGAGTGACAGCTGTCCGACGTACCCAGCACCATTAATGCGGGTGGTTGGGACTTGACGCAGTAGCATGGCCGGCCCCTCCAGCCGCGTCCCGATTGGGTGTCGCTGCTTGAGGCCCAAAAGCGGGCCCCGGAGCCGAAGCGCAGAATCTCGGTGAGGGCAGCTCGCCGGCCTCCCGGCCTACCCTACAGGCCTTATATGGAGCTGCAGTACATGCTGGAGTCCATTGGGCTTCTGACGTGGCGGCCGAAGGTGGAGGAGCGCCGGCAGCATCGTACGGGACATGCGGTGAAGGCCCGTCCATTGTGCCGTTTACCAGCGGCGGACTGGTGCTAGGAAGCATGCCGTTGCGGTTTGACAGCCCCAGTTGTGACGTGGTGCTCCTCTGAAGGCTTCTAACTTGCTCAAGCCTGTGGGAATAGCAGCACTAGCAGGCAGTTGCGTTCCCATAGCCATGATGCTTGATACCTTACTGTAGCATACAAGGACACTATCGACATGGCCAATATCATATCACATCACACACCCCGCGGGCTCACTCCCCAAGCGCAGGGAACGGGCCCTTGCAGCCTCCAGGACACAGCATTTCAAGTCTACCTGCAGTGCGCCGGGGCATGAACTAGACAGCAGCGTATCCATCATGAATATCAAGATTGTGACAGAGCCTAATACCCGTATAGTATGTAACTCACCAGCTATGCTAGTACCGTACAGTAGGTCTGGACGCTGTGGTGTCGTGTAGGGAGCATTGTGGCGGCTCCGCAGACCGCCTGGACCCCTCCTTGAGTAAAGGTAGGGTCCAAGTTGCCGCATCGCCAATCAGCTAACAGCAGCGCCACTGGCTCCCAGCTCGTATCAGTCAATTGATAGAGTTTCCCTTATCAATGGCATAGGGAAGACAGCCCGGTGGCTTCTCGTCAAATTAGACACAACGCACGGGTCGCTAGCCAATGTGACAGTTGTACGCAGCATGTACTGTAGTAGCACTAGGTAATGGAGAAACAGGATAATCACACAACGGTTAGGCCGTTGGTAGATGCAGGAAAAAGCACGGCGTTGTTTCGGGCTTCAACTAACCCAGACGAGAGATCCAGTCTTAGCAGATGAGACTGAGCAACACTCACAATCATCTCCATAATACCGCCCACCCATTGACTCTTCCCGAGCCGAGACAAGACACACGCCGGCTTGATCATGCACGTTGCATCTATGTAAGTCTCTCGGCAGGAATGCATGCCGGTCTCGGTTTTAGTAGCCAATTGCTGATGCCGTTCCCCGACATGAGAGTGGCAAAAAAAAAAAGCAAAGAAAAGAAAAAAGTGACTTCTCAAGCTGGCACTGCATTGGCCTAATGCGTGGGCAAAAAGGGCAGTCAGTCGTAAGACACAACGGCAAGCTAGCGCAGCAAATCGCAAGCCATGATCACGATCTGTCCCTCTCTCTCACATCTGATAACCCTCCAACCCAGAAACCAGGCAAAAATCACACTTGTCTCATCATGTTAGACAGATGCTTCCATGGCCGTGGATCGTGCGTAACAGCAAAAGAGAGAGGTGACTGGTCTGATTAGCAGAGGTACCGGTAATGAGAAGGCACATCCACCATCAATACACGTCTGGTGGACTTCAATGTCACATATGGCTGTTGCAGCCGTCTTGCCAAGCCTGGTAGGATATCAATCAGGTGTCCGAGCTTATTTCCCGCTTACTCCAGCAGAGATGCAGCTGGCTAATTCTTTCGTTCCTTTTTTTCTCTCGTTATTCCAAGCCGACTGATGGGATGCCACTTGGCTAATCTTCTCGTCCTACTAGGCCATCAGGGTGCTTGACCCATCTAATAGGTCTTTACTCTGCAAGGTTTTTACCGCGAGAGCCGGAACTTTTTTTCATAGAAAAAGAAAAAAGAAAAACAGAGTGAGTGAATATGCAACAAGCTGCAGCTCGCAGTGTCACATTGGGTCCAAAGGCAACAAAATTGCAACTGCATCCTTCCTTCTGCGGGCAGCTCGTACATTGGCTCAATTTCCTTTCCCACCCTCTGTGATCCGCATTTTCTTGTGGCACCGACCAGACTCGCGCTTTGATACGGGAAGAGTTAAAAACGGAAACAAACCATAACGCCACCCGAGCTGTAAGGAGATTTGGTTTTTTCTTAAAAAAAGAAAAGTGAGAGAGAAAGATTGCAAAGGGGGCCACTAGACATGTCAGAAGTCAGAAGTTGAGCTTCTTAGCCTGCTTTAGCTTAGACCTCCAAGAGCTTTGCTCATGTCTCAGCTGTTGGTGCGCTATATCGCTATACTGTACGGAGCAACGCACTCCATATTGATGACATGTCGGACTAAATGACGCGCGCCACTTCCTCGTGGGCACAGGGCAAAAAACCACGAGCAAAAAAGCAAAGAATGGTGGTGATGTGCATCATACTTCGTAATTCCCGGTGGCTCATGTCTGTTGGCCGATCCGCCAGGCACTAGTCGAAGCCAATATCGCAGCGCAGAACATCATCGCTATCGTCATCACTACACTGGGACGTTCTGTATGTGGTGCAGAGCCACAGTCTGCAATTGCTATCACAATCTTCACAGCTCACGGAGTGCTGTCGCCACCGGGCTCCCGTCATGGTCATCGTCCGTAGTCCGGTCCGTGCTCGTATTGATGCTCTGTGCCATCACACAATTACACGCGGATATCGGTAATTGTCTGTGAATGGCGCAGCAATATTCTCGGCGAGAGACCATCTAGGGACTCGTGCGCACAGCTATTGCTTTTTCTTCTCTCCGTCCGGGTTGGCTGGAGCCACTCGGCTGCGCTGCCGCGCCGGCGCTTTTGAAATGAATAACCCACACAGCGTACGCCACTGAGTGAGGCGAAAAAAGGAAGAGAGAGAAAAAAAAAAAAACCATGACTTGACTAGGAATTCCATCAGCAATTCGTTCCGTAGCGATATTATCTGTGTAATTAGAGAACCACCAAACCGTTGGCTAATGGTCTCACACATAACACTTGTATGGGGACACAAGTTAGCATGTAGGTATAAGCCTCAATATATCTGGAGATCCACCGTTTAATACTACCTGAAGTAGCAAATTTTAAAGTATTGCTAATTTCCACACAGTACCCCGTCCGAAAAGATGAAAATAGAATATTGTGACGTCTGTTAAGTGGACATTCGCTTGATTTAATTCACCTGAGCGTTTCTATTTTTAATAGAAAAATTGAAATGACACCGATGAAACACTGATGTCCGCAGGTATATGAGGCCAATATGACATATCGCAGTGGCTAGAGTGAGTCCTCCGTATTGTACGGCGTAGCTGTAGCAAGATTTCATCAACAAGTGTAGCTCGTAGCAGCCCGTAGCAGCCCGTAGCCCGTGGCAATAGCTCAAGCAATTCGATTGATCGTTGCATGAACCCTCCTAGCTTGTTGCCCGCCCATCCGTCCGTAGTTCTAAATTGCTGCTCACAGACCGCATCCCGCACTCTGCATTCAACGGCTCTAGCTGCTTGATCTTGTCAAGCCATGCCGCATGGTGCTGTGTGTGTAGGCGGCTCATGTACCCTGCAGTCCCGTGGCAAGAAGGCAAACTAGCGCGTTGTAGTGACAATAGTGATACACGGAATACCCCGTTGACAGCAACTCGTAGCAGCATAACGAGCTTTCCAGAGGTAGTTTATGCGCTCTCAAACGGTAGTAGGGTAGCATCCATCGAATGACTGCCGGCAGATGATGGGGCGGTTGAGCCTTTGCTAGCGAAACGGCCTAACCCAGCCGCTCACATCCGCGCAACACTAAATGGTAGGCCTAGATAGTCACCAGTATAGCAAAGCGCAAAGTCGACCGATAGCGGCTGTTCTATCTGGCGCCACTTTGACTGCCGCGGAATCGCTAAATCGGAATTGTTGGACGAGTAGGTATTTCGCTGCCTTCCGCAGAAAACTTCCGTGGGCATATCTGGAATCGCCGACGCAGCAGGCGCGATATTGAGCTGAGGCCGGGCATGGATACAGAAATGGATACGCCATACCGCCGTACGAGCTGCCAGCACCACCCGGGACCTTCGGTTGCTGTGCCCTTGTAGGACCTGCCATCGTGAGGACGAAGACCTGGGAAGATTGGCTATGGAAGGTCGAATTGTGGACCATGAAACCTTCCAGAAGCTCCATGGGCTTGGGTTGCGGAATGCCCAATTGGCCATCCTAAGCCCATGCTGGAATAAGTCGTACCTGCGCTAGCCCGGGGGATGCCCTGGCTAGCCTTTTGCCAGCAATGCCTCTCTCCACTGGGCTCTTAACATGGCACAGCGAGTTGATTTACCATGGTCGCGGTAGCGGGTCGGCCATAGGCATTGAGCAGCCGAAGCATTGAGCCCTTTTTGCCGTTCCAAGCAATGGACCCTTCTCCCCGTAGTGCCGGCATGAAGTGTTGATATGCCGTCAAGAACAGAACAATGCGGCCTTTCAAGATGAGGCACGCTGAAACATATGGCAAAGGCGAAACAAAGATGGGCAATGGCTCGGAACAAGCCCAAGCCGTGAAAATCACCCGTGCCGCATCCATTGTTATGCCCGGAGCGGGGAAGCCTGCCTGAACGTCTCTTCTTTGGCAATAGCACTACTGGGCATCATCCAGTAGCAGTTCGTGTAGAGCAGGTAGGTAATCCCTACTAGTAGCAGCACCTGCTTGCAAGCAAAGAATGGTGTTGGTCGTCTCTCTCGGCTCACACAGGGAATAACGAAGGACGGATAGAAGACTGGCGTTGTTCTTCCAGTGGACCGTTGGGCACACAATTTGCCATGGTGCCGTTGCCATGGCCAAGCAGAAATCCGGGGAGCGGGTAGACCGCTAGGGTCCGGTGGCAAGGGCCAATTGATCCCGGTCCGCCAGGCCACTATGGTATCAGAGCGAGATGCTGGCCACACGGCTGCGAATCCGGGCCGCTGCTAGTCTTTGCGCATTGTGCAGTGAGCTTTGTCTTCCAGGGCCCTGGTCGTTTTGATCTCAGAGATTAGGTCCTGACTCGTCCGCATCCGTCAAAGTCACTTGACATTGGCCCTTGAATTCGACGGTGTAAAAAGCGGTGGCAAATATCGACTCAACTTCCCTTTCCCGCCTCTGGGCGAGCAATTGCTTGCCAGGATGCATCACCGGCTGTGAGCTCCGTACTCCGTAGTTTGATATGATAGTTCCTGGGCTTGCAGGCGCCAAATGGAGTAGATGGACTCCATGAGTTATCTCGATTTGCCGACCATGTCAGTGCTTCTGGCCATCGCCGCTGGCTTGCCTCCTCCTATCAAGGTGAGGACGGACCATCGAGCCTTTTTTTTTTTTTTCCATTCGAATTTTCTTCTTTGCGTGGCGCGGTGTTGGCTCGGCGTAGATGATGATGATGATGCTTGTGCGCTAATTTGACTAGATTCCGTAAGCTACCCCAAAAGGAAGTAGCGGTGGACAATTCTGAGACAGCAGAGAAAACAATAACAGGAACTGCAAAGGCGCAAACCAACGGTGAAAGACACAACCTGCAGAATGCTTGCAGCAAGAAAACTGCCTCGAGGTGGGCAGATTGCTGGCAGTATCCAGTTAGACTACTATCCGCAATAAGCAAGCTGCAGAGGCGGCCCAACCAGAGCATGACTTGTACAGGCAGGTATAGTGGCGAGCAGCCAACTTGGGCAGCGCGGATTGGCCTGAGCTGCTGCCAATAGAAGCCCGTAGTGTCCCAAGTAGTGCAGCTCCCCATGTCGGCTCAGAAGGTCGACTACGACTCTTCTAGGGCTCTCGCTCGAGTCCGGGGACGCTGTCGCAGGCATCCGTAAACCAGTGACCGGTGCCACAGGCTGCCGGGGGTCGTCCGAGTCAAGAAGACCGCCTCGTCTATACTGGAAAGATGCAGCAGTTGTCGTACCCTTGCCCTACCCAGTGCCAGCCAGGCTGTCTGAGAGCGCCGGTGTGTGCTAGCAGTGCGATCTGTCGTCTGCAGATGCCAGAGACACCTCGCCTAGCTAGCAAGGATGTTGCCGAAATCTTTTGTCTCTCTTCCAGGCGGTGGACGCTGCCGGTTCCGCGAGCAGTAGTGCTTGGCATTCTTTTTGCCTCTCTTTGGCGAAGCGGCGAAAAAAGAAAAAAAAAAAAAAAGCTTTTCTCGCGCAGCCTGTCAAGCACCACCATCCTGGTTTCTGGCGGTGTCGGTCGGGATCCCCCTCCCCTCTCGGCTGCCAATTGAGCGCAGCATGTGCAAATACAATCTTCAGAGCTTCAGAGCGACGAATAGTCGGTGGCCATGCAGACGGCGGACGAGGATCGGTGGAGAAAGAAAAATTATCGGGCGCGCTGCGGCTTTGCTGGCTGGTTCATCTCGTTCTTTTGTAGCTCGTGTCGCTCTACAAACCTGGGCTATTGCCTTAGTCAACCCAGGTTTGCGGAGGCGGGTAGTGACGCCTCGCTGCAGCGGCCCTCTGCTTCTGCTGTGCTCTGGGCGAACAAGGCGACGAGCTGACGACGGTTACCTGGAGCAGCTTCAGACGGGTCGAGGGCAGGTGGAGAGAGAAGCGTCGGTGCTAGGCCAGGCTGGGGACGACGGAAGGTGATGATGCATCGTGCATTGCACAAGGTCCCAGTAGCCTCTTGTGCTAGCATGCGGTGTACAAGCAGGACGGATTGGCACAAGCGCGAATGCGCGAGTGAGGTGGCAGCTCCAGGTACCTGCCGGGGGGGGAGGGGGGCGAAGAAGACCAGGCGGAACGAGCCCTGAGCAGCTGTGGGCGGTACCTGCATACGGCGGGCTCCAGTGGCCGCATTGGTTCCTGCATGGCTGCGTCTGCAGCGCAGTGGCGGTCTCTGCTTGTGGGGACGCGCCAGGCTGATGCAGTGGCCAGGCGGTGGGGGACGCCGGCCAGTCACAGCGCCGGATTGTGCATGCGCGGGCGATGAAGCGTGCACTTCGTATGCTGCGATTAATGACCCCGGGCATGGGCATACATAATTTGCATGCTTGCTTTGTCGGTCAACCCAATGCTGGCCGGCCACTTACTCGCACTCCCACACGCATGCTGTGCTGTACAGTACAGTACAGTACAGTACAGTAGGTATGCGTCTCCATTCATCACATCATGGTTAATTATTGAGTGCGGCCAACGGAGCCGGCTAATTAATTGCTCGCACAAACGTCGTCTGTTGGTTGCCCGGGGTCACAGTTGTCGGCACAATGTCGGTACGGGGCGGAGCGCCGCCTCTTTAATTTAGCAACACGGGGCCTAGCACCGTCTTGGGCATAGCAGCGCCGTCGACGGCCAACGGCGCAGAGACGGCGAGTGATAGTGGCAGCACTTGGGACGATCCATTTGCTCTTGCGGTGCCTGATTGTTTGATGTGATTGCCTGTTCCGGCTAGCAAATCAATTTGACGGACGGCGCTTGCGCCAGGCGCATGTTCCCCCAGTGTTCTTCAATGTCCCGTTTCGTCCGCACGTGCTATCCGCGTCCAGCGGGTGGAGGATCATCCCATAATTGCACATCATGCGCACTTGGAGCTTCTGCCGGAGCATTCACTTATTCTAGCGTGTCGGTGAAGGCCAGAAAATACAGGATGAGAGAAATACATACTATGTACAATGGATTGATGGATGATGGAACAAGGGCCCTTCGTATTACACGCTGCTACCATTACGGTGTACCAAGTGCTGCTGTGCACAGCAATGGCCCGGGCCTGCCGCTGCCAGGGCCCGACGTTGAAGTGGATTTGCCCGAAAGTCCACGCAATGCGGTATATCGATAAGGAACAAAAACAAGAGATTGCCTTGGACGGGAAAAAAAGACGCCTCTCTGCTGCTTTGTGCAAGGTTCAAGGGTCCGTGCACTTTGTTCATGCACTTCTTCCCTTCTCGACTCGTTATGCAGCACTAGAGTTTCAGATTAGTCTGCGCAGCCAATAGGACCGCAGCCACCGTTCCAGCATATGGCGTAGTAGGTCCGTTATACTGTACGTTAGCGACGGCGGCAGCCAATGCTGGCATCGTGCGTGTGATAATCGGCGGATGCTGCAGGCGCAAGATTCCTGCTGGGCCTTGCTTGTGTGTGTACGGAGCATTGCAGGCACCGTCGCCAAACGTCAAGCCACTGACACCGCTCGACGGCACCGACGTGACGGCTCGGACTGGATGAAACCCTCTGCATGCGGGACGAGCCTGTAAATCACATCACACACGCACTCTCTCTGCACGCACATGAGTATCAGTGCTTCCCGCTTGATTCTGATAGGGCCATTTTGGGCATGGGGAAATTGGATGTTGTGATAACACTTGACTTGTAGTCTAGTATCCGTTGATAGAGCCAGATGCTCGCGCAGCACATGTGCTCTCTTTCGATAAGAGGTACCCCAGAGCAATTAGCATCGGCTCAATCATCTCAGGCTGGCTTCGGCCTATAGGGTCCCATCGTTTCTCCAACAGCTACCTGGCGATACCACCTCTTTTTTGCCTCTTTTGTCCAGACTAGCGGAGCCGACTTATATACTATCGCCATCTAGGTGTCTTAGCAAACTGCCATAGTCCTTCCAAGACAAGACTAACAGCACGCCACCAATAAACGAGTGATTGTACCTGCTAGTCCGCAGTGCTACCGCTGCATGCAAACAGGCAGCCTCTTTATTTTCCCCAGCTGCACGGTGATGGACCCCAATGGCTCTCTGGCTAATGCAATATGGCCCGAATGGACCAGGACGAAGCACAAGTCGACAAGCGGTTGAAAATTGAAACAGCCTCCCACCCATCTTTCGACACACCGTTTGATGTCGCCAAAGTGGCGGCCATGCAGGCTGTTTGTCTGGCAATAGTACGGAGGAATGGCTGCATGCCACAGCCTATCGGACGGCTGCCAGGGCTCGCTTAATCATGTACGTACACCGTCAAAAGGGAAAAAGTGGAAATCCCTAACATCCCGGCAACCACCCATCACTGTAATTGCGGTGACAGCTGCATGTATTCTTTTGGATTTGTTTCCATAAACGTGGAAGCACGTGCAAAAGTATTCTACGACGCTCTTCATCGCCATTGTTGGTTGGGATGAGGAGAAGGCAGTTACATGAACGCTAGGGCACGCCAGCGCAGAAAGATCGCCCTGGGCAACAGAGCCATTCCCACTCTTTTCCGCAATCGACAAGACTTGCTATGACTCGCCTCAGCAGCCCTCACGGCCGATGGTGAAACTGGCGGTTTGCTGTGCCGGGGAAAAGCCACCGCCCACCGACTTGGAGTCCAAGTGGCTGGCTCCGCACGGAGTACAGTTAGCTTCAAATGCCTTCCAGTAGCCTTTAGCGGGCCGGAGAACCCACCGGCGAGTCGACGGCCGTGGCTCGATTCTCAGCCCAGGCGATGGGGGGGGCCTGGAGCCTCAATGGGGCAATTTTGCGGGAACGCGCGGGGCCACCAGGCGATAGCGAGCGCGGTTCTACGTTTGGCTGTCCCGGAGAGGGAGGAGGTTGGATGGAATGGAAGCTTTGCTGGAATCTTTTGGCACGAGGCGGTATACATACATGTGCCAACACATAGGCGACTACGGCAGAGAGGGGAGGGGTTTAGCATGGGTTGTGGTTGTTGTCCATGCAGCAGGAGAGACAATAGAGCATACGCAGCAAAGGGGACGAAGAGAGTCGATGGGAGCGAAAAGGGACAAGAGAAAAGAGAGGGCAATGCAAATACGGATATTTTACTGTATAGTTTCTGCGGGAAGGGGGTGCATCTTGCTTGGCTGCAAGATTTGTTTGCCACGCTGCCCGTATTTTCCTCTTTTCGTATACCCGTCTATACCGCAGCCTGTTTAGCTAATCCAAGTAAGCACGTTGCTTTTTGTCTCTCTTGTCTCTGCCTTTTTACTACTTGCGAGTTGGCGTTTCGTATTTGGGCTTTTGTGTGTGGCTACGGGCTCCAATACCACTGTCCCGGCCAGAACTAGCGCGCAGCACTAATTTGACACACAAGCAACAGAAAAAAGAGTCCTAATGCATAAGCATTATGGAGCACATACGAGAAGGCTAGGAACAAAAGTGTGAAACAGATGACGAAAAATGGTGGTATTGAGTGTATAGCACCGAGTGGAGCTGGCCTATGCTATTCTTGTACAAAAGTACAGTGGTACATAAAAAACACACACAATCCACTCATGCAGTGTGCTCCTCTTGGATTGGGATCGACGCACTAGGCCTAGTTCTGGCAACTGGGCAATATGTCAGATCCCATTTGGTTGTCGATGGCCACCGTAAGACCAGATCAATACCGCAGATACTGGAGGTATTTGTGCTTGTGCTAGCAGCCTGCATGCTTATAACAATGGATGATAAGAAATACCGGCCTTGGGACCTACCACAACCAGTAGGACCTGCACAGCCGGTGTGACTGCTACCGGCTCGCAAACATTCATCAGATCAACGGATCAAGTGTCTTGTGTGCTTTCTATTCACCTGCCTGACGGGCCAGTCAGCTCACTCATCCATCCATCCATCCACTCACTGATGGGCATGCCCTGACGTGACAAACACACCATCACATAATTAAACAGCCTGGGCGGCAGCATGGCCAAACAAACAAGTCTCTTCAGGTCGTTGCCAGTTGCTGTGGATGTAACATCAAGGCCATTCCCATCCCCACTCCGTCGGCCAATGTGGCATCCGCATTTGACGTCGTTTTGCCTTGGCCCCAAGATTGCGATTGGGTTTGGGGTTTACGATTGGAGCACCGCCGTCATCTCGAAGCATTCCCACTCCCACTCCTACTTGTACTCCCACTATCCTAGTGATAAAACGGCCGGTTTCACCTGAGCTACTAGACACTTGAATGACTTACAACGACTGGAATAGCTGAGCGGCGCCTCGCCCAAGCAGCGATATCATGTGCCTTGCAGCGGTGGGGATTGTACGTAGGTGTGACGCCAAAAAGTCGAGTCCAATGGCTGTGCATAGTCGAGTGTGCGTCAGTGTGCAGAGCTGAGACGGCGGCTTTTTCTGTGCAAGCTGTGAGGTTCTACCCTATCAATCGCACCACGGCACTCTGCAGGGCTTGTGACGCGCTCACAGTGTGCTCGTGCTGCGCTGTGAGTGGCCGGCGAGTTGGCGGAGGGGGGGGGGGCGCATCGATGGGAAAAATGGCGCGCACAGAGGCAGCCTGTCAACAGATGGGCAGCGAGATTTGCGTGCAGTGCAGGCTAAAGCAAGAGCAGTGCTACCACCTGGAAGAACTTTTAGCACGCGCGTAGCACACCTGTGCTGGATTCTTAGTGGGCGGTGGTACCTGTTTAGTTGGGATGGGACGAGTGGTAGCAGCTGGATTGGCGCTGGCGCAGGCCACTTGCGCTGCATACCCGCCAGTCTGATAGCCTGAGCGCCATCTGGCTGATGCCATAGGCGGCCGCTGGGCATCAGGTGTGCGTGCGCGTGGGATTTAGCATCAAATCATCGAGCAGACAAGACGAACGGCATGGCAATCTACGGCCCAATCATCGGCACTACCGCCGTTGAGATGTCATTTGCGAGGCATCCATCTTGTCGAGCTTTGGGGGATCTCGTGGGCTTTTTTTCCCTTTTTTTTTTTTATGCTCTGCACGCACGCGCGCCCACCCCTCCAAGACGGGTTGTGATAAGATGTGATACCTACGACTAGCCGTATGCGCGCGATAGTAGCAGCAAACAACTGGGGAAGAACAACACTCATAGGCTCGGTTGATGATGGTGGCTTAGTTTTCACACGTTTCTTTTTCTACTTCATGTTGTTTTTCTCTCTCACTTTCCTATCCCAAGACAGTAGATGCAGTGGGGAGAGAGCCTGTGCGTTTGTGCGGTGCCTGTCGCGGTGCAGCCGAGAGGCAGCAGCATTTCTCTCTCCCATTAGGTACCTACAGTATTGATGCTTGTTCCTCGTGCCGTATGCACTTTGGACGTTACGCTCGCTCGTATGTGCCGGTAAGCCCACACCACAAGCTCGGTCCAGAATTAGAAAATGTGGCTGCGCCCTGCCCTCCCGCGGTTGACTCAAAGCCAGCCAGCCAGTCATCTCGTTAATTTGCACGGCACAAACGCCCACTGCGAGATGGGTTGATGGGACCAGACCAGACTCCAGGCAAGTCTGAAAAGTGCGCGTTGGTGCTTGGGGAGGCCATCCGGAGTACCCCAAAACTTGGTCCTGATTGTGATTTGATTGCATTGCATGCACTTGTAATGCTACGGCCATGTAGCTTGTATTCATGTCTCCGTCCATGTAGTGCTATTACTCGTGCTATGCTACGGACGCTGCTAGCTCGCGCGCCCACGACGAGAGCGCAGAGTCGTGTTGTCTCGCTGGTGGCCCACCGGCTTAGCAGCCCGTACCCACTGCCAGCAGAGCCAACGACTCGAGCTTGGCCTGATCAACTGCGATTTTTTTTTTGTCAACTTCCCACCTGGGCCTGCTAGCTCGGCACTAGGTACGTACCGCCTCCACGGACGCTCTCGACGGCCACCGGACCAGGGTCTCGTATACTGCACTAAGGCATCCCTGCAAGGCCGCTGGACCTTGGAGTTGGGTCCTCGCAAGGTTCACACACCCCAGGCGCCATCCTGGTCCTCAGACATCCCAGACGCACCAGACATCCCAGACATCCCAGACGTGCTAAGACACCCTGGCCCAACTCGACTTTGCACACCACTCGCCCCAGACACCTCACGGCCGACAGGGGCCAGGGAGGGAAGCCTGTCCCGTCATGTCCGCGCAACGGATCCTGGCTTTTGGCCCGCCGTCGAGTGAGACAGAGTGGACATGGGCCTTCGTGGAGGCAACGGAGCGTTCCCACCTGTGGCTCTGCCTATCGGTCGATTGATGATCTTGCTTGGGCTTCATCGTCCTACTTATCCTGCCATGGCCCCCCGCCGAAGCCATCAACTCATCTCATACGATCGACAACCTTGAGCTTGTGTGATCTTGTTTTTATACCCTCGATTCTTCCTTCTTTTGCGACCTGACATTCTTTGGACCCTCGATATAATTCCTCGAGACTCCTTTCCTTCTTTTGCTCAGCCATTCTTCGTCCACTCGCATATCCATCCTCCATCCAACGCAACCACCACATCCAAACCAAACCCCCTCTTCAGTCTTTTGACAGTCAATCCATTCTTTATACCAGAGCCGGAAACGACCTGACGACAAACCAAAACCACTCTTTCCCTGTCTGACCAATTGCCTGAGCAATTGTATAATACGGAACGCTACCTACTTTTATTACCTACAACTATAACACTTAATATTTAAATATTATTCGGAAGCAACCACAGAGAGGTTAGACAAGCCAAAGCAACGATGCCCATTTGATCATGATGGCAGAGGGACATCTGAAGAGCTAACACACGCTGCGCAAACAGAGAAACAATGGACGGCATGATGTCTCAGGCTATGGGACAGCAAGCGTTCTACTTCTACAACCACAACCACGACCACAAGATGGCCCGCCAGGCCATTTTCGCACAGCAGATGGCCGCCTACCAGATGGTACCGACCCTGCCGCCCACGCCCATGTACTCGCGACCAAACTCCTCCTGCTCTCAGCCCCCGACCCTCTACAGCAACGGCCCTTCAGTCATGACTCCCACAAGCACACCTCCGCTGTCCCGCAAGCACATGATGCTGGACGCAGAATTTGGCGACAACCCCTACTTCCCCTCCACGCCTCCTCTGTCCACCTCTGGCAGCACCGTCGGCAGCCCCAAGGCCTGCGACATGCTGCAGACCCCCATGAACCCCATGTTCTCCGGCCTGGAGGGCATCGCCATGAAGGAGGCCGTTGATACCACGGAGAGCCTGGTCGTTGACTGGGCTAGCATCGTCTCGCCACCCTTGTCGCCTGGTAAGTGTTTCCCCCCACCAGCATCGTTTGGATTAATTTCCGCCGCCGTTGCATCGAACGTTTTCTTCCTTCCATGGAAGTAAAAAAAAAAGAAGCAATAGCCGGAATTGCACCTTGAAATGAATATTGGGGCGGGACTCGCGCTAATCCGCTTTGGGCAGTGTACTTTCAATCCCAGGTTAGCAGGGTGCCTTCGCCCACCTCCAGCCCAAGCGACATCCTGTCCACAGCCTCATGCCCTTCTCTGTCTCCCTCGCCAACTCCCTACGCGCGGTCCGTCACATCGGAGCACGATGTTGATTTCTGCGATCCTCGCAACCTGACCGTCTCCGTTGGCTCCAACCCCACTCTGGCCCCGGAGTTTACCCTGACGGGCCTGGCCGAGGACCTCAAGGGCGAGCAGCTGTCCACCGCCCAGCACACCTTTGACTTCAACCCAGCCCTGCCCAGCGGTCTGCCGACCTTTGAGGACTTTTCCGACCTCGAGTCCGAGGCCGACTTCAGCAACCTGGTCAACCTTGGTGAGGTGAACCCCATTGACATCTCCCGCCCCCGTGCCTGCACCGGCTCCTCTGTTGTCTCTCTGGGCCACGGAAGCTTCATCGGTGACGAGGAGCTGAGCTTCGAGGACAACGACGCCTTTGGCTTCAACTCTCTGCCCAGCCCAACTTCATCCATCGACTTCTCCGACGTCCACCAGGACAAGAGACGCAAGAAGGAGAAGAAGGACATCAAGCCCATCATGAACACTGCTGCTAGCGGCTCCCCGTCTGGCAACGAGCAGATTGGCGCCACCCCGGCTGCCTCTGCTGCCTCCGACTCCAATGCCTCCTCCGCTTCCGAGGACCCTTCTTCCATGCCCGCTCCCACCAACCGCCGTGGCCGCAAGCAGTCTCTGACTGAGGATCCCTCAAAGACCTTTGTCTGCGACCTCTGCAACAGACGCTTCCGTCGCCAGGAGCACCTCAAGCGACACTACCGCTCCCTGCACACTCAGGAGAAGCCCTTTGAGTGCAACGAGTGTGGCAAGAAGTTCTCTCGCAGCGACAACCTGGCTCAGCACGCCCGCACCCACGCTGGTGGCGCCATTGTCATGAACCTCATTGAGGATGGCTCAGAGGTCCCCGCCTTTGATGGCAGCATGATGACTGGTCCAGTGGGTGATGACTACAACACCTATGGCAAGGTCCTGTTCCAGATTGCATCCGAGATTCCTGGAAGCGCCAGCGAGCTCTCTTCAGAAGAGGGTGACCAGAGCAAGAAGAAGCGCAAGCGCTCTGACTAAACGACTGGTCTATGATTACCTGTATACACGCCTGACATGATAATTCTTACCGATTCTTGCTACACTTTCTCGCTCAACTAGCTTGAGGAGAGAAAGTGTGAGCCCTATTTTCAACACATACACTTTTACCTAGAGGAGGTTATATACTACATACAGGGAAAAAGCTCAAGCGGTTATGATTGCATTTTCAAACCTTCAGTTCTTGTATCGACTTGCAACATCACACTGATGATATTCTTTTTATATCGGGATTACTCAATCCCCTTATCTTTTCTACACTTTTTTTTTTTGCATCATGACAAAAAGGTTCGACGCAGATCGGACTTGGAAGAGGACATGAGTTTTTTCTCTTTTTACTTTTGGGCGCGCATGGCGGACTCTTTTTCTTTTTTTATCTTAGATTTTCTTTTTATATATTTGGCACTCACAACGACGGCATTCCAATCAGTTGGCTCTGCCCCTGTTATTACACACAAGTGTAATAATCCATCGCGAGCGATGGCTGGAAAAGTCGTTTTTGCCATGGTGGGAATAACTGAAACATAGAGACGGGATGCCTTGGAAAGCATCAAAGGCCAGTGGAGGACTACCGCCAATCATTTGGAAGGTTGATTCCTTATCTTTTAGTACATCAAAGTTTTTTTGATTTGTACTGCTCTTCGTTGAGCACGTGGGTTTAATGGCAGTGTGTGTGCGGGTCGCAATCATTTTTTTTTTTAGGGAGAAAGATTTATACTTGACGCTACGCCAAACCAATAAGAAAAAAACACTGTTGCCAAAAAACAACTTACTGAATTGTGCCTCTTTGACATGGTGACTGAATGTTTGCCTGTGGCCAGTGAAGTTTGTTACGAATTTCTTTGTATATAGAAATGGGAAATGGGATATATAGACTATGGGATTTTAGACATTAGACATATTACTAGACTTGGAAAAGAAATCATGTTAACTAAACTCTCTGTCTCTTGCCTTCTTGCAATGCCTGATCTTCTTGGGTGAACTTGTGTGTGTGATGTGATGCTACTACGCTACGCTCAAGCAGACCGTCTTCTTTCCGGTATAGAGGCTAAGAGCGGCTTCGTCCAGATAACGTTCTTACCACCCCTCGATTGCTGTAGGATGCTTGCACGAGTTGTCACAAACACAGCACATAACGACAAGAGTTACGCTCTTGAACCGTTTACCCGCCTACATGATACCCTACCCAAGTCAAAAAAAAAAGTTGATAACCCTTGACTATTCTTCTACAAGTTCGAAGCGAACAGAAGGGGGGGAAAGAGGTGACAGAAAGAGTGACAGGTGGGAAGGGGGGGAAACTCGTTTGACAGTTTACGACCTGTGACATCTCTCGTCTCAAGAGGGGGGGGATTCAATGGCCCAAAAAGAACAATTGATGGAAGAGTTCGCCGGGTTGAGCGAGTGGAGAACATTTTGCGGCATTACTGGCTGTTCCTTATCCGGCAAGCCATGGCCCTGGCATGGGGTTTCTCTCTAGGTGAGGCGTAGAGTTCAGCTCACATTTTCTGGATTGCCTTCTGTGACGGTTCTATACTTGTGGGGATGTACCTTCTTCTTCCTAGTTGCCCTGATTAGAGGAGGGGAGGGGGGATAAAGAACGACCCCGTCGCGTCTTTCTCCGGCCCCATACTCAGACCAGCCAAGGGTAGCGTAGTAGCATTCGTCGTAGTTTGAACTCGGTACTGGGGAGCTGGGAAGGGGAGGGGAGGGGACCCTGCCTGGTCTAGGTAGCAATATAGAAGGAAAATAGAAGAAACAGACGAAGAAAAAAAGCCTCCTTTGCGTTTGATCCATTCCGCGGGGACGCTACCTCAGGTACAGCCAGGTACTGTATATGAAAAAAGTGAGCCGTCACATATTCGCTTAATCGTACGGGCTTGCTCGGTGGCATTCTTAAGAAGTACCCTTTGTCGGAGAGAAAACGCTAGCGATAGGCTACTCGTACAAGACCCCCCCCCCCCCCCCCCCCTCGGCGTAGTCTGGAATATACCAGGCCAGGCACGGCGGCGCTCCGTGCCTACAGGAAAGTCGTGCGACTCCATATCTACGATGGAGCTAATCTCTCGCGCAATCTATCCGGGGGCCGGGTATGGCCCGTCTGGTCCGTTGAAGAGGGAACGTGCCTGGCCCAGGGCTCACTCTTTAGGCAATGCGGAAACGCCCTAATATGGGAGGGGGACCAAGGCCGGTCCACGTTCGACGAGAGGGTAAAAGCTGCTAGCATTGTCGAACGGTCCCTGGGCTAGCTCAAAGCTGGGAGGGGTTTTGGAGCTTTCGAATTTAGGGCCGGGGTGTGGGTTCTGGAAATGGTGGAAATGAAAGATTGGTGATGCGCTGCTACGCCATATTTAGACAGGCGAATAGCTTGGCCATCATGGTCCCTGATAGAGTCCTCCCCCAGTGGCGTTTTCTGGTGGCGACATATTAATTTGGAGGCGAAGCAAAGAGCTATTTCGTGTAGTAGTAGCAGTGGCTAATTAACTCGACGGTGGGTTTCGGTCAATGGAGCTATTCGGTGATAGCTTTGGGCGTTCCTGGTCCGCGGTGCTGGGTACATGCGTGCCAAGCGAAAAAAACAGAAGAACAAATTAGTGGGTGTTGTCGAAGGCCAGTAGAAGGCATGTCCTCGTACCGGCTCCATATATGAGAGAATACGGAGTTCGGAGTGTACTCTTGGCTTGCAGGCTCGGAATCCAGCCAGAGATTGCCCTGGACTGATGCTTACAAGTATGCGGAGAAGAGCATCCCTTTTTTGCGGGCGTTTTGGAGAGACTCGGCCGATGGACATTGCTAAATCGCCTGTCCATGTCCATCTCTGCCGATGAACACCATAAGCACCAATTGGCCTTGTCTCACTCCAGGCTACTAGCAGTTGCTATCTGTCTGGTGCTATATTAGCCCTCCAAGCTATTCACTAGCATATCAGGAACTGACCTACTGATCCGTATAGCTCTCCTCATAGCGCCTGGGCTTGGAGCAATCAATGGCCACCCCCACAGAAGACTAAGTAAGGGCCGTAGCACAGGGCGCTCATCGTCGTGCTCGAGTCAGGGCCTCATTTTGCGAGCGCGAGTAATACTAGCAGCGTAGCCTGATAGACTGCCAATAACTAGCATGGCACACGTGCTCTCATAGCCCTCTTTCGCCTTCATGGCCGGCGCATACTAACGCCGATGGCGGGTGAAGGGTCGCTAGCAGCAGAGGATCGCCGTTGCTATCATAGCTTGATGCGGAGTAAACGTGTGCTGATGACGGAAGATGTGTCGTTAGTTTGGCGACTAGGACAGGCGTGCGGTTGTTGATATCCGCCTAGAGGCCTTTTGTGCTCAAGCTGAAGGAATTGGACCATGGTAGTAGCTCTTGTGCTACATTAGCGTGAAGACGTCTTATCTCAGGGCTGAAAGTTGGTGATGTGGGCTGTGGATGACTGAGTCGTATCAGCCGCACGTTGTAGGTAAGGTAGCTTTGCTGCACTTGTGCGCTGCGCACCAACTGAGGAAATTAGCATTTGAGAAGAAAAAGTTATGCTGTGTGTTGCCAGCAGGGAATTGTTGTGATATATGTGCTTGTGAATTTTTTCTCCAATATTCTCCAAAGAGTGATGTTGTGGAAGGAAGCTTGAAGTTGGTAAATATGTAGGTAGGTTTTCGTGTAAGCGTCCCGAAAAAAAAAGATGGCACCAAAAAAAAAAAAGTTGCATGCACGTGAGAGCTTTGATGCGCATTTTGGACCTCACAAATTCTTTGCATACAGGCTCTAATGCGAGCTCTTATCCGACCAAAGAATGACTCCCGAATCATTAAATGTAATTGCACTCATTTCGGGAGGTAAAGACAGCTTCTTTAATCTGCTTCACTGCATTCGTCATGGGCATCGCATCGTGGCCCTGGCAAATTTGTATCCAGTGGTAGATGGTACCACTGGAGCTCTCCAAGATGTCCAGTTCATCGATCCAGCACAGGAGAACACATCGCCGACTGCAGAAGATGCAAAGCTTATCGAGGAAGACCTGAATAGCTTCATGTACCAGACGGTTGGGCATGAAGTCATCCCACTCTATGCTACCGCAACTGGCCTACCCCTCTATCGACAGCCGATTCGCGGCGGGGCACTGCATCATGAACGGGATTATGATTATTCGTCTGGAGAGCGGAATGATGCGCCCTCGAAAGTTGATGAGACCGAGTCAATGCTGCTTCTGCTCCAAGCTATCAAAGCCCGCCATCCCGAGGCAAACGCCCTCTGTTCCGGAGCTATCCTGTCTACTTACCAACGGACTCGAGTTGAGTCGATAGCTGTAAGACTTGGTCTCACTCCTTTGGCATATCTTTGGAAATACCCTGTTCTTCCACCTCCTGCAAACGAGGCTGCAGATGAGGCTCAGTTGCTGCGTGATATGGCTGTCGCTGGGCTCGATGCTCGGATCATCAAGGTTGCAAGCGCAGGCCTCGATGAAGGTCATTTGTGGGAACGAGTGTCAAGTATTGAAGGAGTAAATCGAGTGAAGAGCGCTCTGAGAAAGTTTGGTGCGGCTGAAGGCGCTTCTTTGGGCGAAGGAGGCGAGTTTGAGACGCTTGTATTGGATGGGCCGTCGTGGTTGTTCAAGAAGAGCATCTCAATTCCCGAGGAAAGGCGGACAGTTATCAACGAAGGGGGTGGCTCGACTTGGTTGATGCTTCGGGGAGCCCATCTTGAGGATAAATCAGAGGATTCTGACGTTGATGCGAGCCCAGAATCATCCGTCAGAGCCCCCGAGCTACTGGACTCAAAATTTCAATCAATATTGGATACAATTTCAAGCATAAAAGAGGTTGAGAATAGTGGGAAGCAGAACTCAGGAGCTCTGAAGCCGCGAATTCTCGGCAATAATTCTTCCTCAACATTGGGAGAAGACGATGATACTCTGCGATGGTCTGTTTTAGCCAACCCTTCTGCAGATCGAACTTCTATCGAAGCAGAAATGCAATCTGTCGTCAGTCAAATCAGGGAGTTGCTCTCCTCTTCGTCTCTTGATGCGGCTCAAATCACCAATACAACCATTATTCTTCGTAACATGGCGGACTTTCCAAGAATCAACGCAGAATATGGCAAACTCTTTACAAGGCCGAACCCGCCATCTCGAGTCACAATCTCCTGTGGCCCTCTACTTCCGCCTGGCTACAACGTCATGGCGTTTCTCATAGTACCAAAGTCAGGGGTCAACTCTCACAGGAATGGCCTTCACGTTCAGTCTCGATCGTATTGGGCCCCGGCAAATATTGGTCCGTACAGCCAAGCTATTGACATTTCTGCATCGGCAAAAGCAGACGAGACTGGTGTACGTGCCATATACATCGCTGGCCAGATTCCCTTGATACCTGCGTCAATGTCGTTGCCGCCTCTATCGGAGACCAGTTACGCCATGCAGATTGATCTATCCTTGCAACATCTATGGCGGATCGGGCTTGAGATGAAGGTTCAGCTCTGGAGCAGCGCTGTAGCCTACTTTGCCAAGTCATCGTCACCCGATGAAATGAAACGCTATGCCAAAGCTGCTGGTCTCGCGTGGAAGCTAGCTCACGGGTCACCGGAGGATGACGAAGATGATGAAAGCGAGTTGGACCCTTGGGATCTTAAGCACAACTCTCAATACGCCTCACTGGGGAGCAGCCAAGAGAATGCTCGCGCAAAACTACCTGATTGGTCCATCTTTACATTGAGACAGCAGAACGAGCCAGACTCGTGCATCCCTCCCTTTTTCGCCGCTGAAGTGGAGGAGCTCCCTCGACAGTCCCTTGTAGAGTGGCATGCGCATGTTGGTCTATCGAAAATCGAAGAGAGCAGCGCAGAGATTGTGTATCATCCAGAAACAACGTCATCTTGTTGGAGGGCATGGCACACGTTTGTTCGCACAGAGAAAGCCACGCTAGTATACACAACGCTGGCTCACGTCCCATCGCCTGACCACGGAGACGGCAGTTGGGGCGACTTACAAGAAGAGCTCTCCGCTTCATACGCAAGTTCAGTAAGGGCTCTTGGGCTGGCGCCTCTGGCGCATTTCGCAACCCCTCATCTGGCGTATGTAGAGGCCACCAGCGTCACATTGCTGTCGTCGGATGTCGGCGATGCTGGGCCGTCGGTGCCCTTTGCGACGATTCCGTGCCATACACTCTGGTCTGTGGGAGGAGAGAGGATAAAATGCGTGGCATTGTATAAAATGGTTCTGGGGCAGTCGCAGACAGATTAAATAACAAGGTCAGCGAAAAAGAAGAAACGATTCTCAAACATTACGCCGGCAATGGCATTTGATACCCGTCCGAGTCTGTCGTTGAAACGATGCAGCGAGAGCCCCGACGAGCCGACGAAGGTGGGTTGCGCCGCACACCAAAGCGCCAGACAGCCCCACGCCCGTCAGACGATCTATAAGCCAAGATGCGAACTTCCTTCTCTGCCTGGGCATGGGCAGGACTACTGGTCGCGTGTGACCTCTTAGCTGGGACTTGAGAATGACACGGCGCTTGGAGGAAGCTGGCATCAGCGCAGATCCAGTCTTGACCATGGCGTCGCTGGCTAAGAGACGAGTGAGAGGGATTCACGGACAGTCAAAGGCCAGAGGCAACATGTAGTCGAAATGGAAACGTCAATATCAAACTGAAAGCTGCACCGGCACTTATACGGAGTACGTTGAGGCGTATTGCTGGCACAATGACGTATATAGCGCGGCTTGCATCGCGGATCTCGCTGCTCGAAGGGCTGACGGAGACCGAGTGGCCACTGACGGCGGGAGGGATAAGTCACCACTTATCTGTGCATTGAACTAGTTATACCGCGCGGGAGCCAATTTATTTCTAAATTCCAGCCGTCTTCTTGTCTTCTCGTCTTCCTTCTGAGAGATTCAGTCTCAATTGCTTCTCCATCTCCCTCCCGCCGCTGGTTGTGCCGCCACTCTGCACCAGAATCACGCAACCAAACCAGGCCCCAAGCCCAAGTCTAAATGCGCCGCTTTGCGCGCCCGAGTCCGAGTCGAGCCTCCGCCCATCCCCACAAGAGCTTGGGCGCATGTGCCGTCGAGTCGTAGTCAAGTGAGACCTGCACCCCTGCGCCGGTGGACGCGGACGTGACCACGGCCATGGCCTCGCAGACCAACGACGCCGATGCGGCAGCCTCTGTGGCATTGCCCAAGAAGACGCTGTCGAGGGCTGACCTGCACCAGCGCCGCCAGTCGACTGACCGGATTAATGACATTCTTGAGGTGAGACGCGGCCGTTGTTGTGTTTAGCCTTTTGCTTAAAAAGGCGGCGTCTTTTGTGCGTGCTTCCGTCTTTCTTATCTCCATTGCCACCCTCCTATCTCTGTCCTTGCACCGCAGCTTCAAGAGTCTGGTCCCAGCATGCAGGCCGGCTTGCCACGGCAACTGAATCTTGCACCGGCATAGTGTTGAGTATAAGAGGCTAATCGCAAATGTTGGCGGCCATCCAGACAGCTTTGCAACGGGCGGAAACCATGGATCCCGCGTCTTTGAGCCTCCTCCAGAAAAGCTCCTCCCGCAGTGCCAGCGCCGACAATGGCGCCTCGGCAGCGATGGGAAGAGGCATCTCGGGCTACCAGACGCTTCCGACGAGCGATGAAAGCGACACCTCGCGCCCGAGAAAAGTTTCATACAGCGATACGACGAAGAAGAATGAGGACCACCCCAGAGACCAAAGCCATTATTTGAGGCGGCGCAACGGGGCCGCCAGCTCGGAAGATGCAGACGCGCCCGCAAAGGCCAAGTCATCGAAGCCATCGTGGACGAAGGAGACGTTTCGCAAGTTCCAATCCCTCGAATTGGAGAACAAAGGAAGTGTCGCAAGAGACCATCTCGCGCTCGGTATGTCGCACATGTCACTTCCACCACAGCGCCCACGTGCATATCGACGGCTGCGCTGCATGTCTCGGGAGAAACCAATTGGCTGAGACCACGCTGACCTTTTTTTTTTTTTTTTCTTTTCTTTTTTTCCTAGAGCGCACCTTTCTAGCATGGCTACGAACCTCTTTAGCCTTTGCATCTATTGGCGTCGCCGTGACGCAGCTGTTTCGCCTCAACACCGACTCTGCCTCTGCGAACAGGGTCGATTTCGACCACACAAAACTGCAAAAGATGGGCCGGCCATTGGGTGCGACATTCCTCGGGATCAGCATCGTGACGCTGCTGCTGGGCTGCAAACGCTACTTTCACGCACAGGAATGGATCCTCAAGGGCAAGTTTCCGGCCAGTCGCGGGACCATCCTCGTCATGTCATTTGTGGCGCTGGCCCTCATGATTTTGTCACTGGTGGTTGTCATTGTCATACAACCTTCGTAATGTGGTGCTGGGTGATTGGAGGAGAGCATCTTTTTCTTATCATCATCACTTTTGAAGAATTATGCAAAGCAGCTACATGCTTTTGGGACAGCATTGGGATTGGCGTAGAGATATTTGGGTTTTGGATTTTGGATTTGTTACTCTTTGGTGTAGAGAAATATGGTGTATCAGGCGCATGTCTGCATGTGGATCAAAGCAAATCTCATCAATTAATACCTATTTGGCAATTCGGCGCCTTGAAAAGAAAGAATTGGACATGTATAGAACAGATCACTCTTACCAATTGACTCGTTTTACTTGTGCACTCGTCTGCCATACATGTGAAAATGTGCTGTGCCGGCTTATCGACGCTTTTCCAATGCCGATAAGAGCAGATGGGTGGTATGTCATAAGTCTAGATGGTGGGGGTTTCGCTGCCGCTTTGTCACCCCTCGCATATTACAGGCTGCGAATTGACTTGACGCATCTGGAGCTCTCCAAGCTGTCCGCTGCAGCTTCGTAAACGCCGCCCATGGATTCAGTATTCGTGCCGTCTTTTGCAGCGACCCAGCTTGCCCTGCTAGACGAGGAGCTGCAGAGCGAGATCCAGGAAACGAGCACTCTCATCACTAACCACAGCCCCACTGGACTGCAGCGAGCTGGACTGGCCATCACAAATCTGAACATCTCCTCGCAGAGGACAGGACTGGGAGGCAAGACGGTGCTGGAGCTGAGTCCAGACAGCGCAACTTCAAGCACGGGAGAGCTGCCTGAACATGGCATTCGAACTGGGGATATTGTCCTGGTGGCAGAGCAGCCCGCGGGGAGTGCAAAGAAGAGAGAAATCAAAGAGCTCGAGAAGAAGGGAGCCAGAGGCGTAGTTACACGGGTGCAGAGAGCGGCTGTGAATGTTGCGCTGGATGAGGGGAAGGATGATGTGATGTTTTCGGGGAGAGTGTGGATGGTGAAGCTGGCCGATGAGGTTACATATCGACGGTAGGGAGTAGCAAACGCTTCCATAAAATTATCTACATCAGAGCCTTTGAGCTGACCGTGACTCAAGTATGAACCAGACCATGGAGAAGCTGCAAAAGATGGGAGAAGCAGAGTACTCGAGCTTCATCAGAGTGCTGTTTGGGCTATCGAGCCCTTCACCGGTACCGCAGAATCTATCAACGAGTGATGAGGTTGGAAGCATTGAATGGATAGACCCAACCCTGAATGATTCACAAAAGGATGCCATCCGGTTTGCGTTGGCTTCTAGAGAAGTAGCCCTCATCCACGGGCCTCCTGGAGTAAGTGACCAGCCAGCAGCATCCTATGACATACTCTTCTTGATAAATGTGCTTGGCGATGCTAATTTGAACAAAGACCGGCAAGACTCACACACTGATTGAGCTGATTCTGCAAATGATTAAGCGTAATCAGAGAATATTGGTCTGCGGCCCGTCTAACATCTCTGTTGACAACATTGTCGAACGGCTCTCGCCGCACAAGATACCCATCCTTCGTCTTGGCCACCCTGCTCGGCTCTTACCGTCTGTTCTTAACCATTCTCTCGATGTTCTCACACAGACGTCTGAGGCTGGTGCCATAGTCAAAGATGTCCGCGCCGAGATGGATGCCAAACAGGCATCGATTAAGAAGACTAAGAGTGGTAAAGAACGGAAAGCCATCTACACCGACTTGAAGGAGCTACGTAAAGAATACAGAGAGCGGGAGAGAAGATGCGTCAGCAACCTCGTTGGCGGTAGCAAAGTTGTTCTTGCAACGCTACACGGTGCCGGAGGCTTCCAGCTGAGAAACGAACAGTTTGACGTGGTCATCATTGATGAGGCAAGTCAAGCTCTGGAAGCGCAGTGCTGGGTCCCGCTGCTGTCAGCAAAGAAAGCAGTCTGCGCCGGAGACCATTTACAACTACCGCCGACAATCAAATCCCTTAATTCAAAGGTCAAGGCATTGAAAGTCAAGGAAGGCGATGACGGCACGCCTGTCATCAGGGGCATGACGCTTGAGACCACTCTCTTTGACCGTCTGCTGGCCCTTCACGGGCCGTCTATCAAGCGCATGCTTACAACGCAATATAGAATGCACGAAAAGATTATGCGGTTTCCGTCAGACGAGCTTTACGGGTCGGAGCTCATTGCGGCTGATGCGGTGAAAGCACGGCTGCTCAAGGATCTAGAATACGACGTGCAAGGCAACGAAGACACGACAGAGCCGCTCATCTTTATTGATACCCAGGGCGGTGATTTCCCAGAGCGAAATGAAGATGACGACAAAGATGGCCCGAAAAGGGGCAATCTACACGGCGAGAGTAAGAGCAACGATATGGAAGCGGCTCTGGTGCGCTTGCATGTGAAGCAGTTGGTGGAAGCCGGCGTTCGACCCGAGGACATTGCTGTTGTCACCCCTTATAATGCACAGGTAAAGTAACAAACTCTTGCGTCATTCGTACCCTTTTTTAAGAGAGATGAGTTTATAAATCACACAGAGAAAAAAAAGAGAGCGATCGATGCTGACCAGAGAGACCTAGCTCGCTGCGCTTGCAACGTTGAAAGAGAAATTCCCAGGCATTGAACTTGGCAGCGTGGATGGCTTCCAGGGGCGTGAAAAGGAGGCTGTGATTGTGAGTCTTGTTCGAAGTAACCCTGACGGCGAGGTGGGCTTTTTGGGAGAAAAGAGACGACTGAATGGTAAGTCTTTTTTTCCATGTGGAAGCTTCTGCTTTCTGTGTTTCAGCATAGCGACATTAACAAGTGACAGTCGCCATGACACGGCCCAAGCGATCATTAACGGTCATTGGAGATTCCGAGACGGTCAAGAGGTAACCTCTCTTTCTTCCCATTGATGATCACAAGATGGCAGTACTGACGAAAGTTCTTTTTCTTGTTCTCACAGGGGAAGCAAATTTCTGAAAAAGTGGATGGAATTTCTAGAAGAAAATGCCGATCTGAGGTATCCTGACGCGACCGAAGTTAGCCGAGAGTAAATCGAAATAGACTGCACCCACGATACAGGATAAACGAAAGAAATACGAAGTACAAGTATTACTACTGTGAAGCATCATGAGAAGGTAATATACTCGATACTTACTAAAAGCATGGCCAATTACGGAAATAGGACATCCCACGCCATCATTATTAACAGCCATTTCGCCAAAAGAAAAAGAATAAGAGAAACCGAGATTAGGTAACCAAGGTTACATTTCTACATATGCCCGAAATGGTCAATTAGATGGAAATAACGCCGGCTTGAAATTACACTTTAATTTCACGTGTTTGCGGTACGACGGCCCTCTGCGTTTCCGACGGGTCTTGATGTTTGTTTGCTGTCAAATCTTGGAATCCATTCCGTCTGACGTCTTTTTGGGGGGTCCCATGCCGTGTAACTGTGAGCTTGTACTACCATTGCCTGTCTACATGTTGTTGTCGGTTGAGGTGGAATGAAGTGGGAGTGTTAGGGGGGGGGGGTGTTGTTTGTGTGATCCTGGTGCTCGAAAGGGCGATATCGCTGTGAGAAGCTGCAGGTGGACGATGGAATGAGAGAAATCTTCCAATCTGCTGGTGTACTTGTGGCTTTTGAGGCTTTTTTCAATCCCCTGCTGTGTACGTATGTGTTCCCAGGCTGGGGAGGCATGCCTTTCTCGCTAGCCAGAAGGCATCTCATCTCGGTAAGGGGAGACGATTTCCGCCAACCTGCCAATCCCAGCAGCGAGATACCGGCCATGCTCACGTTTACTCCGCGTCAAGCAAGCAGAATATGCACATCATCGCCATCACAAATCACGAACTAACATCTCGCGAAGGCATGGCTGCCGTGTGGCCTCTGCGTGGCAATTTGAGATGAGAGAAGCACGGCCCTCCCTTGCATTCCTTCTAGAAGGAGGCTTGAAGCCACGCGGATCTACCGCATGAACCACACGCATCAAAGACCCCCCCTGGTCCAGATCTCCAAAACGGCCTGAAACGATTGGGGCGACGCGACCGGTGCAACAGGGCTTACTGCCACTTTATGCTTTGCATATTGCTTAGTCCGGATAACGGCTCCGGCTTGGCTGGCCACATGATGGAGGAAACAAAAAAATGGAAAAAGGCCAGTCTGGAGTAGAGATGGAGAGTCGAGAAACGAATCGGGGTGGACCATGAATTTGCAATGCCAGCTGAGCTGGTTTCTCAGAAGGGAAAACCATAGAGCCAATTACAGCAATTCCACCGGATTCGCTGGCGGATATGGTCTGACAGGGGAGGTTTTCGCTCCCCCTAGCAGAAATTTCTCGGTAGCTTTCCACGGGACAACAAACGAGAGAAATCACAAACGACCGCTGCCCCGGGGAAGAAGTACTCGGTAGAACAAGTGGAAGAAAAGATTGAGCTATTTTGGCCTGCTTCGGAGATGGAAGAGAAGATGGAATAGGCGCCCGTCTGGCAGCCCTTGAGACGAGCCACGCATGCGCCTGGGACAGTAGCGCGGCCAGTCTCGTCACTTGTCACAAAATCCTGGCAGCAAGATGGTCGAGGACGCTCTCGGTGAGTGAGTCGATTTTCTGCTTGGGGCTGCGTTATTCCGCAGTCAGTCCCATAATTCGTGCCGTATATTGTATGTTTCAACGCCATGCCGGCCCGAGTACGGCGTGTGTGCTAGCAGTAGTTTACAATACGCTACTGGATATTAGTTGATGAGAGCGAGGATGAGGTGGAATTGAGCAGCTGCGGAGTTTGGAGTTTCTAAAGTCCATGGCATGGATCAATTTTGCTTCTCTCTGACTGTGGTTGTTAATGGTAGGTATCAAATCAAGCTGCGAGCGGGAATTCTGTGCAGCCAATTTGTCATCTCCACAGGCCATGGGTTCGGGAAGGTGCAGCTTTGAGAGCTCTGCTCGTTTCGCACCTGCCGCTGCAGTAGTGCCTTACGGCGCCTCTCACCTGAAGCTTGGAGCTTTTAGCGGTGGTAACGCTGACAGGGACTTTCGGTGCAGATGCAGATCTTTGGCCTCTTTACCTCAACTATGTTCTCTTTGTAGGTGACATTGGCCTCGAATTCCCTCCGCTCTCGTTGCTCTGGCTTCGTGATCACTATCTCGCCACAATCGGCTCTGCATTTCAATGTTCCCGCCTCTGACAAGCCACAGCGGAAGCCGCACCACCACCTCCACCACTAGCATCAAATAGCAGCGCCAGCTATTCTCAATGGATATCCATCATGGCGGTCCCGTCGGGTTCAGCCGCCCACCAGGCATCTGCTAGTTCTTGCAGCTACTCGCAGCTACTCGCAGCTACAGCCACCGCCAGCGCTATTGGAGCCGGGCATCGTCTCTGGTCGCTTAATCGAGGAGCCAAGGCCGGAGAGGCCCTGTCCTGCGGCGAGTATCCAGTCCGCTATCAACACCGAAGCCTCTGGCTGCGTACAGGCTTCGCGACGCTGCGCCGGGAGCCCCTTTCTGTGCTGTCGGGGTGCGGTCCAATCCCGAGACCCCATCGGCCCTCCCCCTGCGAACAACGTGGCCGGCATCTCTTGGCGGAGAGGCCTGCTGCAGAACGGGGAATCCTGAGTCGCGGCGGATTGTGGCTGCAGCTGCCACGATAGACGTCTGTCAAATCGCCTCGTCCGGCGCCATTGACATGCAGCCGTGGTCTCGGCCAGCAAGAGACGCTTGGCTGCGCAGCCATCCACTCGCCTGCCGTGCTTGTGCCGCTCTGGCTAGACTCGAGATGCACTGCACTGCAGCTCGCAGCAGGCAGCAGAAAGAGAGGGGCCCTGGGCATTGCTCCATGCTTGGATCTGGGACATACGAAGTGCAGGCCGTATTTCCACGCACGCGACCCTCGTTTGATTCTGCGTTCCGTCTTCCGCGCGCCGGACAGCTCGCCGTATTATACTTGGACCTGGACACGACGCAGAGACACCGGCCCTGGTCCAGGTGAAGGTGCTGGAAGGGGAATAAGGCGGCCGGCCTGAGACCGGTGCACCGCACGCCATACGAGCTCATCCATCTCTCTGGCGCTTCTCTGGCGCGTCGCTGACCTGCCCTTCCTGGGCGTTTCAAAGTATGCGCCTCGGCCGGCTCGATGCCAACTCCTCATCACTCACTAGCCTGGCTGCATGCTCGGGGCCATCTGGGGGCTCCGTTAAAATGCGACCAGGGCGCAATCGTGTTTCATCCTCCGCCTGTCCAAGGCCTATTACACAAGACAAGCTGCTCCCCGGTCGTGGCCGCGAGCTATCAATCTTCATCGCCGCTCCATTGCTACCTTGTGCCACTTCAACTTCTGCAACTTTCTTGTGGCGACTGGCCATGGCGCCGTTGGCCAGATCGCATTGACCTTATTTCGTGTCTCTCGTTTCTTAATAGTGATTTTCTTTTTTTATCTTCTGCTCCAGTCTTCTTCTTCTTGTCCCGCGATTTGCCCCCCCGGACGCTTCGACAACGCCTGGTCCAAGTTGACTTTGATCGCTCCGTCGTAGCCTGGCGAGCTGTCAGTGGACTGAGGACTCGGAACGGCCTCTGCTCTCGCCAAACTGACCTGCCATAGCCGACTGGACGGGCTGACCTGGCGCCAAAATTAACACAAGCTGAGGACGGAAAAGCCCAAGCTCTCACCAACTGGTCTGAGAGTTGCTCCTCAGGAAGCCGAGATCAAATAATAATATCAAGCAAACTCGGCTTCCTGCCGCTGAGGCTTTCCCTACTTACCAATCGCCCCTTCTCTGCAACTCAATTCTCGACACTCGTTCAACTTACTCTGCTCAATTTAAAAACTAGCAATTTCCTTTTTCAGTTTTTCTTTTCCTTTCCCTTCTTACATGTCATTTTCTCAGTATTATTGAAAATAAAAGATGCATCGATCATCTTCATCCCCCCTTCCTCCCCAGGGCATGCCCCGGTCATCGAGCGCCGCTGCCATCACCACCACCAACAACAACAACCCCAAAGTTCGCGCTCAGCCCAGCTCCAGGATAGTTCGGGGCCAAATTTCCAGCCCAATTCCAATGCAAGATCCGCTGGATAAGGAACTGTACATCAGACCGCACGATACCGGAGCCTCTGGATACGCACAACCTCCGCATGTCAACTTGTCCAAGCCCTCCATGGAAACCTCCCGGCCGTCAGCGGAGTTTGCTCGCCGCCGCATCTCTTCAACACCTGAGCGATCTAGATCAGTCCTCCGAACGGCTCTTAGCAAAATATTTGGCCGCAAAAAAGCTATCAGACCTATAACACCTCTAGCCTCTGCTGATTCGGAAGACGAGCGGCAAGATTCGCACTTCAGTGTAAGTACATCACTTCGCGGATCGAGTGAGGTATAGCTTCTTGTGGATAGTGTATTGATGTAAGCAAACAGGATGACAAGAGGGATTCCATTCCTGCGCAAAGGATACCCCCAAAGAAAATTGAAACGTTTCCCATCTCTGAATATGATCGAGCCTTGCGCTCTCATTCCGTTGGCCCCGAGGATGTCATGGCCATCCGGAGCGCGCGAAGCCCAGTCAACCCCGAATATAGCGGGCATGCAAGGAAACGTAACGGAACCGGTAGTGATGCTCATCCGGCCAGTGCGCGCTGGGTAAAGCCAACTGGCCTGACTCCGCGCCCTGCCAGTACAACTGACTGGGGTAGCAGGTTGGTTGATGCCAGCCATGACCCTGAAGAGATTGGCCGTGCTGTAACCACTGGCCTCAAGCGCAGATCAAGGAGCTTATCGTTCATCCCATTGATCGAAACCGCGGAGGCTCCCAACATCACACGGCGCCGCAGCGATGAATTCCCTCGTGGGTGGCGGGAAAGCTATGATCAGGAGCCCGCATCACCAATATCATCAACTGCTCCAGATGGCGGCGATCGGCGCACCTTTGTCAGCCAAAAATCCAACGATGAGGCAGAGCTGGTAGACGAGATTGATTCGCCTGTGAAACCTTTTACGTTTTCGAATATGCCTTATATGGCCGAGTTTGCCGGTACCGCGAGCATGAAAATTACAGATGCTGTTGGCTTGGAGACGCGGATTGGCCAAGTCGAGAATCGGCTGAGCCTTGTGGAAGGTCTCTTGACCCATGCCCGTCAAGCATCTCCAGGCGATGGATTGGCGGACGACTCCTCTGAAAGATTGGCGCCGCCCATGCCTGCATGGTCATCTACCTTTTCAACGGCGGTTCGACCATCTTCCCACTCTTCTGCCCAAGTTTCTGGAACATCTAGACTCTCCTTTGGCGAGATACCAACCTATACACGATCGGCAAGCCAACAAACGTCAAAACAACCCATGTTTGCAGCTTCCACTCTTTCTAAATCTGTGCCCACCGGGTCATTTATCATGGATCATGAGACCTACAATGCACTCGTATCAACCATGGAGAACGACCGAGCTGCTCGACTAGCACTAGAGGCACAGGTCAAGGAGCTCAGTCGACAAATCAGTCGCCTTTCCAAAAACATACCCGCAACTCGCACAGCCCAAGTGAATGACGAGGTAGCGTCCCCGTCCTTTGGCAAGCCACCAGTCTTGGATTTTGGTGAAGATGAGGAGGAGGAGGACGACGATTTGAGGACAAAAAAGTCTCGACGAAGTTTCAGAAAGGCTCAAAACGAAGATTCCGGCATTGGAACCGAGTCTGGTGACAGAGACTACCCCGAATCGTTTGCTACACTAAACGACGAGCATCATAACTCCAAGGCAGATCTGCCATTCAGCTCGCCCGATGCGATACTGTCGCTTTCCAAACTCACAACGCTGCATTCCATGGCACACCCAGCATCGCAGCAAACCGTATCACAGCCATTCTAGACGGAGTGAGTCTGGATTGCGGTCGAAGAGAAACATTAGCATATGGTGATGTTGAAAAGTTGCTAGCGCTTCATTATTTGTATATTATACCCCATTCAAACGATGTCAAATATCGTCTGAAGCTTTTGACTATAGCATTTTATTCTTTGAGGTGTTGATTGGCGTGGGCCAACGGAAGTTCTTTTGTTAACAAGGGTTCGGGAGGGAGTATTGGGATAAAATATCATCATTCGGTGCGGGGAGGATGAAACCGGTGCTAAAATATATTAGACCATTGCTAAGGAAAATTGATTCGGCAATTTTCAAGGGAATAAATAAAGAATTTATTTCTAAAAAAAAAAAAAAAAAAAGGCGTGGTATTCTATTGTGAGATGTCTATGGGAGAAAAAGTTTTGCCAGGCATGTTAGTCTTATGACTTATACTGTAAGCTCTCCCCCCTTTTGCGCCAAGTAAAAATTCTTTCTTTTTTTCTTTGTCTCCCATTATTCATACAAGATAGAGAGTCTTTCGACACCTATTCGGTTTGCTACGCCTAAAATGCAATTACATCACTAGTGAGACAAGCCATCTCTGAGTCCCCAGCTGCCCACCAGAGCCATGGACTTTTCGTCTCCAGGGGCCAGGCGGTCATCCTGCAGCGTATCAGCAAGGCACGTCCAGGGATCTCGGCCTCCGCCCCATTTCAGCAAGTTCTCCTTTAGGCGCTCGCCATTCTCGCGGCCAATGGCGGCACCGTCCTCGCCGGCACGGAAGACGACGCGCCATACTCGCTCGGCGAGCACGCGGTCAAAGAGGTAACTGTAGTAGGTGCTGCCGTAGCTGTGCAGGTGGCCGAAGAAGCCCTGCCAGCGGGTCTCGGGGGGGTCGCGGGGCCCGTGGGCGAAGCGGTGCTGGATGTCGTGGAAGGCGGCCGTGGAGTCGAAGGAAGAGGAGGAAGTGACTTCCGGAGAGTGGTAGGCCTGGTCGACCATGGCGAGGAGGATCTGGTGCTCGGTGTCGATGCCTTCGAAGCGCTTGGAGACGCGGATGCGCTCGGCGACGAGGTCGTAGGGCAGGGGCTTGTCGGTCTTCCAGTGGCGGGCGAAGAGGGAGAGGACGGTGCGGTCGGCGGCGAAGTGCTCCATGAGGGTGGAGGGGAGCTCGGCGAAGTCGGTGGCGCAGCGGGTGCCGGAGACGTTTTGGAAGGATGTGCGCGCGAGGATGGAGTGGATGGCGTGGCCCATTTCGTGGAAGAGTGTCTCGACCGAGTAGAAGGAGAGGAAGGCGGGCTCTTTGGCGTTGTCGTTCTTGGGGAAATCGCATACGAGGGCAATGGTGGGGAGCTGCTTCAGGGTGCCGTCGTGCGTGGAGATTTCCATGCCGTCGTTGGCGGCCTGCTCGGCGGATTCGAAAGCTGGTGTGTTGGGGGAACTGAGGTCCAGGCCGGCTTCTTCGACTTCGTCGGGGAGGATCTCGCGGGAGCATCGGACGGTGAAGTGTGCCGGGTTTGGCGACTTTTGCGGGCGGTAGAAGAGGTCGCAGTACAGGACGGCGACTTGGCCGCCGTTGTCAGACACCACGTCGAGGCGCTTGACGTCTGGATGCCACGTTTCGCCTGGGAGCGTCTCTCGCGGGACAAGGCGGATGCCGTAGAGACGATCGAATAGGCGGGACAGGCCTTGGATGACGGTGCCGACGGAGAAGTAGGCCGTGAGATGGTCGTCGAACCGGACTCGAGATCGCATCTCGGCCCTGATCTGCTCCATGTAAAAGTCTCTGTCCCAGGCCTGGAGGGTGGCATCCTGCATGGCGAGCCTCTCGCGCTTCTTCTGAGTCAACTCGCTGAGTTCGTGCTGGATGATGGGAGCGTTGTGGTCTCTCAGGGCAAGCAGAAATTCCATCACTGAGGCGGGCGATTTGGCCATCATTCGGTCCTTCAATGCCATGTGTCCGTGGCTCTGGAAGCCGGCGAGGTTAGCCAGCTCGGCTCGAAGCTTCAGCATTGTCTCCAGGAGCTTGATGGTCCGGCCTGAGGCTCTTCGCTGGGCGAGATAGATTTCCTTCCGCGTCTCCTCATCGTAGACGCTCTGCAGGGCGGCCGCGGCCTCGGAGCCGGTGGTGGGGATGGAGATGTTGGACCGGGTCTTGAGCGATGCGGCGAGGCCGGGGTATAAGCCGTAGAAGCGATGAGACGGCAGCGTGACGGCTTTGCGCTCTGGCTCCATGCCTTGAACAAATGCCGAGCCGACGTCGCTAATGTGCGAAGAGAGCTCAACGAACTTGTCGCGCGCAGCTTTGGGCAGGTTGACGGCAGACTTCATGAAGTCGAGCTTGAGCAGCTCTGCCACTTGCTTCTCCTCCTCGGACCAGGTCGAGGTGACCTCGGGCCGGGACATGGCCTCTCCTAGCTGGTCGCTCAGTCCCGTCATGGTGTTGAGCTGGTTCATGTACTGGTACACCATTGACCAGGCATCTGCCGCAGCCTGCTGGAAGCGCACGTCGGGATGCGTCATGCGGACGAAGTCGGCCATGTCGAGGACTCGGCATAGCAAATCGCTCAGCCGGTCGAGATCGCGGACGAGGGTCTGGTACTCGCGGGCCGACGAGGCCGAGAGCACACGGTGGACAATCTTGGTCGCTCTCTCCAGGTTCTTCTGCGCAAAGGCGAGGAATCCATCGGGGCTGGTCAGGTAGCGGTTCTTGAACAGGCCTTGGCTCTTCTTCAGGCTGAAGCTGGCAAAGGTTCGCCCGGATGGGGCGTCGAACAGCTCGCGCAGGACCGCATCGTCGTGTCGAGAGCTTGTGAAGTGGTCGAATGGGAGCTTCGCAGCGTCTGTTGAAGGTGTCGCAGTGGCAGTCGCAGTGGCAGTGCTTGATTCCCATCGGATCTGGTTGAGGCTCTGGTTTCCTTTGATCACGCGACGAGAGCATCGGGTGCAGACCCAGAGGCGGGAACCTCTGGAGCTAAGCATTGTTGGAGTTGGGGATCAAGACAAATGCTGGATGCATGCGAGGAACTAGATTTTTCTCGTAATAAACATGCGCGACGCATGGTCAAGAGGCGATTGCAATTGGGAGCTGTGACGAGACAGGAAAAAATCAAGGTGGGAGGACGATTTCGGAGATGCGAGGGGCGGGTACCTCGAGCATGTACCCGCGAGATGCCGAACGCCGGCTATCTTGGAAGATGCCCCTCCAACTGAGCGTCGATGGAGTCTCTGCTGCTGAACTAGACGGTTGAAAGTGGTTTTTTTTTTATCTTGAGCACAGTATATATGATTTGAGTGATTGTCTCCCACTTCCATTGAGATGATTTATTCTTCAACTGATTGCTGTTCGTTCATTACAAACCATGAGCCCCTCACTCCGCGTTTCCGGAGTCACTTACACAGATGGAAGGGATCGCTGGTCTCGTGCCGTGCCGCTCAAGAACAAGGTTGTTTTCTCAAACTCCACATTTCATCATGTCTACCTATGCTGTATCAAAAAGTGATGAAATTATGGCCATTAAATATTCGTGTCAATGATGACTCTTTAACGTCGCAAATATCTGGCGTGGTATTGTTAGTGCTCTAGCCCTGCAGTTTGTGGCTTCCATCTCGCATTTCGGTTTGTCTTGGAGACACATATCGTGCCAATGATACACCAGTTTACTTTAAGCGTTTGAATATTATTCCTCAAAGCAAATCTCGCTCCTCATTGGCTGTTGGTCGTTGGCTTGAGGCATTTCAATAGCTAGCTAGCAGTCCAACCGTGACCTGAAAATAGCAAAGTGAACCCGAACATTCTACCCTGATCAGATTGTTAATTTGATCTAGATTGATATATCTGGATACTGCTACTCTGCTGTCACATTAAAGACTGCAGTGAATTTTTCAAGACTCGGCCTTATAAGTTCCAACTCCTACTGTGAAATTTGACCACCTTTCTCTCGATATCGTATCGCAACTTCTCCAGAAACTTCTGATCAAAATCCCCGATCAAAATCTCCGACCAAGATGCCTGATCGAGATGCCAGCCCTGAAATAGACTCCGAGGTCTCATATGCGAGCCCGTGATGCCAAGGACAGAAGGTTTAGGCTTGTATTTAGCCGTTCTATATCCACCTAGATTTCTCTTATACGAGCTAAACAAGTCAGCAGACCAAGTAGATGGAATAAATTGTCAGACAAGCCTCAGATAGCAGCCTGATCTTTGGTATCAAGCTCTATATGCCCGTTCTAGATAAGGCAATTGCCTTTTCAGCATTGTTCCCCCACTTAAGCCAATACTGGTACTAAATATACGCAGATACATTTGTGAATACACGAATCACTTACTTGCGATAGCTCGTCAGAAAGCGTTACCAGAAAAATGATGGGTAAGGAAAATCAAAAATAAGACTCGTGTGCAGCAAATCGCGGCAATTATCAGACCAATAAAAAATATACACATCTATATGTGCTCATGTTGTTGCTTATATGTAGTTCCGGTCATCTATCCGTTTCGGTACGTGTTCCTCCGTGGTCACGCCGTGTAAATGAACGAGATACAAACGAACGCAATATCTGAAGGAAAGATAACGTCTTGCGGCTCATCAGATAGAAATCCGAACTATGAATTAAATAAGATTTTAGCGCTTATTTGGAACAATATTGCCAGAATAGACGTATAAAAAATCGACACAACGATGGGCATCCTGCTGAACATGCAGTCATGACTAAAGTAAGCATCACATGTGAAAAGGCTGCACACCTATCTGTGTACAACCCGAGTTGATAAGCAATGAAGAATAATATTTTTGCTCTTGGTTGGCATATATAGACAGTATAAGTAAAAAAAAAAAAAAAGATGTAGATGACCTGAAATTAAGCTACATTATTGCATTTGGATGTGATTCATATAAAAAAACAATGTTTATTTTTGTACTATTATTGGGCGGACTTGCCCTTTGGCAGGCGGGAACAGCCATTTACCATCTTTGGTTTTCACCTCTTGCAAAATTTCCAGGTCCCAAGTTGGCAGCAAGTACTCTACTCTATGAATTCTACTATGAAGTCATATGCAGTGGACAGTATACACGCCGGATCGAAAAGATGCACGAACAATATGGTCAGAGAGTCTTGGAATGCTGGTGATTTATAACAAGGCTGACGATAGTATCTATAATCTGTAGGACCAATTGTGCGCATTAGTCCATACGAAGTGCATATAAAAGATGCTGATTTCTGCGTGGAAGCATTCTCTCCGGTCAAAAAGCTGGACAAATATGGCTGGTGGTACAGAGTCTTTGGTGGACCTGGTGCAACCGTCAGTACCGAACATCACGATGTGCACAGAAGTCGACGCGCAACGTTCAAAAACCTGCTATCTCCAGTTGCTGTCAGAGGCTTCGTGCCCACCATTCTTGAAAAAGTGAAGCAGGCCGGCCTCATCATGAGCCATCACGCTCAAATGGGAAGGCCGATAAACATGTCAAACTTGTACCGGTGTATAGCAGCGGATACGGTGTCGGCATATGCCTTGCCGGCTTCGCTGAACTTGCTTGACTCTGAAGATTTAGGCGAAGAATTCCAATCTGGCTTGAGATTATTCTTCGAGGCAGCTACTACGATGCGCTTTCTCGGATTTCTTCAGCCCCTGATGATGATGATGCCCGATATCATTTTCAAGCGATTGTTGAGCGACCCCGCGAAATCACTAATAAAACTAATCAGAGTGAGTCAATCAAGATTCTGCCGTTGTACTTTGGAGGTATGGATTAAGCGTATTGACCAATTGATTAGAGATTGGAGGCTTGCGTCGATGAGACGATCCAAAGGCCGTCTGACATGGAGAAATCACGCTCGTGTCTCATTGAATGTATCAAGACCAACAAGTATAGAGAACAAGGAGACTTCCGTGAGCGCTTACTGCAAGAGGCAGAGCAATTTATTGTTGCTGGTACCGAGACGACTGGCTACGCATTATCCGTCACTACCTTTTATATCCTTCAAAATGCAGATATTCAAAAGAAGCTACGCCAAGAACTCGTCGACGCACAGATCAGCCTAAACGAGGACGATCTCGACATTACAGTTCTTCAGAATTTGCCGTACTTGGTTAGTTCTTCTCCTTTGGGCCGCAGTTTCAAATGGGAGGGGAATTAGCAGTAGCCAGAAGCTGACATGTTGCCGAATTCGTAACTTTAGTCTGCTATTATTACGGAAGGGCTTCGGTAGGGTCACGCGAACTCACACGGTGCAAAGAGCTGACCGAAATGTGCTAACATCTCACCCCTAGATTCGCTCATGGCGTTGGCTCAAGGCTGCCCAGAGTAAACAAAACTGGCGACGTACAGTATCGCCAATGGCGCATACCTGCTGGTGTAGGTCGAAACTGTTTCTTCTTCTGCCCATGATAGGTCTTGAGATAGCTAACTGAGGCTTTCCCTTGAAAGGTACCTGTGAGCATGACATCAAGGCTTCACCATGAAGATCCGCAGCTCTTCCCGGAACCGCTCACTTTTCGTCCGGATCGATGGCTTCAGCCAGACAGTAAACAACTAAGAAAATATCTCAGCCCATTTGGCCTTGGGTCAAGGATATGCCCTGGAATGCAGTAAGTGATGGCGGTCGTCTTTGCATTAAACTAAGGAAACTGTGGGCTAACACTGGACCGAAACCCTATAGCTTGGCGTTCTCTGAGATATATATTGCAATTGCGTATATCTTTACTCACTTTAATGTGGAAAACAATGGCACGACGAAAGAGGATCTGATTTCTGTTCACGATTTGGGAGCGCCATTTCCCAAACGAGATTCCAAGGGGCTCCAAGTCACTCTGCAGCTTAGATAAACGCACACGATGAGCAAACAATAGAGAATAGAGTATACAAAGGAGAGAATATATTATGAGGATTATAATTTAGAACTCGTCTTTATCCACAACCCAGACGCCTCCAACTTGACTTCTTCTCGTCCCTGTGCTTGGCCCTCGACAGGTTCTATTTGAACAGCTTGTGCCCTCATCCAATGCTTCCGTCCATTGTATGCTACACACCATGATTTAACTATCAACAACCCTGGAGTCCGGACTGGACGTTTGAATCCCACTTCGAGTTTCGACGTCAATAGAGTTCTCCTTACGTCGTCGATCTTTTCTGGATCAGTTGAGAAGTGCACAGCCAGCGTATGGGCCATGGCTTCGTCAAAAATAGTTGACAAAAGCCCGCCATGGGCTGTGGACGGATGCGAGCAGACACCCGGGCTGGATAATTCAAACAAGGTGATTAAATGCGGAGGCGTATTCTCGTAAGAGTGAACAGACTGGCTCTTTGAATGTATGGCAGGATTGACTTCTGATGTCTCTACCAATGTCGGAAGAGTTGCTTTCTTTAGCATCAAGCAGTATGGTATCGTCGACTCTGTTGCGAGAGTCTCAGAAAAGAAGAAGTCTTCGCCGCTGGACTTGCGGATTCGCCCCCAAAATGGGACAACCTCATAGTCTTGCGACTGCAATATTGGGATAAGATACGACGTTTTGGAAAAGTGCTCCATTGTGCCACCAGTTATCGCAGAATGCACGCAATGCAGAGCTTGAGTTTCACTGTATAGCGAGGTTATAAAATTTCTGATTAGATGTTGTTATCGTGTAAGTCTACGGGATTATGTATGCTCTTGCAATCTCACACACACACACTTATAAATGTTTACTAAACTTGTAGCTTTGGATGATGCAGGTGTTAATATTGGCATAAATACCGTTTTGGTCGACCAAGTACATCACAGTATACTCTGTAGGTGCAGTACACAATACCATCTATCTTGTAAATGCCGAACTAATAGGCTATGGAATCGGAACTCGGAATATGCGCACCGCCCCCGTGCGGGCGCCAATATTGGCGTGTAAGCAATGGGGGCTGACGAGTTCTTTTCCGCTGGCCAGAACATGCACACCCCGCAGCCATCATGTGTTTACTATTCAACAGATCCTTCCGGAGCTTTGCACAAATCTGTAAAAGCAATTTTTTTGATAAAAGGCACAATGGGCTAATATGTGATGAAATAGACTAACAATAATAAATACGCTGCAATAATGACTGTGTTGCGCCTTAGTTGCGCAGGATTAGATCGAAGAATTGTTCGTATACGTTTAGAAGATCCACACTAATAATTAAGTCGCATGCAATCCAGCATGTGCTTTTTTATATCACAATTTAGATAACAAAATACTTTATTAGGTCTAATCTAGATGTCGTTACACTCGTAGTGTCAAGTACATGTATATAGTTGTACTACACCTAGTTTATAACCTTGATATTCGCCCAGAGCTGTTATCCCCATCCCCATCCTGCTGCTGTCTTCTATGAACCAGATAAAAATGGCGAGCAAAGCTATCAAAGTCGATTATAATAGGCGCATTGCAGTAATTACTCTCAACCAGCCCGAAAAGCTAAATACCTTCAACGAAGAGCAATTCTATTTTCTTGGGGAGTGTTTACGAGAGATAGCAAAGCACGATGAGGTGGCCATTACTCTGCTCATTGGGACCGGACGGTTCTTTTCATCGTATGCCATGATCATTATTTGTCCAATCTCAGTTCAGTCTTCTCTCTGGTATCTAATCTGTCATCAACTCCCTTTAGCGGCGCGGATGTGTCTGATCTGGGCAAAGTAATGGCAGCGCCAAACCGCAAAGACATCTTGGCGGCATCCTTGTTCAACAACATCGACCTCACTCGGGCGTTCTATACGCACCCAAAGATTTTGGTCGTGGGCCTGAATGGCCCTGTTGTCGGCTTTCCAGCGGCGCTGATCTCGTTTGCCGATTTTATATACGCTCGGCCTCATGCCTACTTGCTTCTTCCATTCTCGTCGCTTGGGTTTGCAGCCGAGGGGGGCGCCTCACGTGCGTTGCGAGATCGCCTCGGCGTAGCAAAAGCAAAAGAAGCCCTGATGATGAGCAAGCGTATTCCGTCTGACCAACTTTTGGCTTGTGGATTCGTGAACAAGATTCTTCAGCCGCTCTCACAGGAATCGAGCGCGGATGGAGCTGACCCGTTGGAATTCTTGAAACAAGTTCTCAAGGAGCTTGATAAAGACCTCGGGAGTCACCTTAGTGATTCAAGCTTGTTGAGTATCAAGCAACAGTTTTTCCGACATGACAGGCGGACATATGAGCATACAAGCGTGCAGGAGGCGTATACGGCGGTGGAGAAGATGTGCGCTGGAGTTCCGCAAAAGCAGATGCAAAGAATAGCCGCCGCCAAGAAGATGAAGTCCAAATTATGATTGGTAATGTGTACAAAGTAATATTTATGATGGAAATTAGCATATTTTAAAATATTGCATATTGCAGACAAGAAGAGAAGGCTGACTTCCTCAAGAAGAGGTAGCTATTCTGAAGGTTATCAACATGGGGGCCCTGGTACAGATTTGCTGGAGATAAGTATGTTAACAAAGACGACAACTTATGCAAAAAAAGAGCGAAACGAAATTGTAAAAATAAAAAAGAAGAAATAATCGAGCGATGCTACGAAGAAAACATCTACTATTTCCTCAAATTTAAAAAAGGCATGCAGTAGAAATACAAGGATTGAGAGTCGTCTCGTCCCTTGAATTTCCCAATTCGGCAATGACCTGGCAAGCCCCCCCGGGCCGGAATTTCTCTGCGCCGCGCTATCAGTCGGAATAGAGCGGGTAGGGACAAGATCCGATCGCATGAGCGCCTTTTCCAAAAATACGTCGTTGAAACTTCTCGAAGCTCGCCAGAACCGCCTGCAATCATGGCCGCGAGAGTGCTCCTGCAACGGGTAGGCAATTGGAATTCAATATACATTTCTCCTCAGCAGTGTGTGCAGGTTAATTGACTTGTCCATCTTTTGATTTAGCGCTTTGCGCCGCTGGCCGCAGCCGCCCTGGGTGGTATTGCTTTTTCTCCAGCGGTCGCCTTTGCTGAGGCTCCCAAGGTATGTTCCTCTCTTTCTCTTTTCTCATCTTCTCTTTATAAAGCCGTGACATGCTAATTGGAACTACGGACAGAGAAAACCCATCTACGATGAAGCCGAGCACTACTCCCCGCTGCCCTCAGCACCATCACCGCCGGCGATTCTCCCGAGCCAGCCCATCCAGGACAACAGCAGCAGCAACGAGGACGAGCAGCCGTCCTGGACCCCGACCCCGACCGACCGCCTAGCCGTCCAGGTCGGCCGCGCACGCCTGTTCCTCTACAGCGTCGCCGTCGCCGCCGAGAATAAGGTCAACCAGACCGTCGACTCAGCCTTTGACCTCGAGCAGTCCTTCACCCGCACAATCGCCTCCCTGGCGCCCCCGCGCGAGAGCGGCGAGAAGCTCATGCCCGGCGCCATCTACGTCCTCGTCGCCGCCATGGCCGGCAGCATCCTCACCCGCAACCGCAACGTCGTGCTTCGCGCCACCATGCCCTTTGCCCTGGGCGTCGGCGCCGGCTGGACCGTGCTGCCCATCACGATGAGGAACGTCTCCGACCTGGCGTGGAAGTACGAGCAGAAATTCCCCGCCGTGGCCGAGTCTCACGTCAAGCTGCGCGAGGGTATCCAAAAGACCATTTCGTTTGCCAAGGTCCACAGGGAGGTGGGTGTACAGTACGTTGACGACAAGGTCACTGACGTGCGGGAGGCGTTGGAGAACTGGGTTAAGCAGGGGAAATAAAATAAAATAAAAGGGGCGCGGGAAACATGTGTGTGTTATAAAAAAAAAAGCGATTGTACTATTACATAGAGATTTTTTTGGTTGTTAAAAACCGTTTCTTTTTTACATCTCATTCGGTTCACCTGGAAACTTCAAAACGGCTGAGACGAGATATAAAAGAAAGGAGTAAGATGGGCATGAGATGCTGGTGGAATAGTAACAGAGATATTTCAGACTATATAAATACATTTTCATTTTCAAATACTGTAGCTGGGTTATGAATATGTGGCCATTGAAGCATATGCTATTGGATATATCTACTGTTCATTACTTATGATATTTTGTCTATGATTTTTGAGCTTCATCAAACAGAAATGATGGGTTTCAACTCTATTTCCGGTTGCGCACTACTAGCTACTCGCTCGGATAGCGCCTTTTTCTGTTGTGTCTTGACTCTTGCTTGACCAGTCTGTCCGCCGGCGGCCAAGGCAGTGGCGTTTGATTTACCCTTTTTGAGTGGCATCTTGTCCAGTCCTCGTCTGACGTCTGCCTCCTGGGCCTGCTCCATAAATTCTTCGTGACCCAGCATCTGGCAGACGGCTGTATAATTCTTGCTTTGAGTCAAGGGCTGGTGGAGCCCGGCTTTTCCGGGAACCATCTGGGCCAAGAGATACTTTGTGTTGCCGAATCGGTTCTCGACATCCATGGCCGCCTTGACGTATTCCTTGACGACCTCTTCCCAGGGAGCGAGGCCTCCATCGGCCTCAGCCCTAAAGCAACTAGGATTCTTCTCCGCAGATACGGCAATCATGGCGCCATCTGCGCCGAATTCCTGTGCCAATTTTAGACCTTGGTCTCTGGACTCCACATCGCCATTCATCAAGCAGGCCACGCCGGCCTCGTGGCAAATGTCGGCAACCATACGCAGCTGGCCACGGATAGCACGCTCTCGGGGACGCATTGGCGTGGTTCGGCAATGGACTGTGAGGCCAGTGATGCCCGTGGCGACGAGTCTTCTGACCAGGGCCTCGGTCTCAGCTGGCGTTTCAAGAATGCGAATCTTGACGCTAATGCCGATTTCGAACTCGGGGGTGATGTTCTTGACAAGCGTTTCTAGAATGGCGCATAGCTTGTCTGGAGTCCGCAGCAGGGCAGCGCCCATGCCGCCGCTGGTGCTGAAGGGCTTGGGGCATCCGGCATTGACATCAATGCCAGCAACGTCCGCTGCGACCAATCTTGCGGCTTGCAGTGCGCGATCTGGGTCTGACGTGCCAATCTGGAAGATGAGTCTGTTCTTCTCCTTCTCGGGGTGAGTGGCGTAGATGATGTTTTCCTTTGCGTCTGGCGGCGGCGCTTTCTGTCCGTGGGAAGCAACTCGAAACCATTCGACCGTCTGGGTAGCCTCGTTGTAACGTCTCATCGTGCCGATGATTGCGCGGTCAACAGTTTCGGGGCCTGTTAAGTTGACGTTTAGCAACTGTGGGATGTTATAGAAAAAAAAAGGTCTGTATATAGGTACTCACCCCACACGAGGTCAGCGCCGTACTTGAGCGCCAGCAGACGGGAGGGAAGTTCTCCAGAGCGCACCATTGGCGCAAGGACAATCTTGCCGCGGTAGTCCACGCCGCGGCGAGGGATGGGGACCATCTTGACCTCTGAAGCCATGATTCTATTCAGCAACCTAGAGAGCATGCCACTCGGGGAGGGAGGCACTGCTACATGCTCTTCTGCAAGATTGGAATTAGATGAGGCGAATCAAAAAGTTGAAGTGGGATGCCACACTAGGACTAGATGATGATTCATCTAGCGGTTATCGGGCGTTATCTCTTATCGATAACGGCATCTTTGATTAATACTGGAGACTCGCTCCGAAGTGGGGTCACGGACGCGGCGCCGATAACTCACTCCGCTTGCTGAATCTAGATGCGTCGTCTCTCAGCCACAGGGACTTGAGTTTAATGTTAGATATGGGTGAGACCAAATGTGGAAATAAAGAGCAACGGTTCGGCGTGGGCAGCTCGCTTGCGCCCGGAATGCGCCCAAAGCACCGCGTAGCAACGATGGGAATGCCCGCAATCTTAATTTCTAGGCGGATGGGGTCCATGGAATATTGGCTAAATTGCATGCGATAAAGGCCCGTGGTATTGGGAGTGGAAGTAATCAAATGCTACATGTCGCGTGACGGTTTATCGTCCGCTAAAACTAACAAACAAATTGACTTGGTTTGGCGGGGGCTGGGCTTGCAGATTTGATGCAGCCGATAGCGGTTGAAGTGACGGAAAAGGTTACGTGTACCCGACAACGAATTGCTCGGGGGCTTTGTGCTCGCGCAAGTATCGTCTACCCAGCAGACGCCTGAGTGCAGCTCGAGAACAGGCGCAAAAATAGCTGCAATCTTAGGAAATAGAGCCACTAGTGATGCCTCGGCCTAGCCTGCAGTTTAGTGCTCCCTGACGGAGCTGGAATGAACAATGCTACTATTTCAGGCGTGGGTTCCAACGGCAATACGATGTTTCGTCGACGATGGCGATGAGTCGGCTTCCTTCGCAGCACTGAGGGATACGCATGCGAGGCTGCGTCTATTTTGGGCGCTCGTGCCAGGAGGGTGTGCGGGATTGTCGCGGTGCAACCCACGATTAGGAGGCGCGATCTCCAAGCGCACACAGAGATTTTCGAATTTGGGATGGGATGGGATAGATACGGTGACTAGGAGACAAGATCTTGGCTTGATGTGCCCCCAGTCGCCCGCCATGGATAAACAAGGCTATAACCTGCGTAGATCAAATCATGTCCTGGCCCCAAAAGACTTGGTACTTGTACCAATCCAAGTCCGACTGTTGCGACTGCTACAGTATCACTGCTCTTGGAGGGATCCTTTTCTTGTTCAGATGTTGCGATAGTTCTGAATTGGCTTTGAATTTGAGTCAATATCTTCGAAACATTGGGAAATATGCATGTACCTGGGCAACTATAGCGAATATGTCGGCCCATTCCTTAACTCCCCTTGTAGAATGGAAACTATTGGGCGGTCAACCCTCACCCGCGCAGAGTCTGATTTGTTTCGAAGAGAGGACAAGGCCAGCCAGCCGACAAGGGATGCGAGAAAAGGGAAACAACAGCTTGATGGGATGCGGTTGCATGCGTCGTCCTTCAATATTGAACGAGATGAGTTTGAACCTTGGGCGAGGGTGGTCACGGCGCTCGGTTTCAGGGATCTCGCAGGCCGGCTCCAACGCTTGGATTAGCCGGGTTTGGCACTCGAAGCGGCTACATGTCCCTGAAAGGCCCTGGAAAGCTGCGGTTGATTGATGGCCCTGGAGGTGTATTGACTTGGCACTGAGCCAACACTCAACAGACAAAACAAAGAGAGAGTTGAGATGCTCGTCTAGGCTCGGCGCTAAAGAATGGAGGCGAAGCCCCCAACTCTGTGCTCGCTGTTCTGGTACCAGCCAAGCTCTGCTGCTCCAGCGAATTAGGCGCCATCAGGCTGGGGCAGATGGGCGCCGAACCCCACTATTAAGCCACTACGAAGCCCCTCCTGGCCCGCGATGAGCACAAGGAGGAGGCGCTCAGGGGCTGGTTGGTGGGGAGAGCGACGAAGAGAAATGGAGGTCACTGCGAGCGAGCAGAGCACCTAGATTGCCTTAGCTCACGACTGTGGATGTGCAGGCTGGAGGTGGCGTGGTTGAGGCACTGGGAGGGGAAAACACGAACAACGGCACAGGTGCAAATATAGCATCGAAGCTGCACAACGGGACAGAGTCTGCGAGAATACGAGCATTTGCAGCCCGTCGTATCGACCAGTAGAGAATCCCGCGGTACTTGGCAGGTTCTATTTTCGAGTACCGGCGCCAGCTTTCTGCCCGTCCCTGCGAGGAGGTACAAGCCTCGTGGTACCTGCACCCCTGGGTCTGTGATAAGGGTCGTCTCCATCTCCAAAAGGGCTGTGGGTTTGCTCGCTGCGTGGTCTAGCCGTCTTGAATGCTCTGAAACTTCCTTGCCATTCCCTGGAGACGCCGATCAAGGCCAATTGGATTCCCTCGTGACGACATAGCACCTGGTGCGCGAGTAAATCCTAATAAACCAGCCGCAGAAGTGCACCCTCCCAGGCGTCTGTAGCAGTTGGTGGTACTTGTACGAGTGGCATCCCAAAAAAAAAAAAACATACATACTTGTACAATCGCCATTCCTGCCGCCTGCCCACGCCTGCACCCTTCTGCATATGCTGGCTGGCCAACTCGGTCCCTCCTACAGCTTCATCGCCCGTTGTCTGCGGCTTCAGCCTCTGCACTGCAACTGCAGCACTCCAGCCGCGCACGGGGAGTAAGACAGGCAAAGACTGCTCGCTGCCAGTGTTTTTCCCGCGCCGGCGACGGGGGGTGCCAACACCGCACCATATCTTGGCGGTGCAGAAACGTCCAGGAGAGCCAGCGCCAGCGCCAGAAGCATCATCCCGCCCACACCAGGCGCTGCAGTCGGTCAACAATGGACAGCGCGCAATCGTACATGGCCGACGAGGCCAAGTCGTCCAAGAGGGGACGGCTGATGGGCAAGCTGTTTGGCGGCAAGGAACGCAAGCTGGAGGAGAGCAGCAGCAATGCTTCCAACCTCGACGCCTTCCTGAGCTCGGCCGACACCCTCAACGTTACACATCCTCCTCCACCGCTGCCTCCCACCGTCGCCCTGCCGAAGCTCGACACCAGCATCTCCCGCTTTCCCCAGGCGCTGGCCGTCAACCAGCAGGCCCAGCAGAACCGTCCTCTCGCCCCAGGCGCTGGCGTCGAAGTGCGATCCCCAAAGCGAAGCCCACGACCGAGCCGCAAGGGCCTCTCCGTCAGGTTCACGGAGACGTTCCCCGACGTCATCGGCGAGGGCGGTGACGAGTGTGAGAACCCTACCATGGAGGTGTCGAGGCAAAAGGGCCAGCAGCAGTCGTCTCCTCCTCCTCAGAGCCGACCAAAACCCCCCGCCAGCAAGCCCTCTTACTCGAACAGCGACATCTCATCGGCACAGGATGATTTCATACCTAAACCCATATCCCGAGTTCAGACGTCCTTCTCGTCCATCTATAGCCCTGATGCTGACACCAAGACTCTGCCAAAGACAAGGACAAATTCGTCGCTTGGGGTGGACCGCCAGAACTCGCTGGACCCTGGGAGGAACCTCTCACCAGGAGGACTCTCTCCAGGTGGATTCTTGGGGGCTCCAGGAGGTAGAAATGATGAAAATAGAAAATCCTTTATTGAAGTTCAAAACGCGCAGATGGCACTGGCCGAAGGAAGAGCCTTTGCCAAAGCTGTTCGCACCGCCAGTGCGGCCTCTGAGCACGACTGGGGCGAGAAGAAGCTGCCTCCATCCCGCGAGCTGAACGATTCGCCAGAACCTACATCCCCCGAAGTCCAAATGAAGCCCACCGATTACAGCCCTGTTACCTCCATGTCTACAACCTCCAGCGCACACGCTTCGCCAAACAATCCAAACCCGCCAAGGCAGATGCCACGACGCCCCAGCGGCACGCAGAATGAGCCCGCATCGCGTCCTCCGCCGTCCATGGCCTCGAGAGCTCTTTCGGTGCGAGTTACCGACGCAGCGGCCGCCAGTGAGGCTCTCAGGATTTTTATTGCCCGAAGCAGGCACCTATTTGCACTATTTCGACTACATGCCGAGCAAGTTCGGCCACTGGGGTCCTGCACTCAGTCACAACTGGCGCGGGGTAGCTTATGGTGGTTTTTGAAGGGCAGAATGGGTCTGGAGGCGGCTATACGAGATCGCCCAACGACCCCCCAGTCACAGATGCAGCTTGACCTTGACCGACAACAGGCGCACTCCAACTTGGCCAAATCATACTGGCTTTGCCAGGAGGTGCTTCCCAATATTGTCGAGTCACAAGGCCAAGCCCCAGACCCCGAGGTTGCTGATGTGGCCAAGAATCTCGTCACTGCCTTGACGAAACTGGCAATCTCGATGAAGCGGAACGAAATCCTGCCTCCAGAAGATGCGGTACTGCCGCAAACCATCGACAAGTCCATCTGGGTGGAATACCCCCCTCTCAGCCAGGATCTGGTGGCTTTGATGACGGGCAACTGGGGCGGCGGCCTCACCGCGATGCAGCACCCTATGAATTATCTGGAGCTACTGGACGCATTCCCCGTAGGTGATACGACAGAGACGTTTTGCTATGGGAGAATGTCGGCGGATGTGTTCTTGATGGAGCAAGGCAGAGAGAACAAGCAGCTACGCTTCCCCTGCATGGTTTCCTTGGTGCGACCCAGCAGGCAGAATGGACTCATCTTTGTGGTATCTAGCCAAGATGGCAATATCCAGCTACCTATCCAAGACCGAAGCAAAGGAACCGGGCCATCGTGGGAAGATATCCGCTGGAGGCCTGAGACTTCTTCCTTTGATCTGCGCCTGCCGCGTGGCTTCAAGCTGGCCTTGCACTTATCCCAGAGTGATTACAAGATGCTTTACAACATGTACGACTACGCCACGAAGCTCCAGGCGACTCTCCAGCCTCGGCCAGACGAACAAGTTGTGTTTCGAAACACCCTCCGATCGTTTCAGTACCTGGATGCGGATCCCAACTCCCGTGCTTTCCCCAAGGAATCGATACCTTCTTGCGATTTAGCCCTCTTTGAAAAACTCCGAAAAGAGAACGGCCCTCAGGGCCAACGGACCTGGCACACCGGGTTCCGCATTGCAATTGTCACAGGACCAAAGACGAGGACGGCTTGTGGAGTGTCTCACTCCTATCCTCCCCCGCTGCCTGTGCAGTTTGGATTCTTCAGGGCTGAGGGAGACTTGCCTGCCTTTTCGGTCAAATTTGAAAATGGCCGGCAAAAGGGACGCATGGTCATGGTGTTTGGTGACGAAAAGGAGCGGAATCGCTTCCACTCTTTACTCACGGGTACATCTGTAGAGCCCGGCGAGAAAGTGTTCGCCGATGTGCCAATTGCCGGCGTCACCATTGCCCAAAGCCTTCGCGAGCCGCTTGGCATGTCGCCATTCAGCCGACTGCAGTGGAAAGCAGGCAGAGTCGTGAATGACGAGTACGGCTCTGAGGGAGAGGAGGCCCCTACGGTACTCGCAGACAGACTGAGGATTGTTCTGGAGCATCAGTATGGCACGATTACGGACAGAATCAATGTTGAGCCTGGCGAATTACGCATGCGCTTGGAGGTTAGCAACGCTAGAGTGCTTAAGCTGCTTCGCCAACCCCAGGCGGATATGACTATTGCCATTGCAGAATCGCAAGTGGGCAAGGACGTGCCGAGGAACATGTGGGACTCGCTGCAGCTTATCAAGATGAACCAGACGATACGATCAATCGAATTCAACAACCTCAAGGACCTCCATGCCTTCCAGTACGCAGTCTTTGGCTTTGAAGTCATTTTTGATTCGCTGGCAGTGACCTTTGCCATTGCGCGACGCCGCATGGTTGTGCCCATCCACAAGAAGTGGGAGGCAGGATACACCAGAATCCAGGTCATCAAGCAAGAGGACAAGCAGCTGCAGCTGTTGGCATTTTTCGAAGAGTTTAGCCATGGACATTGTATGAATTTTGTGTTGAAGCAAACAGATCTGTACGAGGCCTTCCACAGGAGCGGCAAATCAGGCATCAGGTTTATTGATGCCAAGTTTCCTCTCCCGCGGCTGCCGGCCGACAAGGATGGGGATTATGATGATATGGCCTTTGTTTGCCTGGATCTACCGGACTTGCCGGGTGAGCATGACGATATATCGATCATGTTTGAAAACGAAGAAGGTAAGCCCACGTTTTCATGTCGTATTTACTGTCCAGGGGAAAAAAAAATGAATGATCTGTTTGCTGACAATGTGCATGCATAGACCGAGATCGCCTTGCGCAGTGTCTTCCAGCCCCTATAAAGGGCTCCTCGAGAATATCACGAGTGAAATGAGTGGATAGCGCCTACGAGGATACGTAGAATGTCAACTTGTACGAAACTGGCGACGGCATGCGCACATGAACAATGGTCACGCTGCGTTCCGCAAACGCGTTGTCAAAAGAGCTGCAACATAGCAAGCAATATGCATCCTGCTTTCTAGCGTGCCGGAGTTTTTGGAGTAGACTACTAGTATTAGTATCATGGGATATCAAAAGCAACGAAAGATCGGGTTCAAGGAGAAGAGAAGAGAGGAGAAGAGCCAAGAGGAAGTTGGAAATGGATATGTGGGGGAGCGAGCCAAATGATCAGGCTATCTACCAGTATGAGAGAGCAGCACATGCATCTACGGAGGCATACTATATGAATACCCAAGAAGAGAAAATATGAAGAGCAGGAGCATGACCCTGATATGAAGAACAGCGTCAGATTTAGCGATTGATGTAATTTTTTTTTTCTCTTTTCTTTTTGTTGCAAGCATTGGCTGAGGGAGACAGAGTAATTTGGAAAAACTATGTTCTCTAAACCGGGCCGACCAAACGCAGTTATATAATCAACATGAAGATTCTGGTGTGTGTATACCTGGACTGTTAAGTTTCTCTTGTTATCTTCTTTATTGTTTCTAGAACCCAGAACCACAGGTGCCTTTCGGACGAGGGAGGATGGCTAGATTAATTGGACCGATTGATGTATAAATTGACAAGGTGACGCCTCAACTCTTGGTATTGTGACAAAGTCAGATCCGGGCATGGGAAGATGGCGCCACGCACCAACTTGGTCAATTGACGCTCCCGTCAGCCGGAGACATTCAAGATGCAAGAAAAAAAGCCATAAGTAATCCCTCGGGTCAACATAAAGGAACCGGCGGTGGCAAGTTGCTTAACGGGCTCCTTTGGCCTATACCTCGGGAGCGGCGGGATACTAATAAGGGGGCTGATTTTCTTGTTTTTGAACCGGGAGAGTAGTAGGTCGCGTGGACGCCCATCTTTTTATGTATGATTATTTTTTCCTTGTGTAGGATCTATCATTCTATGCAGGCCTATCTCTCTCTTTCTTAGCAAATTGAAATGGCCGGAGTTTATATCGACTCCGAGGAGCGTGGGCTGGTGACCCCCGCGCGGCTTCGGGGAGAGTTCCGGCAACCGAATGAATTACTGCGATGGGATAAACTGGGTTTTCTGGACATGGGGGAAAAAAGGGATTTTTTTGTTGGGGAAGGATGGCCCTGGCTTTAACCTTTTATTATAACTATTAGTATAGCTATTATAGCTAGGTACCTGGGTATTATTGCTTGTTCATATGATGCAGTACATGCATGGTTAGTAAGAGAAGAGGGGGGGGGAAACACAAAAAACCCGTTGGCTGCTTATGGCGTTTCAAATTACTATGTGGTTCCTGCTATTTGTCCGTGGTATTACTCATTGAGGGTTTATTTTGATGGAAAGCGCTTGGGCTAGAATGGAAGTTGTCTTGCGCCGGAAACTGCTGTTCTCGGGGTGTGCAGTAAGTTTTGGTGCCAGTTCAGTAAGTAAAGTGTAAGGGTCCAGTAATAGTGCTTGAAAGGACCACGATATCGGTATGTTTCTTCTAGACCAGACTAGACCTCGGTATGGATTTGGCTCAGCCCAAGCATCTGTCTGGCTGCCTTACATGTCCAAGCTGCTATAAATTCTCTCAGCTCTTCAACTCTCCCATGCATATATACTCCGTCGGGAACTTGCCTCGTCACCATCCCACGCGGCCCAGCGTCCGAATATCAGTGCCTGCTGCGTGTGCGTCCACACAGACATGCCGCTGACCTAATTCCGAGCGCTTTTCGCATGTCAACCATGCTGTTGGATGCGTCTGGAACGGCCTTAGCTCTGGCGCCTTGCGGAGGGTCCTAGCGCGCAACGTCATAGAATGTTGGGGGCACTAATGTACAGAGGACATGAAAAGCATGTGATGCTGGCTTTTGGCTGGGGTACAGAGTACCTCGTATACCGGTGTCCTGGCAAAGGCGTCCTGGCAAAGGCGTCCTGTCTAACATGTGCCAGGCGGGCTTGCTCTTTGTTCCCTCCAGAAGCTTTTTTTTTTTTTTTTTTTTTTTTCGCCGCCGCCTATTGTTTTCTATGGCATCATCGCCCGCAGAGGAGGCCTCAGTCCACTACGACTGGCCTTACGTAGTCTGTCTGTAGGCACCCGAGCTGCGAACGATGCGGCCTAATAATAGGCAAGGTGGTGAACACAGACAGAGCTTCGGCAGCCGGCACCGGCTATGGGCGTTCATTGGAAACCATCAACTACCGTCTTGTACCTTATGATTCATCGCATCTGGGTGGCTGCAGGGCCATTTCGTGGTATATCCCGTGTACATGGATGCGGTCCCAAGTAGATCAGCTCATAGACGTAGAGCCGTGGTACAAAGGCAGCCTTCACTTGGCTGCATTCCTGGCTAAAAACATGACAAGACATAAACTTACCCCGGCTGATCCATCTTGGTCTTTTTCTAGCTTGACGTAGTTTTTTCTTTCCCGTCCTTTTTGGCTTGGCATTTTCTCTTCTTCTTTCCTCTCTCTCTCCCATCTTTCCTCTTCATTCTCCGTCGCTTCTTACTTTGCCCTTTGTAACTTTTTTGCTAAGCGCCTCTCTCCGGAGCCAAGCGGGCGGACTTGAGCCGTCTTATTCACTTACTCCATCAGCCGCCTCGAGCTGCCAGTTAGACAGATACGTCAGTCAGTTTAGACATAGCTGCTCCGCCACCGTTGAAGGCGCTTTAACGCCCACCACAAGGAACCCAAAGCTGTTACAGGCCAAGTCAAGGGCCGTCCAGACATTTTTGGGATTCACAGTCGATTCCGGCTGCCAAGAAGAAGGAATCCAGCTCGCCCTGCTGCAGCTCGTCGATTGCTAGCTCTCGCCACGAACGCCTCTTACACGCCCTAGCCTGGTCTCTACTGTTTTTTTCCCACTGCCCTTGTTCGATCAGATTTATTGATAAAGAAAAGAAAAAAAAAGGAGTCAGAGGGGCTACCGGCCGCTGGATATTTCTCTTTGGTTCCCAGCCGAGCTGTCCTAGCTACTACCCAATTTTCGGGCCATGGGGCTCTCATCCGTGCTAGCTCTCCCCCGGAGGAACAGATCCTCTACAACTGGTAGTAAGTCGGTGCTAAATGACCCCTCCGCTTCGTCATTTCTTTAGACCTGAGTGACCTCTTTTTTTTCCCTTGTTCCATTTCGACAACCTGCAAAACACAAACAACCCGGCGCCAAGGCAGAGACGAAAGGAGTATTCTTTGTATATTCTCTCGTCCTTGCTTTCTCTGCAATAGGGCGAGCTTTTTCTATGCCCTATTTTGCCCTAAGCACCCCTTAATCTCTGCTTCCTCCTTTCGTCTTCCGAGCTCGCAAAGCTTGCTCGGCTTTACGATCGTGCATCTTCAACTTTTTTTTTTGCAACCTCTCATTTACTTCACGACACCACCCTGCACCTCCAAAATGTTTACCAACTGGTTAACGCAACCAACTGCAGGCAACCGATCCTCCACCGACGATGCGAGGACTGATAACGATGACGATACCCAGGTGATGGAGCCCGATCAGGGCAATGGTAAGTTGCAGCAACACCATATATACATGGCGGGGGAGGGGGAAATGGCTTGGCTTTGCTTGGCTTTGCGATCAGAGAGATGCATCAAGCTTGCGCTGCATTCAACTGCTTGGAGACTCTCGGAACCCAGCTCCCTAGTCATTACTCTGAGCGGCCAATATAAGGAAACACCGGGCTGACCACGATGCACGCAGTTCTCACTCACATCATCTCCCAGCTGCGCCCTGGTGCCGATCTGAGTCGCGTTGTCTTGCCGACCTTTATTCTTGAGCCTCGAAGCATGCTCGAGAGAATAACCAAGTGCGCCGATAGTTGCCGACATCATACGCTCAATGGCAGTGCTGACTATGTTTTAGCTTCATGTGCCACCCCGAGATGCTCCTGCACATTCCGACAATCGAGGATCCTACTGAACGATTCGTATCAGTCGTCAAGTTTTACCTGAGCGGCTGGCATATCCGACCACCGTACGCATTCTTCCAAACAGAGCGAGCTGGCGCAATTTGGCTAACGATTCGCAGGGGAGTCAAGAAACCGTTGAATCCGATCCTGGGCGAAATATTCTCCTGCTACTGGGACCTCGAAGGCGGCAAGCGAGCTTACTACATCTCCGAACAGACTTCACACCATCCTCCCAAGTCAAGCTATTTCTACATGGCACCGGATCATCACATTCGGATCGACGGAACCCTCAAACCCCGGAGTCGATTCCTGGGTAACTCTGCAGCTAGTCTGATGGAAGGCATTGCTTTCCTTTCCTTATTGAACAGAGGCAGCAACAAGTCCAGGGGAGAGCAATAGTCAGTCTCTGCATAATCTGTCCCGAATCGCAGCCACTAGTGCTAACATTGATGCAGTATCCTGACACAACCCAACATGTATGCGAGGGGAATCCTGTTTGGCAAAATGAAATACGAGCTTGGCGACCACAGCTTTGTGCGATGCCCTGAGCTGGATTTGACCGCTGATATCGATTTTAAGACAAAGGGCTGGGTTGGAGGTACCTACAACGCTATTGGCGGTGTTATAAAGAGGGAGAGCACCGGCGAAGTTCTGTATGAGCTGTCTGGCTTGTGGAGCGAGGAGATGTATATCAAGGATATGGCGGTAAGTTTTGGCCGCGCTCATCGCGCAACTAAGTGTTTTTTTAGCTAACATGGGTAAATCTAGACGGGCCACCGGGACATGTTCTTTGATGCCAACAAATCAAAACCTAGCCCACCTCTGGCACGGCCCATCGAAGAACAGGAGGAGCGGGAATCCCAGAGACTATGGGAGAAGACTGCCAACGCCGTCAAGGAACGCAATCACGAGCTGGCAACGGACGAAAAGACAAAGATTGAAGATCGGCAACGTGAAGAAGCCGCCGCAAGGGTTCATGATAATGTTGAGTGGCTTCCACGACTCTTCCGTGCCGTCCACAGCGGGCCAGGCGAATCGGAGGAAGGCGAAGAGAATCTGGAGTGGATAATCAATGCTCACATGTTGGTTCCGTCTCCCTTGACGTACCCTGATCTTGCTGCTAACATTTCTACAGTGACTCTTCAGCATCCCCGAAAAAGCAGACTGAACAGATTCTGGCCATATATCCTATTGTAGCCGGTCAGCCAATGACTCGAAGGCCGTCTATTCCAACACAAGCCGCATCCCCAAAGTCGGTCAAAAGGTCGACAAACCGGGTGGTTGAGAAACCAAAGGAGGAGACCAGCTTGATCGATTTTGGCAATGACGAAGCTTCTGCACCGGCCGCAAAGAGCCCTGATGAAATTGAGACCTTGCTCGCAGCGACAGGCAAGCCAGCCGACGGCCCTTTGATCGATTTCGCTCAGGATTTAAAGAAAGACTTGCCGGCTGGCGGCGACTTGTTGTGAGAGATGAGAAGAGAAAAATGAAAGAAAAAGGTGACTGATTTTTGTGTGAGGACTGAGACTTTGGGAGTAATATCATTGGCTAAGAGGGCGGGAAATACCTTAACAGTATAACGGCGCAACACATCGGACCAGGCTACTACTATATATATAAATGGGCGCGCACCATGATGCATTTGTGCTTAATGTTCTTTTAGTGTTGGCAGGGAGCGGGTTCTTTTGGTCTAGGCCTAGCACAAGCAGGGCAATGCGATGGGATGGACAGCGTTGGCTAGCTAGGAAATATATCAACTATATCAACCTTTTGAAATTCAGGCCAAGGATCCAATGCTGATGCTAACGAGAACTGTAAAACTCTCCTTTTTGATGACTGATTACATTTTTTTGCTTTATGAATTTCCCCAAACGCCGAGCCTTTGAACGCAGAGTACACATATAATCCCATCTGTTCATCCTGATTACTCTCAATTCCAAAATAAAAACGACATTAATCGCAACGTTATATCTCCATTTCTTCTTGCCTTGCGCTTTCTTCTAAAACCTCCTTCTAGTAGGCTCCGGTGTAGGCGATCGGCTGGCGCTCCGCTCGTCCCGGCCACGCGACTTGAGCCACTTCTTCGTGCTGAGCGTGAGCTCGCGGTCGAGCTCCTCGCTGGGGTTCTTGCGGTGGATGAAATTGCAGAAGCCGCCGCGGACGCAGCCCTCGCCCGAGTTTAGGCGGCAGCAGGCCTCGCGGAAGTCTGTGACGGGACTGAGCTCGCAGTATATGGGGCGCGCGGCGTACCAGCGGCTGTTGAGGGTGTCGGCGGCGGCTTGGGCGCTGTCCTCGTATTTGAATCGGGCGTAGACGTTGCCGATGAGATCTGTTTGAGTGTGTTAGCCATGTATTATATATTGTTAGAAGAAAGGAGATGAAAACGTACGGTCATTGTTGTTGTCGCATACGACGAGCTCTTCCAGCTCGCCGTACTTGCACAGCTCGCACCAAATGTCCTCGTAGAAGGCGTCAAAGTGGTTCTGCAGCTGCGAGGCGTTCATCCGGTTCTTGGGGTCGTAGGCGGGGTTCTGGTAGAGGTTGGGCATGAGGATGGTCTGGCTGTAGGAGGGCTTGACGTGTTTTCTCGAGCAGCGGTCACCGTGACGGCAGGCGCCGATTTTCTATCACGGAGGTTGTTAGCATTTTTTTATCTTTTCTAGCTGTTAAGGACGCGAGCGCGCAGCAGTGGAAAAAATAAAACTTACAAAGTAGAATGAGCAGTTGACTTTGTCAAGCTCTGTGCCGAAGATGGAGGCGAGAAAATTGGCCATTTTGGGTGGTTGATTGATTAGATGTGAGGGCTGTTGATGTGGGTTTTTTTCCCTATGTTGGTTCTTTCACTTGAAGGCTGGATATATCGAAGCTTGGAAATGGTAATGAGGATGGCATGCTTGTAGAGAAAGTAGGAGTGGCGCGCCACAGTTGAACGAACGAGGCTGAGGTGGCGTGGGTCACGTGGTGTGGCGCATTGATAATTTAATGGAGACTTCTAGACCCGCTTGGAAGCATCCCGTAATAAGGATGGGGTATGGGTCTATGGGGCAATATTAAACCACGTCCTTGCTATCGGGTTTTATATTCCGTGTAGATGTGAAACATGTCTATCGATGTGTTAAATTGTTGCTACTATGAGTATAAAATCTCATAAACATCTTTTACTTTTACTTTTTCTTTTTGGGAAGCATGTCAAAATTCAAACGCAGAGCCCAAACTAACCTCTTGTCACTTATAGAAACTGAAAAAGAGAAATTGCTGCAGAAACGCGCCCCGACGCGCGCAACGGTGGTAGAAAAAAAAAAGCTGGGACTAGGCCGGGACCTGCAGAACCATCAATCGACTAAACCGCATTGGGCGCGATAGCAATCTAATCCCCTGATACTAGAGCTCGACTCGACTCGAGACTCCCGCCAGCAGTCGCCATATCCAACTAAGCGACACCGATAGCTGTCCTGAGCTACGGGCTTTCGCTTAAACCTATCCTCCTTCAAAGCAATGATTTTATCATCGACAAACCATCACCAAAATACGTGCGCTTGGTGAACCTGAATCCTTCTTCAACACCCACACGAAACGGCTTCGCTCCATCATGGACCAAGCAGACATCCCCGCGCTGCTCTCGAGGCTGGCTAGCGACGAAGATGCCGCCCGTAAGATGGCCGTCTTCAAGCTCCAGTCGTCGATCAACGACCCTGCCTTTGCCGACGTCTTTATATCTTCGGGCGGTCTCGTCATCCTGCGGCGGCTCATCATGACCTCTGGCGGCAACACTCTCGCCTATGCGCTCCAGAGCCTGTCGCGGCTGCTGGAGGTGGACATGGGATGGGACATCTTCGAGGGCCCTACCGCGAGCGAGCTGGTGGAGCGCATTGTGGAACTTATTGTGACGAATCCTCTGGTTAACATCCTGAGAGGCGCCATGTCTATTCTGGTTGCTCTTGTTGGGCACTCGCAGTCGAGCGGCTCAGAGTCGCCGATTCAGGACCAAGCCTTTGGCTTTCGGGCGCTCAAACCGGCGGTGGCCATATACCCTCAGTTTTTTGACTTGGTCGTGCAGCAGCTGAATAGCGCGGACCATGCTCTTTGCGCGAATGCGCTCATGCTAGTTAATGCGCTGATTCGAGATGCTTTGTCGACTAAGAGTGTTATGGCAGGCGGCAACGGAAAGTCGGCTGGCGAGGAGTGGCCGAAGCTGATGAAGCGGCTGCAGGACTTGGGCTTGATCAAGGCGGTTTATAAGCTGATGCAAGGCACCGGGCTTCAGGATCTTGCACATCCTGCGCTGGAGTTTCAGAATCTGAGCAAAGTCATCCAGCGAAAGTGGAGGGATGTCAAGGTAGACCTAGAGCGTCCGGAACACAGGCGGTCGCTCAAGAGCTTGCATCTCTCGAGCGCTCCGGATCGACCAACAACCAATGGCCACACCAGTGACAATTCAACGGACACTACCGCAACTAAGAAGGATGGTAGGAAGCACAGCCCGGAGAAATGGAGAAGGCTTGGGTTCGAGACGGAGAGCCCCGCGCAAGACTTTGATGTTGCTGGGTATCTGGGAATGATGGACATGACAGACTATGTGCGCAAGAACGAGGACAGATTCCAGAAGCTGCTGCTGGAACAGGCCACAAAGCCCATCAATGAGCGTTGTCCTGTTGCTCGGGCGAGCTTGGCCATGACGATGATCCTTTATGAACACTTTGACGTGGATAAAGCAGACATGGAGGACGCAAAGGGATACCACCAAGGTGTCGACACGAAGGATTACGATAGAGTCTTTCAGCCGTTGCTACTGCAATGGCCCCGTCTGCATGCCGCTGGGTTACACAGCTTCTTCCGCATCTGGAAAGCCACGGGTGCCGTGCAGGAAGACTTTGACAAGGTTGCAGAGCTGGTGCGCATCTTGATAGAAAAGGTGGCCGGCCAGGCTCCCCGGACCCGCGATATACTGGAGATTGAGGAAGATTTACAAGAATACGACATGACGAGACTGCGGGAGCTCCAGATGGAGCTGTTGGAGATGTCGTTTGAGGAAACCTGGGGCAAGCATCTCTACCAGGTGCGAGACGTGCTGAAGCAAGAAGCCCTGCAGTTTGTTAAAGAGCAGAGAATCAGGTGTCTCCTCGAAGGCGCCTGGTTCCAGAAGAAGGAAGATGCGGCGGAAAAGAAGCCTTGGAGATTCGCCAGGCTGTCTCACAACCGCCGGTACCTCCACTATACCGACTTTGAGAAGCAGATGGCACAAGATCCTGGTCTAAACACCTTGATGGAGAAGATTGACCTCTCTACTATAAGCTCTGTCGTATCCAACGTCTCTCCAACCAACGACGACTCCAAGACAACGGCAAGCGGGGCAACTATACAAAACATTACCAGCACCGCAGAGAAGGCGAAGACCAAGATTACCATATACAGTTTCGTGAATCCTGCTGACGTATCTGCTGGCGGCGGCGAGGCCAAAGAGCAGGCCGTCTTGTCTCTCTGGCCCACCAGCCATAGCGTCGCTTCCGAATGGCTGGACGGATTGCTCCTTTTGCTCGGCCAAGCCCCCGTCACGACGGAGACGAGCAAGCTTGTCAATTTGGTGGGCGGATATGGGCTAAAGATTAGGCTTCTCAACGTCAGGATGGACACTCTTGAAGGTCCTCCGGCTGGAGCTGGCATCGTGCCCAGTCGGGAAGGACTAGACGAGGATTACTTTTATGAAGTCTAGGCTTGGTTTGCCCTTTCACTTTTCACGACATTTTTCTGTCTCATTTATTCTCTATACCAGTCAATTTTTTTTTTCTTTGCCCCCATTTGTTTTATATACCCCCTCCTTTGTATGGCAGGCCCTGGCATAGCGTGGGAGCATCGATAGGTTATGCGTTGGATTCTCCTTCTTTTTTTCTGATTCTTTGTGTATGAATAGTATACATGTTTGTAATACTACCGGGAAGCACCCACGATTTTAGATATGTTGCGTTCTTTATATGGGAATGGACTTGGTCTATAAGAAGATGTGATGGGAGAAGAGGCCGTACAGATGTATTGTAGTATCATGAAATTTAGCCTAGATGCCTCTAGGGAATCCCTCACGATAATTGCTTTATAGGTATGGGCATAGTCGATGAGATACCTACCCATAGAGTCTCGACGCAGTAGAGCCAATAGAAACAAAAAGTTTACCGGACAGTAGAAGCCGTCTTTCGTACAGGCTGCCTATCAACTCATGTGCACTCTGCCTCGCATGTCTCTAATCAACATGGCAGGCGAATGGCAGATATGCCTCATAACTCAATGCTGTTTCGACTCCACAAAGAGCGCCAATGGAGCAGTAGTATATGATAATTTTTGGAAATGGTATCTAAGCGGGAGTCGCAGCTTTCTCACTTGGTGTCTGACATTGTTAGGTGCTTATGTCGTGATGCCTGGAGACGGCAAAGCATTAGTGCCCAAGAACCGGTGAGGATCCTCCGCCGTGGGAACCTGTTCGCATAGAGAGGAGACTACGTCCAAGTCAAAGTCAAAATTGACACATATTTGCAGTAGATGCTCAATCTTCAGACAGGCATGATTGGGAAGAGGCCAAGGTAAAATTGAGATATCGGATGGTGGCATCGCTCACCGTACAATTGAGGGCGATCAAACTAGGAAGCTAGATACTGGCACTGCTAGCACTTCATTGACGCGCTAGAAACGGCTAGAGACAGTTGATGACCTCGAGACCTTCTAAAGCTGCTGCTACCGTCACATCCACACCGGTGTAGGTGCTAAACATGGCCGTCCAGGTATCGGCATGGCGGCCTGCACTTAGTGGTTGCTGCAGGACAGCTGGTCGTGCATCTCATTCGTCGACTCGGGCCAGCAAAGAGTTGCGGCTTGCATGAAGTGGATAGCGGCGGTCGCAATTGAGCCTCTGGGGACGTGGACTGTAGGTGCCCGAGCTCGCGGATTCATTCTGTTCCGACCCATCTCCTCTCGCTTCTGGCTCTCGCTTCTCGCTTCTCTTCCTATTTCTCTTCTCCTTTCTCTTCTTCTTCCTTTTTTCTCTTCTCTCACCTCTTTTTTTTTCTTTCTACGGCTTCTTTCTCCATCGATACACGGTTTCGGGGGAGGAAACCGGGAGAAGAAAAGCACAAGACACCACCAAGCCCAGGTGTGGCGGTCTGACGCCTGCTGGAGGCGGGGCTTCCGAGACTGGCACTGAGGCTCGAGACTAATACGAGGTACGAATCTTACTCTTGCGCGACCATTGGGGAGGAAGGGTGAAGAAGAACCTAAAAGAAGAAGAGAAAAAAAAAATCGAATAGTCCAAAGGTGGTCATTGACACCTGGAAACTTTCACGCCTCTTTTTTCCATTTTTCAATTATTCTCTCTCGTCTTGTTTCGGAGTGGCTCACATGTGATTCTCGCTACAGTCTTGTCTCTTTTTTTTTTCTTAAGCCAAAACGAGAGGCGCTGTGTGGCGTAGCTCGTGGTACGTACTGAACACGTATTCGCAGCACGTCCCTCCCTCTTTGTACTCCGTCGCACAACTCTGCGGTGCTTGTACTTGCACCCCTGGCGCAATCCAGGAACCTCAAAACTTTAACAGCGATCGACGCCATTTACTCCTTTTCAACAAATAAAGAAAAGTCGACGCGCGACCCGTTCTTTCGCATCGCTTCAAGTGTCTGACCTTGACTGGCTCTGGTATGTACGTTTCACTTTCAGGGGCGTTGCGCTTTGTGTCTTCTTCACCAAGATTGGATGCGATGCTGCTAGCTTAGCCTCTCTCTCTCTCTCGCTCTCTCAATCTTCTATTTTAACGCATTTCGCCTTTTTCTGGGGATTCTGTACCCGCTCCGCCACGCAATCTTCCGCGATCACGCCTGCTAACAGGGTCCTCTTTTTGCTTAGTTGCGCATCCAAGCTTCTTGCATACCTATCCATTGAAGCAATACTGCTACCGTGGCTTCTGCAATCGCGGCTGCCTGACTGCTCCATCGCTATTTACACGTATACAACAAAAAGCGACTCATCTAGCTCGAGTCCCGTGCGACTAATTCTATTTATACAACCCATCACTACGCTCGAGAAAGAGAAGAAACACCATCAACAATGTCTCGCATTCAGATCCCTCTCGACCTCATCACGTCCCGCCTCAACCTTGGAGAGCGCTTCCAAGGATTGCGCGCGGGACCTCTGAGCGGTCGCTTCTCTAACCTGAGGCCAATCTCCGAGTTTTTCGACTTCAAGCGCCTGTCCAAGCCCGCCAACTTTGGTGAGGTGCAGTCGCGTGTCAACTACAACCTGAGCCACTTCTCCAGCAACTATGCCGTGGTTTTTGTCATGCTCAGCCTGTACGCCCTGCTGACCAACTGGCTACTGATGTTCGACATCATCCTGGTCGTCTTTGGCATGTGGTTCATTGGCAAATTGGATGGAAGAGATTTGGAAATCGGCAGCTTCAAGGCTACTTCGTCGCAGCTCTACACTGGACTCCTCGTTGTCAGCATTCCCCTTGGACTGATTGCCTCTCCCTTCTCTACCCTGCTCTGGTTAATAGGTGCATCTGGAACAGCAATTATTGTAAGTCGAGCTTGTTTTTTTTTTTTTTTTTGGATTACTACTGGTACGCAGTGCTAACTAAATATACAGGGTCACGCAAGCTTTATGGACAAGCCCATCGATGAGGCTTTTTCCGGGGAGGCGGTCTAAATGGTCGGCCGCGAGCTCCCAAATTTGCGCCCCAATGGGGAAGACCATCGCGGCGCGGGCGGAGGAATACAAGTGGAGATGCTGCGCACTACGATGAAAGAGTCGAGGAGTTGGCCTCGAATGACGATGATGAGGATGGACAAGGGTCAAGGAACAGAGAAGGTGGCATCGTGCGTCGCAATCAGCGGCGATACGAGTCGGGAGATGAAGAGGATAGCTCGTCTGGCGATAGCTATGACGAAGACTATTCGGACGACCAGCAAGATGAAGAAGATGAGTGGGAAGCGGCCTTGGTGGAAAAGGCGCTCTATCGAATCAACAAGGCACAAGCCAAAGGGAGGACAGACGTCAGGCTTAGCAAAGAAGAGATCAAAGCCCTCGAACGAAGGCAACAGCGCATGGAGGCGGAGGAGCGAAGAAATCGCCGGCGTCGCCAAGAGCGCGTGGCCATACCGCTTTCTCAGTTTGGGTCAATGGCTCGACTGGGAGGTTCTGAATCCGGTTCCAATCCGGTATCAAGACAGCCCTCGGGAAGCGAGACGCATGACGAGATTTCTCCTCAGATGGGATACTTTCCCCCTCCATCCGGTTCACGCCCTCGGCCAAAGTCTACAATTTCTACATCGCGGCCAACCAGCTTCCATGAGGAGCCTCCCAGGGACCCCTTCAAGTACCAAACAGCTGGCCCTCGCGCCGCTACAAATGCTGCTCCCAAGCGTCATGGCTCTGGACAGTCTGATTTAAGTTCCATGTCACGACAGGGCCGACCTGAGTCCGTGTCTGAGTGGAGCCGGCAAGGATCGTCTAGACGGCAGAGCTCTGATGATACAAGTGAAGAACTGGCATTGGTAGAGGAACGTTCAAGCAGAACGGAGAGTTCGAGCAGAACAGCAAAGGGCAGAGAAGAAATCGTGGTCGAGGTCGAGGTTGAATCTCCTTCCGGGCCTGAACGGGCGCCATCTCGCACGCGCTCGACAACCAGGAAGAAGTCTGACCCGGCACCAACGAGAAGGACAGTATCAAGTAGGACAGGCACTGGGACTTCGGGGGCTTCTGCAGGCGTACGAAGGAAGAAGCGGGAATAGAAAGCAAAATGTTTGGCGTGCGCTACTGTTGGGTGTTTTGATATTTTTTTCGTTGCAGCAAGGAAAAAGAATTGTTTGATATAGCTCGTAAAACCGATGAATATATGTTTGGACCAGGACAAGTATCAACACCACTATGCTCATTACTTCTATTACGCCTGTGTGAGACCATTTGGATGATGTTTTCATTCATCAATTAATGAAAAGGACGTCTGCACACATTCAAGTTGTCCCAGCTGCGCAAATCATGTGCTGACTAATCCCGTTGAATGTCACCCGTAGCCGCGGCTTGGACCCCTGCGCTCAGCTCCAAGCTCTAGCCGATAGCCTCGCTGTTGTTTGTTATTGTTTGCAATTTCACATCGTATACCCGCCGCAGCATGATAGTCACATAGAAGCGTTTTCTCGTTTCGCGTCTTTTTGAAATCGATTCCAGTAGCGAAAGCGAAAAGCCATCTTCTGTCAACTTTTACGCGACACTCCCATCACATCGCAGCAAAATCCAATAAAAAGACAAAGAAAGCCGGCCGCGGCTTTCCATCTACGACTTGCGCCCAAGCATTTCCTTAGCGACCGAAACGCATTTGATTGCACGTACCAATACAAAAACCACTCGAAACCACAAATCACAATGTCTGCCAGCGCCAGAAGCGGAGCGAAACGGCTCATCAAGGAGATGGAGAACTGGCGCAAGGAGCAAAAGGACGAAAAGGGCGTGGAGAGGCTTGGGCCTGTGAATGAGGATGATTTGTTTGAGTGGGAGGCGGTGATTAATGGCAAGGGGATTGGATCTGGATACGATGGTGAGTCTTGCGTAGCCCCTTGATCGCTTGAAAAAATCCTGTTTTAACATATTGAATGCTACAGAGGGCCGATGGCTCATCAACATCCAGCTCTCGACGTCGTACCCGCTGGCGCCCCCCAAGATGCGCTTCGTGACGCAAATCATCCACCCCAACATTGCGCTGCAGACGGGCGAGATCTGCCTGGACCTGCTCAAGGACAAGTGGACGCCGACGTATAGCGTGCTGCAGTGCGTGCGCGCGGTGCGGATGCTGCTGGGATACCCGGAGACGGACAGCCCGCTGAACGTGGACGTTGCGGCGCTGCTGAGGGGCGGCGATGTCGTGGGGACGCGCAAGTTGGTGCAGTATTGGTGTTCTGAGCCGGAGGGGAGGTATGATGGGCCTTGATGAGGAGAGGAGAGAGGAGAGCTGTTTCTTATTGTCTTTGACTATTCTTTTGTGATTCGATTCTTGGTTTTGAATATATGGCAAATGTAATTGGTATAGTAGTAGCCGTTGTTTGTAATGATTTTGGGTACGGCGGAAGGGTATTATATATGGGCTGGCCTGGACGAGACTTTTGAGGAGTAGCTGCGAGAGAGCTTTATATCACGGATTCAATGTCATCGTTATTGGCACATTGTGCATCGCTTTCATTTGATTCTATCCCAACTTACATACAATACGTAAAAAAAAAAAAAAAACATAGCTCTACTGCCGCCATCGACCCCATCCCAACATAATTTGACTAAAAGGCATATAAGTAATAAGCACGTATCGCAAGGGAGCCACCTGTTATTCTCTCCCTTCATCCCGTCCCCCTCTCTGCTTCTTTTCCTCTTCCCTGCTGCTGCCTGCGATTCGACAATGGTGATTGAAATATAAGATAAAAAATAGTAAAGGGTAAAAAGGGGGGGTTATCTATATAAATTTCATATGCCAGAGGTTAATAGGTAGATGCTTTCAAGGAGAAAAAAAAAAAAAACGCCCGCGCCACGTCGCGCCGTGCCGTTTTGGTTTTGTTTGGTTTTGTCTTTTTTTTGCCTATGCCTTGCCCTTGCCCTGCCCAGACTTCCCTAACCAAGACACCATCCGAGCATCTTCCCTTTTTTGTAATTCAATTCTAGAGACGCAAAGCCAAAAAAGAAAAGAAAAGAAAAGATCAAATAAGTGCCCATTGATCTTACAGCACCTCTCCAGTTCGAGCCCAAATGCCTTCAAGGCCTCAGCCCAACAAAGTCGTAATCGTAATGAAATAAGAGTGACAAGAGAGAAAAAGAACTCTCAGCCGCTGTGAAGTAAAAGAAAAAAAATAGATTATGTATCTCTGATTTACTCATTATAATGGTAGACCTAGCGCATTCCTGTTAGCTTCTCCTTTGAGGAATAGAGGGAGGTTGCGGCGAATACTCACTTTGTAGTTGGGAAGGCCGTATGGCTGCCATCCCAGGCGCTTAGCCATCTTGGCAAAGCCTTCGCTCTCGATCAAGTGGTAGAAGGAAAAGGCAGGGAACATGGCTCCATCTCTGTGCACGTCGGCCTTGACGAGCAATGCGGTGCTACCAACTCCATCTAGAGGAACTGCCAGGTCCTTGGGACTACCGGGGTTGCTCATGTACGCCATGAGGGTCCTGTAAGTCGCAAGCTCTGCGTAGCCCTCAAGGAGGATGTCGTCGGGCCCCATCTGCTCGGCCATCTTGAGCGCAGTCTCGCTGTCCTGCCAGCTGTTGAAGTCGTATGGGCGCTCAGCCATCTTTTTGGTTTCGGGGTCGTAGTATTTCTGGTAGCAGTTCGCAACGATGACGGGCTTGTCGTGGGAGGCGAGATCCTGGATCAGGGTCGGGGGAGACTCGACAATGTCGGCATCGAGCCACAGCACCCAGGATGTAGCCGGGCCTAGCGTCGTGAAGAGCAGTGAATTGCGAGCCTTGGCCATGATCTCGCGGCGAGCCTTTTGGTTACCCAGCTTGTGGCGCTCGGATTCGTCCTGAGACACAACAGCAGGGTCAAAGTCTTGGCGCAGAATGATGATGCTCTTGAACCGATCCTTCTCTGCGCCATGGTTCTGTATTTTTTGAATCTGCTGCTGCAGCGCCGCAGTGGCCTGGTTCCCCTCCTTGGTCTTGGGCAAGATGAAGCCCAGAGTAATCAGCTCGTGGGGGTAGCTCAATCGCAGGAGATTGTCCCAATACTCTTGGTAGAATCTGGCCATTGGCGTCAGAACGAGGATGTGCTCCTGGTTCTTGATGGGATCGGGCGTGACCGTAACTTTGTTGAGGTCATATCGCGTAACCGGCGGGGGTCCTTGAACGCCTGATCGCGAGCTCTTGTACGGCGACGTAGGGGGCGACAAATGATGTTGGGCCGAGACAATGTTGGACAGCCTGCCAGCGGAGGCAGGACTTGACGGCGAAACAAGGAAGATGATTATGAAGATGCAGAGTACAGCACCCAGGAGGAGGGTCGAGGAATTGGCCTTCTTGAGGCGGACTGACCCCAAGGGTCGAGCCATGGAGCCTTATCTGGTGTCTTTTTTGGTGATTAGATATTAAGAATCTGGCTCGGTAGGCCCTCGTTCGGCTTCGCGATTGAGTCGACCGGAAATCAGCGCAGCGCAAAAATGAAGTCCAAGATACTGCGTCCAGCTGAAACGAGCGTCAGGGTATGGAACGTTGAAGACACTGGGTCTAGTTCGAAGTTGAAATGGTGGCCCGCGCTGGGGGACAAGATAGGAATGAAGAAAAAAGAGAGGGAGAGAAAGAAGACAGAGAAGCAAGGCGTGATTGGTGCTCACACGCCGTATCTCGTTACTCCCACCGTACCCTAAAAAAGGACAGAGTCAAGGAATACGAGCCAATCGCCGCCCAAACAAGGGAATTGCTTGTGAAATACGACAGCAAATGCTCTACTGGCCGGTGCCACGGCTGCGATTGGCGACCTTGGAGGTTCAGGGGCACCGGATTAATTCTGGGGCCGACGCCCATTTCCAGTTGCATTCTTCGACCGCTAATCTAGTGGCGGGACATGCTGTAGATGCAAAAGCAGCCCGCCATTGTGTGCTGCAAGCGTCCGTCCAAGCGTCGAGACTGCAGATTCTTCTTCTGTGGTATTGGAAATGAATCTTCACAACAATATTCAGCTATGCTCTAATTTTGACAATTCCGTAGTTCACAGACTTCAATCACTCCAAGTAAATTCTTCTTCCTCCAATCGTATCTCATAGAAGTGAAAAAAAAAATATCTTAGTAAGTAGCACCTGAAATAGCAAGGCCAAGTCACCGATGGCTGGAACCTTTTTCGGCCAGCACGCTGGAGACCCCTAATCCTTCGGCGACCCCTACGCGCTGCAGCGGCATGTGCTAGTACGTAGCAGCACTACTGTGTCTCCCATGCCTATCAAATCAACTAGCCTAACGTCGCCGCCTCGGACTCACGATTTGGCTATTCTTCGTCTCCTTCACATCTCGCATCTTCTCCTATCCGCCCAGTCCAAAGCCGTGCACATATCCGTCTGCGGCATTCCACACTTTCGTCCTCGCAATGGCTTCTGATAAAATGGACCGCGGCCTCGACGAAATCATTGCTGACAAGGTTGGTGCCTCTTGTCCATCTCGAATCCGCCAGCCTTGCCTCCATTGCAAGGCCGCAAAGACCACGGCTAACCAGTCCACCAGCGCAGCAATGGATCTCGCAACCGACGCGGTGGTGACCGCCGCCGTGATCGCCAAGATTTCCCCCGTGACGGGGTGAAAAAGGTGCGTGCTGCCATCATTTCTGGGAGCCTTTTGGGGGCTGCAAGTGGCCGCGCGAGGCTGACTCGCTGCTTAGGTTGAACTTCCTCTTCTCCTAGCACTCGACTTCGTCTGATGCTCTGCGCACTCCTTCGGTCAATCGATTTTCGGAGTTTTTGCCGATCCAGCAATGGATCCCACACTGTAAACTTCCTCGCTAACCAGCTCTTGGGTCGACCGTACAGTCTAGTCGCAGCGAACCTCGAAACCTAGACAGGTTGGTCATGAATCCGTGTATAACGCTTGCCAGAGAGCCAATGCTAACTCAATTATCACAGTGAATGGGTTCATGATCGATACGAAGAGAACAGTACAGTCACACCCTACCTCTGCTAAATACTTTCTTCCTCCAATGAACTCGACTCATCGTTTCCCAGCCTATCGCAACAGCAGAGCAGCACCCCGTCGCAGGCGCGATTCTCCCAGCGGGTAAGTCGGTTTACATAGAAACGGAAAATCCACATCGCAATAAGCTGGTCTAATACCTATTTTTAGAGGAGATGCTCGCGGCACCCGACTTCGCGTGGAGAATATCCACTACGACCTTACAGAGGAAGATCTCGATGTATGTCCTACTCACAATTCAACTTTCCAAGGCCACTTTGGCTGATTCTTTCGTAGGAACTTTTCAGAAGAATTGGCCCTATTTCGAAGTTACAACTGCGATATGACCGCTCTGGTCGGTCTGAGGGCGTGGCCTTTGTCACATACGAAGACAAAGAAGACGCTGCTGAAGCCATCAAACAGTTTGATGGTGCAAACGCCAACGGTACGCCATCTTCCGTCGAGCTGAGCATCCAAATCTCGCGACTAATATGATGTATAGGCCAGCCAATTCGGCTGACTGCGCTGTCAAGCGGTCCTTCTCGAAACCCGTTCGATACCGCCGTGATGCCAGGAAAGCCCCTGTCAGAACGTATTTCTGCTCCTGGTGGCAGATCCCGATCCCTCTCCCCTCACCGAAGATACGACGAAGAAGACGCTGCTCGTAGAGGCATTGATCGATACGTTCCAGGCGGCGGAAGTCGTTCACGAAGTCCTATGCCGCCTCGTCGTGGCGCAGGAGGACGTCGCCCTGGTGCCCGCCGCGAAGGCGGAAGAGATCAAGATTCGGCCCGTGGCGGCCGAGGAGGCCGAGGAGGAGGAGGAGCTCGTGCTGAGCGAACCAACACTCCTCGACCTAAGAAGACTCAAGAGGAACTGGACGCCGAGATGGAGGATTACTTCAACGCCAATGGTGGAGCTGCGGAGCCTGTCGCAGAAGCAGCCGCAGAAGCAGTTGCACCAAGCGAAGCGGCCCCTGCGCCGGCTCACGCTGATGACATTGATATGATTGAGTAATAATCACGCATGGCAAAGGGAGTGTATGTGTATTTCATCTGGGTGTTGGGATTCGACAGTATGGGACTCTATGTTTTAAGAAAATGCCATCTGGAGCATGGGAGACAGAGCATATATAATTCAGCATAGTGTGTTGTCATTACGAATGGATTGCTTTTCAGGTCGGGTTAAGATGTTTGATGCCATGAATACATTTGTCGAGAGTCCATATGAAGATGCTTTTCACCTATTAATACGGCATGCACCTTGAAGAAGCGGGGGTTTCAAGAACCACTCCAACAATGGATGTTGATAAGGAAACCTCATACTTGAATCCATATAAACTAACTATCATCTGGCTCAAATTGGCTATACACAATCTCACCGTTGGGGGCCATTGGCTGACAGATAGATCCACCACAGCGGTAGAGCGGCCCGGATATACACCATTCGTCAACCAAATCGTTTAATACGCCATTTATCAAGTCATGACCAGCAGGGCACAAGCATCATTCTCTCTTTCCTACACCAAATTTCAATCTCACTAGAAATGGCTTCTTCAGATCAGAGCACACCGACCAAAGTCGGCATTTTATCACTGGGTGATATGGGCGCTGGCATTGCCAGGCTCTTAATTGCTCATGGATTTCCCGTAGCTACCAACGGCCAGAATCGAAGGTACGTAGATGGAAATCACAAGGGTCTTTTGATGAACCTGGGCCAGATTAGAACAAGATGAGGGGTAACAGGAGCTAAATCTTCATTTCGCTAGCGAGGATACACTCGAAAGAGCCCGCAACGCCAAGGTTGAGCTGCTCTCGTCAGATTTAGAGCTCGTGCAGCAGTGCTCCGTCATCTTCTCGGTGGTGCCGCCGCGAGATGCTGAAGCCACGGCTCAGCGAATCGTCGATGCGCTGTCAGGCGGCTCTCACAAGGAAACAATCTACTATGTTGACCTAAACGCCGTAGCGCCCTCAACGTGTAAGAGCATCGTGTCCTTGTTCGAAAAGGCGAGAGTGCCCGTCAAGTTCATCGATGCCTGCATCCTGGGTGGACCTCCCAGCCTGAAAGAATCCAGTAGCCAAGAGGGCACAGAGGCCGCGTGGGATCAGCCTAGCATTCCCATCTCGGGGCCTCACTCGCTATCAGCGCTGCCGGATGGAGAAAGGCTCACGTCAGTCTTACAGCTGCGCTCTATTTCGCCCGAGATTGGCGCGGCCAGCGGTCTCAAGATGTGCTTTGCGTCGCTGACAAAGGGCTTCACGGCGCTGGTTACGCAGTCCTTTACGACGGCGCATCGCCTTGGGGTGACGGATGAGCTGAAGCGGGAGCTGGGTATCATGGTGCCGGCCATGTTGACGAGGGCGGAAAAGGGTGTTGTAGGGATGCCGCCAAAGGCCTATCGCTGGGTGAGGGAGATGGAGGAGATTTCCAAGACGTTCCATGAGGAGGGCCATTGGGATAGGACGGTGTTTGAGGGCATCGCGGGAATTTATAAAGCAGTCGCGGAAGACGGGGTACTTGGACAGGAGAAGATTGGAAAGAGAAAGAGGGGGACGAGCATAGATGATGTTGCAGCGTTGATGGCCGAGGGCTTAGAACGAAAGAAGAAGAAGACTGAGTAGAGTTGTTATGATGATGCATATTGATTAGCAGAATAAGAGGCGATATATACAAGTATTAGATAGAAAGGGGTGGCCGCCTCATCACTCGATATATGATACAATGAATCTACCCACACCTACTCGTACACCTTCTTAATGCTTCAGCCCTGCTAGTACTATTGTTCCAGCATCTGCCAGCCCATACGCGAGGCTTTCAAAAGCACCCATCTTGACCTCAGGTTCTCTGCTGTACACTCTAGAATGCGGCACGCTCAGCTTCGTCTCCTTGCCACCGGGCAGCCCTTGTCCAGAGAGATAGATGGCCGAGTTTGAAAGCGCGCCAAAATGCTGTCCTATGAAGCCATTTATCGGATCGGCCTCGCTGGGAACTGCAACATCCCCAGAAACTCCAAAGACAACACCAGGTGTAAAGGGCTCCGCAGTATTTTCTGGCAGAGCTGGTGCAGACATGAAAAATTGAATCTGTGAGCCTTCGGGAGTGAAGCCTCCGCCATTCATCGATTGTATAAAGTTTTGCATTTCCTCTTCCTCCGAAAGAGAAAAGTGTGCGCGCTGAGGGTCGAGAGACAACAGTCCCTTTTTGGCTCCCCATCCGCCGCCACCGCTCACTAGATGTCGGATTAGCATACAAGTCATCGTGAAAGGGGCTGCTCAGGAATCCAGAAACACGTACATATCTTGTACAAGCGACCGCCGTGGCTGTAAAGCAGCTTGAGATGTTGAGCTGTGGCCTTTACAGTTTCCCTGATATCATCGATATCTGGCAGTGCCGTTATGGGCTCGGGGGCTTCCTCGAACCATTCCTCTAGCGCACCTGATGCGTTACGGTCAGGGGTAACCATTGCCCAGACTCCTACTGGGCCAGATAAAACGCCAGATGGGCCATTTTGCTTATGAAGCTTGTTGACAATGTCCTCTAGTTCGGTGGATGCTGGGATAGTATTCCCGTCGACCTCGATACCTCGAATGATGTTTCCAAAGCTTTCAGTCACGGTCCGAGGCTGAGTCAATGGCATCAGGGGTGCCCACATATCAAGATGCGCCAGTGACTCGATATCACGGTCCAGCGAGACTTTCACAAACTGTGAGTGCTTTTCGGTTTGTTGAGTGAGTCGAGGCACGCTATGAGCCAGATCAAACTCAGATGTCAAGAGTGTGGATGGTCTGCTATTGTGGAATGTGGTTCTAGCCAGGGGCAGCGTCACCGAGGGGTCTCCAAGATTAAACGTCAAAGCAGATACTGAATCTGCATCATCCTTGGACTTTGGCGATAGCGGCTGCCATAGATGCGGTAGCATATGGTCCAAGTGACCTCGTAGAACTGATATCCCCTCGTGAGATCTGAGTGACCCTGCTGGAGCTGCGAGACGGTCGACCACGGCGCTTAGAACATGAAACTTGTCCACATCTGCTGAACCGGCCATCAATCTGGCAAATTGGCCCATGATGTCTGCATTTTCGAGGTCTCTGGCAAAGCTTGGCGTTGTGAGGATGACTGCTGCGTTGTGGCCGTCGGGATTATCCAAGATTTTCTTGCCTCTCACATTCTCAAAGAGCTCTTGATAGCTGACCTGAAGGAAGAAATGAAATTAATAATCATGATTATAGCTTCTGGAATTATAATATACTACTTTTTTATTCTCTGGCAAAGCGTATGTGAATCTTGTTTGGCTAGTTCCTGAAACGCTTGAATATGACTTTCTAAGAAGAGATGCACTTCGCCGTGAAAGCGAGCTTCTCACAGCTTGTGAAGAGGCTTGAAGGATCATCTTCTAAAAGGGATCCAATTTTCCGAGAGAGTATAGTTTTTTCAAAAAAGAAAATCGTAATTCAGTGATTACACCTTAAACAATTCAGCAGCTTCACCGATTTAGGCAGGAGGAAATATTCATGGATATCAAAGGATCGAGTGTAAGCTTGAGAGCATCGCCTAGCATACACTAGACCTGGAAACGGCACACATCCGGACCATTTGTGGCGCACCGTGTGGCTGGACAGCTTATCGATTACTATCCAACCCCGCGACACCGCCACACCCCTCCAAATTCCGTGACTCAAATTTCAGATCGAAGGATCTTTATTGATGACTCTCTGCTTACTTGCGGCGCGGTAAAGCTGGCTTACGCTGGTCTATTTAAAGTAAACATTGGCGCATAAGATTGACGAGGAGGCCAATTCACCATAGGCCTTCCCCGAATCCCATCCGGCACCACGTTCAGACTCGCGGCTCGAGCACTTCGAGTGCGGCCACTTAGACGTACAAGACCTTTTGCTGCTATACCTGCTGCTACCATGGCGACAAACAGTGGACGAGGAAATCCCAGTATGTGTGCAGATGGATCTGTGAAATGTTTCTGAAAGCATGTAGCTAACGCCAATGATGTGCAGTCGCGGCGGCCGAGGGTGTCGAGGAGAGAAATGCAGCTCCCCCCAACGTTTCTGGTGAGACCAAGCAAGAGATTGCTACTTCAACTCAGTCTGCCACTCCTGGTGCTCATTCTTCGGGTCAAGATGCAGGTGCCGCGCCTGCTGCTCAGGGAGCCCCCAAACCAAAGACTGAGAAAGAATGTAAGAAATTACCCTTCGCATTCCTCGGCGTCTAGCTTCACTCCCCGAGAACCATTTGTCTAATCTGCTGGTGTAGTGGAAAAAGAACGAAAGAAGGCTGAGAAGGCCGCGAAGCTCGAAGCGAAAAAGGCCAAGGCTGTTGCTGCCGCTGCGGCTCCTGTGAAGGAGAAGAAGGCGAAGAAGGAAAAGGTAGAGGAAGAGCCGCTGCCTGAATACGTCGAGGACACCCCCGTCGGCGAGAAGAAGCGCATTCGATCATTCGACGACCCTCACTTCAAGGCATACAACCCCGTCGCCGTTGAATCAGCCTGGTATACCTGGTGGGAGAAGGAAGGCTTCTTCAAGCCTGAGTTCAAGGCTGACGGAAACGTCAAAGATGAGGGAAGCTTCGTCATTGTTCACCCGCCACCCAACGTCACCGGTAACCTCCATATGGGACATGCTCTGGGCGATTCGCTCCAAGATCTCATGATTCGATGGAACAGAATGCATGGCAAGACTACTCTGTGGCTTCCTGGATGTGATCACGCTGGTATCTCGACCCAGAGCGTCGTCGAGAACATGCTGTGGAGACGGAAACAGCAGACCAGACATGATCTCGGTCGAGAGAAGTTTGTTGAGACTGTCTGGGAGTGGAAGGAGGATTACCACAAGCGAATCAACAAGGCCCTGACTAGTCTGGGTAGCTCCTTCGACTGGAGCCGAGAGGGTGCGTATCAATACGAGCAACTTGGGTGTAGTAAATATTCGTTTCTAACATCACACAGCTTTCACCATGGATCCTAACTTGACAAAGGCCGTTATGGAAACATTTGTTCAACTCCACGAAGAGGGCATCCTCTACCGTGCAAACAGACTTGTTAACTGGTGCACAAAACTGAATACCGCTCTTTCCAATTTGGAGGTCCAGAACAAGGAGCTCACTGGAAGAACTCTCCTCGACGTCCCTGGATATGACAAGAAGGTTGAGTTTGGTGTCATTGTCCACTTCAAGTATCCTATTGAAGGTAGCGATGAAACCGTCGAGGTTGCCACAACTCGTATTGAGACCATGCTGGGTGATACGGGTATTGCTGTCCACCCCAAGGATCCGAGATACACTCACCTTGTTGGCAAGAATGCTGTCCACCCATTCATCGAGGGCCGCAAGCTTCCCATCATCGCTGATGAGTATGTCGACATGGAGTTCGGAACTGGTGCCGTCAAGCTGACACCTGCTCACGACCCCAACGATTTCACCCTTGGCCAGAAGCACGGCCTGGAGTTCATCAACATCCTCACAGACGACGGTTTGATGAACGAGAATGCCGGACCGTACAAGGGTCAGAAGCGCTTTGACGTTCGATATGCCATCCAGACCGCCCTCAAGGAGAAGAACCTGTATGTGGACAAGAAGGACAACCCCATGAAGGTTCCCCTGTGCGAAAAGTCCAAGGACATTATTGAGCCCATCATGAAGCCCCAGTGGTGGGTCAGAATGAAGGAGCTTGCTGAGCCCGCTCTTGCGGCCGTCCGAGAGGGAAAGATCAAGATTCGACCCGAGAGTGCTGAGAAGAGCTACTACCGCTGGCTCGAGGATATCAACGACTGGTGTATTAGCCGACAACTGTGGTGGGGTCACCGATGCCCTGCTTACTTTGCCAAAATTGAAGGAGGCTCCGGCGACATCCCTGAGGAGAAGCTCTGGTTCGTTGGAAGGACCAGAGAAGAGGCTGAGAAGAAGGCTCAGGCGGCGCTGCCTGGCAAGACCTTTACCCTCGAGCAAGATGAGGATGTGCTTGACAGTAAGTTGAGCCAGTCCCTGACGTAATTTGCTAATAATACTAACAACATCAATAGCATGGTTCTCATCCGGTCTGTGGCCGTTCAGCACTTTGGGCTGGCCTGAGAAGACTATGGATCTTGATAAGCTGTTCCCTACGAGCGTCCTCGAGACTGGCTGGGATATTCTCTTCTTTTGGATTGCCAGAATGATCATGCTTAGCTTGAAGCTAACAGGAGAAGTTCCCTTCAAGGAGGTTTACTGCCACAGTCTCGTCAGAGATTCGGAAGGCCGAAAGATGAGCAAGAGTCTGGGCAACGTTGTCGACCCCCTGGACGTCATCGCCGGTATTAAACTGGAAGAACTTCACGAGAAGCTCAATCAGGGCAACCTGCACCCCAACGAAGTCCAGAAGGCCGCCAAGTACCAGAAAACTGCTTTCCCTGATGGTATCCCCGAGTGTGGAGCTGATGCCCTCCGTTTCACCATGATCAACGCCACAACCGGTGGTGGTGACATTAACTTGGAGGTCAAGATGTAAGCAACGTGCCGTTTTGAAGTTGTCTCTCGGCTCAACTGACCATTTGATTAGTATCCACGGCTACCGAAAATTCTGTAACAAGATTGTATGTCATGGAGTTTCCAGCGATTCATTTTAACCATGCTAACATGGATTCCAGTTCCAAGCAACCAAGTATGTTCTGGGAAGTCTGCCCAAAGACTTTGTCCCCTCAAAAACGGGTGCCGTGCCTGGCAAGACCTTGGCGGAGAGATGGATTCTCCACAAGATGAACCAGGCCGCCAAGGAGATCAACATCGCCATTGCCGACCGCGAGTTCTCGAAATCCACCATCATTGTTTACCGTTACTGGTACAACGAACTCTGTGATGTGTACATTGAAAACTCAAAGGCCATCATCCGTGATGGCACCGAGGAGGAGCGCAACTCTGCTATCCAGACCCTGTACACTGCTTTGGAGGGAGCCTTGACTATGATCCACCCCTACATGCCCTTCATTACTGAGGAGATGTGGCAGAGAATGCCCCGACGACCCAGCGATGAGACCAAGTCCATCATGGTTGCCAAGTACCCCACCTACAATGCCGTCCTCGACGACCCGGCATCAGAGGCTGCCTATGAGCTTGTTCTCGACTGCACCAAGGCTTCGCGATCACTCATGTCAGAGTATGCCATTAAGGAGGATGCGGAGAGTAAGTGACATGTCACAAATTAGCTATTGTATTCATCAACTAACATGAAAACCAAAAGTCATCATCCAGGCGTACAACGCAGATTCCCTCAAGACCTGCCAGAACGAGGTCTCTTCCATCAAGTCTCTCAGTGGCAAGGCCGTCAAGACCATGGAAATCATCGGCCCTGACGCTTCCAGACCCCTTGGCAGCGTTGCTTACCCTGTTTCTACTGCCGCTTCCATTTTCCTGCACGTCAAGGGCCGTGTAGACATGGATGCTGAGATTTCAAAAGCCCAGAAGAAGCTCGACAAGGCCTTCGCCCTTATCCAGAAGCAGGAGAAGCTTCTTGCCGACCCTGGATACAAGGAGAAGGTGTCTGCGGCCGTTCAGGAAACTGAGCAAAAGAGATTGGCCGATGCCAAGCAGGAGAAGCACAGCTTGGAGGAGACGATTAAGCAGTTTGAGCAGCTGAAGTTGGAGTAGACAACACGGGATCATAAAAAAGAAAATCAATTGTAGCCTGGGATTTTTATGAGGCTATATAACTCTCATGTAGACAGAAACAAAAGCAAGGGACCGTCTAGAGTACATGATAAGAGAAATAAAACACAGGTGTTTAAACAAAAGTACAATTTCAATTTTACCATGTGATGAGCTGCAGACCTAAACTCCCCCCTTTTGCGTAAAACGTTATATATATATATCTAATTTATCCATGGCTTCACATGGCATTATAATTACCAGGTTCCCTTGCCGCCTCCTCCTTTGCTGCCCTCAGAAGCAGCAGCTTCATCCCTCTTACCAGCTCCGCCGCGAACTGGCCTCGACTGCGCTGCTTCATGCCTCCTAAGTTCATCTGGTAACTTGGAGATGGAGCTCTTGCTCAGGATCTGCTTGAGATCGTAGAGGACATCTGAGTCCTCGTTGCCCAAGAAGGTAATGGCCACACCACTCTTTCCAGCACGACCAGTACGACCGATACGATGCGTATAGCTCTCAATGTTAGTAGCCATGTTGAAGTTGATGACGAGAGAGACGTCTGGCACGTCGATACCACGACCAGCAAGATCCGTGGCGACAAGGACCTGCGACTGGCCCGAGCGAACGGATGCCAGGGCGGCCTCTCGCTGCTCCTGCGTCTTGGAGCCGTGCAGCGTGACGACGGACCAGCCCATGGACTTGATGTCGCGGGCGACGGCGTCGCAGTTGCGCTTGATGTTGACGAAGACGATGATGGGCGGCGCGTAGGCGGCCGAGCCGAGGATCTCCTGCAGGCGCTTCTTGCGCCGGTCCTCGCCGGAGATGAACTCGACGCGCTGCTCGACGGTGTCGACGGCCTCGCCTGCGTTGCCGATTGTGACAATGGCAGGGCGGCGGAGATATTTCTTCGCAATCTTTTCGACCAGGGGGGGCATGGTGGCCGTGTACATCATGGTCTGTCTGTAGCGGTCCTTGCCTACGTAGCGCTTCATGAGCTGTGCGTTTTCAGCCTCGTCCGTGTCCGGCTTCTCGTTGGTCACGGGCAAAGCGTCGAGGATCTTGTTGACCGAGTCTTCGAAACCGAGGTCAATCATGCGATCGGCTTCGTCCATGATGATGTAGCAGCACTGCACCAGGACGAGCAGTCTTCGCTCGATGCAGTCCACGAGACGGCCTGGCGTAGCGACGATGATCTCGGCGCCGTTGCGGAGGGCAAAGACTTGCTCTTCGAGGGAGTGGCCACCGACTATGCTGACACACCTGAAGCCGAGCGGCTCCGCGAATTTCTTGGCCTCGGTCTCGATCTGCTGCACCAGTTCACGGGTCGGGGCGATGATGAGCGCGTACGGGCCGTCGTTCTTGTTGGCTTCTGTGAGGGGCGGCAGGTCCGAGATGTACACCAGCAGGGGTAGCAGGAAAGCAGCTGTTTTACCGGAACCCGTGACGGCGACACCAATGAGATCGCGGGCCTGCAAGGCAATGGGGATGGCCGCCCGCTGAATGGCAGAGGGCTCCTTGTAGCCGACCTTGTCGACAATGTCAAGCAGCCGCCGCGGCAGTCCAGACTCGCCCCAGCTGCGCATCGGGTTCGGAATGGCGCCGCCCTTTGTGGCAATGCCAAAGTCCTCCTTGAAGATGCGCCAGTCTCGCTCCCGCATCTCGTTGAGGTCCTTGTCCGACCAGTGCCGTCCCAGACCAGTCCGCTCCGCCCTCTCCTTTGCCCTGGCGCGCGCTCTGTAGAAGTCTTCCATGATGCCCTTTGCCCGTTCTTTTCCATGCTCGATATCGCGCTGCTCAATCATCCGAGCTCGCTTGCGCGCCCGCTGCTCGGCCTCTTCGTCAAACTCGCCACCAACGCCAGCCAGTGAGCCGCCCCTGTTGACGCTCTGGCTCGCGTATAGCGGGTCGTTGTCTCTAGACGTGTCCTCTTCGACGTCCCATTCAAAGTTGAATTTCTTCTCCGTCGTCCGCATGCGCTTCTTCTTGGCCGAAAAGCTGGACTGCTTGTTGACTTCCGGGCCAAGGTACCGCGACCGAAGCAGCGAATCCTCAATCTCCGCCGCCGAGCGCTTAGCATTTTCGGCTTTTGAGTTCTTTTTCCCATCTCTTCCTTCCCGTCCATCGCGCCCTCTGCTGCCGCCACCAGACGTCTGGTTCATCGCTCTGGGGCCCGTAGGAGGCGCGACGGCGCCGTTGGGGACGCCATTTGAGACTGGCAGGCCATTTGCGCGGGCTTCCCATTTCTTCTCCTCTTCCCGTCGTCTTTGTGAGTCGTCAACTGTCTTTCGCTGCCTTTCTTGTTCCTCCTGCTTCGCCTTCTCGGCCGCTAGTCGCTCGCGCTCGGCTTTGGGGATAAATCTGGGTTTGGCGGCAGCAGCATCAGCCGCTTTCTTTTTTCGTAGGATCTCCTCCACATCGAGAGGCATCTCGATTTTTGATGCTCTATTTGCAATATGTAGGGGGTTTGATAGATGAATCAATGAGATGCTTGCTCTAATTGAATTGTCGTCGAAGAAGTTTTGGCGCCGGAAGTTGATTCAAGAAGTTGGATTGTGGCAAGGCATCCATCTTCGAGATCATAGGCAAGGCTATGACCTACGGAGGAGTTAAAGACCCACCTAAGCAGGACTAACCAATAGAAGAGCTTTAATTTAGCGGACCATTTTAGCGGGCGCTCAGCCTTGGGAATCTCGAATTCGATCAAATTAGGAACCTCGAAAAAGAACCTCCCCGCGATAGTCTCAATTCAGCGGAAGATCAGCCCCGGTCCTTTCTGCCGCCTCTTCCACCTCTCGATCCAAGCCAATTCCAGGACCTGGATCTTCATAGCATCATCCATGGCCTCACCATCAAATCTCGTCCAGCTCGCAAAGAGCCTGCCGGAGCCTCTGCAGCGCTTCTTTGCCCGCTGGCCGCCAGCAGCGCTCGTTGCTCCCGGCACGTCTCCGACGCCATTCCAAGAGCAGCGACCGAACCCCTTCCGATTCTACAAGCACCCCGTCACCGGACGATGGCAGGACCCGGTCTATTCTCAAAGGAGGCAGATGCAGCTCGTGAAGCTGGCGCGAGAGCATGGCGTTGAGGAGCTGCTGCCCCAGACGAACAAGGGCACAGAGTACCAGCTGGCTCAGCGTGTTGAGCATGGTTTGAGAGTAAAGGGTACTGGTGTGGGACAGAAGGTCAAGGGTCACATCCACGAACGACACATGATTGCAAAGTACGTTTTGTTCATGTTTTCTCTCTCTCTTCATGTTCAATTCACGACTAACGAATTATGTGTTTAGGATGGAACAGAGGAGGAAAGCCATGCTGGAGATGCCAAAGCTTATCCGAGCCTGGAAGAGTGTAAGCACCATCTCTCTACCTCTCCACATACCCGTTCTTATAGCTGACTCTTGGGGGAAACAACAGGTCGGGAAGAGAAACTGGACAAAGTTCCCGAAATAAACAATGGGCCGCAACAACTTCTTTACTTTATCCTGGCGAGCCTGTACATACGCCGTGTATTTCTATGTACAACAATGAGAAACGAATTATTTGGATTCACTCTGTCCCCCTTTTCATTGCTACCTATTTGCCGTCATCAATTGCGATTTTGAGTATCAAAGGCTCAACAGCATCACGTGATTCCAATGTCTAAATTTGCCGCCTCAAAATATCTTCAAGTAAAAAAAACATCCAAACCCATGTAGTATCAAGAAATCCACATAAACGTCATCTTTCATACCACATTTTTTCTGAATAAACATCCTAAGAAAAAACTCATCCTCCCCAAATTATGGCCCTCACATCGCCATCTCACTACGACGTCCTCGGTCTCACCCCCACAATCCTCAGCTCCCTGCCTGACCCCTCCACACTCATCAAACAGGCCTATCGCCGAGCTCTTCTGCGGCATCATCCAGACAAGGCCGCATCCTCATCGACACCATCATCAGCGTCCCTGCCATCTCACTCGAGACCCTCAAATTCTCAGCTCTACACCGTCGACCAAATCACACAGGCCTTCACAATCCTCTCATCACCTCATCAGCGCAGTACTTACGACGCAGGCCTGCGACTTTCCAGAGAAAACGCTTGTGATTCACAGGCACGTTTTCAAACAGGTATTGAAAACGTGGATTTAGATGATTTGCCGTTTGACGAAGAGGAGGAGCGCTGGTATAGATCCTGTCGCTGCGGCAATAACCATGGATACGCCTTTCAGGAGACAGATTTAGAAGAGGTTGAGCACGAAGGGGTGCTCATGGTTGGCTGCCAAGATTGTAGCCTTTGGCTTAAAGTCCACTTTGCCGTTGTAGAAGATGCATGAGATGAGAATCATGCGTCAGTATCAGATAAGAAAGAGTCAAGCCGACCAGCTCGTCGTGTCGCTAAACCAGGGGGGAAGAGAAGGGAGTCTTAATTTGGGAACACTTGGAAATGTTGGGCAAAATCGTGTTTAAGCAAGGCGCATCTAGGAGCGAAATGGATCAATGTTAGGCAAAAAATAGAAGAGTTCTGGTTCATATAATATAATATTAAAAAGCAATTTTAGTAGTTTTTATTTGTCCAGACGGCTACGCATCAAGAGTCTAAAAGCAGAACCTCCAATATGCTCTTCTTCTTCATCCTCCCTGCCAGTCCGTAAAGGGGGAACCAAATCGATTCCTTCCCGAAAATAGTTTGCGTGTTTTACCTAAAACGATGCCGAAGCTCTTGATCAAAAACGAAGTCTTCCATCCACACCGTAGACACCAGCCCATCCGATAACAAAGCGACCCAAGCCTAGAGATTTATACCGTGCTCCCCTGAACTTACTCAGCCTTGGGCTCTTCGGCGGCGGGAGCAGCAGCCTCAGCAGGGGTCTCCTCCTTAGCAGGGGCATCAGCCTGGCCGGAGGTCTCGGCCTCGGAGGAGGTCCAGAGGGTCTTTAAACTGAGTTAGCAAAAAGGATGTAGCCAGTTAATGGGAATAGAGTATGTACGTACGAGGTTGTCACGGAGCAGCTGCATGATGAGAGTGGAGTCCTTGTAGCTCTCCTCGCTGAGGGTGTCGAGCTCTGTAATGAGTGTGTTAGCAAAAGTGATTATTACTAAGCGCCAATGACGCTGGCACGTCTTTGGCAAGTTTAAAAAGAGACTTACCAGCAATAGCATCGTCAAAGGCCTGCTTGGCGAGGTGGCAAGCCTGGTCGGGAGCGTTGAGGATCTCGTAGTAGAAGACGGAGAAGTTGAGGGCAAGTCCAAGGCGGATGGGGTGGGTGGGAGGCAGCTCAGTCTGGGCAACCTCGGTGGCAGCCTTGTAAGCCTCGAGGGACTTGTCGGCAGAGTCCTTGCGGCGGTCGCCAATAGCGAACTCAGCGAGGTAACGGTGGTAGTCACCCTTCCTGTAACGAGGAAAAAGAAATTAGCTCAACACGTCATGCTACGGCTTTGGATGGTATGGCGTGCGCACATCTTGTGGTAAAAGACCTTGGACTCGCCAGACTTGGCAGAGGGGATCAGGTGCTGGTCGAGAACCTCAAGGATATCGTCGCAGATCTTGGCAAGCTCGTTCTCGATCTTCTGGCGGTACTCCTTGATAAGGGTGACCTGGGAAGAGTTGCCCTTAGACTCCTCCTTCTGCTCGATAGAAGTGACTATTCTCCAAGAGGCGCGGCGAGCACCAATGACGTTCTTGTAGGCGACGGAGAGAAGGTTGCGCTCCTCGACGGTCAGGTCGCGGTCCTCGGAGGCGACGATCTTCATGTTCTCAACCATCTCTATAGGCGGTCGCAGTCAGCGCAATCGGTCCATCGAACAGGGACGGAGACATCAGCGAGCAACGAACCCTCATATCGCTCAGCCTGCTCGGCGAGCTTGGCCAGGTAAACAGCATCTTCGTGACCCATTTTGACGGTAGATTTTTGAACTTTTTTTTTGGTGGTTTTTTTGGAGCAGCTGTTATCAGTCGGTTAGCAAGATGTACGCGTCCTCAGGTGGCGGCGTAACGCAATAGGCGTGGGTTCGTTTGGGAGGTTGAACAAAGAGAAATGCAAATGGAAAATGGTGGATGAAAATCGCGAATGGGAGAAAAATCCGGTTTTTGGGAGCAAGGCAGCAGCCACAGCCTCGTCAAGGCAGAAACGTGAATATTTGCGCAAGAAAAGCACCGTGGCAGGAACAAGTGCCGCAGGGCTGACTTTACGACAAGGCCCAGAGTGAGGCTTGCTCCCCCGCTCCTAAACCCCACCAAAGGGGGCTTCGAGAGCAGCAATGAATGCGCCAGCTACCGCGACAGACACGCAGGCCTCCAATCGACAGAGGCGAGGCGGCCGACGAGGGCTGGCACAATCGCAAAGCAGAGGCCCGGCTGTCCCAACGCGACTGAGGCCCCTCGAAGCGCTGCTTCTGCTGGGCCAGGGGTGGTGCCAGGCCATGACGAAAGCGATGAGGGGCGCGCGCCATCCCATAAGGCGCTCACATACCGAAGTGCGGGAATGCTGCCAGGCGGCAGCTGGGAGGAATATGGGCTGCTGTCGAGGGGAGAGGAGGGCAGGGACGGCGATTTCAGCAGGATGCACGGGCAGAGGGAGATACGTACGGTCGATGGGACGCGGTTCAGGAAAAGGGGGTATTTGTTGTTTCGTTGAGAGAAGAAAGGAAAAGAAAGGGCAAGATTAGAGAGAGCTGTAGATGAGGGTCCCGAGCAGCCAGCACATTGGCTTTAACATGGGAGTGGCTTTTGCGCTGGTCTCACGTGCCGTACAGGAGCCTGGCGCCTCACCCTTTTCAGGGCACCGGGGGGGCAGGACGGTCGGCTTTGGGTCGGGTACAAGGCGATACCTGGCGCTAGCCCAGACGCTCTGCAAACGACGGGGCCTTTAGCACGCTTTAGCACGGCTGGCCGCACTGACTCAGCTGGGTATTTTGTAGACCGCAGGTACCAGGCCCTCCAACCATCACGTCAGAGCAATTATCGTGCCTTACATCCCTGTGCTGGGCCTAACGACGCAGCGGGTACCTTCGAGTAAATGAACTGCTAATGCACCTCGCGGGTGGCGTTGACGTAGGTCTGGATTGGTTGCAAGGCAGCTGGAGACGCAGCCGTTGCGTTGGGCTTTGACGTCGTCATCGCCATCTCCCTACCGAGTAAGTCCCTGTTTGCTGTGCCTTGGTTGCCCATGATTCGGTCCAAAGCCACCACTTTCCACGGTTCTTGTTTGTGATGGTGACTGGGTGCCCAACGCTGTTGTCACCCATTCGCATTCACTCATCTCTCTTATCGTTACCAAGAGCCTGGCCGTCAGTCAATGCAGTTTCCGGTTCATGTACTCCCGTTGTATCGCAGCAGCGACAAAGTCCGGCTTTTGAACTCGACTTGACTCTCATATTCAGCGCATCGTTAGGCTCCTGATCTCTAATTTTAGCTTGGTGGCGAGCTGATACGCAATCGAAAGAACATGGGATGAACATGGGATTCTGCCACGCGGTGTATACAAGATCAGGTACTCGGAGAGCAAGGGTACAGCCATCTCAGATTCAATCTCCTTTCACGGAACGTTCGTCCAGCCAGCTCTCTGGACTCGAAGCCGCTCTAGGCCGAGGCTGCTAATCTCACTGGCCCAGATCGTAGGGAGTCATCTGAGTTAAATTACCATTACTCATGCTCCCTATTACTTATCCACAAGATCTCCCACGAGATCTTTTGATCTACCGGCTCTTGCTTTGGCGATATGATCGCGATATTTCTCGTTGAGCAACCATTGCATAGCAGACCCAAATGCGCCTCGTTTGGATTCACTCAAGGGGTAACGGTTACCTAGTAGTATTGTTCAGTGCCCTTTTCCGTTTTATTATCCTGCAGCCCAGCCGTGGCTTAAGAGGCAACCGGTCAAATAACTGTGATTTCGTGACATTGGCCACAACTCGAGTGCTGGATAATGAACCCGGGGTGTGAATAACAAGTTCCTGTTTCCATCTCTTGTGCGAGCAATAGTGTGCTGAACGAAATGAAAAAGGAAAAAGAAATAGAAAAGGGAGCTGTTCACTTTCGTATTATTTATATCGTATAGTGGTATTGAAAATGAGACGATACTCAGAGCCGACTTATAGGAGGGTACCTTATCAGCCCTTAGATAAACTCTTACACGGCCGCGTTGAGTAAATCAGGATAAGTCCAGATATCAGGCGCTGCATGTGTTTGAATCTTATGAATATCGAAATAGCTGAGTGGAGATGGTCGGAGTTCGCTATCCCTGCTGGATAGGATCGTCCAGATCAGGCACAAGTACCCATCATGCTAGCCTCGAGTCTTGGGATATGAATACAGTCGATCTAAGATGCTTCTTTCGCTGATAGATTTGAGTATATATGCCTTACCTAGGCGACCTGTTATGATATAGAAGGCCAAGAAAACCCCATGCAAGATGTCTACTTCTTGGTGCAATTCTAGCTGCGCATTTTCCCCATGTTATACTTTCATAAACCTTGCCTACCCGGGATATACGGCAGATAATCGACCAAACAATTCAATGTTTGTTATATTGGTTGATTTGCTTGCGCAGTGGTATGTTTCAACCATTATTCAGTCTTGAACATCTACGGATCGAAGGTTGATTCTGTTTACCCGAATATAGCCATTTGCGCCAAAATCTCCCGACGCCCTTTGTCATGTGCCCCACGATTCGTCGTTGCTTCCGATCAGTCCACCAGAGCATATCGTGATACGCGGAGCTTGATGTTGAGATTTAGCTTTTCCCCCCAATATTCATGATAATGGGTTAGTCGCGTAAAATTTTGTCGAAGGAGCTTTGTCATGAGCTCATCACAAGCTTGTCTCTGGTGCCCACTCTGTGAATAGCATCGTTCCAGAAGACCTCCATAATAATATAGCGCATATCCTTCCGAGGCTAATGTCTACTATTACATACAATTAATTCATGGCAATGCTCCCATTTCAATCGCTGCACGAAATTGCAATTCCAATCGCAATTCTACAAAGTTCTCTCTTGTCCCCCCCACATGCCAAACCACTAAAGAAACCTCCATCAGCCCGCGTCGAACCACTTTCGCCGTCCCCAATCCGAAATAGTGGGCGGCTTTCGATGACGCTCGCCTTTCAGCCCCTCACACCACTCTAAAGGAAGCTCTTCTGTGCTGCAATTTAGCATTCCATACTGCTAGCTCCATTTGCGCCAGCAGCGATTCGGCTCCTCAGGCCAGCACCTCGGACAAAAGCTCCATCCAATTGCTGCTGCAGGCACCGTTCCGTTCCCGTTTATAACCTCAATCCTTCCCTCCTCCACGTTTTTACCCTCTTCTTTCCTTGTCTTTTTTTCAGCAACGAACAAAATCACCACCTCTCTCCCTCACACAACATCAAGATGCTTCGCACCACCCTCACCAAGACGGCCGTCTTCCGTCCCATGCGCGCTGCCTTCAGCACCACTGCTCGAGCCATGAGCGAAGGCGACACTGGTGCTCCTCCCAAGACCGGCGGCGCAGGGTAAGTGGAAAAAAAAAGAAGGATTCAATCCTCCCCACCATTTCATCTGGCTTTCAATTGCAATATTTTTTTTCTCAAGTCTGACAGCTTTGCGACTTTGCAGAGACGCTTTCCAGCGCCGTGAGCGGGCCTCGGAGGAGTACGCCATCCGCCAGCGCGAAAAGGAAAAGCTCGTGGAGCTCAGGAAGAAGCTCACCGAGCAGCAAGAGCACCTCGATCGCCTTGCCAAGCACATGTATGCGCAACACAAGTCCTTGTAACCCCCCTCTCAATTCAAGTCAGGACGGCACCGCTAACGAAGCCATGCTACTTCTTTAGCGATGAGATTACCAAGGAGCAGGGCGGCGAGCAGAACTAAGCAGGACGAAAACGCCTCAAAAGAGATATCAAAACTGAAATAAGAGACAAAGAAAAAAAAAAAAATGTCCATCTCATGTCGGCCCATCCGCTGAGCTGAGCTGTGTTTAAGCTAAAGTCTGTAACCAACAGCTACCCTGGGTTGAGCGGAGCTGCGCTACATGTTGTCTCAATATGCTTGCGTATTTTCTTTCCCCTTGTTGCCGTCTAAGGTACTGTACAGCTACATGACTCTTCCCCCCCTCACAGAAACAACCAAATATATAAAGGAAATAAAAAAAACAAGAGCTACTCCAATGTTGTTGTGTCCACCAGATGCATGTCCCTCAATCGGTCGTGCGTGTGAAAGACCTTTATTAGATTCATTCTTCCCTGATGCCATCCCAAAACTCCAATTTATATCATCAATGCCTCGTAATTAGGTACATCACCTCCGTCCCATGTAGGATCTGTAGAAGCTCTCCGCCACGTCGCTCTCTCCGCTACCGTAGTGACTACCCAAGTTGCTGCTCGACTTTTGCGCGGCCGTGACCTTGGCCTGTAGAGCTGAGGCGTTGGCGTCAATCCATTGCAATTGAGTAAGATGGCCGTTCAGTACGCGAACAATCTGGCTCAGCTGCATCATCGTGTTAGCATATACATTTTGTCAAGATTTTGCCAATGGTAAAACTTACTGGATCCTCAGCCTTGGCTCCCTTGCTCAATGTTCCAGAAATTTCGTTGATCTCCTTGACCATCTTGGATAGGTCTCGCGACTTCTCATCGAGTTGTTGTGTGAGCTTCTCCGCTAACTTATAGGTGCGCTCACGCTCCTGGTCCGGTCCTCCAAGCTGTTCACCAGGGCCCATCTGCTTGGAAAACATGTCTTGGACCTCTGACTCGTATCGGTTCAGCCAGGCCTCCAGCTCCTCTTGTTGGCTCTCCACGGCAGCGAGTTGGCGCTCAATCTCATGGCTCGCTCGCTCCGCTTCAAAGGTATCCAGATACAGTTTCTGGATCTTTTCACCATTGTCCACCAAATTTCTGTCCCAGTTGGACACAATAGTGGCTTGGTCCTTGAACTCCTTTTGGTATTTTGATAGATCCGAGGCCCATCGAGTGACAATATCCTCCATCGTCTTATTCTTCAGCCGGGCCATCTGAGATGGAGGTCCATTGGTGGACGCGCCCAATGCGCTTGTGGTGGTTGTTTGAGCGGCGGGCTTCGCCGCATCTTTGTCACCAGCGGGCTTGGCTCCGAATAGGCCACCCGCACCAGCAGTAGTCGTGCCGGCCGCTGGTGCTGCCGTTGTAGTAGCCGTGGTCGCGGCAGGCTGAGGCGTGGCAGTACCGAACAGTGAGGTAGCAGGTTTGGCGGTGGCAGCAGGAGCTTGAGAAGTGGTGCCAAACAGGCCACCAGCTGCGGCAGTTGTTGTAGGAGCTGCTGAAGATGTAGTCGTAGCAGCAGTGCCAGCAGGCTTCAGACCAAAGAGACCTCCTGCAGCAGCAGGTGCCGGAGTAGATGCTGAAGCTGCAGAGGTTGTGGTAGGAGCAGCGGTACCAAAGAGGCCTCCGCCAGCTGCTGCTGCTGGGGCTGTAGTGGCGGCAGGTTTAGCTCCAAAGAGAGAATTCGTCGTTCCAGCACTGGCCGGCGCTGCGGCGGCTGTAGAGGCTGCAGGCTGCGCAGTACTAGCAGCGGTATTGCCAAAGAGTCCTCCAGCAGCCGGTTTGGTAGCGGGAGTAGTGGTAGCAGCAGGCTTGTTGCCAAATAGACCACTCGTGGCTGATTGGGCTCCACCGCCGAACAGTCCTGATCCTGATGTAGTGGTGGCCGCAGGTTGCGTTGTCGCAGTCGAGGCAGCAGCAGGCCTGGCAGCTCCAAACAAACCGCCAGCAGCTGGAGCAGTGCTGGCAGCGGTTCCGAACAAATTGCCACCCGCAGGTTTGGCTGGGTTTGCGGGGGGCGCGCCGGCAGGCGTTGTCGATTGTGCAAATAATGGTCTGGCAGGTGTTGTCGCTCCAGCAGCAGTGGTCGGGGTAGTCGGTTGGGCAGCAGGAGCTGGCTTGTTTCCAAACAAGCCTAGAGCTGGAGCTGTCGCAGTGCTTGGTGTCTGGCTGGCATTGTTCCCGAACAAGCCACCAGTCGAAGAAGTAGTCGATGCAGGTTTATTGCCAAACAGACCGCCAGCGGCTGGTGCTGCAGTGCTTGTTTTCGTGTTGCCAAATAGCCCACCAGTCGCCGGTGTGGTAGAGGCTGCTGCTGTAGTGGTCGCGCCGCCAAACATGCCGCCTGTCGCCGGTGTGGTTGAGGCTCCTCCAAATAGACCCCCAGCAGCAGTGGCTGGAGTAGCAGATGAAGAAGCAGCAGCAGCTCCACCAAAGAGACCTCCAGCAGGTTTTGGTGCAGCGGCAGCGTTCTGGCCTCCGAAAAGAGATCCTGGAGGGTTGGTAGCGGGAGTTGTTGTTGCATTACCAAAGGAAAACTTGGGCGCTCCAGACGTAGCAGCAGCATTGCCAAACAATCCTCCACCGGCCGGCGCAGTGCTGGTTGTGCTGTTGGGCGCGGCACCTGAAGAGTTCGGAGTTGAAAACATGGCGACTGGCGCGAGATTGTCTTCTTTCTATCTGAATCGTCGGTCGCGAAGGGCGAGAGGGAGCAGCTTGTGAAGAATCAGATTTAGCAAGTTTTCATGATAGCCAAAGGCTCGGCTAAGATGAATGAAGGGAATTGAGAACCGTAGCGGACTGCCGAAAGCTCGCCTTGGGATGGTTCGGAGCCGATGGCGAAGAAAACAAAAGATCGAGGCGGTCCAAGGCTACGGTTGACCAGGTGCTTTTTTCGCGGTCATGTTTTCTGGGAGCTTTAGATCAAGACCCAGCACGCGCAGCCGTGGTGTGGCTGGGGAGTCCACGGTGCTGGGATCTCCAGCCACATTATTTAGTGCTGCATAGCACAAGCCACAGCCGACCCCTTGAAGCATGGCATAATAGCCATTCCCACGTGATGATAGTACTCCCACTCTCGAGAGCTTCCATGTTATCGGGAGACTGATTGAGCTCACCACTACTGGCGACGATATTGACACTTCTACGTGCAGTTTTAGGCATTCTTGCCTCTCTTTTTACCCCTAGATTTGCCCCAGCACATTCTATACCGCCGAGTCATTGCGCGGCACCGTTATGTCCTGAAGGCCTTCAAGTGCCTGGCCTCGACGCCGAAGATAGAACCACAGCCTCGTTGCTACGAACCAGCCACTCGACATTCACCTCGACCAATTGAATCTCGCAGTCAAATACTACCTACTTGATTGATTAATAGTTTCTCAGCTTAATAGAGCACCAGCAGAACACAATGGCGGACTCCCGGGATCTTGAACCCCCGCCACAGACCCACGTCGAGGACCCGGGGGCCCATCAGCTTGGTAAGTCTTCAACTCTCAGCAAGTGTATTTTGATGAAGTTGGGCTGACATGTTTGGATAGCTGAGGCTTCAGATTCGGAGGATCAGTTCACGGACGCACAGTCCGCACCCACGAGCCCCGGCGTTAGCTCACCGGTCCCCAAGACACGAGTGGAACTGGTCGACAACGAACCGTCATATGGAGAAGTGCCCGGCACCGAGGCGTACGAGAAGAGAGAGCAAGATGCTGAGCCAGATGAGATTGCCGTCGTGTCCGAAATTGCTTCCGAGCCAACGCCCCCCACTCCTCTCGAGCCGACCGATATTCCTGTAACGATGGTCGAAGAGTCCGTTGGTGACTATCCCGGCCAAGACACGCCGCAGGAGCTGGAGAAGCATAAAGCAGACGCTACCCCTGATATTATATTGAACCCTAATGGCGAGTTAAGGAGTGGCAACGAAGATGCTATTTCTGGTACGCATACACTTTAAGCTTGAAAATTCCTTCAGATAATTTATTGACTCTATCAAAGACGTCCCTCTTTCGCCTGCTCTTTCTGCAGCCCATTCGAGAAGAGAGTCTATATCATCTCAGCCAACGGTCTTGGCCAAGCCAACAGAAGTAACTAATACTGGTAGTGGAGGTGGCGATGACGATGACGGTGTGATGGCCGAGGAAGGCGAGAAAAGAGACGAGAAGGTAGACGAGAAGGTAGACGAGAAGGTAGACGAGAAAGAAATCGAGAAAGAAGCTGAGGAAGAAGTTGAAAAAGAAGAAGAGATAGAGGACCAGAAAGAGGACGAGAAGGCAGACGATTTCGGAGACGATTTCGGAGATGAGAAGGAAGGCGGCGAGGATGACGATTTTGGAGATGACTTTGACGACTTTGAAGAGGGCGGCCACGATGATGACTTTGATGACTTTGAGGCTGGTTTCCAACACGCTGAACCTACTACGACTACCACATCGGCACCTCTCCCAGTTCAACCACAACACTCATTACCATTTGTATGTGCACCGCAAAGATATACACACGTATTAACTCAGTGCTAACCCCCTTATAGTCGATACCCGACTTTGATGGGCTGAGCCCTGATGAAGTCACTTCCGCAATTGAACCTTGTTTACATGACCTCTTCCCTCCCGAGGAACTCGACTTCCGGGCCTTCCCACCGATATCAAAAGACTCATCATCCATTTTCCTCACGCCACGCTCCGCCTCTCTATGGTCTCAGCTCGTTGCTCCCCCGCCCCTGGCACCGCCCGACTGGATCCGTTCGCGAACCCGCCGTCTGTTTCTCGTCTCTCTCGGAGTCCCCGTGGACTTGGACGAAATTCTTCCGGCATCCAAGCAAAAGAAGCTTGTGTTGCCGTCGCTTAATATTCCTGCCGCCTCGCCTAGAGGGTCAAGTGACTTGCGCTCGGCGACCAGACTAAACCAAGGCGATGGAAATGCCTCATCAACATCAGTAGACTCGCACGGCAAACCATTGGCGTCTAAGAGGAGGAAAGGACCGCCTCCCCCGCCAGAGTTGGACCTGGTAGTGGCAAAACATGTCTGCCAGACGACAGACGAGGCATTGAATGGCATGACTGATGAGGAACTAAAGGGCCATGTGGCCAAGTTGGAGGCCATGCAGGGAGCGGCCAAGGAGATGCTGGATTACTGGACAAAACGGACGGATGAAAAGATTGGGGATCGGGAGGCATTTGAGGGGGTTATAGAAAACTTGGTGGCACACGCACGTAAAGTACGAAAGTAGAGACTTGCATGATGATTTATATATTATGGATTGTCCAATTCTTCAACACAAAAATTGACCTAGCAGCTATTTGTGCTTTTCTCTCTCTCTCTCTTCACCATTATCATCCTGGGTAAAGAAAAAAAAAAGAACTTCTATAGCTTTATAGCACCAATGAAGGGCACCTTTCCTGACGCCGCTACCTAGCCTCTGGGAAGGCGTTTCAATCCTGCTCTGTATGGCTCGTTTGGAACCGACTAATCGCTGTCTCCCCTTTTCTCTCCTTCTCCTTCCCCGTTTCTTCACACCGCTGCAAGAAAAATCGCTGGTTAGGTCGATAATTCTGCTGATATACTACAACCCGAAGCATAAGTTTCTTTTTTCGCTCCCCACCCAAAACCCATAATAACACATCGCTTCATAGATAAGTTTACTCTTTCCTAGCTCTATGCTTATGCAGAGCTGGGCTCCAGAGTAACACCACTGTAGAAATTCCGTTAGCTTTAAATTCTCACAGAACAATGGAAAATTATAAATGTTTGAAAGAATGAGAAGGGAAAACTTACGCAGCAATTGTAGCCCATCCAATAAGACGCCAGTGCTTGTCGATACGTCGGCTGAGGGCAACCTTCTCGCCAATATCCGTGCAGACGGGGCTGGTTAGGATCAGCTTGGCAGCATCGTTCTTGATGGCAGCAACCTTGGCACCGGTGGATGTGGAACCAATGTTGACCATGATGACTTCGTTCTTGGCCAGCTTGGCGACCTTGGCCTGCTTGCCATCGGCAGTCTTGACACCAAGCAGACGTCGGAGGAGGTAGAAGTTGATTTCGATTTCGCTGTAGATATCGGGGAGCTTGCCCTTGAGGCCCAGGACGAAACCGACCAGACGATCAGCACGGCAAAGGGTGGGATCGATCTGGGTACCGACACCAATCAGACCACCGGGAACAGCGTACTTGAGGTCGTTGCCTTCTGAGTTGAGAGAGATGACTCTGCTGAAGAGAGGAGTGCACTTGAGAGCACCGCTGTTGTCGCGGGAAACAATACCGGGGCGAATCTCGATCTCATCACCAAGCTTGAGAACGCCGTGCAGGATACTACCACCGGCAACACCACCCTTCAGGTCGTCAATCTCAGCACCGGGCTTGTTGACGTCGAAGGAACGAATGATGATCATGTGTGGTGAAAGGGAGAGATCTCTGACGGGAACAGGGATGGTGTTGACAATGGCATCGAGGACGGCATCGACGTTGACCTTGAGCTGAGCAGAGATGGGGATGACGGGAGATTTCTCAGCAACAGTTCCACGGATGAACTTGAGGATCGAGTCAAAGTGCTGTTGAGTGATTTCTTCTCTCATCAGGTCGACCTTGTTCTGCAGGATGATGATGTTCTCGAGCTTCATGATCTCGATGGCGGCCAAATGCTCTGATGTCTGAGGCTGAGGGCAGGATTCGTTGCCTGCGATCAGCAGAAGGGCGGCGTCCATGACAGCTGCACCTGACAACATGGTGCTCATGAGAATATCGTGACCAGGGCAGTCAACAAATCTAGAAGATGTAAGTATCAATAATACGGCTCTCATCTGGCAATTCCTACGGCTATGGGGTTGGGGAAGAAAGGAGAGGGCGGCAGACGTACGAAACATGTCGCAGCAGACGGTATGTGCCACCGCAGCCATCTCTCTCGCAAGGAGGGTCAACCTCCTTCTCACTGCCGTAGCTTCGGTAGCAGCCAGGACGAGGGCATGCAGCGTTATCGCACTGGTAGATCTTGGCGTTGGCGTAACCCAGCTTGATGGTGATGTTACGGATCAGCTCGTTCTTGAATCGAACTGTCTGGACACCGGAAATGGCCTTGACGACGGTGGACTTTCCGTGAGCGACATGACCAATGGTACCAATGTTGATGGTGGCTTGTCGGGCAATAATCTCGGGGGTGAGAGGCGTCAGGATGGAAACATCGAGATCCTTGGGATCGGTCTGTGGGGGCAACGGGGGCTTTGCGACCGTCTTGTCGGGGATGACGGGGTTGGACTTCTTGAGGGCGGGCTTGAGGGCCTTTTCTTCGACGGCGTTGTCCTGGGCGTCGATGGACTCTCCAGAGTCAGAGTCGGACTGGATATCGTCGTATTTCGGATCGTCAGACATGGTGGCTAGGCGGGGCAGTCTCTGACAATTCGTAGGAACTCGGGGGGGTGAATTCTTCAGAGTGTATAGGGATTGTTTTCTTTCGGGCAGTCGGGGAGCGGTAGGGCTCTAAATGGATGCCTGGTGGAAAGAAAACACGGGATGATTATCGAAGATGTGGAGAGAAAGGCAAAAGCCTACCAGGTTTTTGTCACTATAAAATTGCGGAGGTTTGCACAAGCACCCATTTCGCTGTCGAGTGGTCAAAATTCATCGTGTGCAGCTGGATGACTCTTACTCTAAACCCAACTTGGCCTGATAAGCTGATAAGGATTATTGCCCCTCCACAGATGTAGATTTCGTAAGCCCCTCTTTGAGTGCTAGGACTGCTACAGGCAAGTCAATAAGAAAAGCACTGGACATTATTGCTTTCAGAAAATGAAGGAATATGTCAATGAAGCGGGAACAATTGATTTAAAGTTCAAAATTGGAAAAAGTAGTAGGAAATCATGTCGATGAATTTTTATGGCCATGGCTGGATATGCCCTACTAGGATTATGGTGATGGCTGGGAGCTTTTCTCTTAGCGATCAATGTGAGCTCTACATACACACTTGTACACGATGAGGAAATGCATGCGTAAAATAGCCAATCTGAAAATATAATCTTGTAGTTGTATGACTTGGAAGAATAAAAGAAACAACAAAGAAAAAGCCGTAAATAATTGAAGAAAACAGTGGAGTCGACACAGAGTGGCATCCGGGCACAGGTAAGTAGAACTAGTTTCAGTGTAGCTGGAAACGCCGGATAGCAACCCTTTAGATATAACAAGTGCGCTGACGAAGATTATATTTACTGCAATGTGCCCTAAAGAAGTAGAATCAATCACTGACTTTCTTATCGCGACCCAAAAGGCCTTTATCAAACGCAGCTGCTTGCTAGAGATTGATCTTTCGAGACTCGGCCTTGGTGATATGTACATGACAACACGCCGCTGGATAAAGCTTCGAAACCTTCAAGTTTCTTTCAATTGCGAGACAAGCACTATTGGTACTTTGTAGCTCGATTTTCATCTGAGCAGCATCATATGATTTGCATCGCTTCTGATGAGCGCATAAGCTCTCGGATTGCTTTATGAATCGAGTATGACTATATCGCACTCTGACCCTAGTTGGGCAAGCAATAACGCTACCCACTGTCACAACACTCATAAACTCCAAGAGGACTTGTTGACACTTTGCTTACACCTCCAAAGGTCATCATCAACAAGATGTCGGAGACTAAAACAAGACAACCTCGTCTACCAGCTGGCCGGGACAAATCAATGCCGACCTGCAGAACCATTGCCTTCCAATCACGGTTACAAGCCATGCGGTTGCATTCTGGAAAGGCATCAATGCTGTTGCTAGCATACCATAACGGATGAGTCCGTTCTTGTCCATCCTCTATTCGCCCGATGGACCCCACGGTTGCGGTGCAGTGCCCAGCACATGACGTGCTTGCTGCTGCTAGTAAACTGCAGTGTGTGATATTCCCGGTGGGTGGAGTGGCAGAAGGCGACGACTTGGCCCCCAACACAGAGACGCGGACGGCTAAAGGATTTTTAAGGTAGAACATGTTCCTGGCACTACTGTCTAGGGCGTCTGTCTACATTGTGGTAACGGCCGCAGGGACGAAGTGCATGGGAAGTGCATTTGGATGATGACAAGGATGGCACACCAATGCAGAGATGTTCCACGGGCAGAGTTGATAGCCTTGTGCTTGGCAGGAAGCCTTTGCGGATGCGTTTCGCAGCATAGATGCCTACATGTAGGTATAGCAAGCGTGGACATGCTATGTGAAAAGAAACATGAGCATGAACACGAACATGAACATGAATTAGCCGGTTCGTGTATTTTTGCGATCCACTTTTGATATATTTCGAGCAACCCCATCACCAACAGATGCAACCTCTCTATACAACCCAATACCTGGTCTACCTTGGGCACAAAGTAGATGTTCGTATACCAAGCAGCTTACGCATAGACACCGAGAGATTCCAAAGATTAATAACCTGAGCTAGCATACGCACTCAATGACAAAACACGGCAGAGCGGACAGACACGTTATACCGCCCCGGATAGCATAACCGCAAACCCGGAAATGCGCACGAAAACGGTGTTAGCGGAGAAGAAACCAGAAAAAAAAAAAAAGGTCAGCGTCTGCTGACGGGCTTGCTGGGGTTCCTTAACGCCACGGCATGTGTTAGTGCTGAACGATTTCGGTTCAGAACAAGCCGTGGAAGTTTGCGGGGGTTGATCGGGGAAACGAGAAAGAAACGAGAAGATACAAGTAGGAACAATGAAGGCATCGACTGATGATGATCTTGGCAGGGAGAAAAAAAAAGACTCAGTGCCGGGAGGGTGTGGTTGTGATGGCTTCGGCGCGCGGCTGCTGAAGTGCATGGGAGGTTGTGTGTGTTTTAAAATAGCAACAGTTGAAAAGCCTCTGGGTTCTCGTACTCGTACTACACACAGCAGACGGCAGACGGCAACAAACTCAACTCAGCAACCACCATTCCTGGCGAGAGAGAAAGGGACAAGAGGGCGGGACCTTTTCGCATGGCAAGCAAGCAGGGACGAATCCCAAAGAGCTCATTGCCGCCGACCAGCTGCGGTGGCTTGCCACCCATCACAGCTTCTCGCTCGCTGATTGGCTGCAGAGCAATAAATGCAGCCACAAGACAGCCCCCGGTCCAAGCAGGGCCCTAAAAAGGCCCGCCGGGAGTGCCTTGCGCGGGCCCAATCAGAGCGCGCGGTTTGCCGTCGCCATTCGAGATATCGAACAGGCCCGGCGGCAAGGCAAGTTGAAGGGCGGAGGAAGTGGACGGAGAGACTCCATCTGGGCGTGTAAATTCTTTTTTGGTCTTTGGCATTTGGGCGGCAGTGATGCCAGTACTGGCAGTCAAGAGACCGGAAGCTAGGAAGGGCGATGCGAGCGAGCGATAAGATGATGATGGCAGCTGCAAATGAAGCGAACAAAGCGATCTAGCAAGGGATGCCGGCTCTCTAGTCCAAGTCGTCGCTATTGTGCTGCCTCTTTTGACGTCCAACCACCAGCCACTTCCGGGGCCCGCGCCCGCTCTCTCGCAAGGGCAGAGGCGACTAGAGAGCCGATGGACGATGCGCGCTGTTGGGTGAACGAGCGCCCTCCGGTTTAAGGTCCTGAGTGAGATAATAGTGCACCCGGCTGTCAGAGCCTTGCTTGCGTGGGTAGATTTGCCGTGCTGTTTGTTCGTTTGTTGGCTTCCCCTCCCCTCATTCAACTCTCAACTCAACTCAACTCAACTCAACTCCATGCCTGCTTCTATCCTCTGTACCAGAATCACAGACAACGGCTTTCAGTGCACTTGCTCGCCAATCTGCTGCGCGACAAGGGCTCGCACTGCAGACCCGCATTGAAGCGCCAATCTGCAGCCCCCGTCCAGATTGAGCCAATCTGCACCTCAGCTTGCCCAGCATCGTTTTTTTGCTCGTCGCCCGGCGGCTAGCCGCATACACCCTCTGGGCGCATCACACCCTCCTCCAATCGCCTATCAGATGGCCCTTTTTCTCGTCCCATCTCCAATGCCCATTTACATCTCGCCTTGATCCCTCCCATATATGCACGCAGTATATACTATTACGAGAGAGAGAGAGAGAGAGACAGCCGCCCGTCAATAGGATTCGTCGTCTGCTAAATCGACGCCCCTCCTCTCCTCCAATCCCAGCGGGAGACAGATTCGCTTCAACAAGTCTCCATCTCGCTATTGAATTTTCCTTCTTTTGGCTCCGGCGCCTCGAGCTGGTCGAATGAGCGTCTTGCATCTCTTCTCTTGCCTTGCCGCCAGTCCTGCTCAAAACTCTTGCGCTCCCACTCCCACGTAGCGATTCTGGAGTTTCTTCTCCTTCTCTTGCTTCTCGATAGCTGGTCTCGTCACACTATTCAACAGTGATTACTGTATCTCGTCTTTCTTTTTCTCGTTTTGTCGATACTGTCTGCTTTGCTTTTACCTACTATATCGCTGTGTGGATTCTTCTCGTTACGAGGCTTACTGCTATCGACTGGCTCGAGAAAGTTCGACTTACACGACCAAGCCCGCACTTAATTCCTCCCTCCCTCCTTGCCCTCTCAACCCAAACAAATAAAATAAAATAAAGAAACATCCAGAGCTGTAGCTCTTCACAGCGTCCAACATGGACAGCAAAGGTCCGTCCTCACTGACGCAGGAGACGATGCCGCCACAAGACGTGGCAGTGGCAGCACAAGACGCAGCAGTCATTAACACGCCAGAGCCTACAGGCTTCAACTTCAACGAGAAGAAGCGGCCCGCCGCTCTCAACCTCACACACCAACGCACAGGAACCTCTTCCAGCTCATCATCAGAGAGCTCACTCAAGGTTCCGCGGACACCTCGCTTCGCCGAAGCCACCTCCGTCCACTCTCCAGTCGACGACGACAAGATCTCGCCCTTTGCCGACCCCGTCAACCCTCAAGCTTCAGAGTCTCAGCCCAGCGATGTCGGCTTTGGCTACATCGGCAGCAACTCCAACCGGGATTCGATGCCCATGCCGCCAAAGTCCCCTCTCAAGAGCGCCATGAGGGTGCCCGGCACGCCAGCCAGGACGATTCACATCCTCAGCCCTACATTCCGCGAGGAGGCCGTCCTGGAGAAGCGTGAACTCGAGACGGAAAAGGAGCAGGCCAAGGATCTGGTAAGCCTTCTCTCGTTTCTACCATCTGGAAAGCCTGTATCTGTTTGACTAACCACTCTGTTCACAGAAACACAAGGTCCGCGTTCGTATGGCCAAGTTCGCCCTTCGAAGCGTCCACTTCAGCTGCTCTCTCATTATCCTTGCCATGCTCTCCTCGTCATTCGCCATCTTCAACGCCACCAAGCACCTCCCTTCGCAGAGCGCAATGCCTTCCTGGGCCAACGGAACCGATCCCTGGGCACAGAAGCTCGTCCTGGCCATGGCCTGTCTCTCTCTCGCAATCTCCGTCGCCGTCTTCATCGCCTACTGCCGCGGAGGACATCGCCGCGCTGAAAAGGTCGGCACATACTACACCATGTTTGCTATCGGATGGGTAAGTTGTCACAGTTCGTTGTTTGCTCCATCTATAACCATAGCTAATACGAATGCGTGCAATCTAGTTCATCGTCAGCTTGATTCTCTGGGTCCTCGCCGCCGCCGTCTTCTCCAACTCCAAGAACAACGGCAACAACAAGGACATGTGGGGATGGTCCTGCGTCCAAAACACCCGCTCCGTCGTCTTCTCCGAAAAGGTCAAGTACAGCTTGGTCTGCCGCCTCCAGAACTGGTCCCTCATCTGCATCATCATCGAGGTCGTCGTCGAGGTCATCAGCATCCTGCTCTACAGCATCGTCTTCTACCGATACTACTCCAAGCGCCGCCTGCACAAGTCCATGGACGTCCGAGACCGAGCTCGCTCCGACCTCTATCTCGCCCAGCTTCGCTCGCAGTCCGCCCCCAACACGCCTGGCTTCCCTCGCTCTCCCAGCTTTGCAGGCGCCCCCATGACCCCGGCCATGTTCCCGCCCAAGTCGCCAGCCCTGAGCCAGTACGCCTTGTCGCCTCGCCACGCCCCGGCCGGCTTTGGCAGCCTCTCCAGCATCAACGAGAAGAGCACCTTTACCCCTGGTGTCCAGGTCATCGCCGAGCCTCCGTCGGTCTTTGCACCAACCCCAGCTGCGTTCAAGCTGCAGGCTCCCCCTACCAAGGCTCCTTCAGCTACGCCCAAGACGACTCAGAGCCCTCTGACACAGGCAGCACCGCCATTGCCATTTGGCCTGTCTTCTGAGGCACCCCCTCCGTCAGAAAACGTTCAAGAGCACGGCCCTGTTGCTGCACACGAGCCAACATATGACGCCGTGCCCATCCCTGGCGCATACACCGCAGGTCCTGCATCATACGGACAGGCGATGTAAGGGTGATGCTTCAAAAACTAACAAAAAGACCAAAAACAAAATCTCCAAAATCGTGATGACTATATCAGGTTTTTTTTTCTACTTCTTCTACTTTCTTTTGTTCTTCCCTTTTTTTTGATGATGCAGGCCAAAAAGAATAGGCTCGAAGCAAGATGAGTTTTTCCTTCTTGTCAAGAATGAGTTGAAGATATGGATTTTTTTTATCTTATTTTGGGGGGGGTTTTTCAAGGAATCAGAGTGTACTTAATCTTACCACACACATATACCACTTGGGGCGTTATTTTTGTTGTACTATTTATTCTCTTTTGGAAAGAGGCAGGCTGGCAGGCAAATTGAGCGGAATCTTTTGATAGTTTGTCGGAACTGGGTTCGACGATGTGTAGCCATCTATACTGGACATGTATATAAAATATATATATACATACATACCTTATTGTACATCTTGATGCAATTTTCATCTTTCGTTTCCTATCTTGTATTGCCTTATAGATTAGTCAACATATGGAGTGATTACTTTTCTCGCCTGTCTGATGTGTAGTCGTAATCTTCTTAGGCTACACTTGGCAGCCCCTTCTTAGAGACCTACTAGATATTCATACATCGAGTGTTGGAAGAAGAGCGGCGTCATATAAATACTTTGCACCCGTTCGCTTCAATGCAGTTCCATGTAAAAGAAAATCGACCTTCACATGTCTCAATTCACTACGCTTATACGGCACACACCATGTGAAGTTCAAGTTAAATTTGTGAAAAACCATACATCGTCATGATAGCAACTCCTAGATACAGGCACAAAGAGGCGACGAGAACAAGATATGAAATATAAAAAGAATCATTGCATTACTTTTGGTTGCCCGCCGCACCTTCATGTCATTAAGGTGCAAAGGACTTCCTGAGCCTTCGTCACGCAGCCAATACTGCCTCTCCTTTTTTTTCCCTTGCAAGTCGCCTCCCCCTTTTGAGACCCGGCTTTTTCAAATGCCGTCTCGGATGGCTCCCTCTAGAAATGTGAATCTATCAGCAGCTAGGTTCAAAGAAAAACACCTTTTGGAACGATTTCCCTCCCACGAATGCCTTAACTACCATAAACAGGGCTACTCAATACCAACAAGGGTAGCCCGAAGCGGGTGAAAAAACTTGGATATGATGGGAAAATATTGCTTAGATCAGGTCGGCAACGTTCATGGGCATTTCCTCGATCTGGGTGCTGTAGAATTGTTCAATCTCACGCATCATGCGGACGTCGTCGGCAGTGACGAAGTTGATGGCAACACCCTTTCGGCCGAAACGACCACCACGACCGATACGGTGGATGTAGTTCTCCCGGTTGGCGGGGAGATCGTAGTTGATGACCAGGGAAACCTGCTGGACATCGATACCACGGGCCAAAAGGTCAGTGGCGATCAGGACACGAGAAGAACCGGATCGGAACTCCTTCATAATCAGGTCACGCTGAGCCTGGTCCATGTCACCGTGCATGGCAGAGACGGTGAAGTCACGGGCGGTCAGCTTGTCAGTCAGCCAGTCGACCTTTCTGCGGGTGTTGCAGAAGATGACGGCCTGGGTGATGGTGACGGTCTCGTAGAGATCGGACAGGGTGTCGAGCTTCCACTCCTCCTTCTCAACAGCAATGTAGAACTGCTTGATACCTTCCAGGGTAAGTTCGTCCTTCTTGACAAGGATACGAACGGGGTCACGCATGAATCGGGTGGTGACCTCGAGGACGTCCTGGGGCATGGTGGCGGAGAGCAGGACAACCTGGGTGGACTGGGGAAGGAGCTGGAAGATGTCGTAGATTTGGTCGGTGAAACCACGCTATTGGAGAGAGCACATGTTAGTGAGGCTGAGCTATGGCATGAAATGGCGGAATTCTGGCTTGTGGGATTTCCTTACAGAAAGCATCTCGTCGGCCTCGTCGAGGACGAACATCTTCATGGCGTCGGTCTTGAGGAAGCGACGCTGGATCATGTCGTGGACACGGCCGGGGGTACCGACAACGACCTGGGGGCCGTCCTGGAGGGCCTTCATGTCATCACGGACGCTGGTACCACCAATGCAGGCGTGGCACTCGACGTTCATGAAGTCGCCGATAGCGACAACGACCTTCTGGATCTGCTGGGCCAGCTCACGGGTAGGGGCGAGAATCAGGGCCTGGCACTGCTTGACAGCAGGGTCGATCTTCTGGAGAACGGAGATGGAGAAAGTAGCGGTCTTGCCAGTACCGGACTGGGCCTGAGCAATGACGTCGTGGCCCTTGATAACAGGCATAATAGCACGCTGCTGGATAGCAGAGGGGCGCTCGAAACCGTAGGCGTAAACTGGTCGTTGTTAGACATGGTCTTCCCCCCTTTTTTTCTCTTTGTGGTTGAATCGCTTTGTTGAAGGCGTGGAAGAGGGACAGCACTCACCACCACGGAGGAGCTCAGACTTGAGGTTCATGTCGTCGAAGGAGTCGACAGTCTCATCGTAGTTGGACTCGATCTGTCCTGTAACGCAACCGCAGTCAGCAAACTGAAGAATCAGAGCGGGGCAGTAAGAAAAGGAGGCCCAGATTTGGGCTATCGTGGGGTCAAAACGCCGCGGCCGCCTTGCGCGCACAAGCAAAATCCTCATGAAGTTGCCAATACAGCGCTCAGCAGCCAGATACGGCGCAGATCTTGCGGTAAGACTCACCCTCGGGGACGTCCTCGAGTCCCTTGTCAGCCATGATTGCGGTTGGAGAAGAAGAAAAGAATCTAGATCAAGCGCAGCTCGACCTAGAAATTATTTAAAAAAGTTGGGCGGGGTGGAGCAAAAAAGGCAGTCTTCTGTCGAGAGAAGGCTGCGAGTGTGTGGTAAACTGAAAAGTAATCGTCTAGATTCAAAGTTCTCGATAGATACGAGAACAAAAGGAACCTAGGAAAAAAACCGTGATGATATATTTGTATGCCTTGAGAAGGTTGAGGAGAGAGAAAAAAAGTGAACTGAGGGGCGATGTGGACTTGCTTTTTTTTTTCTCTCCCAGCCGCTTGTGGCCAATCAGTTTGGGTTTGCGTGGTGGGGCACACGGTTAGGGTACCTCAAGCCAGTGGAATTTTTTTTTTTTTTCCTCTGGAGCATTGTATGCAGCCTAGAGCCCAGCGTCCTTAGCGCTGCCAGCAGCACATTGTGGCGGATTGTCGCACCGCTCGCAGGACGCTTCGCCCCATTTTACGGAGCAGCGCCTATCATCCAACACAGTCAACGGTCATTGGGCAGAGGCGGAGGGAGAAAAAAAAAAAAAGAATAATGTCACTAACAATATCTGACTTCGTCAACACTATACGAGCCATGTTTTACCCTGGCTTGCTGCTAACAGTCAGAAAATTTTGCATATGACTTTAATTTTGCCATCACCCAGACAGTATATCTTCACCTTTGCTTACACGGCCTGGATGAACCCAGACCTTGATTCCGCAGCGTCGGGACTTGCCTAAAGTCTATATTCTCAAACAACCTAAATCCTCCTCAGATCTAAGCGGGTGATGAGTCGACGCGAATAGCATCACAATCATGCCTTCTGCAGTTTCACAAAAGAGTCACCAGCTCGGTGACTCAACTAGTGTCAGCCACTCTGACTCAATTCCAACTCACCCTCTCGGTGTCAAGCCCCTGGGCAATCAGTATCTCGCCAAGGGGCCAAACGCCCGCAGAAGCATCGGCTCATGGGCGTGTTTGCCTGAAGAAATCCTTGCTCTTGTTCTTGAGGGATTCGACAAACACTCCCTGCTGAATCTCGGATCCACGTGCAAATTCCTATATGCTTTCTGCCACTCTGAGGAGCTATGGAAGGCCCTGTATCTCCGGTAAGCTGATGATGCCTTTTTTTTTCAATGATTTACACATTCGAGTACACATATGAGGGAGATGAGCCCCTGCATATCCCTGCATGAAGCATACAACTACATGGCCAGCTTCTTGGTGGTAGCCAAGTGGCTGGTTGAGGCGTGCTACTAGGTAGTGAAGCGATGAGCTCCCTCTTTCTTGCCGCCGGCGGAAAACTTTGTAAAGAATCTGTGCCGAGTAATGCGTATAAATGCAGTATACATCTATCTAGCAATACTTTGTACTTGATTGGCAGCATCAAACACGTGTGACATGGGCTGACCTGCATCATGCTTCAGGTCTCAGTCAACTAGCAGTCCATCTATAAACTGGCGGGGCTCATGGAGGTCGACGGTCATTGGGCTTCCTAATGAAGATGAAGCCAAAGTTGACTGCAGCAATGTCTTCTCTGATGTCCTGCATCGACCTTTTGCCTGCAGCAACATCGATCTAGCAAACTTCGTCACAAAGATACCAAAGGCAAATGAAATTCGCCGATTTGAGAATCTCACGTACGAAGAATATTCCGAGAAATGGACCGAGCAGCCGTTTGTTTTAACAAACTGCATACAAGAATGGCCTGTCTACTCCCAGTGGACCATCGATTCGCTGCTTAAGAAGTACGCTGAAGCCGAGTTTCGTGCTGAAGCAGTTGACTGGACATTTTCACAGTATTGTGATTATATGAATAGGAACATGGACGAAAGTCCCTTGTACCTGTTTGATCGAAAGTTTGCGGAAAAGATGGGGCTCGTAATAGGACGCTCAGCAGATGCTGCGTACTGGCGGCCCGATTGCTTTGGACCGGATCTCTTTGAGGTTTTGGGAGATGAGCGGCCAGCTCATAGATGGCTAATCATAGGTCCTGAGCGCAGCGGCTCTACTTTTCACAAAGATCCCAATGGCACAAGCGCCTGGAACGCCGTGATACAGGGGGCCAAGTACTGGATCATGTTTCCTCCAACAGCTGAAGTCCCTGGTGTCTATGTCTCTGAGGATAGCAGCGAGGTGACCAGCCCACTAAGCATTGCCGAGTGGCTTCTCACGTTTCACAAGGAGGCGAGGCAAATGCCTGAATGCCATGAGGGCATCTGCAATGCTGGGGAGATTCTCCACGTCCCTAGTGGATGGTGGCACCTGGTCGTGAACATTGAAAAGGGCATTGCACTGACACAAAACTTTGTGCCTCAGTCCCCCGGTCTCAACCTCGTCTCTGAAGTGCTATCATTCTTGAGAGATAAACCCGACCAGGTGTCTGGCTTTTCCCGAGATGTGGAAGATCCTTTTGGGCTTTTTACGGCGAGGCTCAAAAAGGAGTATCCAGATGTTTTAGAGAGGGCCCTTGAACTAGCCGATAAGAAGAGTGGCAGGAAGAGGAAATGGGATACTGCAGTAGGCCGAGATGAAGAGCAGGCAGAAGGGTTCAGTTTTGGCTTTGGCGGTGATGATGATGATGAGATACCTTGATGGATATCGGCACATGTACAACAGAAGAGAAATAACTCCTTTGTAATTTACGCCTATGAATTGATGTGGATTGTTAGCATGCTACGGAGTTTCTGTGCAGCCAGCGATATCTGTACTAGGAGTGCGGATACGGATACTGTAGATGATAGATCGTATGGGGTATGCAGCAAAAAGCATGTCCTTTGCGGGGCTCTCTGCGGGACGATTTTTCATCTGAGGATCCCCCCTACTTTTCGATTGTGATTGTTTGTAAGCAGAGACACATCGCACTCACGGTAAGCTGCTGGTTACGGAAACTTTTATGGTGCTTCAACGAGTTGAGCAATTGCTAATTGAACGATAGTGATGGTGAAATGGCCTGGCATTGATAGAATCGATGCCGACACTGTTGTCCCCCCTCCGCTCTACTTTTCTTGTGAAGCGGTGCTGAGAATATCCACGATTTAGGCTGTCCGTTGAAGAACGAATGTGAATACTGAACACTAGCTGGGGTAGGATGCTGGGGTCAGATACCGGAATTACTGTAGCAGTATTTTTGGCAACAAGACAACATTGAACCGAAGTAGAGACCTGGAGTAGCGCACTTGGGCTGGGATACCTAAGTAGATGCCGTCTATAACGAGTACATACCTACTGTACCTCATTATGGCTCATGTTGCAGGATCAAGTTCGTTATCAACCCGGGTTGGTCCAGAAGTGAAGCTGTGTGTAAGGATCGGCACAGCAGTGTTGCATCTGCTCGGAGGGTTCCAGACAATCGTCCAGGGGGAAAGTTGTTGAGGTGAAGCCCACGTTGGCACTAGCATGCAGCAAGATGTAACCCGAATGGGAAGATGGTGTGCCAAACAAACACTCCCTGACGCTGATTAGGTACATGGATTGTAGATGCAATCCTGATGGCTGCAGAGCAACACAGCTGTCGATAATCACACTCGCCCAAGCAGCAAGGAACGGGTAGTGATTATATGCGTCTCGCTCAGTAAGAGCCCACTCGCTGACCACGTCACCACTGAGCAAGTTGTAGTAGCAGCAACAAACGGCCCGGAGAGGAAGCTGGGCTCGGGCACTAAAGCCACTGAAGTGCGCTGCCAAGGAGCTCTGCCCGCTACACAGGATGGATCGCTAGCGCCCGTCTCAGCACAGCTCCTCCTATGCCTCCCGTTGGCTGCTAGCCAGTTAGTTCTAGACTGCTTCGTAGCCCAGGTGCCAATCAATTGGCAACCCCTTGCGATCCGACTAAGGCAGAGAGGAATAGAGGGAGACACAGAGAGACAGAGGCGGCTCAAACAATCAAGAGACTGCATGTTTGTACCAAGGCAACGCCCATCACAGCAGGCAAGCACAGGCAAATAAGCACGCCATCTGCGGCGCTCTTGGAGTTTGTCGCCCAACCGGGCGCGGTACCTCCCATCCTGCCTGCAGCGCCGCATCCCGTCCAGGTACCGGCCACTTCCCCTCCGCCTCCAGCCCAAAAGGCCGGGCAGCCATTAGGGGTTTATTACTGGGCCGCCGCAGGGGCTATTTCGCCTCCACCACGACCTGTCGCGAGTCTCGTCCCAGCATCAGAGCCGCCTCTTTCCCTTCGACTTCGCATCTCCTCTGCCTTCACCGGTGCAGGGCCTTCTGGAGGAGGGCATCCTTATTTCGAAGACACTCTTCTGTTCGCCCATCGACAGAGCGAGTGCGGCGCACCTCTGAAATACTCGTCTCGGCGCTTCTCCTCTCTTCGACTCTACGGAAAGCTGGCGGGGTTTGCGGCGCAATGTAAGCTTTCGCCGTCTGCCTCCTCTCCGCCCTTTCTTCACCGTCGCCCACCGCGCGCTCCTGGGTTCTCGTCTTTCCTTGCCCGATTCTTCTTCGTTCCGTCTTTGCTGCCCGTCCACGATATCGTTTGAGTTCCTGTCGTCATCGCTGTCTTGCTCATAACTTCCCAAACTGTAAGTGCTTGTGACACCAGGCTGTGGTTGCCACCCCTAGCTTGGAGTATAGATAGCTGGAGAGCTTCGCGAGAGCATCTTTTGCCATACGCAAACTAACGGCATCAATTTACTTAGGCGCTTGTTCTTTGTTCTCTGTTTCCCGTTTGCCTTTGTTGCTTCTCTCTTTTATTTACCTATCTACCACCGCTTTCAAAGCTCAAACCATCCACCTCTCTTCTCTTCTTCGCCTACCGTCTTACAACGATCCGACACTTTACGAAGTATCATACTACAAATAGATCAAAGCGCAAGCGTTAGACTTCCCTAGTCTTGCCTTGACCCCGATTTCTGTGGAATATACCACTCGCCAAACTTGCTATTCTCGCCTTAATATCTGCGTCGGTCTGCGTTATCAGACCCGACCGCCCGCAGTCATGGTGTTGGACGAGCACTACGAGATGTGCCTGCCCATCTTGCAGGACCCCGCGCTCGAAGATGAGGATAAGACCGATAAAATAGAAGAGCTCTTCAAAAAGGAAACCAACATGGTTGGCTCGTCTCTGGAGAATGCCATCCTCGATGTCATGTGGAGATGGCGGGAATGCGGAGGCACCTCCACGTCACCGCCTCCAATCCGTCAGACCATCCTGCGACGACCATCGCCAGCTTCGTGGAGAGGCGGAACGCCGTTATCAGGCTCGCCTCGCTTGGCCGTCAGTCCTCTCGCGCCGCCAGGGTATATCCCTGCCACCTTTGGCAGGACCAAGTCGGTTACGGCCTCTCCCTTTGGCTCGCCGCGAGCCTCGCCTCGCCTGGCTTTTGCGACCCCTGTGATTCCCCATAGTCCAAATCTCAATGCATATGAGTTCGCTAGCGACCCCACCCCCGCCACAGAGATCCTTGGAGAGTACCAGATCGAGAATGTCGACTGGCTCGTCAATGATGATACCATCAGCCTCTCCTCGTCTGTGGGGACCACCAAGAGCCTCAATGCCGCCGCGCCAGAGTTTTCGTCAATGTCCTCGCAGCAAATCGACATGTCGCCTTACGACATGCTTAGGTCAATCCTGGGACACACAAGGACAGACGAAGAGATAGAATCTGCTCTTGCGGCACACAACTACGACTTGAGCGCTACTATTACGTCCATGATGGAGATTCAGCAGGACGGAGGTGTCCGGCTCGATGAGCCCAAAAATGTCCTCATTGGCAAATCTATATCTGCAGAGGGTCGTCCATCTACCCCAGTGAACCAAAAAGCAGGTGTCATTTGCAAATTCTATATGTCTACCGGACAGTGTCTGCGCGCAGACTGCCGATTCAGCCATGACCTAAGCAACCACCTCTGCAAGTAAGTTTTTAAGTAATCCCAGTGTGGCGTTTTATCAGCAAGGTATAGCCTGCTAACATGCTCAACTTAGATATTGGGTCATGGGTAACTGCTTGGCCGGCGAGACATGCATCTTCTCGCACGACCCGTCCAAGCTCGTAAACAAAATGTCTCTGGAAAGCGGCTCCAATACTCCTACTAGAAGTCATAGTAGCTTGATGCTCCAGGATATGAATTCGTTCCCCTCTTTACATGGCGATTCAGACCATCATGGAGGCTATTCAGGTAGCCCCAACTATGCTTCATCGCCGGGGATGCGATCCCTGCGGGCCGAGAGCCCACGCCCTAGATCACGACCCGGAAGCCGACACCAGCTGAAAGAAAACTACATAGCTGCTCCTGCCCTCGATGATAACGAGGCTTTCCCTTCCCTTGGTGCGGCTATCGCAAAGCAGGGGAAGAAGCATCATGGCAAACGTGGCGGCCACGGTCATAAGGAGAACGGTACTAGCTCTTTGGCCGACATTGTCAAGATGAATCCACCTGCATCTCCTAGGCTCGAAGTGCGCAAGCCTGTTAGCAACGGAAACGGCGTCGTTGGCAGCTCTGGCGAACATGGCGCTGCAGCTCTGGCGATACCCAGCCCAAAGCATGTTCCCTGGCTTGAAACTGGAGAACGGGCCAACAAAGCATATCTCAAGGCCCGCCAGGAGGCTATCAAACATGGCGGCCTGAGGAACAAGTTTCTACAAAGGTATGTCTTTGATCATTAATCATCATCAGGCTATGTGTTTCTAACAAGAACTGCCAGCGCTGCACAAGCATGGAATCGCAACGATGCACGGGCTGCCAAGGCTCTCAGTCTCCGCGGCCAGAGCGAGAATGACCTGATGAGAAAGGCTCACAGAGAGGCGGCTCGCGAACTATACGAGGAGCGCAACAAGAATCTGGACGCCGTGTCTGAAGTGTATGTCGACCTCCACGGTCTCCATCCGGAAGAGGCTGTGGAGTACCTGGAAAAAGTCCTCTTGGAGAATGAAAAGGGAAATCGACCTGTTTACGCCATCACCGGCACCGGTCACCACAGCAAGAATGGCAAGGATAAAGTGGGAAAAGCGATCCGGTCGTTCTTGAATGAGTGGCGATATGCGTACCGAGAATTCTCCGTGCCAGGAGATCGCAATAGCATGGGCGGCATCTTGGGGGTGGACGCCAGCAGCTGGGACAAGTCACTTGCACGGGATGGAGCTGACGAAGAGAAATCCACTGTTGATTTTCTCAGCCAGGGCATTGAGATTGGCGACGGCAAAGTCAGGATGCTGGTCAGAGAGCCTCCCAAGGGTCCTAGTCGCCGGTGATACAGCGAGCCTAAAGAAGTAAAAGATTCAAAAACGATACAAAAAAAAAAGCGAAGACTTGAGATTACGTAGCGAAATTAAGCCAAGAGCTTCCCACTGGGAGAAGAGTCGTAATATTAGGTAGCGCCATCTCAAGACAACTTGAACTATTCTACTCACTTGATGCGCATGACCCTTCTGACTGCTCTAATAGTGTATGATATATGTGCCAACATTCTGGCTCTTGCTTGTACTGAATCCTGGGAGATATCTCTTCGATTATTAGGTGATATTAGAGTATATCCATAGATTTTCCAGCCGGAATGTCATACCAGCTCTTCGTTCAAGAATCGAAATTGGAGAAATATCCCCCTACACACGGCCATTGACTCCTATATTCGGAGTGCGTGAAGCGGCCGCAACGTTGCGCAAAACGAGCCTCTCATTGGGTTCCGAATCCGCGCCGTCTGACGTAAGTTAGTGCCTGTGCCTGCTCTGGCCGTACCTTTGAGGGCTGCGCCTCAGGTACAAGTACCCTCCCATATGATATTGGCGCAGAAATACTTCTTATCGGGCGACACCGCCCCGGGAAAGGATGACGAGGAGATGGCCTTATCCGAGACATTTCGCCTCCGATACTCTGCAGCTTTCTTTGTCCCCGTGTTTTTTGACGCTGCGTTGGCTCTTTTCCCCTTCTTCTGCCGGGATCTTCATTCGCCTTGTTAATCTTTGAATGGACCCATTTCCTAATTGACGTTGATTGACTTGGTTTTTAAAGCTTGATTTTGCACCACCGGCAGCGGACTGCCAGGCTCGAGGAAATATCCCCGAGAAGTGTTGATATCGACCGAGCGATCCGCCTACAATAACAAAGAGAATTTCGAGTCTTTTTTTAACGAAATAATACGACGCATTGATTGGATACGGTATGGAGAGCTAGGCGTTTGAGAGAACAACCATTATTTCCTCTTCTTCTTCTTTCTTGTTTTCGATATTCTTTTCGCCGTATTCTTTAATATCGAGTGCCCTTGTGGGTTGTACTGCAAGCAACAAACTTGCCTTTTCTCCGTCCAGCTACATCTCCCTCGAACATCAAGATCCACGACGACCAACTGCAACGAAGGACCTATAAAGGAAGAAGAAGAAAAGGAACAATAAACAGAAATGGCAGGCGGGTATCAGGACGCAAGGAGCGACAGCGTCTCCTCCAGCTCCTCATCACCCACCACTCCTCCTCTCTCTTCCTCCGAAACTCGATTCCCCCATCCGCAGCAATGGTCCCGCTCCAGCAGAGACGCAAACCACCGTCTGTCAGGTAACGTCTCGCGGTCGTCGCGGCAGATGTCCTCTGATGCGCGGGACTGGGCGCGCACCCAGTGGGATACGTACCTCAAATGGAGCCAAAACTTGATTGCGACGTTCTGGAAGCTCTCGCCGCTGTACCGCGCCATGGTGATGCTCGTCATCCTCATCGGCTGGACGTTCATCATCCTCTCCGTGCTATACTCGGAGGCCTTCTTCCGATGGCTGGCGACGGTGTCCAAGACCTGGCGCGAGATCCCCGGCGGCTGGCTCATTGCCTTTATGCTCATCTTCGTCACGTCGGTGCCCCCCATTGTAGGCTACTCGACGGCAAACACCATTACGGGCTTCGTCTACGGGTTCCCCTTGGGTTGGCCTATTGCTGCCTCGGCATGCGTTGTCGGTAGCTTGGCTGCCTTTATGGCCTGCCGGACGGTGCTGAGCGGCCAGGTTAACAGGCTGATTGGCAGCGATCACCGCTTCGTCGCGCTGGGCCAGGTCCTGCGCCGGGATGGGATTCTCTACTTGACGGGCATTAGGTTCTGTCCTCTGCCCTTTAGCTTGAGCAATGGCTTCCTTGCTACCATTCCGAGCATATCGCCTCTCGCCTTTGTTATTTCTACGGCGCTGTCCACGTAAGAGAACCCCCTCCTCCCCCTCTTTTTCCTTTTCTTGCGGAAAACCCTTATCAGTTTTTCACTTATACTAACCATTCTGCCAACTCATCTCTAGACCCAAGCTTCTCATCCACGTCTTCATCGGCAGCCGCCTCGCCATCATCGCTGAAGCAGGCGACTCCATGACCACCCGCGATAAAATGGTCAACTACGCTAGCATGATCATCGGCGGGGCGATCGGCGCAGCTGCCGGCATCATCATCTACCGCCGCACCATGGCCCGTGCCGCCGAGCTCGCCCTCGAGGAAGCCACCGTCACCATCGCCGCCGAAGAGGGCGAGGGCGGCTACGAGGACACCGTCGACACGCTCCTAGATCCCGAGGATGCAGCTCATGCTATGGGCGACGATGATGTTTCTCTGTGGGACACGCAGGTGGATGATGGCTGGGGTGATGCGTATGATGATGAGGGCGACGGTGATGCGAAAACGACAAAGTTGAATAGAGACTAGAACATTTTTATGGGCTTGAGGGGGGGAGCGTCATGATGGCTTTTACCTGATTTTACTTTAGGATTTATGCGCGCGGCTGTTGGGATAGAATAGGAATTGTCATCTTTTTAGATGTGCTGCATTTCACAAGGCGTATTTCGTGCCAAGGTTTCTCGGAAAGCAATGCAACTGAAGTTTTTCATGAAGGGCAATATAAATGTCAATATAGCTAGTAGCTTTCATTCCATTCTATGCTATAGCTTTGTCGGAGCAATCTCCTGTAATACCCCAAATCCGAGAAAATCGCAGTCCGCTCGCTACCATGTCGTAATAAAACATAACCGCAGACTCAGTAGAATCATGCGGCGGGAAAGAAAATCTGGTTTAAAAAAAAAAAAGCATGAAAAAGATAAGCCCTGATTCTGTGTCATCTCTCGCCATTCTCAAAGGGGTAGGAAGAAGAAAAAGGCATAACGCCACCGCTGTAAAGAGAATTATACAAACGAGCAAAGTAAGATTCTTAAATCAAATCATCATCGTCGCTAAAGTAAACATCTGTCGTAAACTTGGACCGTCAAGTAATAAAAAATGAGTAAGAGGAAAAGAGACATGAGCTCGAAAAGACCGCCTTAAGAAGTCCGTTGATACTGATTCATAAATTGAATGGCTTGCTCCATGGGATATCCGATAAAAACAGGGCCGGTGAAGACCATCTGAGGGCCATTCGGGGCTTTCGATATATCCGGGCTGATAAAGGTAGGTTGTGGTATAAAGGTAGGGTTCCCCTGAGAGGCATGATGCTCCTGAGGCTCCTTTGTAGGCGTCAAAGGCGTTTGAAATTGTGTGTTGGAAACGGTATCCTTCTTAACCTGGGGGTCGGGTGAGGACGTGATATTCAGCCCAGCAAAAGCAGGCTGCTTCATTGCTGTGTGGTCAAAAGGGCATTTCCCTGCTGGTTTTGCTGGTGCTTCAGTGTTCCGTACAGGACTCGGCATCCGCACAGGGGCAGGAGGCGGCGACATGGGCTCGTTCCTGGGCTGTTTGTATGTCGGTACAGAGATACCCCAGGGCCGGCTTGGTGATTCTCCTACTCGGACCTCCTTCAATGGCCGGTCGAAATGACTTTGTCGGCCCTCGTCGATATCGACTGGTGGCTCGGCGGGGACCTCTGGGTCTGTGCTGGCGCTAACAGTAACAGCATGTGCCCAGCTCTCCACTCGGTCGTTTGAATTTTTCGAAGTATTGCTGTGCCGGCGTGTGCGCTCCTCGTCTCCGGGCAGCATTGGCTTGTGGAGATGGCTTAGGTCTTCAATCATGCTCACAATATTTCCATACTTTGCATCCAATTTCCTAACCTGCTGCTCGTTGCCCTGGTATCTCCGCACACAGACTTCATGGCTTCGAGGAATCTCATTTTTGTGCACTTCAACGTATTGAGCAATCTCCTGTGGAGTCTCTAGAAATCGGATAGGGCATTTGCTGGGCTGTGTTTCGTTTACGGCGTCTTGCTGAAACGTCTCTTCTTCGCACATGGCAACACAAACAGGGTCTTCAGATTGATTTGGAGTCAAGTCCGGGCCGGATTCAGGCTTCGGTTCTTTGTTCCCATTAGCAGCAGCTTCCTTAGCAAAGGGGCACTGCAATTTGCCTTTCTTATCTTCAACTGTAAAGTCTTGTTCCAAAGCAGTTGTCGACACGGAGGTTTCTACATGGGAGGTTTGAGACACCGTATCTCTGGATGATGCTGTGGTCTTACTGGCTTCACCTAGCGAGGCAACCAGTTTGTTCGCAGCGCGTCGTCCGTCACGAATGATGAGGGCAACCTGAGCCTGGGACTGCGGCGTTCGATGCTTGGGGAGAGGCACAGGTAGAGTATCATCGACGGTTGTCTGCGCTGGAAGCTGCAACTTCGCTATACTTTCTTCTATTTCTGGTGCAGCTGGCGCATATTTATCGGCCAAATACTGGAACTGTTGAGGCAGAGTCGCGTTAGCCACAGAGAGTACACCAAGACAATTTTGACTCAGAATATGTCTTGAGCCCTTGGCCAAGACAGTGAAGAAAATAAAATGGGAGGACAGTGCAGATCAGTGATAAAAAGGTTGTCAATCTCAGCAGCAATGGCTGCTCTTGATCTAGAGCTAAGATATCTCATCATGTTGCGTGTCCCGAAAGACAGGTTCCGGCCAATTTGATTATGTGCGCGGCAAATGCAAGGGGTGTACAATTGTACAAGGAAAAGCGAAGTGCTAACGGAAAAAAAAAATGCAAGGAAGAAGAGGCTCTTCTCGAAGCTTACCTGTTCATGCGCAAAACGCAGCTTATGCTCCAGTATCGTCTTGCGATCCGACAAAATCTGCACCTCGTCCGCAAGCGCGTTGAAAGCGTCCGCCACGGTCTGGGTAAGATGTAAATATGCCATTCCGGATGGCTCAAGCTGTCAAGACTGGGCCACGACCAGGGAAAGAAAAGGCAGAAGTCGGGAAATCGGGAAGAAGGGAGAAAAGAGTCGTGCGGTGGAGGGAGTTTTAAATGGCAGAAGTGGGGCGCGGGCGGGCCGATTCCGGGTTTGCGAGAAGTGCGAGGTTCATCAAGATTCGTCAGCGGAGATCGGCCTAAGTTGCAGGTATCTTGTACTCTACTGCCTTGAAAACAGCTAGCAGCTGTCGTTGTATGGGCTGTTTGATGAAATGATGCACATAGCCTGAAGACGCTTTGGTGAATCCAGCATTACGTCACCGAGATTTATAGCTGCAAGCTGGAGGTAGCGGTTATAGCCAGTAGCACCAGCAGAATACGGCAGAGTGCCATGCATGGGTTTCTGGCCTTGCTCGGTACAGAATAGCAGGGCCTAATAGGTTGGTATAGGCAGGTGGGCGATCAAGGTCGGTCCAGAGTGCTACGATCCGAGGCCCTCACGCTGTAATCATCCGATTCTAGCATGCATCCAGCACCTTGTCTGAGACGGGAGGGCCCCATCTATGGCCAGGCTAGGCCCCATGGAATATTGACTCCAGTCCAAGTACCTAGATAGCTAGATAGATAGATAGCTAGGTATACCTCCTAGTAGTTGTATCAATATCCAGATTGGGCGTCAGACGGAGTAAGTAGGGAAGTCAATGGCTCAGTTCCTTTACATAGCTCCATCTAGGCGGGATGCCAATGGCATAGCATCAATGCCTAACCCTCATGTCCCAGCTTACACTGTTACCAAAGAGCCAAGCTGGTTAATATATCTTGGCAAGCTACATATCTTAATTCCAAAATTGTGTAATAGAGTAGAAAAACGGGCACAACGCTCTTCAAAAGTGTTCCAACGCTGCAAGTGGGTTTGATTGTCTTCCGCTTGCTTTTGGCGGGGTGATAAGCATGGCTTCAAAGCCCCTCCACCTCACCTCGGCCATTGACACATCGAAGCACCGAGCTGAAGCTCCCATATTGCACAGCGGTGTTTTCAAATCTCCACCGTTCTTATACTTGATAAGACACGGAGAAAACAAAATAAAAAAAAAAAGATTCCTCAACGGTGGTATCAGCACATAAAAACCGCCCGTCGCCATGGTCCTCCAGCGATTCGCCATCCCCGCGGCCAAGCTGCTTCGCAGTAGGAGCCACATCGTCCCCGGCCAGCTCCTCGTCACCGAGCACTTCTTTCAGGTCCCTCTGGACTACGCCAACCCGTCTTCTGGCGCCATCACCCTCTTCGGCCGCAGCGCAACCAAGCATGAGACTCCCATCGTCCCTCCAGACGAGCCTCCCGCTCCCAAGCCGTGGCTCGTCTTCCTCGAGGGCGGCCCCGGCTTTGGGAACCGAGAGCCTCAGGACCACCCGCTGACCCGGACGGCGGTGTCTCACGGCTACCAGGTGCTCTATCTCGACCATCGCGGCGTTGGCCTGAGCACCCCCGTCTCCAAGGAAATGCTGGCTCGCCTCCCGGGCAGTGACGGACCCGGCGCCGTCGACGTCCAGGCCAACTATCTGAAGCTCATGCGCCAGGACAACACGGTGCGGGATTGCGAATCGGTCCGCAAGCTCCTTACCGACGGCCTGCCTGAGCACAAGGCCCGCTGGTCCATCTTTGGACAGTCCTACGGCGGCTTCGTCTCCATCTCCTACCTGTCCCTCCATCCTGAAGGCCTGCGCGAGGTCTTTCTTACCGGAGGCTTGGCCCCCGTTGGCAAAACCGCCGACCAGGTCTACGAGGCTACTTTCCGGAAAACCATTGAGCGTAATGCGCTGTACTACAAGAAGTTCCCAGAGGACGTTGAGGCGTTGCGCCAGATAGCTACGTATATCGAAACCGAGGGCGGCCGTCAAGGTGTTCCCCTGCCTGGGGGTGGCTTCTTGACTGTGCCTCGTCTACTGACCATTGGCATTGCCCTTGGCTTTCACGGTGGCTTTGATCAGATTCACTCCATATTGCTCCACCTAAAGACTTCTCTCGACCAGCTCGGCTTCCTCACACGGGCCTCTCTTACTCCCCTCGAGAGCTTCACGTCGTTTGATACCAACATCATCTACGCTGTTCTTCAAGAGGCCCTCTACTGCGATGGACCCGGCAATGCTTCCAATTGGTCTGCTCAGCGTGTAGGCCAGTCCCTCGCACAATTCCCCTGGCTCAGCAAGGACAACGACTCCATTACTTCCTCCGTGGCTCCCGACCAGCCGATTCTCTTCTCCGGAGAGATGGTCTTCCCCTTGCACTTTGAAACGTACCCCGAGCTGATCCCCCTGCGAGCTGTCGCTGAGAAGCTCGCCAGCACAAACGACTGGCCGGCGCTGTATGACATTGATCAGCTGCGCAAGAACAAAGTCCCCGTCTATGCGGCCTCGTTCATCCACGACATGTACGTGGACTATGGCCTTGCCAAGGACACGGCAGATTTGATTCCGGGAGTAAAGACGTTTGAGACAAACGTCATGTACCACAACGCCTTGCGAGCAAAGGCTGAAGAAGTTATACAGCACTTGTTTAGCTTGAGAGATGACGTGTTGGATTGATTACAGTATATAGCTCTCAGGCAAGTGCAGGCTTGGGGAACATGACATGAATGGATTAGAAGGGATAACGTCACAAATGGCCAAGGTTTGAGTGAATAAACGGTTATTAATTCTGTGATAGACGACTGTTCTTTTGAAAATCTTACTTTTGAAAATCTTGCTCTATTGTTTATTTATTCTTCCTTTCCTTTTTTTTTCCGTGGGTCAAAGAAATGTATAAGTACCTCACAAGATGCCCGTATCCATTCATTCATTCCCCGTTTCTCCCATTATAGTGTAAATAAGTACATAAGTAAACAGAACTACTCATTAATCTCATTTTCACGTTTAGCAAAAAAAAAAAAAAAAAAAAAAAAAAAGAAAGAAAGCATAGCTAGAAAATGGCCAGCAGACTCTCAGATCCGCACCCACTTTATCGCCTCTACCTCTTCTTAGTGGACTTTCGCTTGATGGGCTTTCCTCCCTGGGAACCAGACGACTTTGCCTTGCTTAGCGAATCTGTGCTCTTGTCCAGGAGCTCAAAGTCCTCGCCAGCGGATTCAGAGCTGGGGGGCGTGTGCTGAGGAATATCCGAGTCGTCTTCGGCGGCGTCGGTCTCAGCTGAGGCAGAACCTGACAGATAACGGCCAACGGTCAGCTGGAAGATCCAGGCGGGTACGCGAACGACGGCAGTATCTCTAAAGGTCGGCTTGAGGAGCTCATTCGGCTGTGGTGGTTTAATCATTAGCATTTGAATACAGGGCCTGGCTTGGCCTCGCTTGGCACATTCTCTGATACTTACGTCCAAGAGATACTCATTGACGTTGCCGTCTTCGTCCTCCTCTTCCAAAAAGACGTCGCCCTGAGAGTCTACCACGAGAATCTTTCCATTCTCGGCGACAACCCTCTTGCGAGCACCAGCAGGGGCGGGCGCGGAGGACGCATCACGCGACGAACTCTTGGAGCTCGCGGCCTTGCGGCTCTTCTTGGAAGAAGACTTGCCATCGTCTTTCCGGGACTCCTTCTCCTGCATGCGCCTCTCCTTTCTGTTCCTCGGCTGGGGCGCAGCGGCAGCAGCTTCGTCCTCTTCGGCAGCAGCAGGAGCCGGCTCGGGCGCAGGCGCAGCGTCGATTCCAGGAATGCCACCACTACCCCAAGCCGTGTTCCTCGCAAACGTGACGTAGCGCTCCACAAACTCCCTCTGGCGCTTCCAGCTCATGTACAGCGCGAGGTAGTGAATCGCGCCGCCGCCCACGATGAAGACGCCCACGAGCACCGTCCCCAAGCCGGGCCGGTAGCGGTTGTAGTAGTAGTCGGTGCCCTTCCACAGCGGGAAGCCATTGGCGAGGAAGTGGTCGTAGCGGTCGCGGGCCGGGCCTCGCAGGATGTTGGCGATGAGCGAGAGGCGGGCCTGGCGCTCCGATGCCTCCTTAATGGCCTTGCGGACCTGCGCCTGCGAGGGGCCCTTGGATGCCGCCGCCGAGTCGGAGGCGCCCTCCTTCTTGCTCTTCTTCTTGGCGGCCTGGGCGTCGGCGCGGAGCCGCTGCTTTACCTTGTCGGGGTGAAGCGAGCGCGACTTCTTGCGGTAGGCCTTGTTGATGTCGTCCAGGGAGGCAGACGCCGCCACGCCGAGGACCTCGTAGAATGTCGCGCCAGTGTCGGCTTCGTGAGCGGCAATCTCGTCGCGGATTCGAAAGATTTCTCGATCTGCAAACAATCCAAAATGTCAATTGATAAAACTCTCCCCACAATGCTCAGGAACATCAACCAACAAAAAGGTCATGATCACGAGCTTGCGTTTGTTAGTTCTTCCGTACATACCTTCTTTGCTCCATGCCGCTGATAATGGGGTCAGCAGGGATAGAACCCCGACGACCAGATACTCCAACTTCATGATTGCAAAAGGCTCGGCTCGCCCTACCCTTTGCGTCTATGAAGTCAACTTCTCTTTACAAAACAATCGTTGTTGTTCGCGGAACCTTGAGGGGCGAATCGAACGTGCTTTTTATGTGGGACAGTGAACAAGGCCAGATAGTCTGACCTGGCTAGGGAGGGTTACGGGGTACGTTGCGCCACGCCCGCTGCCCCTGCATACGCCTTGTATTCGTTACATGGATCTGCACTCGATCTTCCGGCTACCCTGAATCTACTGTGGATTTTAGTATGTCGTGGAGTGCAACAAAGCTGCAGAAATATACCATTAAAGGGGGAATTTTATATAATGAATTCTATTGAACTTTACTTCTCATAGAATAAGCCATAACTGCAGCTCTGGGAAGAACTTATCCTTGGCATTGTGCGTATAAAATAAGCTGATGTGCAAAAGTAAGATTTCGCTTATCGTACATCGATCAGCCACACGAGATTGCGAATAAAAGGCAGTGGAGGAGATTGAAAAGAAGCACACAGAAATAAGGAATCGAATCAAGATATATCAGATGTTGGAAGATCAAAAAGAGAAAAGGGAGTTTTCGAATGTTGTAAATCACGATGTTTAGAAGACATAAGAGGTTAAAAAACAAAATAAAAAAACAAGTATTTAGCAATTGCACGTTTCGATCGTGCGACCTCCGGGTTATGAGCCCGGCGCGCTTCCACTGCGCCAAATTGCTTTCTCAACTTGTTGAAAGCTCTGGCCACTAAAGCTAATGATATACCTATAAAGCCGCCGGGCACACTAAATACATTAAATGTATAAGCTAGAGTTTGCTATCAATTTCTTCATTGTGCTGCTTCATATCAATTTTTCACCTACGGTTTCTTTCATTTTTAAATATATGATATAGAGAGATAGGTAAATACTACCTTGGTACTGAAATATGAAATTATGCACTCATTGTCATGAGCCATATAAACAGGAACGTGGGTAATGCGGAGCGCGGAATGAATATACTTCATTAAATACTTGTAAAAGGATGAAACTATATATACATCTACTTGCGAGCATTCGCTCGCTTCCGTGCTTTTTGCTCCCTCTCGTAATTGTTCGCCTCTCGTCCCTCCTCGTTTTGAATCTCGGCGACGAGCCTCTTGTACTTCTTCTCGTAGGCCTCGTCCTTGGCCTTCTTGACGCGAAGGTTCTCTCTCGCCATAAAGTTGGCGTCCTTTCGCAGCTCTCGCATGGCGCCCTTGCGCTCCTTTTTGTGCTCCTTCTTGAGCTTGGCCATCTCGGCCCTTTCGCGGTCGGGGTCGTAGTGTTTGTCGGGATCGTATGTGTCCTCGAACTTGGGTATATAAGTCTTGATCGAGAGGGGCTTGTGATGGTGGAGCTCCAGAGGCCGGCGTGACAGCTGCGAGACTCTAGACATTCGCTTGAGCTTCTCTTCTAATCTCTCTACCTTCTCGCTGGCAGCCGCTGGGAGGTGCTCCCGTGATGGCTTGCTGTTAACATGACCCAAGACCTCAACAACCTGGCTGAATGTCTCTAGAAATGCGGGCTTTCCCGTCCACAAATCTGCGGCTGCGTCAAGCACTTGAATAGTTGTACCTAGCAGAGCAAGCTTCAGAGCGTTGCCACCCTCTTGAGAGTTCTCAGCAAGGCAATCGGAGAAGTTGAGACGCCTTAATCCAACCTTCTTCGCCTTTTGGATTCGATTGCCTGCTGAAGGCTCGTGTATCGGGAAGTTACCCAATGATTTTGATGGGGCTATTGGTGAGAGCGAGCAGATAGTGTTCAAGGCAAAATTGATCACCTCGGGGACGTATCGTTCAGATAGTTGTTGATACTGCAGACTCAGAATGGACAAGTATGTTCCGATTGCATAATCTGACAGCTCTCGAGGCACCCTTTGGCCGATATACCGGCCAATTGTCAACATTGCTGGGGTCACAATCTGATGGAAGTGATCAGACGTTGGGAATATAGTTCCAATGGCTGTGAGCACTATCAAATCCGAAGGCAGCAGCGCAATGGGCCGAGACTGGCTGATTTCTTCAAGATGTTGACGGAACTGCTTGGCAATTTCAACTGGAAACATCTTGGCAAGAGAGTGAATGTGACGAATGAGGCTTTCTAGGACAGAGAAAGGCGGTGATGTCGCCGAATTCCAAGGAAGGGCCACAAAATCCACCAGAGCTGCAGAGAAATTTGCCAATCTCTCTTTATTCTTGCTGTCCAACTTGGGATGATACAACGCACGAATTCGTTGGATAATCTTGGGCAAATTCGCATGTTCATAATCTTTGATGATGGAAACAAATTCGGCGCATGACTGAGGGCAAGGAAATGTGAATGGCAATCCGTTTTCATCGCTCTGCTCCTTGGAAGAGAAGTTTGCTTGGAATATAGGGTCTTTGGTTTCTGATTCGTTGAGAAGCCCTTTTGTGAATTCATCATCGTCGTCTTCATCAACTTGAGCTTGGTTTGCCGAGTCGCTATCGTCCTCTTCTTCCTCCTCGTCGAATTCATCGTCGCTTTCCACGAGTTCCAGATCAGATCCGCTAGCCACCAAGTCGTCGTCGATGACAAAGTCATCTTCGTCGTCGAAGCCCAAATCAGTTGCCGTTGGTCTGGTTTTGATACCGTGTCCCAGTCCAAACCCATCATCATCGTCGTCGTCGTCTTCATCGTCTTCCTGTCTGCCGCCCGCATTGCCTTTCTTCTTGTCGTCTTCATCTTCATCGCTATCTGACACCTCTTCTCCCATCATTCGCTTTTGGCGTTTGTCTTCAAGCTTTTTCAACCGGTTGGATTCTTCTTCCGCCTTTTCCTCGTCTGTTTTGGTACGATTGGACGGCTGCGCCTTCTTATCCTGGGAAAGTTTCTTGACTTGTATATCGAAATTCCTGTCAAAGGCATCCCGATCGACGCCTGCTATAGTGGATAGAGGTGCATTCTCCTGATGCTTTCCACCGTTGAGGCTAGACCACAGTAGTTTTCGGATACCAGGAAGCTCCTTGTCAAGCTCCATCCGAAGGTCGTCGTCATCGTCTTTAGCCGCCTGTCGCTCGTATTTGTGGAGTTTTGACTTGGCGATAACCTCTTCCATGACCTCCTTCTTCGTCTTCTTGCGCTCTGGCTCACCATCCTCACCGCCCTCTTCCTCGCCAGCTGCGATGATGGCGCGTAGTCGCTTGAGTCGCTTCTCCCGGGTGTCTCCATCGCTGTCCTCGTCACCTTCAAGGTCGTCTTCTTGAAAGTCATCCACCAGTTCCTCCTCTTCGCCAAATTCAAGTGACCTTCCCATATGTGTCAAGCCATCCATAGGTTCGTCATCCTCCAAATCAAAAGCAGACCTCTTGTTGTGCGTCTTCTGCTTCTCACGAGCAAATCGTTCCAACATTTTCTCCTCAGGAGTCATTGTCGGGTCGTTCTCGCCGAATCGTCGATCGAGGATGCCTCCGACCTTATTGCGACGCTGCATATCTACAAGAAGAGTTTGTTTGCGCTGTTTGATGGGAGATTAGAGACATGCTTCGCAGGCAGGAGGGGAGTGGCGCTCTTACCTTTTCCTCGCTGGCGGCCTTGGCCAGACCAGGTCGCCCCTTGACAGCGGCATTTGAAGTCTTTGGTTTATTGGTTGTCACCTCAAATTTGGGTCCGCGCGCGGCATGCTTGAGGTCGAAGGGGTTGAATTGCTCTCGGATTCCCTCCAAGACAACACCTCTCTGCAAGCGCTTGTCGTTTCGAGCCGTGTCATCTTGAGCCAACTTTCGCCGTTGCTTCTTGGACTTTTGTGGGCCAGTGATTCCTTGATCTCTCAGTGACGCCTTTAGGCGCTTGAGCTGGGAACCGGCCATGACGGGCAGCGTTTGTCTGGATGATCAAAATTTGATCGCAGAATTGGCATGCTCGTCAGACACAGGCCATTACAAGGGCCTGCTGCTAATTTTTTTGATAATGGCTTATCGATAGTGGCCTAGCATCCGCTAGACGGCCGCATAGTGGATACGTACCTTTTCTTAGAGAGTGGAGTCACCCAAGCTGATCTAATCCAGCATCTGCCTTCACTCAGTCAACACTTCATAAACAGCAGGCTACGGTATACACATGTCCATTTCTCCCATGCGATCCCGCCGGAGAAGTGAGATGCGCGGGACGATATGAGCTGGACAAGCCGCCTACTATCGTTTTCACGCGATGAGCGAGTAATTTTATTGACCATCAGCCTGGCCACGTTTGGCTTGGTTAGCTCGATGATCACAGCTCTCACCTTCATCCGAGACGACAATGAAATCCCGCCTTCGGAGCCCAAGACCCAGTACATCACGCAGGATACGGAAGATTCGCTTCAGCTAGATACGCTAGAAAAGCTCTTGGACCATCCCAATTTTTCAATAAAGGAAATTGCCATCAAGATACTTTGCGATAGAGCTGCCAACGACCCTGAAGTGATTAAGTATATCTGGTTCGGCATCACTCGTCCTGAATATGAAGAGCGCATGAACTCTCTCAGAACACTGGCTGTGTTAACGAGCCAAACTGGTAAGAAAATCAGGAGCCGTCGTATTGAACCACGTGCTCATAGTCATAGGTAACGAGGGATTGGCAAGACTGCATGATGAGAGGGCATATTCAGCCTTGGTGAGGTGCATGGAGCTGTGCATGGAAAGCACCGACCTCCCGATTGTTACTGATATCCACTGGGATGAATACTACCTGCGTGATATGGGCGAGAGATTCTGCCTCATGTTTCTAACAGAGCTGATCAACAAATACGGGGCGACCATGCTTGTCAAAGCTAAATTTGTCGAGAAGTGGCTTTCAAAGCAAGATTGGGGGAGCACTGGAGAGGAAAGACGGCGCAACTTTAAAGACTACACAGATCTTCGGAACAACAGAATAACGGACATTATTAATCGCATCAAGCACTCCCGGCGTGGACTACGTGCCTTGGAAAAAGCCGGGTTGATCGACAAGGAAAGCTCTCGACGGCGAATGAGGGAGCTTCCTGACCTTCTCATGGAAGTGGAAGAGGAAATAGTGGGAGAGCAGGCAGGAGAGCAGCAAAGTCGACGGACTAGGGAACATTCCGCCGAGGAACAGAGACTTCGACGCCAGCATCGCGAGGCTATGGTTTTGAATGACGGAACACGGCCCCTGGGACGGGAGGATATAATCGAACGAGATGCATCTCCGTCGTGATGGAGCAGATCCATGGATAGAACAGACCAGTGAGAACGGTTGAACTCGCCTCAGAGGTTCTGAGAGAAGCCATGAATAGCAAGGTGGCGGCTATGACAAGACGAAGGCTGTATGTAAAATACCTATATCTAAATGGTCTGTTCCCGTTCAACTTGATTATACATCAGTCGATCTGACTTTAATGCAACAGGGAAGAGACACTCAAGGGGTAATAGCATGTACCCGGCCGCTACTCTGCAGTTACACGTACTCATTATTTAAAAAAGACGTCACAGACGCATAGCCCTTGCACCAAGCTTATTAATTTTCACTACAAGAATACCAGAAAAGTAGAGAATGCTTTGGCATACGTTCCACATTTAGGTATTCTTGCTACACCAGCTGGCTTTTGGTTAGCAAGTACATGTTAGTGCCTAATGTCGTCACATGCGATATCCTCGCGGACATGATAACCGTGACATGTGATCGGGCATTTTCTCTGAGTATATGCGCTTTATGCGCTGCATGCGCTATGTAGGTAATGAAGAAGCCGGCAAAAAAAAAAAAAAAAATCTCTTTTGTTAGCAGCATGGGTATACTTAATTGAATTATCGTAGAGTGCATGCCAGAGGAGCGTGATGATAAACTGAGCATCTACTCATCTGGCAATACTTGAGTGACGAAGCCCAGATTGGTCGGATGGCACATCATAGCGACCCAATAGATAGACTGTCTGAAGAGGGGTTTGAGAGACTTGGTAAGACTCATGCTAGGGAGAAAGTTCTCTGGCGTCTCCTGAGATTCGTTTCATTATTATTGCTTGAAGGAAATTCCATTCGCCACCATTCATTGTCTTGTAACTACCCGTATTCTACCTACGCATAAGCCCCTTTAACTGCTGACGTACTCATCGACGTGATCTGCTCCGTCTAGAGGCTCGGCATGAAGGGGGTTGCCAGCCGGCAGTGCCCAAAATACCCAAAAAACCCAAAATGCCCAATGTCTCCCGCTTGCCCCCGTATCGAATTTACCAACAGGCAGCCCGTTACCAAGGAATAGGTAGATTGACTCAATAGCCGTCATGTAGGGGCTCCGTATTGCCCGCTAGACCTGCAAGTAAACTCGATGCATGGCGCTCGCTACAGGCTGCGCTCTAGGCTGTGCTTCAGGCGACCCAGTGGCCGTCTTGCGGCCATGATAGGCTGGGCCAGCTGCAGCCCCCGGCCCTGTGCAATATCGCTCGCAGCATCCAGGTAAACAAACAAATGAGCTGGCGCAGCGTCTTTCCTTTCCATTGGCCTCCTGTTCATTTCGCATTTCTATCTTGTTCTTTCCCTTTCCCTCTTCTCTTCTTCCACTTCTTCAAACGAGAGAGAGTTTTGTTCTGCGCGGAACTTGCCTCCCTTTTCGCAGCTTTTCCAGGCTTCAGTTTACAGTTTGCGACGTACATTCTCACCTTTCCCTTTTCTTCAGGTTTTAATTACGGTAGTCGCTGGATCCCCAGTTTGGCGTCCAGGTACCCGCAACCATCAACCCGGCAGCTCATTTTGTCCCCTTGTCGCTCGCCGGTCCCGTCCCAAGAGGAATCGCAGCTGGCTGTTCTTGCTGTCAAAGTCTGGGCGCTGCTGCTGCAGAGGACAAGTCTAATCGGTGCTAAGTCATATTGGACGAGGGGGAGCCCCTTTTGACACACCATCGGCGACCTCATCACAGCAGCACCACTTCCGGAACTGGAGCTGGAACCACAACCACTACCACTACCGGTACCTGTCCTGGCGTGGGGTCCCCTCAGGCCGACCGGCACGCCCCGTCCAGATTGCTGCTAATTTTTTGCTGGATCCCCAACGCCAGCGCCATGTCCTTTTCCACGACTGCCACTTCCACTGCTGTCAAGCCGGCCAGGTCCAACTTCTCGCGCTCGCTGCGCCGGCCATCCAACGTTTCGTCACCCGACCTGGGAGCGCTCTACGCCGCCCAGCCGAAGCTGCTGCGCAAGTCATCGCTCGCGGCCCTGACTCCGAGCTCCTTGGCCAGCATCCCCGATGGGAGCGAGAGCTACGCCATCGACTCCGTTCTGAACGAGATTTCCGAAAACACCATTCCCGAGGAAGATCCTGCGACGCCGCCCGCCATGGAACTGTCCGTCGGCGACTCTGTCAACGTGCCGGGAGGCATGGTCGGTACCGTCCGCTTTGTCGGCACCGTCCAGGGCAAGAAGGGCACCTTTGTCGGGGTCGAGCTGGATTCGGAGTTTGCGGCGAGGGGGAAGAACAACGGCGACGTTGATGGGTAAGAAGAACGATTCGCACGACCGCCTGTCGCATCGGGAGTTGACCGCTAACACGTTACTCTCAGCGTCTCCTATTTTTCGACCAATGTCTCTGGCGCTGGCATCTTCGTGCCGGTCGCCAAAGCGCTTCGGAGGCCCTCCGGCTCATCCCCTAAGACGCCAACGCCCAATGCTGCGAGCGGCCTGAAGCTTGCTAAGAGCAATTCAGTCAGCCTGAAATCCCCAACATCAAGCCTATCCAAGTTGAGCGCCTCGGTTGGGGCTGGTGCTTCTCGAGTTCAAAGCCCAAAAAGCAAAAAGTCACAGCCCTCGCTTCAACGCCCCGATGAGTCACCACAACGGAAGTTGGCCATGTCGCCTGGGCCACGGCCGGCAATTTCAGCGCCGGGAATCAAAGCCCCTCCAAGATATGGCAGTCCGACAAACCGCCTTGCACAGAGCGTGCGAGGAACTGCTGGTCATATGGGCGATCCCAACAAGGCCGCGGCGATGGAACGGCGGCCAAGCTTTGGACCTCGTAGCACATCGTCTCTAGGCCCCGAGCCGCTCTTTGACGAAGAACCTAACCCAATAACAATGCCTCCTCTACCAACAAAGAGCAACACAGGCCTGGGGTCGCTGTCGTTGCGACCGCCATCCCGAGCGACTAGCATTAACGACGAGGAGCTCGAACGATTGCGCGCCCAGCTAGAGGATAGAGATCGACAACTCAAAGAACAGGCCTCAACATTGGCAGAAATGGAGAGCAGTCTTACTGAGCTTCAAACGCTAATAGAACACCCTGACGGACTAAGGCGAAGCAGCATAGACGACAAAGATGCAACCCAGCTTCGACACATGCTACGAGAAAAGAATGAGAAAATTGCCATGCTTGCAGCCGAGTTTGATGCTCATCGAGCGGATTTCCGGAGTACCATTGACACGCTTGAAATGGCCAGCACAGAAACTGAACGAGTATATGAGAAACGTATAGAGGAGCTTATAGCAGATATCCGTGAGCTTGAGTCAAGAAACTTGGATGTTGACTCTGTAGCTACACAACTGAAGCAGCTAGAAGAGCTGGTGCAAGAGCTTGAAGAAGGGCTAGAAGACGCTCGCCGTGGCGAGGCCGAGGCTCGCGGAGAGGCCGAATTCTTGCGAGGGGAGGTTGAGAGAACTCGGTCAGAGCTTCGGCGAGAGAAGGAAAAAGTCGTTCCTCATAATATGTCGGCTTTGAGCGGCGATTCCGCAGTACTAGCCAAGGAGCTGGAGCAGAAGGAAGACGAGATTCGAGGACTGAAGGCTATTATCCATTCCCTTAGCCGAGACTCAATTCCTGGTGCCGAAGGCCACACTCCTAGGCCTCGACCCGGCTCCTTGATTAGCGAGAAAGATGCCGTTGAGAACAAGATTGCTCGAGACAACCTAGAGAGGCAGGTCGCTGAGCTTCAACACATAATCAAGGAGAAGAACCACAAAGAGGAGGAGTTGCAGCACGAGATTGCATTCTTGCGCTCAAACGGCATCAACTCTAGTCGTGATTCGGCCCCTATTCGAGACTCGGCCCCTATTCGACGATCATCCGTACGGAACTCGAGGGAGACGGTTCGAGAGTCGGTTATTCCCACCCAGCCTCAAGAAGAAGAGTCTTCGGATCTCTCGCACAACTCGCACAAGCGAGCAAGTACCCTCGAGACAATGAACGAGAGCGACACCTATTCAACTGCCACCGAGAGTAGCACTCTTTGGTGTGAGATTTGTGAGACAGGTGGTCATGACATCTTGACTTGCACAAACATGTTTGGCAACGATAACGCCAAGAGCTCCAAGAGCAAGGAAATCGACGAGAAGGAAGAGGAGGATGATGATGATGATGAGTACGAAGAGGAAGAACGCAGAGAGAAGGAGGAGAGGGACGAGAGAGACACTACTCACGAGGATCTCAAGCCTCTTACACCCACGGGTGACGATGTTGTTATTCATCACCCCGCCGTGTTGACCCCCGGTATTCCCAAGGAAGAGCCCGCATCGGCTCCGGCAGTCAGAATCAGTCCCAACCCCATGGAATCAGGGCCCGTGGCTGGCAAAGAGAGTGGCATTCTGGACCCGGAGAAGTGGTGCGCCATATGCGAGCGGGATGGCCATGATAGCGTCGATTGCCCCTTTGAAGATGCATTCTAAGACTCTGTCGAACTTGGATGTTTGACGGACTTGGAATACCCATTAAAGCGGACACAATGAACGGCAGACATTTATAGTACGCAGAAAGCATTCACGATTTTGACGTTTCTGTGTGTATGGCTGCATTTTGTATTCGAGACATGGCGTTCATCCGTATTGATACCACCAGTCTCTTCTTTGCTTCCCGGCGCGGGACTTTGTTCTTTAGAGAGCCTTTAGATACTATTCCTCCTACCTACCAACTAACCGTATGGCTCTTCCTTCTTTTTTTGTAATAATAGCATTGGATTTGTACACTTTCATTCACATTGCTAATAAGTATCATATACCCTGCATCCGATGCATTAAATTCGCCCACTTCTGTTGTTGCTGCCAGGCATCTATTTTGTGAGAAATTACAGCCTGAGCTGCACACCCCCCCGAGCACAGCAGCAAGCAGGTAGCCGACAGTTGTACTAAAGCACTGGGTGTCTGTCAAACTGGAGTACAGGTACATACCCCCATCTCGATAACGGCGATCTTTTAGCCGGCACTCCGTACTAGCAGTGCATTATTCATTATTACCAACTGCTTTAGGATTTGCTCGTATATGAATTTGAAACTGCGAGCATCAGGAGTTAGTTCTACGGACCGCCTGTGAACTGCGAGCATAATTGCAGACGGCAAGCAACTTTGGAACATGTATTAATAGCATGAGCTAGGCAGGTCTATTGGGTGCCAAAAGGCCCCCAAATGCTTCCATTCCCTCATCCTGCACCCAACGACGAAGACAAAAGAAGGCTGCGGCTGCATGGAACACCATTACCAATTGCCCTTTGCGTCTCCACGAGCGTCGTGTGGCGGTGTCAGCCAACCTGCTGCTTTTTCTAACCCATGCCCATCCCTTTTATCGGAGCACCTCCATGGATATGCATCCAGTGCTAGTCTTGTTCCAGCCAGCAAAAGCGGGATGCTCCGCTGAGCGCTGAGCGCGATCGATGATTTGATCAGGGAAGAGGTCGACAGTGACGCCTCGTGGGGACGGACCCTGGTCGGCAAGCTGGGTTTCTTCTTACTTTTTCATTTGTTTTTATTTTCAGCTCGGCTGGCCGTACTCGTACATTTGTATATGAACTTTCTTTTGAGGCAGATTTATACCAGGTACGTACTGCTTCAATAGAAGCACTTACAAAGACAAGTGGGAGGCGCTATAGCAAGGCCCTTTCGGTGGCGTCGAGGGGGCTCGGGATGCGGACTTGAGGCGGATTCTTTTTATGGATTGATGGCTTTTAGATGGAAGACTTAGTTGGAAGGCAGAGGGAGGGGAATCTCCAAAAGCCCGCTATTCTGCTGTCCAAGATGGTACAGGCACGGAATGCAGGGTACAGTAAGCTGTAAGATGGAAAAAGGCAGCGTCGGAAAGTTTAAAGTGCGAGGTATCTGCGTAGTAGCGGTACCTGCGAGGGCGCGATGCAGCCTCATGTTTTTTTCTATTGGGTTCCAACAGATTGAAGGATTGCCATGTGCTCACCAACAGTTGTTGCTAGTGCTGTCAAGTGCCTGGCCGGATTTGCTTTGGTTCCTGGTAGGATATTCGCTGTGCATGCCGCAACCGTAGTTGATCTCGACTCGCGCTGAATAAAAATAGCAAAGCATCTCCAAAGTCTGTATTGCGACGGCAAGGCGCCGAGGCCCCTTCGATGCGCTGTACAGTGACAATCGGATACTCGGCGGTACCCGCTACCGGTCGCTTTGCCGCTTGGGAGAGACGAATAGGTTGCGCGCTTTGCATTATCGGGCACCGCCACACCATCGACTTTCTTCGATACAATTCCATGAGGCGCACGCAGCCTTGGGGGACCCCTGCAGCCGCCCTTTAAATCCTCCAAGGCGGCGCTTGAGCATCTGCCCTTTCAACCAAGTCTTAACCCCAGAGGCCGCTTTCCCTTTGACCAAGCCGTTTTTTTTCTTCTCTTCCCTTCTTCAAAGAGCAATCGACTGCAACTCGGAATTCTTTCAGATTTCCTGCTCGTCGTCAAACTATCCGGCCACTATTTAACAGCTTTTGCGTCGCAGCCCGCAAATTTCTTCTTCGCCCCACTGGTCCTTCTCTGTGGCTTTTCTAGGCACGCTATCTTTTTTTTTTTCCTGCTGGGCTATTACTCAGGTACGGTAGAATCACAGGTCATTATTACGAGCACTTTGCCCCTCGGCGCCTTTTCCATCTTCTTCCATTGCATCCTGCCGACAACATCAACAAGGACTTGTCACGGGCCGTCTCTGGAAGTTGCTTGAATTGCGGATATTTCCTTTCTTTGTTTTCTTTATTGCCCACAAGTTTCTACGATCCGGTTGCCACGGACTCTTTCTTTCTCTGGCTTCGACTAATTGCTGTCTAACAGAGCCTCTAAATCAGCAGTAAACAAGTCGGCCGCTTGTCGTCGCTTTTCTTGAATTTTTTTTGGCGCATACAACACTATTTCTTGAAATTTAATAATCCCAGACAAAATGGTAAAGGAAACGAAGCTTTACGAGACACTTGGTGTATGTATTTGCCCTACATGCAGCTCCACGGCTGCTTCGATCTTGTACGAAGAGATGAACTAACATGTCTCCTATCAGGTCGCTCCCACAGCCACTGAGCAGGAGTTGAAGAAGGCTTACAAGATTGGTGCCCTGAAGCACCATCCTGGTACGTTTTACTTTACCAACTGTCCATTAGAGAGACCCTCGTTCTAATATCCACGGTATAGACAAGAACGCCCACAACCCCGCTGCCGAAGAGAAATTCAAGGAAATCTCCAGCGCCTACGAGATCCTTTCCGACCCCCAGAAGCGTCAGATCTACGATCAATATGGTGAAGCCGGTCTTGAGGGCGGTGCGGGTGGTGCTGGCGGCATGGCTGCTGAAGATCTCTTTGCTCAGTTCTTTGGCGGTGGCGGCTTTGGTGGAATGGGTGGCATGTTTGGTGGCATGCAGGGGAACCGCGGGCCTCCCAAGGCTCGCACCATCCACCACACCCACAAGGTTTCCCTCGAGGATATCTACCGTGGCAAGATCTCCAAGCTTGCGCTGCAACGATCCATCATCTGCCCCAAGTGCGACGGCCTTGGAGGAAAGGATGGTGCCGTTCGCAAGTGCGCGGGCTGCAATGGTGCTGGTATGAAGACTATGATGCGCCAGATGGGCCCCATGATCCAGCGCTTCCAGACTGTCTGCCCCGACTGCAATGGTGAAGGCGAGATTATCAAGGATAAGGATCGCTGCAAGCAGTGCAACGGCAAGAAGACCACCGTCGACCGAAAGGTTCTCCACGTCCACGTCGACAGGGGTGTCAAGAGCGGCACCAAGGTCGAGTTCCGAGGCGAAGGTGACCAGGCCCCTGGTGTTCAGGCTGGTGATGTTGTTTTCGAGATTGAGCAGAAGCCGCACGCACGCTTCACCCGAAAGGATGACGACCTCCTTTACCGATGTGAAATTGAGCTGGTTACTGCCCTGGCAGGAGGTACCATCTATGTTGAGCATCTGGATGAGCGATGGCTCAGCATTGAAATCCTTCCTGGAGAGGCTATCGCACCAGGTAATTATTCACCTTTTCCCCTTTTAACCTGATGTCAAGACAAGAGTAAAAATTAACAAACTTTCACTAGACTCTGTGAAGATGGTTCGCGGCCAAGGTATGCCCTCATACAGACACCACGATTACGGTAACATGTACATCCGCTTCGATGTCAAGTTCCCCGAAAAGAACTGGACCGACGACGCCTCTGCATTTGAATCCCTTCGAAAGCTCCTCCCACCTCCTTCAACAGAGGGCAACCCCCCTGCTGAGTCTATGACAGAGCCTGCCGATCTGGAAGACTTGGATAGTGGAGCTCAGAGCAAGGTTTTTGGAGACCCCAACGGCATGGGTGACGATGAGGACGAAGATGGCCACCCTGGTGGCGAGCGCGTGCAGTGCGCTTCGCAGTAAACTGGAAAAAAAAAAGCAAGCCTATATATCTAAGTATATGTAGCTTGGGGGCTCAAAATAAAAGCAGCGACCGAATAGTGGACGCGGGATGGTGCCTTGGAGCTATTGGATCACTACGACGTCCTTTTTCTGGAGGCAGCAAGCGAGTGAGGCGGATGGAGCGGTGTTGTTTGAATTAATTTGAGGAATTGGGCGCTACTTCGTTCCATTCTCTGCCGCTGCATTTGAGGAGTTCTCTTTTCGAAGTCTCATTGATACCATCTGGAGGAGGGAAATAGCTGTTACTTTCCGCTGCATCTGGGAAGATGACGGCGAAACAAATGCGCAGAGGGATGATCACGGGCATGTCCATTTTGCCGACCATTATTATGGACTTGGGTGCTTTTTGGACTTGCATGACTAGGCTGGAGGGCGTTTAGAGGGACATAGACGATTTTGATGAGTTTTTTTTATCTTAGGTTGTTGCAGACTTAGACTATGAATATGATGATTTCAAGCAATTCCTCTTTTTGGTATCAATCCTGGCAACAAGTGACCCTTGTATAGAATCATAGAACATGTACTACACGTAAAAACTACTATATCCAACGGGATCACTCTTCGGTATCAGCAGTATCTGCCGCCATATCGCTATCAGTGTTTGCCTGTGGCGCTTCCGAACCAGCTTCTTCAAACTCTGCGCTTGTAACCACTTTCCGTAAGCTCTCAACAGTGTACAGCAGGCTTCGAACCTCCTCTTCGCTGATATCAGATTCGTTTGCATCGACTGTCTTGTCCTTGAAGGAGGTCTCAACGTCCACGGCTAGTCTGCCGTGGTTGATGGTTAGGCGGAACGCATGGAGGCTCTGCGCCTTGGTCTCCACGTCGGGGTCGATTGCGGCAATGATTGTGGGGGCGGCGTTGTCGTCGCTGCTGGGGGAGATGGTGAGGGAGAGGGGCTTGCCGGGGAGTTGGATGATGCCGGGGCAGTGGAGCTCGTTGTTTTCGAGGAGCTTCCAAGAGAAGATGGCTTTGATGCTGTGGAGTTTTGTTAGCGATATTTTATATTTTGTGCTAGTACAACTCCCTGGTATATATAGATTGGAGCTCTTTTCAGTGATAGACTTACTCTTCGCAAATGGCCAGTATGTATGTGAGCGGGCCTTCTTCAGAAGGATAGATTAGAGTATGCATGCTTGACACGGCGATAGCTGTGGTCTCGGGGGCGATTTCTTGGGCAAGCGATAGGACGCTTGTCTTGAAGAGCTGCTTTCCGGCGAGCCAGTCCCAAACGAAAATGTATTCATCACCGCCGCCAGAGACGAGGATGTCCTGGTTGTTGGGGGGGATGACCATGTCACTGATGAACTCCTTGTGCCCAAAGCAGAAGTTTTCGATAATGTGTGCGTGAGGGATGTAACGAGATACTCGGATGTGCTCATCTCTATCAGCGGTGATGATATAAGTGCGACCCTCCTTCTCTCCAATCACCAGGGCCGTCAGCATAGAGACATGTCCTAGTAATAGGTGGAGTTCGAACTCTGGGATATTGGCGTTGGTAGCATCTTTGGAAGCGTTGAAAAGCTCGGCTTGCTTGATCTGATTGAGGAGGGCGAGTCGATTGCCCTTGGAGTGAACAGTGAGCGGGTTTGCAGTGGGCTTGAAGGCCTTCTTGGTTGGCATTGGTAGTGCTGACATTGACGCGGGAGTCTTTACGCCTTCATCTGGGATGACTACAGGCAGAGCGTAGACATCTCCAAACTTGTCGGCGCAAATGATTTGTCCAAAAGGTCCAATGGCGATTGCGCTTGGTCGCTTAGGCATAGTTCTATGTATACATTTCTTAGCACATGCTGCTTTCTCAAAGTGAATTCGCAATGATAGACGCTCATACCTTCGGCTGAGCTCCTCAATTTGGCCGTTTCCATCGTGCTTGAAGACCCAGACGACCTTGTCATGTCCAGTCACGGCCAGGAGATGGCTTCCATCAGGTGTACTCGTCAGATGCGTAACCACGGGCCGGTTAGGCACACGAGCGAAACGAGTTTTGCCATTTTCAACGTCCTTTCCAGCTTTTCCCTTGCCCTTCTTCCCTCTGCCGTCGATGTGGCCAGATTGCGGCTTATCGTCCTGGGCTGTTGCAGGTGTGGATGTGGATGCCTCAGCTTCAGCGGCCACTGGAGCGCTCTCATCTTCACCACCCAGCTTCTGCCGTTTTGCTGGCGGGCCTTCGCTTTCAGTCGCTGGGGTATCTGCCTCTACTGCTAGAGCGGCTTCAGCTTTGGCCTCGTTGATGGCCTTTAATGAGTCGGCAACCTTGTCGACGTCAGGGTGTTTCCATGATGAGATGTGAGAGCCGTCTGTGAGATTGAAGGTGTGGATTGCGCCTCCGCGAGCGGCAAAGAGGATCTGCCCTCGAACATGGACTTTGTTATAAGGAATCTTCATTTTTTCATGAAATACTTGGGATTTCGTCTCTCCCTGAAGATTGGGGTGTTTAAGAAGAATGAAGGCTAATTGGAGCTTAAGCAAGTCATGCAGTTCTCCCAGCTTATCAACCTGGAACTTTTTACTTTTTTTCTGATACCGACTCGGACCTAGAAAAAAAAAAGATACATTCTGCTTGTACCTTCAACCTTCGACCAAACGGTACGTACCTTCTGTCCCCACCTTGATCTCAAACCAGCAAGCTGCTCTTACCGCTTACCTAATTAAGCCATGCCCTAGCCGTTCGACACACACTTTCTCGCTAGGTGCAAAATCCGCGAAATTTCGGCTCCTCTCTTTTTTTCCTCTCTTTTCCGCGATAAGACTTCAAGTCACCAAATAATCAATACCAAAGGATACCCTTTTGCCCTTAAATAACCTGCCTTCAGGAAAAAAGAAGATATGGGGGGCAAAACAGCGAACAAGGCCGGCTACTTCGACAAGCTCAAGGGCTTGCTGCAGGACTACAAGTCAATCTTCATTGTTGAGATTGACAATGTCTCGTCCCAGCAGATGCACGAGATCCGACACGCCCTCCGTGGCAAGGGTGTTGTCCTGATGGGCAAGAACACCATGGTAAGAGCTCTTGCGCATATATATATATATTTTTTGTCTCAGCAATCGGAAACCTAACAAGTTGGAATTATAGGTTCGCCGAGCTCTGCGAACTTTCCTCATTGATACTCCCGAGTACGAGCGTATCCTGCCTTTCGTCAAGGGCAACGTCGGCTTCGTTTTCACCAACGGCGACCTTAAGGAGATTCGTGACCAGATCCTGGCCAACCGTGTCGCCGCCCCTGCCCGTGCTGGTGCTGTCGCTCCCGTCGATGTGTGGGTTCCTGCTGGAAACACCGGTATGGAGCCTGGCAAGACCTCTTTCTTCCAGGCTCTCGGTGTCCCCACCAAGATCGCTCGTGGTACCATTGAAATTACCACCGATCTCAAGCTCATTGAGGCTGGCAACAAGGTCGGCCCCTCTGAGGCTTCGCTGCTCAACTTGTTGAACATCTCTCCCTTCACCTACGGTCTGGGAATTGCTCAGGTCTACGACCAGGGCCAGGTCTTCCCCCCCACCATCCTCGACATTGGTGAGGAGCAGCTCCTCGCTACCCTGGCCCAGGCCATCACCACCGTTGCCACCATCTCTCTGGCTCTCAACTTCCCCACCCTGCCTTCCGTCATGCACTCTCTTGTCAACTCCTACAAGAAGGTCCTGGCTGTTGCCATTGAGACCGAGATCAGCTGGCCCGAGATTGAGCAGCTCAAGGACCGCATTGCCAACCCCGACGCTTACGCTGCCGCTGCTCCTGCTGCCAGCTCTGGCGCCGCTGCCGCTACCGAGGCTGCCCCCGCTGAGGAGAAGAAGGAGGAGGAAGAGGAAGAGGACGAGGAGGGCTTCGGCGGTCTCTTGTATGTCATACCCTTGAAATCTGCTTTGAAACCAACACTAACGTGCTCAATAGCGACTAAAAAACCAATAACGGTACTGGATCGGTTTTCAGGGCTTATTCGGCTTGTTTCACGGTATATGGATCTAAACCTATGGGTACATAGGTCATTGGTTGGCCAAAATAGGATCAACGCAATGATTACATGAGACACGAATGAAATTCAATGAAAGCTGCGAGTCAACTGTTCAACCCTTGAGAAAGAATCAACTTGTGAATATTGAAATGTCATGATTGAAAACAAATCAGAGATTATTCACTTGCTAAAAGGTTAGTCATTTCTTCCTTCTTGCTTTCCATAACATTTCTTTCGAATGATTATAAATCTATTCATGAGCTTTTTAACCCTGAATCTCCTGATGAAACCAAATATTCAACAACACCTTATGACTTTACACTATCTTGTTTTACCATTTTATTGCTACTTTTCTGTAAAGATCTCAATGGCTAACATACGAAAGTTACATAGGATATGCGTGCAGAGCTATTTCATCCATGTGTGATTTATCCACCGCCTATCCAGCAAGTGACTGGCCGTTGTTTATCGTCTCTGTAGTGGTATCATCCAATACCCGTTTGGCAATATCAATTGCATGTTGTGGTAATCTTGCCAATCGTGCCACCTTGAGAGCATGACTCTGGCGATTAATACCTCGCCGTAATTTGTGAATGTAGACGAAGCCTCCCTTGTCATCCTCCTGTACATCAGTACAATACGCCTGAACGGGTCCAGTCTGTGGATTGCAGAATCCCTCAGCGGCCGCCATGTCGGCCACGTCGTGAAAGTGTGTTGCAAAGAGGGTTCGGCACTGGTTTACTGTCACCAGATGGTGCAGGCAAGCATACGATATTGCCGTGCCGTCCTCTGGTGTAGTGCCTCGACCTATCTCATCCATGATGACAAACGACTTTGGAGTAGCCTGCCGTAGTATATGGGCTGTCTCGAGCATCTCCACCATGAAAGTGCTCTGATCATGGTATAGGCTGTCGGCCGATCCCACACGACTGAAAATGGCATCTACAATGCCCATTTCAGCGTAGGTAGCGGGCACATAGCACCCAATCTGAGCCATTATGGTGATCAAGGCATTTTGTCGAAGGAATGTGCTCTTACCTGCCATGTTCGGTCCAGTAATGAGCCAGAGAGAGCCATCTGGCGGCAGCCCAAGTACACAGTCATTGCGAACAAAGCGACGCCCCTGCTCCAGCAAACCCCCCTCCACCGTAGGATGGCGACCACCTTTGATAACATGACTTTTCGAATCGTTCAACTTGGGGCGGATGAGATTCTGCTCGATGGCGAGCTTTGCAAATGATGTCGCAATGTCAATCTCGTCCAGCACAGATGAGATGCGTCGCAGCTTGACCAGGTTCTTAATAACGTGCTCGCGAAGAGCCTGGAACACTCGCTGTTCCTCGCGGCGAATTCGAAACTTTGCTTGATCAATCTGCTGGCCAAGGGCAATCCACTCAGGAAGATGGAATGAGCTTGTACTGCGGTTCGAAGAGACCATCTTTACCCCGTTCAATCTCTTGGTCTCTCTCGTCTTGAGGTGGGCTATATGCCCCGAGCTTGATGTCCATTTGAGGGTCAGACTTGGTGCTTCCAAACGCACTCGAAGTTCCTCAACAAGAGCACCTTTCTCCTTTACAAGGGACGTGAGATCATTGTGAAGATTCTGGAGTTCCTTGCTTGCAGCTGGTTTCATTACCCAAGGCTCGTTATCTTCGCCGTATAGCTCCTTCAGGCTGCTTGTCTTCTTCCTCTTTGCTTTGGTCACGAGGCTTGCATCTTCATTAGAGCCTTCAGAGGAAACGACATCTTGGGCTAGAGCCATCATTTGCTCGGCTTCAGATGCTTCAACGGCCTGCTGCTGAGCTATGCCTTCCTCATCTATAGACTCTTTAATTCTATCCGCGAGCTCAAGGGGCTCTCCGAGGACAATTCGAGATGCCAAGGATGCGAGGCAATCTGATGCTGGCGAAGATGGACTGTGCTGCCCTGCTGGTGCCTCTTTGAGTAGACGCACGATTTCTTCGGCTGCGTATATCGTGTTAGCTATACCAAGTAAATCATCTGGATCACCTCTCCCCAGAGCAAATTTCTGAACAAGCCTCTGGCAATCATGGCTCCGTCGCAGCAGAATGACCATGGAATCGCTGAGATCCGTTGAATCAATGAAGCGAGAGACAATATCTTGCCGAGCTTCAATGATTTCTAGAGATGTAGATGGAGAGCCAAGCCATTCGTTGAGCAGCCTGGCGCCGCTCTTGGTAACTGTGCGGCGTATTGCGTGAAGAAGACTGCCGCGGAAGAAGCCATCGCGAATGGTCTGCTTTATCTCTAGCGCTCTCAAGGTGTTTTTATCAATGGCCATGGTCTGCGTGTTTTCGAAGCGGAGAGGCGGCTGCAGCTTCATGCTCGTCCCTTGGAGTCGGTTCTTGACATAATTCAGCACCAGTCCCCCCGCAACAACCTCATTATCTGTGAATTCTTTCCTTGAGGCTTCAGATATCTGTGATTCTAGAAGAGGCGTCCAGTCGTCGAGGTTTGTTAGGCTCTCGTGCGGCGAAAATGTGACGAGATGTCGGTCATCCGTCAATATGGAGAAAATGTCATGATCCCTTTTCAGCTCAAATGTTTGCTCAAGGACAACTTCTCGCGGAGCTATGCGAGATAAGATGGATGACAGAGATGATAGAGTTGTAGACTGAGTGAAGAATTGCCCAGTGGAGAGATCAAGCCAAGCTAGGCCGATGGGCGAATCATTCACGCTTGGAACATGTAAGGGTTCGTTGGCTGAAAGAGAGTCCAGCTGCGGATGGTCAGAAGGGGCATCTTGAGAAATGTGAATTGCCATGATGTAGTTATTGGCATAAGGGTCGATGAAGTTCTCATCAATAAGAGTTCCTGGAGTGATGATGCGAGTCACTCGACGATCATGCATGAGGCCGCCTGACTTGACTTTATCTGAGGCATCGTTAGGGAACTCTTCAGCCAGGGCGACATGGCGGTTCAAATCTTGCACCAAAATCTTGAGATATCGGTCCAGCTGGAATACAGGAAAACCTGCCTATATATCGCGGTTAGCAACGATGTAAATTGGAAGAGGTATGTAAATATATATATGACAGAAGAAGGATAGGGGCGGGTTACCATAGGCACAAGCCCAGCGTTGAATTTCTTGGAAACAAGCTTTAGATTCAATAGCGGTGCATATTCTTCAGCGTGCTCAAAATAGGCCTCATAGAAGCCGCCCACTCTTGTGAGGAGGATGCACTTTTCAAATTTGTCCATATTCCGGCGCGCCTGGGCCACAACGGGTGGCCAAGTTGGCTCATTTTGCTCTTCTTCGACGGGGAGAGGCTTCGCCGGGACCTTTCCTTGGGGCAAGTCAGAGAGCTTGACTGTAGTTTTCGTTTTCGATCGCTTCACGGCAGCTTCAAAACGAGCAGTTGTGGTGAGATTTGCGACAAATACAGCCGCGGGAGAGCTGCTGCATCGCAGAGACGCAGGGCTTAGAGCCAAGCGGCGAGTGCAGAGAGGCTGATATCGCAGGCCATGAGCGGTGCGTTGGCGAAACATTCCAGATCATTCGACAGGATCAATCACCTGTCCTCCTTCTGAAGCAAGGCCACTTGGAATTTGCAAGGGCATCGAGACGAAAGCTCGTGAACAAGAACAATTTCTTCCTGGCACAATCATTTTATTGGAGCCTTGTGAGGACGGTGATTTGCGGCCCCACCATGCATGTTGGCGGGCTACCGGTGCCTGAAGCGCCGTTGGAAGCGCTACGGCGGGAAATGGAGCACTGGCGGCGGCTGGCAGCTACTGAGGGGCGGTTACAATGGCTTGGATGCGTCTCTAGATGTCCATGGATATTTGGCGGAGACGGGTATTCAGGTAGGCAGGTTAAGAGAGAAAGGAAAGATTATAGCTGCGCTCTTAGTTCCCGGCAGATGACATGCACAAATTCACGGTGCGGATAATAAAAGGAAAATAAAAACAAAGCTGGACACAGGCCGTGACCTCATAAATACTGGTAGGTCTATGTAGGTACCCTTACAATTGACATCGGCATAAGCTGCCCGCACAGAGCTGGTTGGGCAGCAGCAAAAGGCCGTCTCTTTCCAAGAGTGCGGAGGTAGCAAGTACTCGGGCTCTATTTGTCCCAAGCTTTCTCTGTCCCCTTCTTTCTCTTCTCTCCCACTCTTTTCATTCTCTTCATATCTCTTCCTGTCGATTCCACGATACCAACAGCAGCCTTTACCCTTTACCCTTCTGGTGCCACAACTATACGCGCCGGCATTACGTGAAGCGCCCACTCGAGAGCTGCTGTTGGCCGTCTTTGGTTTCACGGTGCCCCTCTCCTCACACTGGCCTGACAATCGGGCTTCACGGGGTATGTTAGAATACCTATTCGTACTCAATTGATACGATTTGAACCCGAAACATCGAATCCCAGCCCTTATCGCCTGCTTGGACCCCTGCCTAACTGAATCTCGACCCTACTGCAATCGGTTTTGGATATTGCGTCCATCTCTTGTTCTATTGACTATCTATTATTCCTTTTCTCTCTCATCATCTTAACCTACTTCTTCTTATTCCTCAGGAAAGAACCAAGATTGCAAATATGAGGTGCGTACTCTGCCATTCTAGAGGTCCAGAGTGAGGAGCATCAGCCCATTCCAACTCGTCACCCCTGAGACAATGGCTGGGATCGGATCCAGACTCCCCGCACGCTACCTCCAACACAGCGCCGATTTTCACTCCTTTAGCGCCCCCCATGCCTGCTACACTGCCTAAGAAACTGGGAATCTTTGTCCCTGGAGCGGTGTCTTCCCCACCTCCCCACAGCAGTGACGGCTCAGAGCTTCCCCGAAGCTGCGCAAGCTATGCAGGTGCAGGTGCTGGTAACTCGGCGCTATATTATTATATAATACCGAGTCTCATGCGCCAACGGATCTCGGCTCCCTTGCGACTTCTCCCATTCACATCACTGCGTGGACAATTGGCCCGTCGCTTGTTTCGATTCGCTGACCGCAATTGGCAGTTACAACGACAGCTTGATCGCCAATCCTCTCCCCGTCGCTTCCGACTGCCCTCAGCACTCGCCCTCTCCAGACAATCTCCAGCCTCTCCCGGGCAAGCTTCGGCGACTGTCCAATCGATCAGCACCGCCCGCTCCAGGACACGCTCTCGACGCTCATACAATGGGCGGCGGCGGCGAAGTGAGGAGCAGCGTCTCCTACCCAGTCTTTGCGCAACGGCCCGTTGGCGTTCCCAAGACTAGCATTCTCAAAAGCCGTATCGAACCGTTCTATAAATCAGGACAGTACGATAAGGTGAATCTGCTAGCGTACGTCTTCCTGTATCCCATCCATCTCACCCTCATCCCAACCAATTAACGCCTGCCGCGTAGGAATCTCTACAATGCCAGGTACTCAGGCAAACCGCACGTTCAGATCTCCGTCTGGAGCGCTCCCGGACAAGAGCGACCGACCTTTGAGCATGCAGTTTCCCAGCAGTTCAAAGAGACACATACCGGCGCTGCCTTTGGGCCATCATGGACTACTCATTGGTTCAGAGTCATCTTGACTGTTCCCGAAGCGATCGCTAATGAAGAGCTCCTCGAGCTCCAGTGGGACGGCAACAATGAAGGCCTCGTGTGGACCGAGGATGGCATGCCGCTTCAAGGATTGACTGGTGGAGGCGAGAGAATCGAATGGGTCATTCCTCGTTCGTTCCGCGATGGCAAACCGCACACCATTTACATCGAAATGGCCTGTAATGGCATGTTTGGAAATGCGCCGGGCGGCAAAGCCAGCATTATGCCACCAGACCCAAACAAATATTTTGCCCTCGGAAAAGCCGATATTGTAGCTGTCAATGTCCCTGCCCGCGGCCTTCAATTCGACATGTGGGAGCTTGGCGACGCCGCTCGAGAACTCCCCGAGAATTCAGCCGAGCAGGGCCGAGCACTCGCTGTTGCGATGAAGATTATCGATACCTTCGAGGTGAATAATCAGGAATCAATCCTCGAGTGTCGAAAACTGGCACAGCAAATCATTGGTCCCGATGTCGACTCTCATCGGGTTTATGAAGTTGGCCCAGAGCCTGTTGTTTTTGGCATTGGCCACTGCCATATCGACTCTTGCTGGCTGTGGCCCTTTGCAGAGACAAGACGAAAAGTAGCTCGGTCATGGTCGAGCCAGTGCGATCTGATGGATCGCTATCCAGAGGCTCACTTTGCTTGCTCTCAGGCTCAGCAGTTCAAATGGCTAAAACAATTCTATCCCAAGGCTTTCGATCGTGTAAGGCGAAAGGTTAGCGAAGGCCAATTCCACCCCATTGGTGGCAGCTGGGTTGAGCATGACACAAACATGCCGAGCGGCGAATCGCTTGTGCGTCAATTCTTCTATGGCCAACGCTTTTTTGAGGCAGAATTTGGATCCCGTTGCCGCACTTTCTGGCTTCCTGATACATTTGGATACTCGAGTCAGCTGCCCCAGCTCTGTCGCCTGGCAGGCATGGACCGTTTCATGACTCAGAAGCTGAGCTGGAACAATATCAACAACTTCCCTCACACTACATTCATGTGGGTGAGTCCTGATGGAAGCCAAGTCATCTGCCACATGCCTCCATCCGAGACATACACAGCTGAGGCCGATTTTGGGGATTTGAAACGCAGCATCTCCAACCACAAAACCCTGCGTGTGGACAACACCTCTTTGCTGGTGTACGGCAAGGGTGATGGCGGTGGTGGCCCTACCTGGCAGCATCTGGAGAAGCTTCGACGAATTTCAGGAATCAGCAACACTATTGGAGGTATTCCAAAACTCAAGCTCGGCCACAGTGTCGATGACTTCTTTGACCGCCTCGCTCCAAAGGCCAACGAGCTTCCCACGTGGTATGGTGAGCTGTACTTTGAGCTACACCGAGGCACTTATACCACCCAGGCAAACAACAAGTATTACAACCGCAAGGCCGAGGTTTTAATGCGAGATCTCGAGCAGCTTGCAACACTTGCCTCCCTCAAGAACAAGTCATATAAGTATCCTACTGAACAGATTGACAACATGTGGGAGGGTATCCTTCTTTGCCAATTCCACGACTGCCTTCCTGGCAGCTCTATCGAGATGTGTTATGACGACTCCAACAAGGTAAGAAGATATTGCTTGTCTCCTGGCGGATAAATCATTTGTATGCTGACTAGCTCTCCTAGATATACAAGGAGACGTTTGAGACGGGACATAAGCTGCTCGCAGAAATTTACAAGGCTTTGGGTGCCAGCGATTCGCAACCTGATGCTCTTAACGAGTCCACCGTCCTCAACACATTGCCCTGGCACCGCAAAGAACTTGTTGAGGTTTCCGATACCCAGGTTGGCATCGCTTGTGGAGACGGCCCGCTGCTTGCACTTCGCACTTTCAAGGTCCAGGAAGACAAGCCAGCTGTTTCCGTGCAGAAAATGGGCAGCCAGTTCGTATTAGAAAATGACGATCTCCGCCTTGTCGTCGAAGACGGCTGCATCACTTCACTGTACGACAGGGTCAACGACCGCGAAACCATTGAGAAAGGCGGTAAAGCCAACAAGTTTGTCATTTTTGATGATATCCCACTCTTCTGGGAGGCTTGGGACGTCGAGGTCTATCACCTCGAAACTCGGCGGGAGCTCAGCTACGGTCAAACCAGTCTTTACGAAGTTAAGCCTCACCGCGTCACTCTGGCTACTGAAATCAAGATTAGCAAGAATAGTTCCATCACATCTTACATTACATTGTCGGCAGCCCTTAAAGGCCAAACATCTTGGGTCGAGTGTAAAGCGGAGGTGGACTGGCACGAAAACTCCAAATTCCTCAAGGTCGAGTTCCCTGTCGACATTGTTAACATAGAGGCCTCCTACGAGTCCGCATACAGCATCACCAAGAGACCAACTCACTACAACACGAGCTGGGACATGGCCAAGTTTGAAGTGTGCTGCCACAGATTTGCCGATCTGTCGGAGCATAACTATGGTGTTTCTATCATCAACGACAGCAAGTATGGTTTCGCTACTGCTGGTAAGATGATGCGCTTATCGCTGCTTCGATCGCCAAAGGCTCCCGACGAGCATGCGGATATGGGCCGCCACTCGATCCGATGGGCTATCCTTCCTCACAAGGGAGGCCTCTCTTCGACTACTGTTAGAGCGGCGTATGCCTTCAATACCCCACTCAAGGTGCTGTCCGCACCTAAGGCCACCATTGAAAGCTTGACCAGTGTTCCTATCAAGCTTATCAACGCAGATGCATCCGCCTCTATCATATTGGATACTATCAAGCGGGGCCATGATGACGAGGATATCAGCCGTCGCGAAGGCCTTCGTGTCAACAGCGGGCGGAGCATCATTCTTCGTTTATACGAGTCTTTGGGTGGACGCAGCCGAGGAAGCATTCAAACAGAGTTTGATGTGAAACGCGTTACCAAAGTCAATATTCTGGAGGACGAAATCGAAGGGGTTCCATTGGAAGATGGCAAGTTTGACATAACCCTACGGCCCTTCGAGGTGGCGACATACAAGCTGCAGCTATAGGGAAGTGAAGACGCCGATTGTATATGCCCTACCTCTAGCATTCGGATAATGCTTGTGACGTGAGGTGGTTTGGTTGCGGTTGGAACTATACGCAATGGACAGTGAGCTATTCGTTGGTAATAGAAGTGGGAGAAATTGAGAAATAGCAATGCTGATAATTTTATTGTCCTATCCATTATCACAAGTCATGCTAGGATGCAACATTACTATATGGGCATTCCTCCCTATGAGAGTAATCTTTCTCTGTTTGTCTTTTATTTTGCTTTGCTTCTCTAAATCAATCAAGTCATTCAATCCCGTTGTAACGCCGACGCCCTTTTGCAGTAGATATATAAAAAATATGTCCACGACAATGATAAGATATCATAAATAGGAGACGGCTCCGCCCATTGGCTAGCATAGCAAGTATAGAAACATGTAAACGATTTTTTTTGTCTCAGGCTCACATCATATCCTATTGCCCTACAACCCAAAAATAGAACAAGGAAGAAAAAAAAAAAAAACCGTGGCTCGAATAGCATATCTAAATATCAAGGAGTCAATTATTCAAAGTCATGATGAAAATTTTGTTAAAAAAAAATTCAGCTGAGAGCATCCGGAATTGGCAACGCAGCATGCAGTTCTCATGACAGGTCATCGGGCAGCTCTTCGACGACGTGCTCCACCATGGTGATGAGCTCATTGATATCAGGACGCTCCGCAGGTTCGACTTTAAGACACGCCCGGACAATGTTGCGAATGGGCTCGCTGATGGAGACGTCTCCAGAACCACCGGCAGCAGCAGCACCAGCAGCGCCGTCGGCCGCAGTGGCCTTGGCCTTGGCCGCCTGGATGGTGTTTGTGCGCTTGGGGGCGCCTCCGGGGTTCTCGTCGGGGAAGCGCCAGTCGCCGCCGAGGACGCAGAGGCTGAGCGTGCCGCCCGTCTCGTCGGAGCGCAGCTCAAAGGGGGACTTGCCGACGAGGCAGGCGTAGAGGGTGCATCCGAGGGACCAGATGTCGGTCTTTGTGTCGATGACGGTGCCGGTGCGGACGTCGAAGAGCTCCGGGGCGCGGTAGGGCATGGTGGAGTGCTCGGCGGCCGTGTCTTGGATCTGGAGGGCGAGGGACTGGGAGGTGACGGGGACGGGGGAGGCGGCGACGGAGCCGAGGTCCATGAGGATGGGGATTGAGCCGGAGTCGTCGATCATGATGTTGCCTGGCGATTGTTAGTCAGACGGAAGATTAGACCCGGGGGCAAGTTGTGCCTCTTACCTGGCTTGATATCACGATGAGCATATGATTTGATCTTGCCGCCGCGTGACTCGCCCTCGATGCGATTTGGGCCCGAGTCCATGAGCGGCCGCTCCTGCTCGCCCTGCTCCTGCTCCTCCGTCCGCTTCCCCCTCGTGCCCATCTTGCGGCCGCCCGGTCGTGAGGAGTCGGCATTCTCGTCATGGTCCTCCTCGCGGCCCATCTGCATGCGCTCCGCGGGCGCGGGCTGGTACTCGTGCATGGCCCGCAGCGCCTTGCACACGCCCAGGAACAGCAGCATCAGGTGGCGCTCGGGGAAGTGGCCGTGGTTGACGAGGTTGGCGTTGATCATGTCCTGCAGGTTGCCGCGGCGGTAGTACGGCAGCAGGACGTAGACGGTCTTGCTGGCGTCGTCGCCGCTGCCGCCGCCGCGGTCGGTCGCGACGCTGTGGTCAAAGGCCGAGATGATGGTGGGGACGTGGTCGAAGAGCCGGTAGGCGTCGACCTCGCGCATGGCCTGCTGGACCGACTCTGCGCCAAAGGGGCATCGGATCTTTTTGAGGGCAAAGAGCTCGTGGGAAGCGGTGTCTTCGACGAGGTAGACGTATGAGAAGCCGCCCTGTTTGAGAGTCGATTATCGTCAGCGAGGAACTTGCGTCATGCTTTGCTGCAACTACACCAAGAGGGGGAATATTGTCTCTTGTTTTTTTCTTATTACGCACCTCGCCTAGCAGTCGCTGGATCTTGAAGCTCCGGTTGTTAATCTTGAGAGTCGGAGATCCCGGGAAGCAATTCAGGCAATTGCCAAACGAGTAGAACAAGTCCGCCAATATCTGCGCCATGATGAGAGAGTTTTTGCGTCAAACGCCGTGTGTCTTAGACCAGCAAAATAATAGCTCTGCAGCTCGTTTGATGTGAGACCTCTGTTTTCCTTCTCCTGCAGAGCTTCCCTTTCTTCTTTTCTGTTATGTATCCTTCAATCTTTTCCCGGCCTTAGCTCTCCCAGCTGTTCTACTAGCCCGCCCAGCTTCTTTGTTTTGATGCGGCCTGTCGGGTCGAGATTGATTTCGGCTCGTCTGCGAATCGTCGCTATGGCGCTGAGTCGTTCCAATGGAAGGAACAAGAGCAGCGCTGGTGTCAAACAATCAATGCAATTGCGTCTGAGCTGGCCGAGAGACAGAAAAAGACCCGGTCGTGGTGCTGAATCCAAGGAATTGCGACGTTGTTTTGTTTAGTAAGTGGTTTGGGTGAGGGACGGTTTTGGGACAGCTTGACGCTGGTACTTGGACAAGGTACTTTGTTGTGCATATCCGGCCAACCAACCTCTGACCTCAGACAGGGTGCTGCGCTAACGTAGGCTATTTTTGGGGCTGCTGGTAGTCTCGACAAGGTACTGGCAAGTAGCCTAATCGCTGGTGTCGTCGCTTAATTGTATGGAAATGGATCCGTTCGATACTCAAAGAATACTATAGAGTACCTAGGCACATTCTCGTAGTGCTGATCCTCGCAACTACAACTCCGCCTCATTAGCTCCGCCTCATAACAGAGGCTCTAACATGACTTTTAACATTGCATCACAGCTCTGTTTTTTCCATTTGTGTCATTTTTGTAATTTTGTATTTTTGTAATTTTGTATTATACAGAAAACCAAATACTGCATTAGTTCCGTCATTTCCAATAACGCGATTTACTATATAACATTCGACAATGCACCTTTTTCTCCCAAAACATGCATAACTGCATTTGCCATCTATAACTGGATGAACCCATTCAAAAGCCACCATTGTGTGGTTCAACTTCTTTTCCTTTGCTTCTCCCATAAGCTCTAATTTTGAGACAGGGTAGAGAAAATTCTCTAGATTCACAAGAGGAATCTGGTCCATTGTACGCCATATAAGCAGCGTAGATCTCTCAGGCCGTCTTTCGACCTTTATTAATAATTTTATCGTTTTGAAATGAAATGAAAAGCAACAAGAAAAGGATATTCGATGCGGAGGACCAAACGTCTCCAAATAAAAACAAAACAAAACAAGACAAAAATGTCAAATGACAAATGACAAATACAATCGCATATATACGCAGCCCGAAAAGCTTCAGCTTCCATAGCGAATGGGCTTGAGTGGACTTCCGGAATAAAAGCTGGCCAAAGACTTAAGAGAGCAAGTTGCGAAGAGAAGGGTTTGTACTCGCCGCTGTAGTCGGCCTGTTTTCTGGGAGCCGTGGAGCCATAGGACCCGACGACGGAGGCAACTCATGAGGCTGGGGTGGCGGCGCCGGCGGTAAACCGTTTCTCAAAATCGGAGGGCTAGCATGTGAGGGGGGCGCCGGATATGATGATCTCTGAGGATGAAGACCATGCGAGAATACATCTGACCGCGGCGGAGGTGGCGGCGGCGGAGGTCCGTTATTCATAAGGTGAGCCGGGGGGTGGATAGGTCCTCCGTGGCCTGGATGTCCGCTGTGATAAGGAGGGACGTACGGAGCGGGAGCAGTTGGTCCACTCATGCGTCGTGGGGAAGGAGGGAGCCCGTTGGTATAGCCATGTCCATGCGGATGACCACCAGGAAGCGGTGCAGCTGGAGGCGGACCAGCCATGACAGGCGGTCTCAGAGCTGAAAGGTTCGAGACTGGTGGTGGTTGAGGCGGGGGCGGGCCGCCGTGCAACATAGGCGGGGGGCCACCGTTGATGTGACGAGGAGGTGAGTTATGCTGGCTGCTAGGACGATGCGGCGGTGCCCACTCAGGATAGGCCGTCGTTCTGCCTGGCGGCGGCGGTGGTTGTGCCGGCGGATATGGGTGTGCCATCGGAGGTGGTCGGTGTCCTGCCACTTGAGCTGGCGCGTGAAGCGGTGTAGGCATCGGTGGAGGAGTAGACACAGCTGGCATTGCATGCGAACCTGGCGGTGGTTGCGGCCAAGAAAGGGGGTGGCTCATATGGCGTCCGTCACGATAATCGACCACATTGGGCGGCGGAGGGGGAGGAGGCGGCGTTGAGCCTCTCATAGGAGGCACCGGAGCCATCAGAGTAGCCTCCATCGGTTGAGGACGTGCAAGATCGGAAGGCGGAGGTGAAGGTCCAGTTCGTAGAGTCAGCCCCGGACTACGGGGTGTCTTTCGTAGCTTGTGACATTTCTGGCATTGGAACTTTCGCTGCTCAACAAACTTTTGTGCTTCAGATCCAATGACCCCGTGATGGCCGTTGGTAAGTCTCCGCTCTTGAAAGTTATCAATCGGCCACCATCTCAAGGCGACGTCTATGCCGCATGTGATGCAGATTTTATCGCCCGGATGCTGGGGATGGGATCCTGGGTCAGCCACATCGCCGTTGCGCGGCGGAGCCCAGGTACCATTAGGCGCTGTCGTAGTAGATGCTCTGCGATTCCATGCCTGAGCTGGTGCTCCGGATACTTTCGCCGCTGTTGTCATCTGATTGGCCTTGCGAACCGTACCAGTCAAGGTAAAGTCTGCCTGCTTGAAATTCTGGACGTAGAGCTGGAGGGCATTCAGCCCTGTGTCGCTCACAACATCATGAATTCGATGAACAATCGTCTTGGTGGGAGCATGCTCTTTACACCAAAGTACTGCCGACATGATGCCACTCTCGCCGTTAATTGTGACAATGTTAAACTGATCTCGCCGGGAGCTCTTGACCGGAGCAATGTCGAATCCGAGAATATGCCCCTTTTGTCGAGCGCATTCAACGTGATCTACGTATCAAGTTAGCTTGCTAAAGCGCCCAACAGAATCAAAAAATGGAGAAATAAAAGAGAACGGAGAGGCTTACAAGATGCACGGCATTGATGGCAGGGCACACATGCCCCACCTTTCTGGTTGCAAGCTTGGCAGATCTCGTCATACTTTGCTCTCGAGATAGATGGGACTCCCTCCGATGGTTCCATTGCCTTGGCGTTACCAAACTTGACTTCGGGTGTCCATACGGCGCAGGTGACATGCACCCAATTGTTATCGGCTGTACGCTTGAGCGGCTCGCGGGGGTTGACTGGGCGATTCATCTCTTCCTGCTTCTTGCGGTAGTATTCAGCAGCCTTGCGGGCTTGTTGAACTTCTATCTTTTCTCGCTCACGGTCCTTCTCAGACATCTTTTTCTTGTGATGTGTGAGTTTCGGCAGCTCGACGAAATCATGTTCAGTATGCTCAACAGGGCACAAGACACATTTGTATTGCTACACACAGAGGTTGTTAGTACAGAACTTTCTAGTGTAAAACATTACATCAAAGATTTGGGTTTGAGCTGGACTTACGATCGACACTTGTGGGCTCTTATCATTCGCACACATGTCACATATCCATTTGCCTTGGACCTTGTTGTCAATAATGCCGTAGCAATTACGGTGCACTGTCAGGCGACACTCTCGACATGAGAGGTGCTGGTCTCCCATCGGCTCCATCTGATCGCAGATGGCACATGGCAGAGTCCGTGGTTTTGGCATTTCTGGGGCGGCAGGCGGCTCGGCAGCTGCCTTCTCTGCCTTCTCTGCCTTCTCCTTCTTCTTAGTCGGAGCTGCGCTTGGAGTGCTACCGGCATCTGAGGGTGTTGCTTCGAGTTCTTTATCGGCTGCAGTCTTGAGCTTCTTTCTAGGAGGCTCCTGAGTCTCGCCGGGTTGAGAGGCGGTGGCTTTGGAAGGAGTCGGAGCTCGTTCGGGCGTCATATATCCCATTTCTTGTGCAAGCTGGAGCTCTTTGAGAAGTTCTTCATCTTGCTTGCGTTTCCATGCACGACCACCAGCCTGCGCAACCTTCTTGGCCACTTCTTCAATAACTTCATATCGAATAGCATAACGTCGCCATAGTTCGGCGCAGCGCCGGCACAAGGCGACAACGTATTGGTTCCCAGCTTTATCTTTCCCGGTGCCCTTGAGGCCCTGGTCATTGACAAGCCCAGGAAGCGGGTTCGGCGCTCTTCTCCACTGACGATCCTGCGTCCTATTGCAAAATTGGCAGATAAAGCTTCGCTTCTTCTCAACCGCCTTCTCTGCGTCGAATGCAGAATCGTCGTCGTCATTAGCCACATCGTCAGCAAGCTTTGAAGCCGCAATGTCCTCGCGTCTAGCTTGCTTCTTTCCTTTTCGACCGGGGAAGCTGCCCCAAACTTGCTGTCCCTTTTCAGTCTTCTTCCAAACGTAATAGTGCCGGACAATCTCGCCCGGCGGCTTCGATTTGACATGTTTCATGACAAGATGCAGCTCAGAGCCGAACTTTGAAACGCCCTCTTCGAATTTCTTGACCTCGGCCGGGCTCAAGTTGGGCTCTTTGAATTCACTCCTAGGCTTCTCTGAGAGCACAGTGAGGGCCTTGGACTCATCAAAGTCTTCGCGAAATAATGACTCGATGGCGGCATCTCGAAGGTTAGTAGAGCGCACAGGAAGGTCCAGCGTTTTGGCCGTCGACATGGCTTCGGCAACATAATCATTGATCTTATCAAGAGACGGGGTATCTGAGGTTGGCGGCTTCCATAATAATGTGGCCGTGCAATTGGGGTCATTTTCGTCCAAGTCCTCGCCGCGAGCAACGTATCCCGGTGGCTGATCTTGGACCCACTTCGGCCGCTGTCCTCGGCGAGCCTTTTCGGCCTCCTGCTGTTCCTTGATTAATTTCTGATCTTTTTTGCCGCCCTTTTTGAACTCCAGCGGCTTGACATATTGAACAGGCTGTCCGGGCCACGCGCCAACAGTGGCTTGGTTTCTGGGTCCGATGCGGGTGCCTGCACGAGGGTAAATGCGATCATCGTAGTCCAGGGCGTCCTCCGGCTTGCAATGCATGCCGAGATAGCGCCATGGCCAGAGACTAGCCTGGTAAATCTGCTCCGAGGTACCCTGATGAGGCGCATCGTCGTCGGCGGGGCTTGTCCTGTCGGTTTCGATGCCTTGAGCATCCTCTTCGTCTTCGTCCAGGAGCTCGTCGTCGTCGGCATCCACGGTGTCGATGGTATTTGGTGTATGGCGAGCTTCCAACTTGCGCTCCTGAGCACGACTGCATGCAGCGCAGGACCAAGCAAACCCACGTGAAGGTTTTTTGAGCAACGGTGGCTTGACGCAGTTCATGTGGTATGTGTGCTGACACACTGCGCAATCAACGGAATCATTGCTGTTGGTGGGGAATTTGGTGTTAGTACAAAGAAGCTATCAAAGTTGGTTTGGCTTGTGAAAGGTGTAAGAGAAAAAAAGGAAAAAAAGGGGAAGAAAAAAAAGAAGAACCAAGGGAATTAAAATGAATGCTGCCAAATCTGCATTCTTTTTTTTTCTCCAAGTGCTTCTTGATGAAAAAAAACTCAAACCTATACCCCCCCTGGTGTGACTTTTTTTTTTGGGAGCCGATGTAGTGACGCGCTGCACGATGCTGCTTCTTCAGCGGCTCAAAGTGACATCGGACAGTGCCTAAACGGGCTCCCGGAATCGCTGTCACGGGCTGTAGCAGAAGTTTTAGGCTCTGGCGGTGGTCCGACTCTGGGCCAGCCAGCAAATTGCATGCACATGCACGCACGGCAGAAGCACACGGTGGGAGGGGAGAACACGCAAGGCGAGGCGGAGAATGAAGGAATGGGAGGGGGGTGTGTCGACGGTTGTGGTAACTGGGGCTCCCCAACTGGAGGGGCGCCCAAGCCGGCAATCCCTGGTGAAGGTACCTGAAGAAAAAAAAAAAAAGGGCTCTCCCTGAAAGAGGGGGGTAGACGCATTGTACTGGTGGGCTGGCGGCCAAGTACCAGCTACCACGGGAACCTTGTCCTCTGCACAAGGACCTTCGGCCGAATGGAGCCGGGCATCGCAGGTACCAGTGACAGGCGAGGGTAAAAGGCGCCAGGGGAACAGGTACGGCGCGGTACTTGCAGCGCCGCAAGCTGCAACGGGAAACACAAGACAGATAGGGCAGGGCAGGGCAGAGACAGAAGCAGAGACAGACATGACAGACATGACAGGACAGGGACAAGGACGCGACGAAAAGAGAACATAGAGAGAAGACGCCCTAGGCCGGATGGAGCGCCTTGTAGGGTCGTGTCGACGGTACGTACCTTGCGCAATAGCCGCTGCATCTCTTGCAGAGCTTAACGGCGCTAGTCAGCTCCTTGCCACGCCCCTGCTCGACTAGCACGTACTGCCAGCGCTCGTCCAGCACCTTCTTGACCTTTTCGGGCACGTTGACTATGAGGCGGGTGGGAATCAGATCGTAGTTCTTCTGGATGTACCTGTCGTACAGCTTCTCGTACCAGAAGCTGTCCGGCGTGCGACGGTAGTCGTTCATGCTCTTGATCTCCAGCCGGTGCCTGATCTGGCACTTGCCGCGCAGGGCCGTCAGGGGGCTGATGTCCGAGTGCATGCTGGCAAAGACCATTCGCGTGTCGCTGGCCTTGCGCCCAATGTCCTTGGGGCGATAGAACCAATTGATGCGCACCGCGTCCACCGGCCGGGCGGCGTCGTTGTTGGTGTGCATGAACTCCATGATGCGGCCCAGGTAGTAGGGCTCTCCCGGCGGCTCGCACACGAGATAGACGTGATCTGCCAAGACGCTCTGTTAGCTGGTGCAAATTGCCCTCTGGCAATAGATAGGGTGGAGGTGGATCCCGGCCGTGCTACCTACCATTCGCCTCGAGCACCGTGCCATCGTCGGCCACCATTCGACCATTGTCCGGCAGGCCTTTGCACGTCTCAAAGGTGAGCATGTTGGATTCGGGCCATGTCATGCCCTGGAGCTGGGCCTGCGCGGCCAAGGCGTTCTTTTTTGACGCCGCGGTCGTCGACGCCGGCGGCGTTGCTGCAGCCGATGTTGCGGTTGATGCTGCCGCTGCCGCGCCGCCGTTTTGGTTAGCTGCCGCCTTGCGTTTCCGCGAAGGCTGCAAAGTGCCAGTTCCCGACGTCGCCTGTGATGCGTGAATCGTTCCGCCGGATTTCGCATCCTGGCTGCCATTCTGGCTGGGGGTGGCCTTGGAGTCGTCCGCCGCGGCAGCAGCATTTTTGCGAGAGCTGCCGTTGCCGCGAGGCGTCTCGCCGTTGCTGACGCCGTTGGTCTGCCGCGAGGGCTTCTTGGCGGCGTCGCTGTCTTTTTTGTCAGGGTAGTAATCATACATGTCCATTTCAATGTCCTTGTCCTCGGCATAGTTGGGACGAGAGTTGGCCGTCCTGTTGCGGGAGCGAGTCCCGTAGGGCATGGCCTCAATGACAGTGTCCTTGTCTGCCGCGCCTGAGGCGGACGACGTCTTGGCCATTGCCTCGGGCGATGCCTTTGCTTCAGGCTCAGCAGATTTTGAATCCTGTGGTGCGTGTCAGAGAAAATGTTGGGCGGCGGGATGAAAATATATCGAACATGTACGCCAATGAATTCAAAATAGACAAGAAGAAAAGAAAAATCGTGGTGGTTGCCAAATGCGGCTTGTAAGAGAGCAAAGTATAAAAAAACAAAAGACTAGAAAAACTCACGCTCGGTTGCACCATATTGGCGACAGATTAGCAGTGTGGCCGTGGAACGAAGCAAATGGAGCTTTGTGAAGGCATGCCCGTCTTATGCCTCGAGCAGCGTGTGTGAGTGAAGAAGAGAGTTGGGACAGGATGAGAGCGATGGAGGGCTTCGGTGTAAAAGACGAGAGCAAGAGACCGAAACGCAATTTACAGCTCCTGCAGGGCCGTAGAGAATCCGGGACGGTGAGTTGGCACGGCAATACAGGCGATCGAGAGCAAAAAAGGTCGTCTCTCGCCGCGAAGGCCACGGCGTGGGAAGCGAAGGTTGAATGAGAGAGGAAAAGAGAGTTAGTATAGGCATGAGTCTGAAGAAGACATGCCCTGGCACTGGCGCCGTACAAGCATGGGGGCGGCAGACACTACCCAGCAGGTACTAACGCAGTAGCGTTCCCAGGCCCAGGTAGCCGAGGTAGCGCAGAAGTACGCCTTAGCAGCCTGTGGCGAACCGTGCCGCGGAGCCTGGGCGCGTGAGGCTAAGCGGCGATGCTAGTGACTTTATATCTACCTGGCGCACCCTTGATTGAGCGGTGCTCCACAAGCCCGCCTCTGGTCTCACACCATTGCTGAATGGACGGATCGTCTCCCAGCTTTTTTTCTATGAGGCGTTCCTCAGCGCCCACCCACGGACGACGCACACGCTTGGGTCGATTCTGTGGCTGCTGCGTGGCTGCTGCGTGCAATGCGCTGGCCTGGGAGAGGGAAACCGCATCGCCAGGCTGCTTCGTCTGCCAAATGCCAAATCCAATATGCAGCCTGCATCTGTAATGCAGGGCGCTGAACAAAGCGGGAAGCTACCGAAACGCCTCGATGGCCTGCTAACGAGAGGCGCTGGTTGGCTGGCCTGGAACAACACGGCACCACCCACTGCCTATCTAAGGTGTCTATTGTGTGTGCTGCTAACGGCTCTCTGGCGATCTTCCTTGCTAGCAGGTTCCATTTAATAGACCGCTCTCCGCCGTGGCTAGGGGCGATGCGATGAAGCTGCAGGCCTCGTGGCAGGCAACGGACAGCATCCATGATATAGGCCTGCTGCACGCCCAATACGGGCACTGCTTCTGCCCAGACTCGGGGCGTCTCCTGCCTGCTAATGCAGTGCGAGTTGTAAGAATTCATGTGCTGTGCCATGCTCTGCTCTGCTGTTTTTCGACCTCTGGCAGCACGTATCACGCGTGTGGGCTCTGGGCGCGGCAGCAGGAAACAGGACCGAGACGCAGTGCTTTGGCCGCATCGGACCGCATCCAACTCTTGGGTACGAATTCACGCATGTGCAAAGTACTGCCGGTGTGACTTGACGTTAGCACGGACAGCGGCCTTGCCTTGGGCACAACTCGTTGCAAAAATACGCTCGCAGGCAGCAAGCCACCAATGAATTGTCTGCCTTGTCCTCGTCTCAACTTGGTTGACCATTCTGGGAAATGAAGGGCCTGGGACGTGTATATCAAGCCTCTCACAGATCGGTGCGGCTACAGATGCTAACTCGCTTCTAATCGATTTACAAAAACATCTAGCCAATAGACCACGCCCATAGAATCTACCATCTTTTTTTTTTCCTCCTACGGGGCTTTCTGGCGCGGGTTATTATCGCAGAAGAGCGCTTTGAGTTCCGGAGGTGAGGTCATGAGCAATTCCTAGAATGGTCAGCCCCCTAGCAGATTTTATGGGGCATCTGGTAGGGACGCCGGCACACGCAAGATGGGAATTGCTCGAATATCCACTCACCTGACCAGGACGTCCAAGGAGCACTACGACTGCTAGTAGAGAGCAGCATTCGCTCGCGTCACCCTTTTTGCTTGCTCGCCTGGTCCCAATCGTGCAAGGCGAATGGTGACGTATGGCGCATATAGTGTGTGCTACCAGCAAACTGTCTGAACTACCTGTCTGTACAGACCCTAATCTACCCAATGCTATTTCGTTACGCCAGAGTCGTTGTTTGCTTGGCAGCCAGAGCCGCAAGGATGGAGGGAGAGACGCCTCCCTAGCATTGCATGGCTGCGAGAGACGAGGTGAAAGGGCATGATCGTGCGAGACTAGCGGCGTGTTGCGGCCAGGCTGGCTCATTTCATTTTCGAATCAATGAGCTGCTGCAGTTAATTGGCATGCGGATACACGAGCGTTGTCATGCCGGTCGGATATTGAGGGTACCCGTCGCCAGGTACCTCGAGTATTCCCACTGTCTGCTCCGCAACACGAGTAATAGGTAATCCGCATAAACCGATAGATCTGTGTGCAAGGTGCAAGTCGCCCACGCGACTACACAACCACTGCGAACCTGACGACACCAGGCATCTTGTGCTTGGTGAGCAATGTGCGAACTACAAATCGCGGGTTACCCATGGACCGTTTTTATACGGCGGGACAGCTGTTGGCCGCCTTGTACGGACATACAAAGCAGCTTTGCCGGATCAGCTTCTGGGGGATGCGAATCCGGATGTGCTGCCGTCATCGTCACCATTGCCACGACGTCACATCCTAGAGCCGGGGCCGTCTGTCACAATCTGATACTGCTGCTACCACACGTTAATAGCGCAATAACCGCGAAAAGTCCGAGCAACCCGCGGCAGCAATGAAATTTTGGCCATCGTCGCACCAGCACGCAGCGTATTAGACGGTAAGGCAGAGTGAAAAGTGGCGACATATCGACGAACGGTGCTCCGGCGGAGGAAAAAAAAAAAGTAAAAGCAGGCTAGCGACAACATCCCGTCGGTCACAGGGCAGCCTACCAGAGGTACCTACTCGGATATGGTTTTTTTCTCTCCTTTGTGCGAGAACCTGGCAGAACCAGGTGAGAAGAGAGTCTAAAGTAACAAAGAATCGCCCGGATCGGCTTTGTGGAGCCCAAGCCTGCGAAAGTAGAACGACTGGCGGTGCTGTAGTAGATGGTAAGCTCCGCTAACAGCGCCACAAGAAAAAGGAAAAAAACTTCCATCGATTGCCAGCGGCGCCGGGGCCAAGGTTCATTATGATCGCGCTAAAGCCTAAATGATTAGGTAGTAGGTAGGCAGCTGGCACTGTCGGTGGTGAACGGATCGCCCATCGGTAGGTTTCGCGAAACAGCCCGCGTATAAGCACAGTTGGCACACACGCTTGATAGACAGCTGAACTCCATCTGTGGCAAGATTGTTGTGTTGCCCAAGATTGCGTGTTTGGACGGTCGCCCGACACACACATGTGCGATACATGCGCACACGACTAGTAGCTTGTTTGCTCGTCAACGGCGACATGGAAATGTCTGGGCTTCTCTTCCCCTCGATTGTACAGATGCCACAGCCGCAGCCCATCAGTATTAGCGGGCGGGCGCCTTTGTTGAGGACAGTCTCACCGATAAAAGGCCACATTTGGGCGGAAACCAGCCATCCAGCTGTCGTCAGACGACTCATCCACATCGCCCGTTCAGCACTATTAAGGTTAAGAGGTACAACTGCCAAGGGTCGATGGGGGCTCATTGCCACGCACGAGTTTCAAATGGTTTTACATTCTCTACGTGTGTGTAGAACGGAGATGCTGGGTGGTCTGAGCAAACCGCAGCACGGGTCAAGATACCTCACCTACTGCCTACAGTAAAGCTAAGAACCTCAGCCTGTTGATTGCGACTGATAGTCTCCGTGATATTGTCGCGCTCTCATCTACACGCCCGTTTATAAGCCGATACTCTCGTGCTACTTGTCAGCGCTGTGCGCCAATTGCAGGTTCGTGTTACCATTACAGCTGGCATTGATTTAATTTCGCAACTACTTTTTACAGGTACAGCTACAAACCTCCTCGGCGCCCTACTACTTATAGGTACATGCCGCATGTACTGTATTGCCAGACTCCGAGTTCTGGAAGCGGAATGGCGCAGGGTTCCGTGGCCGGCCAATCACCAGCCGCGGGGGGGCATCCTTGGAAATCGGGGCTGCAGCGATTGGGTGTGGGTGTGTGTCACTGTCAGGTTCCAGGAACGCCCCGCAGGTCTGGAGCAGCGACTGCAGAAGAGCGTTGACAGGCGCGTGTTTGAGGCGCCGCTACAAGTCAAATCCGACACACGGCCTTTGATTGTGCTGCGATACCTGCTCGCAGTCAGATTTGCCTCTTCGCAGTGCACGCTTCCCGGGGAGGGCATAAAGGAGAGGGAGAAATTATAGGAAACGAAACGCCCGAAGCTGGCAGCTAATCTAGCATAGCCGCATGGACGCATCGAGACTTGCCCTTGTCTCGATGCAGCCTAGGCGCCTTTGCTCCCGCACTAGCACCGAATAACATTCAGTCCGCTGTCCGCCAGAACGGGATGGGACGCTACAGCAATCTGAGGGAGGTACTTGTGCGAGTGCGGCGCAGCGCCTAGGGGACAGGTACCGGTACCCGTGGCGTACCCTTCCTTTGTGTTGGCTTCTGCCGCTTTCCAATTACATAAGTCTCTTCACGTGACTTCGCGTGTTAGTCTTGCTCGTAGCGACCCAGGCCTGCCACCTCTGCCTGGCAATAGCGCGCTTCTCTCCACCACCGATCCAGGTCAAAAGGTGCCGAGAATATGATACGCGGATCATGAGATTGCTGACTGATACTTTCTAATCTTTCTTCTCCCTCTATCCTTCGCTGTCCTTCGCTTCTCTATTTCTTTGCGTACCCAGATGAGTCTCTCTTCTCTGTAGGTGCGTGTCGCCGCCTGCTTCCCCGCAGCCATGGAGAGCATGAGAGGTCTCCTGCACAAGACGAGCGTCCAGGAGGCTCAAGAGCGGCAAGCAGGGGCTGTTGGACCGCCGCTGGCTGGCCAGAAGAGGAGCTGGTCGACCCTTGACGACGCAGACACGAAAAGCCTGCCTGTAATATCCGGTGCCGCGACTACGCCCATCTCGGCGCCGAACTCTCAAGGCCCGGTCCGGTTCCAGAGGCCGCCTCTTTTTTCCTCTCCAACTGCTCCTCGGCTTTCTGCTAGCAAGATTGTTTCGATTGATATCCCGGAAAAACCTTCCGAATATACACAGCGACGTGTGTTTGCTGCGACCCCATCCTCTTCCATAGACGATGAGCTGGATCTTGCTCACCCAGTATATAATCTCCCGCCCCAGCTGGTTAATAACTTTGCTTCGCTTGGTATCAAGCAGATATACCCATGGCAGAAGAACTGCCTCAAGGGACCCGGCTTGCTCACAGGTGCTAAAAACTTGGTGTATTGTGCTCCCACCGGTGGCGGAAAGTCTCTTGTTGCTGATTGTGAGCCATCTTGTCGTATCTGTCATGTAGTCATGGGGGGCCAAGTAGCTGATGATTCGCCCAGTACTTATGCTTAAGAGGGTAATGGAAGAGCCCGAGACCAAGGCCCTCCTCATTCTCCCATATGTTGCTCTAGTACAGGAAAAGGTTCGCTGGCTACGGAGTGTAGTCCAGGGGCTGAGTGCAACTTTAGACCCTGAAGCTCTAGAAAAGCGAAAGGCAACCAGCATATGGCAAACTCGTCCCGATCATGATTCCATCAAAGTTGTTGGCTTTTTCGGAGGCGGCAAGATTAGATCTTCGTGGCAAGACTTTGATATTGCCATATGTACCCTGGAAAAGGTTTGCTTCCTGTACCTGGCTTGAAACCCAATTAAGAAATCTAACCTCTCTCTCTCTGCCCCTAGGCGAATATGCTCATCAATACCGCTATTGAAGACTCTTCCATTTCTCAATTGCGGGCTGTAGTTCTGGACGAGCTTCACATGATTGATGACGATCATCGCGGATATCTCCTAGAGCTGATAGCAACCAAGCTCCTGAGCTTGGAGCAGCCCATTCAGATCATCGGCATGAGTGCTACTCTTCCCGTAGGTGCTATGCATTACATACAATATTCCATGCGCTCTTGCTGAGTCTGAAGCTTTTTTAGAATGCGAATCTGGTAGCTGAGTGGCTCAAAGCGCACTCTTATGAAACTAGATATAGGCCAATACCGATAGAAGAACACCTGGTCTGCGATGGGAAAGTCTACTATGTCGGCTCCAACGGTGCTTCAGCACAAAGGCACCTAAAAGTCGATGAAATTTCAAATGGCCAAGTTGAACCCACAAGATGGATTCAAGGATCCAGCCATAGAGAATTCCAAGATCCGGTTATGAACGCAGTGGTATCCTTGGCCCACGAGACTGCCGTCCTGGGATACGGATCCCTAATATTTGCAGGTAGCCGAAGCATTTGTGAGGCAGACGCTCGTCTGATCAGCAAGGTAATGCCTCAACTGGATGAATTGGATAGCGCAACGATGGACAAACGAATGGATCTCCTGAGCGAGCTGCGAAGTCTCAGTACGGGGGCTGATCCAGTATTAGAGGAAACTGTCTTGTATGGCGTTGCGTTTCACCGTGAGTCTTTTCCCCTTGGCAATATTCCCCCTTGATTGAAATATGGTACTAACTACTGCTATCAAAGATGTGCGTATCACGTTTTGTTTTCCCGAAAAGAGTACGTGTTAGCTAATCTGATAGGCCGGCCTAACGAGCGAGGAGCGAGATCTCATTGCCGCGGCGTATGATGATGGCACTCTCCCAGTGTGTGTTGCTACCTGCAGCTTAGCAGCGGGCATCAACCTGTGCGTCCCATACAAGCCGATATCGTGATGAATATGACTGGCTGACCACATAACTAGCCCTGCGAGAAGAGTAATACTACATAACGCAAGGATGGGACGAGACTTTGTTGGTCCCTCTATGCTACGGCAGATGAGGGGCCGCGCCGGAAGGCAGGGCAAATCACCTGTAGGCGAGACATATCTCTGCTGTCGCCAAAACGATCTAGAGCAGGTCTTGGATCTCATGTATGCGGATATTCCAGAGATTGTCAGCTGCCTCAACACTGAGAATAAGCGCGTTCAAAGGTGAGACGATGACAAGTCTGATACCAACTAGTATCACATTCGCTGACAGCCCCTTCTAGAGCCATCCTGGAAGTGATTTCCGTACGACTAGCGACCAGCCAGGAATCCTTGACAGAGTACTTCTCCAATTCCCTCATCAGCTATACTCACGACCGAGAATTCATAGAAGAATGCTTAAAATCAGGACTGCAGGAAATTCACGATCTAGGCTTGATTGTTAACGATTCCTACTCCAATTTCACGGCCACACAGCTGGGCAAGGCCATCGTAGCCTCTTCGGTTGATCCATATGATGGAGTCTTCATACATGCTGAACTTACTAAGACACTCAAGGCATTTGTGATGGATGGGGAGATGCATATCCTCTACGTCTTTACTCCGGTTCAAGATTTTGGAATCACACTCAACTGGCAGATATTTCGCAACGAGATGGACGCCTTGGACGAGAGCGGACTTCGAGTCCTTGGATTCTTGGGGATTAAACCAACAGCGGTCCAAAAATTGTAAGAAATGCCTCTTCAAGTACGCCACTTTCTCCATTCTATACGACCTGCTAACACACGCCCCCTTCAAGTGCTCAGGGAGCACCTCTCAGGGAGAATACACCCGAAGAAAAGGAGCTGGCTCGTGTATATCGGCGTTTCTACCTTGCCCTTCAGCTACGGGATTTATGTAATGAGATGCCGATACACATGGTCGCTCGAAAATACGACTCTCCTCGAGGCTCTGTGCAGACTCTTGCGCAGACCTGCCAGGGTTTCGCAGCAGGCATAATTAAGTTTTGTGAACATATGGGATGGGGGTAAGTCTCGATTAAAGAGGACCCTCTCGCTTCTTTATTATCCCTTACGAGGTAACTAATCTAATCTTGGGACTTGAAGTATCATGGCCGCTGCTCTAGAGCACTTCTCAGACCGATTAATGGCCGGCGCAAGGACAGACCTCCTGGCGCTCGCCAAGATTCCGTTTATCAAAAGCCGCACCGCGTAAGCAACACGTTACCCATCCCCAATCCGTAAAGACGGACACAAGTAGAATGTACTTATGTGTATCTCTTCTAGGCGTGTCTTTTGGGAGAATGGATACCGAACTATCGGCGCCATTGCGAACGCTGATCCTAAAGAGCTGGTTCTCGTTCTGATGCAGGTACGTTTTTTTTTTTTCGGATGAGGTAGCCGAAAAAGATGGGGTTTGTAGCAGAACGATCTTGCAGTGCTTTTCAAACTAACAGTCTTTAAACCATCAGGCCCAACCAAATAAACTGCGAATCAAGGGAAAAGCTGATGAAATGTACGAAGAAAAGCTACTGGCCAAAGCGAACGTGATTTCTGCATCGGCAAATCGACTGTGGCGTAAGTTTGGTGTATCTTTGCTTTCGCGATATTGGCCCACAGCATGTATACCTGTTATGGCTTTGAGTTGGCTAACTATTGGCTTTAGAGGTACAACTACAATCAGAAATGGCGGAGGAATAAGGAAAGGTAGGTAGTTTGTATATGCATATACTTCCAGGAAGTAGGTACTCGTAAGAGGTGGATATAAAAAGCTTTTTCCCATATGTCACTTAAACGTGCCAACATACTACCTCCAAGCTTTCTGTAGAAGCATAAAAAGGTGGTCTCGCTTCGTGTGTATCAGTATATAAACCGCCAGCTATCCTCAGAAATCTCGTCCTTGCCCAACAATTTGATTCTTCATACAACACATATATACACCTAAAACGCATAGAATCAAATACAGCCACCATGAATGTCGAAACCATCGAATCCATCCGACGGGCTCTGGTCATCGTCTCACTGCTTTGCCATTGCTTCCTGTCAGTGAGCCGTGCAAATCTGCCATTTGCGGCATATGTGGCCGTCTTTGTGATGGACGTTTGTCTCATCACGTCGATGGCACTGGATTATTTTGTGCCAGGGGAATGTTCGCGATATTACTAGCGAATATACATTTGTTATGCATCTACGTATATCATCAAAACATCAAGGTACGTTCTATCATGGTCATTTCTCTTCACAGACGCAGCTTCTTCTATTTTACTAACACCTTATTCCATCAGCACAGCAACGCCTTTTAAAAACAAGAAGAATCTCGTTCTTTCAATCTCCCGAGTTTTCATATCCGTTTTGAGCTATATACCCATGCTGCAGCAAAGCCCTCCCTTGGTGGACTGGAGCAGTATTCTTCGATGAGAGGGCCATTCCAAATTATACCGTTTTTTTTTTTTGGTACTGTCAACTTTTTTCCTTGGTGGGCACGGAATCAGTCAATGTCACGGAGTACATCAATATCAGGGGGCGTTAGGCGTTATACAAGGAATTTTAATTACAAAGCTAATCAATCCATACTATGATAACAAAGGTGGCCCAATAAGTCTCTTCTACAAACTCAGTGCATGCTAATTAGACAAAATGAGACCAGGTGTCCTCTCAGTCAAGCCATCTGATCTGCGCCTCCCCCGAGTAAACTTTGCGCTCTATACAAATGTCCCTCCCCATCGGCCCTTTGTGTGGAACGAGACGCGACGCTTGCGTAATTAATAGAGCAAAATGGGCCTTCTTCAACCCCTCTAAAAATAGATAATCGTATTCCGAATGTACTGTACTCGTCTCCATCCGCCCCGGTCTTGTCGAATCTTGCATCATCTAGTCAGCCAAAACGTTCCTCAGCATGACCAAGAAGTTTTCCTTGAGCTTATGGACCTCGGAAACCGGCGGCTTCACGGGCTCTCCCGCTGAACGGCGTAGACGATCTCGCCTCTTAGCCCGCCTCTGCCTCTCAGCTTCTATGGGATCCAGGTCATCTTCTTCTTCTGCTTCAGACTCCGAACCGTCGTCGTATGCCAAATCTTCCAGGTCTTCGCCATTCAGGCCGAAATCGGACGAACTAAATCCGGTCGGCATCATGTCGCTTCCTGGTGCTCCTTCGGCAGCCATCTTCTGCTGCGTCTTGTCGCTGTGCCACTTCTTCCGCGCCTCCTGCCAGGCAATCAAAGCATCAATCTCAGCAACCGCCTTTTCCTTGTCGATGATGCCACTGCTGACACCGCCCTCGAACAAGGCATTGACGTTGAGCGTCCCGTTCTTGGGGCCCTTGCGGAGGAATTCCAAAATGCCCTCTATCCACTCCATAAGCTGAGTAAAGAGGCCGTTATCGTGTGTATGGATCTCATGTACAAATTTGTAAAAGTTATGCTCATGCCTGGCGCACAGATCGATAAACGCTTGAACCGTTTGATTAGGATCCGCAGACGCATCGGCTTCTCTACACTTCTCGACAACCTTGATCATGTCATCGATGAAAACGGCAAAATCAGTTACACTGCCGTATACATTGGCCGACTTGTATACCCTCACGAGGGGCTCGTAGAAGATGGTGAACAAGTCTCTAAAGAGTTTCAGCGTAACCGGTTCCTCAATCAGTTGTAGCAGCATGCTCTTATCTCTGTGTCGCGTGCAAAGCTTGAGAAGCTGTTTGAGATATGAAAAGAGCTGAGCACCCTGTTTCAGCTCTTCGTCAATGTTCTCGACAGCGTTGTTGAAAGCGACATATGCGTTAAACAGTCGCTGAACCTGCTCGCCCGTCAATTCTGGCTCAATGAGGTCCGATCTCAGAATCACCACGATGATATCAAGGTCTTCATCTTCGGCTTGCCGACGAATTTCCATCTTGACGTCTTCCGTGGCATCTGTGTACTTTTTGATCTTCTCAACGAAGACAGGGTCGTCAATTTTTTGGTCCAGTGCGTCAATGGATCTTTGAAAGCTTCGAATACCGTCATGTAGCGCCAACGAAAACATGCGCTGCATCAAAGATCGAGCTCCAAAGGGTTGAGCAAGGAAAATGTCCAGGATTCCAGACATGACTGCCGCAGGGTTCGCAATCCGAATGACGTTTTTGATGACGGTATACGGAATAAGAGAGTGGATACGTTTGGCTTGCGCAAACATATCTGCTGAGTTGTCTTCGGCTAAGAAAAGGTGGTATATGACGGCGGCAATTTCGATCCTCAACCATTCGGCGAATTTTCGATACTGAATGCTAAGGTCGCCAATCGTCTCCTTTTCCTTGATCTCTTTGAACAGGAGTGTAAGGCCATTTCGTTCAACGATATCTCTTCGAAACCTATGAATCGTGGTGGTTAATGAAATGATCGATCAGAGATGGCCAGCATATCGGAAATTTTGAGAGTCACTAACTGTTCCATGTACTCGTCAAGCTCTGCAGCTCGTCTTCGGGCAATCTCGTAAAACTCTTTTTGCTCTTCCATACGCTTCTCATCAAGGGCTTTTCGTCGTACGATGTCATCCACGTCTTCGTCTGTGGGCGTTATGGGATCACCACTGAGGAATTCTACCATTGCCTGGGTATTGGCAACCTGAGGATTATGCAAAAGGGACCGTAGGAAAGCGCGGAGGGATATTCTTTGGTTCTCTCGCCAAAGAACAATCTATAACTACGTCAGCCTTCCAACAATCCAGAGATCCTGCAAAGGTAGTAGTGACTGACCTCTCTGTTTCCATCGGGAGTTGCGAACCCCGAGCTTAGCTGACCATCCACGGATGGTCGAGGGGAAGTTCCCTTCTTCGAGCGGCTAGACCTGGCTGATCTGATAGATCCTGCGCCACGTACAGCTATTGGATCATTTAGTATCAATTGTCGCCCTTGCTCCCGCCATGAGAGAAAATGCACCGAGAAATACATACCACTGGAAGCAGTTAGCAGCGACGACGCGCCGCCAAAATTTTGAGATTGTCTCGTTCTACGGGTCGATATAGAAGACGCAGAGGAATCATCGGAATCGTTTGTGGCGCTGGTAAAACTTGTGAGCAGTCCGCTAGCTCTTGTATCTGTCTTGTTCTTTTTCGGCAGCGAAGGCAACACCCTGCCAGGCAGCTCGGTTCGCAGTTTTCGGTGCAACTTGCTGAAATCGCCATATCTGCGCCCGACGAAGTGTTCCAACTCTCCTTTCCTCTTAATTCGAAGAATGAACTCGGCGTGCTTGTGATATCTGATATTGCGCTTGACCGAGGTAACGCGAACTCCGGCAACATTTACGTCCCACCCGTTGATGTAGTTTCCCTCGGGAAGAGTGTTCATGACGCCCCTATCAATGGCATTGCTGTCCACAATCTCGATTTCTGAAAACTTGATGCGCTCTTCGAACCCGGACGAGGTGGGGATGCCCGAGACCATCATCAGCTCAACGAGCTTCTGCGCCTTGATAGCCAGCTTCCGCCGCTTCGTCTCTTCTAAACGATCCTCGGAGGAGGATATCTGTTTCGTCGCAAACGATTCAAGAAACTGCCCTCTGGATGTCAGCAAAAAAAACTTATCCATAGCCCGCAGAGCAGCAGCCCTCGGGCGATGATGGCTCAACATACGACTTGGAGCTTGTCCTGCCAAAACTCCTTCTCCTTCGCCTTATCCAGAAACGGGAAGTCGCGGATATGCTTGACGAAGATGTACCGCAGAATGGGCAGCTCGGATTCCTGAGGAGGCACTTCGCCCTGCTCCGACTTGAACGGCGCGCCGAAGCGCTGCAACGCCGTGGGCGAATTGAGCTCGCTGATCTCCCATTTGACCTGGTCGGAAATGAGTTCTCTCTTCAGATCTGCGCAATGTCAACTCCACGGTTAGCTTGAGATTCAGCGTGGAGGAGAAGCCCTTCAGCGGACTTTCACGGCTCAGCTGGGAAGAAACTTACAGTGCTCCTGTTTTCCCGTCAGCGCATTGCTCGACGTCAGCGCCTCGCCAGAGCCGTTTTCGCGAATGGGCAGAGAAACAGCAGCGCCACCATCGGGCAATCCTTCCTCGGGGGCTGTCATGGCAAAAATCTAGCCCGGCGAAAAAAAAAAAAAAAACGACGCGTTCCTGAAGATCAGAAGTAACAAGTAGATGAGAGACGGGAAAGGGAAGAGGAAAAGCCTCGATCGCTCGCTCGCAGGTTCGAATGACGACAGATCTCCAAGGGCAGTCCGTTTCTGAGAGAGCCCCAGTTGAAATCCGGCGGGGTAGCTAATAAAGTGCTTCCGTAGCGCGATTGTATGGGTACTGTAAGCGCTGTAAGCTCGAACGAGAGACGGACAGCAGGTTCGCCTAAATAGCAGGGCGCAAGCAAAGCAAAACTGCCAAGCGCAAGTGCGATTGCGGAGAGGAGATGGGGAGAGAGCCGAGTTTTATTCAACGCCTGCGATCACGGTGAAGGTGCTGAGACATGACAAGAAAGTGTTTCAACCAACAAAAACATCAAAGACAAATACTAGCAGCATCTGCCAAAGCACACAGCCTCCTTGGCCCCATATTATTATTGCCATCACGTCTGCTGCACTTCTGGGCAGTTGCAGGGACCACCGCATGGGCGCGCTCTGAGTGTAACCATTGGCGGGCGCGTAGAGCAAGCAGCATGTCTGGATATGACGTTGGTCCGCAGCGTCAAGCCACCTCTATGGCTGCACCTCAGTTGGAATCCAGTGGCCTTATTACAGCTAGCTATAGGGGGTAAAAAAGGCAATCAACGCCGATTTCCGAATGGTTTCCATGGACTGATTCCATGGTATCAAGGCTCAGAAACCCCCATCATTCTATCAAATCTTTTCGAGGCACAGATCATAGCTTCAGCATGACATCACCGGCCCGCAGCCAAGGAAACCTGATCAAAAAATTACAGGGTAGCCATATCGATAGGGAGCCACGCAGCAATGCAAAGTCAACGCCAAGATGCTCCAAGCCACATGCCGAGAACAAAAAATCAGTCATTGATTCAGAGGAATTTTCAAAAAGTCCAATATCCGCCGCTCTAAGCCGATTGCAGTGGAATCCCATCCGTCAGCCCCAATTCATCTACAACAAAGAAGAAGAAAGGAAAGCCAAAAGGCTAAGATTGAGTCAAGAAGCGCAAAGAGGAAATGATTATTAATTTCGCCTAAAATGGAGAAATGAACATTCCCTTTCTTCTTCTTTTTATCTGGTCTTTAAGTGGCATTACCATCTACTACGCTTCTCTATCGACTCCTTCTTTGATTGAACTCAAATCCCATTTGCCATTGACTTATCCAAGCGCACGTAGAAGCCCAATATGGCTGTGTGAAAAAGTATGCCGGTTGACCGGACAAGCCGCGATGCTTGGCGCCAAGTGACAGCTTGACCAACGACAAAGAGACTTGTATCTGGCCAGGAATCCCTCGGTTTTCTGTTCCAGGTACCTGAGTGACATAGGATCATGTCTTAAAACGGCCGACATAGGACCGGATATCCTTTCAAAGGGCAGATCCTGCGGAGTACTGCATTACTTCTTCTTCAAGTAATATGAATATGTGCATTGTATTTACAGCTATATGCCGACCACGCCTATTATACAAAACTTCTATAACCAGCCTCACCCTAAAGAAATCCCTATATGAAATTACCCTTTCTGTGCATATGAAACCGTCTCCGAGGGCAACATGTAGTGTTATTAACCCCCCCACAGTAAAATAATTCTCAAACCGCCGACTCTTGAGCCAGATGCCAATCATGCTTTTCTCGCCGGGACGATCGACAAATGATTTGCAGTCGGTATAATAAAACCTGTCCTTGAAAACGGCCGACTTGACCGCTCCTCAGATACCCACATACAGTGAACTGATCTTGAGGCGTTGCATGATGGCCTCACAAGAGGCTCTGCCGTGTAAGAGATGTAATTGGGCAAGGAGCTTTCGTGTCTTTTGCACGCCCCAGCCAACTGTGGCCCTCAAAAACCAAAAATGTCCCCATTTAGAGAGAGGAGCTCAGCTCTTTTGTTCAAAGGAAACTGCTGCAAAGTCCAATAGCAAAGCAGCTTTAAGCGCGCCGCAATAGTGGCCGAGAAGCAACGCGCACGACCCTCACTGCTTGGCTGGTTCGCTCCACTGTGGCAGTGAAGCGGGAGGTGCACGAAGCAGTGCTACGTCTCCGCATATGCTAGACTAACGGTCCTCGGTGATGCCGACAAATGGTCTCGTGTCAAGGGCGTTTCCCGTCCCGGGCTATTGACGTAAATCTTGATGGCGCAGCCTCACCCGATGCCTACAAGGGCCTTGGCCGCTTATACGCCTCGGCGGGCAAGAAAAACAGTGCGATGACTTCTGTGCGGAACGGCGGGTGTTGCTCCGTACAGTGTTGATAAACAATCCGACTATTCAACGTCTCCGTTGGACAGGTTACAGTTCGTCGAATATGCGCAATGGCTCCTCGTCCGCTAGTGGTGCTTCCCATGCCAGCTTCGCCTCTGATCTGTCGCTGCTCCTGCTTGTGGGAAGACTCTGCTTGGCGTCATGATGTATCCCGAGCTCTGGCGTCGTATTCCTCCACACGCTCCGAGGGGCCGGCCCCGTGTCCAGTTCAGCGTTCTGAGAGCTGTAGTTGAAAATCATAAAGAGAAGGGCAACGAGGCAGAGGATAAGGGAGAGCGCCGCCCAGGTGATTCTCAGCCGTTTGCGCGTCTTCTCCTGCCACGCCCTATCTGCGCGCTCCCAGCCCTCGACGAGTTTCCGGACCTTATCCACCCGCGCTGCCAGCTCGTTGACGCTTTGTCTTCCCTCGTTTATGCGACTCTGTAGAGCATCGATGGTGGATTTCTGTGAATCAAAGTGCCCGATGTTGTATATCTGCTTTGTAATGTCCGTTTCGAGCTCTCGCGTCGCCCTGTCAAATCCCACCTGAAGGTCACACGACGCCTGCGCAAGATCCTTTAGGGCCTTGACCATGACCTGCAGGCCGCTCGTCTTTTCCAACAGTACATGGTGAATCTGCTCTACTTGTTGAGAGACTTCGGCCGAGAAGTTGTGGAGGTCGACAACAGACTGCTTTAAACCGCTGAACAGATAAATTAGCATGCGAAATAGCAGGCATATGTGCGCGCGAGTGTGTGTGAAGGAGAAGGAGAAGATGCGTGTGTCTATAGTATGCCTTGTCTTACTCGGTGCTGGGAGAGAGCTTCTGCTTCTGCTTCTTCTTCTCTTGCTCGCCCTGGAGCTTCTCCTTGTCCCTGACGCCCCGGATCAGGTCCAGCTTGTCCTCGCCCAGGGACGGCGACAACAGGCTCGCCCGCCGGCTCTGGATCGGGCTGAGGATCGGGGTCACGGCCTCCGACCGCGGTACATCTATCGAGCGCCGCATCGTCTGTGTCGACGGTATATCGGCATCATCCAGCGTCCTCGCGCGGTGGAGTTTGTTGGTCAAGATGACATCCGTCAGCGACCGCTGGACGCGATGCCGCCTGGACCCGGGCGGCAGCGTGATTGGAGGAGGCTCCATCGGATTTCGGGTCGTCATGAGTAAGAAGGGGACCCCCTTTCTGGTTCAAGCATCGTGCATGCATGCATTATCCACAAAAAGCTGATGTGAACATGCGGCCGGAGCCAGGAACAATTAGGTGGGGCCGAGGCCAGCACACGAATGACGACAAAGCATTCACATGCCGCAGCTTGGCTCGGGTGCGACTGTAGCAATCTACACACTGTAATCTGCAATACAGAGTTGATACAGCAATGCAATGCAACGCCAAATGAAAATAATATCAGCAGATAATTCAAAGTCATTGAACACTGGTACTATTAATTCCACTAGATCTGCAAATCCTCGCTTGTGTGCGTCGTTTCAAGTTGAAATTGAATCCATTTATCTCATCTTATGCTTGAAAATCGTCATTTCTACAGGTTTGTTCGTTCAAACCTTGTGCAAATACGCAGTAGTATCAATGTCCTCCCAACTCCATGCGATGCAAAATGTCCAAAAATGTTCAAAAAAGAGGAAAAATCAGCATGCATATACCTACTACCAGCCATGACCATCATTACCAAGGCATTTGGTAACAGCACATAAGATGCAGGGTATATGCAATACCAACTGTTCCTATTCGTTCATGACCACCAAGAGCCAACGCAGCTCAAAACAAGGCAATCCCAGCAAAGTCACACAAATTCTGGTTTCGGCAAACCAAGCACAAGGCCATGCTGGCATCATGCAGAGCGCACCCTCAAGAGCCGGCCCCATTTTGCTGCAGAATGAAAAAAAGTAAGACACCAGGTAAGGAACGCAGACTGCCACGAGTGCTGGCTGAGTGGCCAAAGTTGATGGCGGTGAGGAGATGTTGCTGCGACCCCCCGTCCAGCTGCGAGCTGCTTCCATGGCCGTGCCGCAACGTGTATCCATTGTAAGCACTTTGCAAGAATATGCATGACGCTGCCGATGCAGTGTATTCCCATGTCCTTCTTCGGCGTGAGCGTAGCTTTGCCTCATGAGTTGAGGAGCTTGTTTCGCTTCTCCTTGCGCTTCAGTCGCTCCACTCGCTTGTGGTGCATCTTCTCGGCCAACTTCTCGTATCGTTCCTTCTCTTCCTTTCTTGTGCGCTTGTCTTTGATTGCTTGAATTCGACGCTGTGCATATTGTGAGTAAAGTGGGCGGGGATGAAAAGAGAGCGTCTTCTCAAAAAGACACAGGTTATCACCACCACATACCTGGCGCTCTTCCTCTTTCTCCTGCTTCAGCTCCTTCTCCTTGGCTTTCATCTGGGCCATTGCGGCACGCTCCTTCGTCCGCTGTTCGTAGGAGGATAGGCCTCTAGTCGGGCGAAATGCCTTCTTGGGTGCATGCCATTGTTTTCCTTGTAGACCCAAAAATGTTAGCAAAGGGCCATTGTTGACAATGAAGCGCAAGGCTGGGCAGCGCATACCGTTTTTGCGCATGCCAAGCGGCTTTGTCGACTTTTCAGCCACCTTGTCTGTTGATCCCTCCATTGTGGACATCTTGTCTTGCCTGGATCCCTGGTGAACTGGAGATCAAGTGACGTTTGAGCTTCTCGCTTCTCGCGCTGGTTCGTGAAGCTTTTTTTTTTTTCCTTCTACTTTTTTTTTTTTTTTTGGCGCCAGACACCTGCAGATGCGGGGCCAAGGCGGTGAACACTGATGGCGCTTCTGTATTCTCCACTCCAGGGTCCTGGATCTTGATTAGGTACTCCGGAGCATGTAGGCGTCAGATTGTGAAGGACGCCAGTACTGGCAGTACGCTGAGCTAAGAAGGACGTCTGCCATGCGGCGCGGTACGGTACCTACAGGCAGGTTCCGCTATAATTCTGCAGTCGCGGCGGGCAATGCTTCTGGAACTGGTGCCTTGGGCTGCTTACCCCGTATTGTGCCAATGAAACAGGTTGCATTCATTTCACCACGGGTGGTTACACAGCAGCAAATGACACGCGCCTGGCTCTTGGATACTCATAAGACTCTACTACTGGTGGTAGTACTCTAGTAGGTACCTATATGTGCCAGTAGCAGTACATACGGTTACTTGGGATTGTTGTCGTTCGTCTGACGGCCTGCGGACCGGGCCTCTACTCCGTAGACGGATACAATTTTCACAGCTGAAGGCCGCGGTCCACCCTTCCAAGGCGTCGCCGGCCACTCAGGCTTTGACAACGCAGACATTGACAGGACGAGACCCCGTCAACCGTGTTGCGCTGCAGAATGGTGGTATCCGGCAGACGCAGGGGCATCCGTAGCGTCCCGATCGATACGAAGACGAGAGCGGCCGTCTCCCTTGCCAGGTAAAGGCTCCTCCGAATAAGCTGATGTCGCGTGTGTCTTTGCAAGGAGGAGGGAGTTGCTGCTACGAAGTAGTGTCTACATTGGCGGATCGAGTCTTCTAGACGTAACATGCACATGAGTTTGCCTACGCAAGCAGCATTGGTTGATCATTGCTTAAAAAGTCTCGATTTGCGGTAAACTGATTTCTTAAGGGAATACGGGACACGCGTGTTCAACGTTGCTCTCGTTTGGCCTAGAGACTATCTAATAAGCGCATTGGCTACTGTTCATTTATCCCGTACAGCAAAATGATGAGCACACACAGGGGGTCATCTCAATGTTTGAACAAAGCGTCGCTGGTCGACGACGTGTTAATACTTGTATGTCCTCAACATGCCTATATTTAATTTTGCTTGTTTCAGGCTCCAGGTTCATCTTCATACATTTGCTGGGCGATCAGTGGATTCCCTCGCATTTCCCAACACGCGCGTAAAAAAGGGTTTATGCCACGTACTCCCTTGTCGTCCACGATATTAAGCGAGGCTGAGACCGATTTTAATTGCGATCATACATGGGGGGACGTCCATCAATGCAGGTACTGCCACCAAAAGGATGGACTTGTTTCTCGGTAGCATGCTCCGCTCCGTATTCCTTAGCCTGCGCAGAATAGATCAAAGCAGTGGTGCTCGTCGTGTCGATTATATACGATGGAGTGCACTAAAAAACCGACATCGTGAACCACTTATAGCGTCGGCTGAAGTACTGTTGCCGTGGAGTATTGAATGGATGTCATCCATCTGTCAACGGCTTGGGCGGGCTTACGGGGCGCATATTTGTCCCTTCAGAACCCATGTCTGGCGGACGGCACAGATGCATCTGTCACGGCAAAAACTACAAGCCCTCCCTGGCGATTTTAAAAGAGATGCTGGCTCTCGTGCTGGGAGACATTCAAGTTGAAGTTCGGATGACGATACGGACGGTCCCTGCATGAGGGTGGAGACTCGAACGGGCAGCATGGCCCCTTGCGAGCTAGACAAACGGCCTCCCACTGGAAAAAGGGCAGTGTTTCTGGGCCATTTACTGGCAAATTGCCATAGCAAGTGTCTTATGCGGCGTTCAGCTGAGCACCAGTAGGGCTAAAATGTCTAAAATGTCCGTCAGCCTGCATATCCTGCGTCAAACAGGAAAAGTCCCGTGGCTTTCTGTTTTGAACAAACATCGCATGTCACTGTCCCTGTTTATTGAACACGGAGTACGGGGTACGAGTGCTTGCGCTCAATGGAGCAGCACTCGCAAGTTCTTGGTACCACTGCTACTACTACAGTCTCATACGGGTCCGATGAGGCGTGGCCCAGCAGCAAGGCCATGAAACACGAAAGGGCCGGCGGGCCGTCGCCAGGCTGTTGTTGCCGGTGCCAAAAGGCAGAGAGAAGTTGAACAAGTAAGAAAAAGAAGCAATTAGTGCGAGAGAACATGGCCGGACCGCTTCTCTGGGCTTGCCCGATGCAAGCTGAGGCGCGAGGGTCCAGATTATCCGAATACCAAGCAGGTGTCAATTGCGGCCTCGGATAGGTGCAGGCCAAAACGCTTTTATTATCGACTGCAGCTTGCACCCAGCCGCGGCCAGAGCTTGCGTTTCTGGTTGGGCCGGGGTAATTTGTTGTGCATGCAGACCTCTTTGGCGCCTGTATGCCCCTGTCTGTGGAGCCTGTGAGAGTGTGTGCTGCATGAATCTAGGTACAAGCAGTTCCCTCTGCCGCACCGTACCTGTACTCGTCCCCGGCCAGATAGGGCAGAGGCTGAGGTACCTTCACGAGAGGGCTTCTCTCCTTCTGTCTTGCATCCAAATGTCGATTGCCGATGGGGCTGGTGGCTGAGAACAGGCAATCGTCGTGTGAGGGCCGGTGATTGCCCTGCTCAGCTTATGGGTCTCATGCAAGGGAGATGGAAGAAAAGGAAAGCCTGTGCATCTGAGATGAGAGACAAGATGGTCTGTGAACGCGGCCGGGCACTGGGCAGGTACATGTACATGCGCTCAATTGCAATCTCTATGCCACCTTCTGGCAAGCTGGATGGTCACGAGGAGGCAATAAGAAGGGCGTCGTGGGCAAACACATCGTCAGCTCGGATGGGAACCAACGCAGCAATACCTCCAAGTAGTATCACCGCGGCAGGAAGCCCAAGCCCAAGCCGTGCTAGGCGATGCCCATTTACCCATGGATCAATAGCGTGCTCGTAAACGCCTGGTCGGATCTATCACATATGCAAGCCGGCAGCAATAGGAAGGCGATTTGCGGTTGGCCTCGCTTCCAACTCTGGCTGCCACGTCGAATCGGTGCAATGGCTGCCTTGTGATCTCGATACGCAAGGGGCCTCGCCAGGACGGCCGACACTGTGTTGTCAGAAATCCTACAGCACAGTACCTCGAGTGAGCCAGACCAGGCCAGACGGAGGGGCCGTGAAGCTGCCTCCACTCGAGCAGCAGCGCTTTGTAGTGATATCTGATCTCGGCGTCGTTGCCCTGGCGTCCAGATTGCGAGATCAGAGCGATGTGCCAGGTGCTTGTCCAGATTGACAGGCACTCCCGCTGTCTGGGTAGCACACCGAGAGGCTTGTTGTTTCGGGCACTGGAGGGAAGCCTGGGATTAGTAGTTTGGTATAGTATTACAGAAAGGCCGCCACGCCATGCATGCATCTCGCATGCAAGCTTGTTTTTGGCTGTGCCCGCTTGGATGGTTGTGTCCAAAGAGGAGAGTCCCGTGAGTGCAAAACCAGGAAAAGGCGGCGGCCGCCTTTGACTTTCGGGTGGCCTGGGCTAGTGCCAAAAGCAGCAAACGTGTACGAGTCTTGGCAGTGCTGGGGACGGGCTTTGAACAGAAAGGTACCCAGGTACTTCTGACAGGACCGCCGGCCAAGGACGCAGACAGGTACCAACGCAAAGGGCTGACAGGGACATTGCGAGATTCAGGCTCCCTATCCGCCAATGGCAGCGGCAGAAGGGCGGCTGGGGATGGCCAGATGGATGCATGCCTAGAATAGATCAGCCTGGGGCTCAGGGCACTATTCTGACTTGTACAGTATAATCGTGCTAATGTACGCCTGCCTAGTGCCGTGCTAGGCGCTGGCCCGCACCGTCGCTGGCCCTGGGGCACTGTGTGGGTGCGCTGAGCATCGGGTGCCATCTAGTGAGCGTTCGTTCGGCCGGAGGAGGCATTTAATGGGGTGGCAAACGCGCCGCAGTTGATCTGTGCGATACTTTCTGCCACTGAATGAGCACTAACGGCGCCGTGTGTGTGCCAGTACTGCTGCCGTCGGTACTGGTACGGGCGCCGCGCCGCGCATGTACCTGCCCTCGTGCCTGTACAAGCGGTACATGAACAGTTCGCAAGGGGCTGCTGAGATGTCTGGGGGATGGCGGCCGGAGTCCAAGAGACAATAATCCGCACTTGGCAGTGGGGACCGCGAGCCCTTTAGCGCTCATACCCCGTGCCTGCAGCGCTCGGGTACTTCGCGCCTGTATGGCTACCGGCAGGTACCTTGCGCAAGACAGGCACCGCGGCAGGGATCTTCTGGCAGGCTCGTACTTGTACTTCCCTGTTGCGTAGCGCCCAGTTTTTGGCTCGCCCCCCCATATTCTCCCAAATCTTCCTCTTCTTCTTCCGCTCCAGATTTCCTTTCCTTCTAATTCTCTATCCGCGCCATCGAAAACTTTAACCACCTTTGGTGCAATTCCAGCGACGCTCTTTTGACTCGAGCTGTTGCTTGGTTTTGGCCGTCCACTCATTTGCCCCGATTTTTGAACTTGATCTTCTTCAGCATTGCATTTTTCCTTCGATTCTCTTCACATCTTTTATTCCGCGACACATCTCTCATCTTTGCCGCCATCATTCGAGCCGCCGTTGATACGCTGGTACGCATCGCCAACTTCTGGACGCAGCCTCCGTCTGTGAACTGAACTGGCCGCTCATTTCTCTATAGACTCAAACATTTAATCCAAATCTTACTTTTCGCTTCGGCTTGTTTTATATCACCATTGTACTTTTCAGACGGATCGGAGAAGGAGGAGAAGAAGGAAGACGACAAATACAAGATTAAACCATCAAAAGACCGAAAAAAAAAAAGAAACACCAGTCACCAGGCCACAATCACGCCCTCCCTATGGTCCAACCTGCCTGCAATCTAGTCGTTCGTCGATGCTAATGCCAATTTACCGCCGGAAGCAATGATGGCAACCGCACTCTACAGCCCCGAGCGAGCAGCCGTTGCTTCGTCAGTCCACCACATTGATGGGCCTGTCGACTATCTTGCTTCCTTGGACGACACGACTGCGTCTCACCATGGCACACTTCCTCCGCCCAACCCCCATTTCGCGTTTCCCCCGGCGTCGCCTTCATCCGCCCTCCATGATCCGACAACGAAGCGGAGACGGCCTCTATCTGCGGTGGAGATGCACACGAGATCCCTTAGCATTGCTGTAGATGGCTCTGACCCTCGACACGCTGCGCTGCCAGCGTTCAGCTTCAACCCCGGCGCCTCTCTTCCCCCAAAACCACACAGCTTTCTCAGTCCACCGCATTCTCCAAGCTCTGCTCAGCCCCCAGCTCAGCCCGCTGCTGCATCTTCTAACCGGCCAATGGGTCATGGACATCGAAGAGGCGGCAGCGAATTTGTTGGCGGCCGCCTCCGTGAGGGAAGCACCATTGCTGTCATGAGCACCAGCCCGCCAAAGAACGAGTTTGACATGAAGGTGCCCACTCTCCAGCCACCACCGCGCAGAGGACACCGTCGAGGCATGTCTGCTACTATCCCAGCGACTGATCTCCCTATACTCTTCGCGCCACCAGCCATTGGCTCATTCAATCAGGGGAACAGCGCCCCCAACAGCCCCACGATGTTCAGCCGGAAAGACGATTTACCAAACATTGGCTCAGACTTCCCCCTGCCAGAGCCCGTGCGACTGGGCCAAGACAATAGAAACACAGGCAGCCCCAAAGCATCCAAAGCCACCCCTGAAGAACACTTCAAGATGGCTAAGCCTAACATGCGCGCGAGAGTTGGATTTTCAGATACCTTGGAATTCATTCCACGGCCGCTCTCACTTGTCTCGAATGAAACGTCCAGCACTGTCACAGCACGACCAGGCCATTCAGGATCCGGCAGCGTCTCTTCACTTATATCGATTTCATCGCTCAGTGGGCGCGACGGCTCCAACTCCCTGCTGCGGACTCCGACTGGCGAACCCTATGAGTCAAGGCCAAGCACAGCAGGCGCTATTTTAGAGCGTACAGCAGAGCTCCAGATGCCAGATGAGCCACCAACTTCTCCCCGCCGCCGAAACTCGATTCCCGCCCTTGTCAACATTGTCGATGCTGATGGTGTAGAGTCGAATGTGTCCACTCCGACCAAACCCGCCAAACGTTGGTCTTTCTTTGGCTTGGATGCGTTTGCTTCTGGCTCCCCCATGAAGAGGCGACCAAGCACTTCCAGCTCTTCAAGTTCCACGCCCCGACCTATTGATGGCATTTCATGCTCTGACCGCGGATCGGCATCATCACTAGAGACGACAGAAGCCCTCCCTGCAAAGTCTAAGAAGGGAGGCAAAAAGAGTGATAAGAAGAGGAAGAAGAAGGAGAAGAAGGAAAAGGGGAAGGAGAAAGAAAGGGAGAAAGAAAAGGAAAAAGAAGGGGGGGAAAAGGAAAAGGAGAAGGAGAAGAAAGCCAAGGGCTGGGCTGGTTCGATTCTGCCGTTGAAGAGCCACAAGAAGCGTGGCAAATCACACGTCGTCCGGCCACCAACTCCTCCCGCCTCCGTGTCCCACTTGGACGACGAGGAAGAGGATGAGCCCGAAAGGGACATTGGCCAGCTTCCTCTCGAGCCGCCCACCATAAGCATCACGGAATCTCCATCCCTACCTGAGCAGCCAGAGCCACCGAAGCGGTCTTCAGATGATATGTCTTATCCCATGATTGACTTGGACGCTGCACTTGGTCCTTTCAATACCCCTCTGTCTTACAATGCCGAGTGGGAGGCTGCTCAGCGCGCTGCAGGTACTCCGGGCAGCAGAAGGCGCCTCCACAGTGCTCAAGGGTTGAAGGGATTCAGTGGTCCTGGCATGCATTACCACCGACGTGCCGAATCGGCTCCTGATCTCCCGCCCTTTGATTTCCGCTCCACTATTCACCGATTCGGCAGCAGCTCAACCATGGCTGATGTGTTTGAAGAGGATGAAGAGGACGAAATTGGAAAGGGTAACGCCAAATCAGAGCTGGAAACCAGCGAAGAAGTCAGCGAAGAATCTGACGGCGAAGTCACACCCCCTGCCATCACACCTGTCCCGCAGGAGCCCTTCCTCGGCCCCAGTGACAAGGCGCTGGGCAAAATGCGACGCGGAAGCGCTGGACTGGTTGAGGGTGAATATTCAAGCCTATACGCAGTACGGGCTGAGGCCTCTCTGGCCTCACTTCAAGACGAAACCATCACAGAGGAAGATTTCACTTTTTTCCGAGCCCCAGTGTTCCAAGGCCGCAGAGATTCTGTCGACTCGGGAGCACCCTCAGCCCCCTCCCCAAGGCAGGTTCCTGTCACCGCTGACCTGCCGGTTGATGATCCTCTGGTTCTCCCTAGTGCAAGCGGCACACCGCTCAGCCCTTACTCGGCCAGCTATATCTCTTCCTCTCATCCTTCTCCTCGATCGCCAATGTCGGTTGATGCGCAACGCATTTCCACCGCACCCTCATCCATCACTGACGACAGCTTCCACTCTCTGCTTATGGGAGAGCCGGGACCAGAAGTCAGGATTTCAATGGACTACGACGCCCCATCACTCGCATCAAGCCACTCAGCCATGACCCGTGACAGCACCTTCATTCCTGTACCACGACCTCGCCAACTTGGACCTTCTCGCGACCAGCGTCCAGTGTCCATGTCAGCCCCATTCGGACGCAGACGCTCGAGCCTGGCGAGTCTCAGTCGACTCATTAGCAGCTCTCATGGTGAGAGAAGCAAGCTTTCCATGGAAGTGACTTTAGATAATGAGCCAGAATCGAGAAAGTCGAAGCACAGCAAGACCAAACGGCTGGGACGGATGATGCAATTCTGGAAGCCAAGCAAAGAAGACAAAGTCAAAGAGGAGAAAGCCAAAGAAGATATGACTGCTTGAGTTTTTCAATACAGAGGGAGGCGACAGGGGACGAAGAATTACAAAGCAGCGTCTACCCATTATTAAGATGCTGCTTTGACGAACTTATATGTATTCTATGTAGCGCATGCTTTCACAAAAAAAAATAATCTTTTTTTCCGCTTATGCCTCATGGATGCTGGACCTACTGAAATTTTTCGAGGTCATGTGCTTGCGTTTTTTTTTTGTTCATGGAACACAGTTGAAAACATCTTGAAGCCAGCTGATGATAGTTGAGAAATAATTTCCCTTGAAAGCAAATTTTATGAGGATTATGATGCTGCTATTTCTTCACATTGAGCTACAAGAGAGCTGTCACTTTATACAGCCGGTACAACCAGGGATTGAGCGTTTGATGATAAGCATGAACCTTGCTTTTGCGTGATGAGTACAATTGGACTCTTCCATTTTTTTTTTTTTTTTTTCATTTCCTTTTGGACGTCTGGCGGATTGGGAACGGGGAAGGTTCCTCGATGCTGTGTATGTCGAAATTTGTTTTCTTTGTTCTTTTCTTTTGTGATTCTTTCTCTGAATCCAAGGGGGAAAAAACTCTCGTCAGTCGAGAAAAGTACAACCGGATGGATATATAAAGCCATATTTAAAGGGAACGGGGCCTTATAACTTTTGATTCGAAAAAAGGAGGTTTCTCGAATTTTGGCCGCGGATAAGGGATGCTTTTTTTTCACGGAGTATGTGTTATTTTTTTTACCCAAAAAAATAATTCATTGCAGTTTTTTTATTTAGTTGAATTGAGAGGTGCTCGATTTGAGCGAAATAAGAATTTTTTTTTTTTATATTTACTTTCACATTTTGATGGCCTTTTTTTCTGGATGATTTGACATATGGTAAAGACTAAGTAATATGATTTGTAATTGTAGGCGCTGAGATATCTAGGTAACTATCAACAGAATATGGATATAAATATTTCGGAAACATCATCTCGTCTTGTATAGTCATGTCGTATACGCAAAAAAGAATAGTCATAAAGCCGTAACACATCATAAGGAGAGAGATAGAATGGAAGAAAATGGGAGTATCAGAAGAAAAGCATCGTATCCAGTCATATGCGAAACACAAAAAAAAAGCCTCAAGCCTTTTCCAGCGCCACGCCGTCGTGAGCACATTGACGCATCATCAAAAATCCAGTGCTCATGTGGAATATTCTCGCAGGTGTCTTAACAAACGTTTTCCTTTTATGAAAAGAACCTGGACACGCCGTTGCGGATACCCTCGACCAAACCGCCGCGGCTTTCTCGCTCAATGTCATCGTAGTAGGCCTTGCGCTCCCATCGCATATCGCCGCTGCGACCGCGCTCGACGCGACTGCCACGAACATACGACTGGACGGCGTTGCTGCCGTTGCCGTTGCCGTACTCGCCAGCCATGCGGACGGCGTCGTTGACGGCGGTAAAAGGATCGCCAGTAGCGGCGCGTTTGGCCACGCCCAGCATGCGCTCGATGGACGGCGGGATGCGGAGGCCGAAGCGCGCGAGCAGCGCCGTCAGGGCACCGCCGGTGACGAGAGGCACGATGACGAGGAAGAAGACCTTCCACGGGTGGCGCTTGGCGTAGTGCTGGAGGTCGCGGAGGAGGCGCTTGAGCTGCTTGAGGCAGCGCTGCAGGAAGCCCTCGCGGGGAGAGCGCTTATAGTACGAAGGGCGGCCTGAAGCGATTTCATTGTCAGCTACGATACTATTGCATAGATGGTACATCATCAAAACAGGGCACACATACGGTTTCCAAACAGGCTGGAGCGGCTGTTGTTGCCGCCCAGGCCAAAGAACGAGCCGCGCGAGCCATTGTTCTTGCGGTAGCTGCTGCCCTCGCCGCCAAAGAAGCCAGAGCCGCGGCTCCGGGGGGACCTGGACCTGGATCTGGACCCGGATCTTGATCGGGAGCGCGGCGGCGGCGAGCGCGACTCGGAACGAGAGCGACGCTTCTTGTGGCTGTGGCGGCGGCTGGTTGTGTGGTGACGAGACGAGCGGCCGCTTTGACTGACGGCGTCGCCGAAGAGGCCTGAAGAGCCCATGATGGATGGCAATCAGGAGAGAGGTCGAGGGTTGTTTGTTTTATGAGGATATGCGAGACTGTAATGGATAAAGCAAACAGGCAAAGCAAGTTGAGAATTGACAAAGTTGATGCTGTTTCAGGAAGCGGGCGGCGCTCAGCTGAGGGTTGAGCGCATTGAGCTTTGTTGCTGCTGCTGCGCTATAACGAGAGCACTGGTTGATCAAGACCAAGACAAGAGACGGGATCGTCTGTCGCTGCTCGAAGCGGGCGCTCGCTTGGGAATATCAACGCGGTTGAGAAGAGGTGGTTGTAGCAAACAGAGTCGCAGAGCAATACGCCGAAAGAACAAGTCCCGGCCTGTAGCAAAAGCAAGGCAAGGGCTCAGCTTAGCTATGGCAACCAGCTTTACTGTAAACAGTAAGAGAATAATTAAAAGCAGACCCCAACCAATCTAATCAATCCCTACGTTGTATGCAAGGCACAGACGGTACTTTTTTTTTCGCTTCCCTGTTTCTCTACCTTGTCTACGATCTGGCTTCTGTGCCACCCTCTCTATCTTGTTTTCCCACTTTTGCCCACTTGGAGCTTCTCCTACGGACATCCGTGCAGCAGGGCGGGATGCAGGATGCAGCGATGAGGTGCAGCTGAAGAGCTTCAAAGACGGCCGCAAAGTGGAGAAGGATTGAGAATCGTCCGCTGGAGAAAAGGACAAGCGCCTTGACCGCTGGAAAATCGGGTGGCTGGAGGGGGGGCCGGTAATTTAGAGCGACTTTTTTCCTGTGGTTTCCTCTCTGTATTCTTGTTCACAGTGAGGCGGTATTTCGTACGGAGTACAAGGGGGCGAGTAACTTGCTGGAAAAGGGCCCTGAAACAGCCAAGTAGGGCGAGAAAAAGAAGGTGGCGCAGCAATCCGTGGGAATAAGCTGGCCAAGTTCGATTAAATGCCAATACGAGGACAGTCAGCGGGAAAATACAAGGAGTGGGAATATTGCTAGTGGAAGCGAGGGGACAAAGTGCAGATCTCAATACGTGATACTTGCAGATAATGTCAAGTAGTAGCTGTACTTTGACTTGGTGATACATTTAAAAGACGAAACATTGAAAAGTTATCCAACATCCCAGCTGTAGCTTAACGAGGTGCAATTGTAATCTACACCATGTTAGCACTAGCAATACAGGTAGTAGCAGCAGTAGCAGCAGTAGAAGCAGTATTAGCTTTTGCTATTGATAGCTGCAGTGCTGGATAACTCTCCAATCCCCCGCAAAAGGTTGACAGAAAGCTAAATTTACGAATACAATAGCTGTTTCGCTACTTGTAAGCCTGTGAATACAAGCTTGCCTCTGTCTCCTGCGCCACAGACTACGCCACACCCCAGATTTCAACCTCCGTAGTGCTTTCTTGTATGCTTTGTCCGCGTGAGAAGAGCGCGTCCAAAAGCTCAATATCACATCTCTTACTGTATAAATCGTTTCTTCAATTGCTCCTCCAACTGTCTACATACTCAATTTCTAGACAGTAATCCGAACAAGGGAACGTTCTGCTTCATAAAGACCATAATTCAGAGCATATGGCCAAAATGTCTGGTGAAGACGATGAAGACGATTACATGAACATGACGTTTGCGGATCCTGCTCCCACAAAAGAGTCCTCAGTCCAGCGCGCTCAGCGTCTCAAGAAAGAATCTCGCGCTCGGGGCGTCATAAAATCAAAGGCAGAGCTCGCCCAAGAAGAAGCTGCCGCGAGGGAAAAGGCTCTCTCAACCTCTTTGCTGGATGACCCACGCTCAAAGAAGAGCAAAGGCCTTGCCATGATGGCGAAAATGGGCTTCAAAGGCGGTAGTCTGGGGAAAAAGACTGAAGACGGCGAAAGTTCCGGCAAATCAGAGCCTATCCAAATCAGCATGAAAGAAGACCGTGGCGGCATTGGCTTGGACAACGAGAAGAAGAGAAAACTGCGGGAGGCTTTTGAGGAGAGAGACGCCAAGTCCGTCAAAGTCGATCCTGACGAGTATCGCGAGAGGGTGAGAGCGGAGAGAGAGGACGCCAGACTGGAAGTGCAACTCCATGCCGCACAACGCACGGCAGAGAGGCTGGACGATGAAAAGGCTGGAAAAGACGCAGCCGAGCCCACTTCATCTTCCGAAGAAGCAGAAGCGTCTGACTCAAAACCGCGTCCGACATCATCTCGCCCGCTCAAGTCTTTCCCCGTTGTCTATCGTGGCCTGGTTCGCCACCGTGAAGAAAAGGAGCGTGATCGACGGATGAGATATGACTTGGAGCAGTCCCTCTCTCGGTTGCCGACATACGAAAGCGGCGATGAGGACGACGACGACAAAAAAGCCCTGGGCAAGAAACAAACGGTATACGCGACTGCGGATGACCTGGACGAGGTGGATGAAGAATTGGACGAATTTAACGCGCTTGACCCTGGCACTAGACTGGGCCGTCTGGTCATGTACTTGCGAGAGACGCATTGGTATTGCTTTTGGTGCAAAATGGCGTATCCGGATGCCGAGATGGACGGGTGTCCGGGTTTAACGGAGGAAGATCACGATTGACAGAGTTGTCTGTCAAATACATAGCATCTTGGTTTAGCCTCTTTTCTCATTTTATACCCATAGAGATGGATCTGTATATCAAAATCTGTCTATTTTCTGCAGTTGCCTTGTGCTCTCAAGTCATAGCTAAGCTCATTCGTAATTTGTTTTCCCAGAATGATCTTCGCCCAGTATTATCCATGCTTCAAATTGCCTAGTCTGGCACGCCGTTTCTGTGGTATCATCATTCCACAAGTACCGTTACTTTCTTCTCTTTAACGACCACCACGGACTTGCATAAAACCATGACACGATCGAAGTTCTCTCCATCTGCATTTCCAATCTTCCAGACACCCGGAGACTCATTCAATTCAACGGCGTAGCTTGATGAAGTAGTATCGATCCCGTCTTGCAAAGGTATCATCGTCTCCGGATCGTACTCACAATCGTCCCCTCCACCATCGTTTCCGGCCCCTTGCACGACAAAGATAGCCTTCGACCTCATCATGGCGAAATGGAGATTTGCTGCTTGCTTAATAATCTCCCCAATGTCTCTCTTGAATACCTCTTTCTGTCCATGGGGTATGTCATCCTTGAAACAATTCATTGCATCTGTGATGGCCTGATTCTGCTCAAAATCTTCATTTAATCTTCCGTCTTCTTTGATGTTCGGGTCAAAGGCTGACTTCATGTTACTGATCATCTTTAGATATTGGCAGCTCGGAGGAGCGCAAGGATCTAATTGGGAAACGGGAATAATTAGTGATTTACCATCATGAGAAAGATATTAAGCGGCTGAGTACCTATCTGGTCGATGCGACGTGCCAACGATTGGCCAATCCTTCCATACCAGTGCTCAGTACGGCCCGAAAAACAATAAAAGCATATTATCAACCATAGCTGGCGCCGAGAAATGATGTCGCGCAGGAACATGCAATCAGCTGATGCTCCAGGGGGTGAGGTACTCGTTAGATAACTGCAAACGATGTTTTGAACTTTATAATAGAGTTGTTTCCACTCTCCGACAATGGTGTCATCTGATACCTTGGGGCCGAAAGCCTCAATATTTGCTGTAAGAATAGAAGCCATTTTGTTCTTGTGGGCCCTGAAATCCTTTTCAAGTGCTGCGTATTTTTCTTTCTGATGCGTCTCAAATCCTTGATGAACATCTCGCTCCTGTTGAATTAGCGCTACCAAGCGGGCTATTTTGCTGCGCTGCTGTTTGATCTTAGATCTACTAGTATCGAGCAAGGTACGTACGGCCTCAGGGTCCAGACGAGATGCTATCCCTATGAAGACAGTTTCCCAGTTCTCCACCCCGGTATCAGAGCACGTTTGTGTCTTGGGATGTTTCGCAGACCCTGTCAGCTCGTCTTCGCTTTCGACATGATTTCGCTTCCTGCTTTCTGTAGTCTCATGCTGGCGGACTGGCACTCGTTCTGGGATAGCTGACTTTTGGCCATGGGCAGATGCATGCGAGCCTCTAAGCGAACGTGTGCTTTGAGTCATTGCTCGTGAGTTGTTCGCCAAAGTATTGTCGTCATCGCCGCCTTCTGCTTCTGCATGATGCATTTGTTAGCCTGCTATTAACTTTATCGAAGGAGTGGAGGTTGAAGTGCATCAAGCAAATGCCCCAAGATGTTTTCTCACCATCTTCCAGAAAACTCGTAGAACTGGAACTATATCCTGGCATTATTCCTGAATGCACTTCAGGAGTTCTAAAAGCTGGTGGAGCTACTTCAAGGCAGTGGGATCAATATGGAGAGTAAGGTCAAAAGCAAGTACCGTACGAACTAAATGAAGATTGATATGGCGAGTTTGATGGCTCTTGGGTTGGAATTAAAAAGAGTGAAGAAAGTTGGTGAATGCGTGTTATCAGATGCCTGCGGGTGGGTGCATAAAAGCAAGTGTGACGAAGGGGTGACGGCTGGCAAAGCAAATTTATCTCCTGGGCTGAAAGAAAAGTGAATCCGGGTTGCCAGGTGCCTGCGGCTGAGCGCGTGCGGTCAAGTGACTGAGGGCTGCCGCCTTATTTCTATTTGAAGGGTGGAGCGTACAAGGCAATTCAACTTTCCTCCTCCTTCTATCCATATCTCGCGCACTCTCCATCTCCTACAGGAAGCACATTTGCCTCACTTCAACTTGGGATAAGACCAGCAACCATGGCTTCATCCACCCAAAATGAGGCAAATACCGACGGAGATTCTTCTCAATCAAAGAATGAAGAACCTTTCATTGCGTTGGGAATCGATTTTGGCACGACGTAAGTCCACCCTTCTCTATTACTGGATCACAAGTACTGACTTTAGTAGTTATTCAGGTGTAGCATGGGCCATCTCAACTCGACCAGCCAATATCAACATGATCACTAGCTGGGATTCAGCCAAGTACCATTGCTCCGATAAAGAGAAGACCCCAAGCATCATGTCATACGAACAGAACGGCAAAGTTCTCTGGGGCTACTCTGTCTCTGACAAAAAATCTTCTATTGAGTGGTCCAAACTCTGCCTTTTGGACGAAGATGATATTCCCAACGATGTCAGTCACTCAACACAGCTTCAAGCTGCTCAAGCTGCTTTGAAGCAGCAAAGAAAGAGCGTCGTAGATGTCATCAGCGACTACTTGCGACATCTGTGGAAACACAGTATCATCAACATTAGGCGAGCCATAGGTGGACAGCTGGTAGACCTCTGCAGGTTCAAGGTTGTTGCCACAATTCCTGCAATATGGCCCATATATGCTCAGATGCGAATGCATGAAGCCATAGAAAAGGCTGGGATTCTGAGCACTCGAAAAGCTGGTCAAACAATCTTAGAATTCCTTCCAGAACCTGAAGCTGCGGCATTGGCTACTCTGAAAGGTATTTCCACGTACAATCAGGCAAATATGGAGGTAAGAACATCTTATATCTTAATCGTATTTTATCAACTAACGCACAGGTTTAGGTTGGCGACCATTTTGTTGTTTGCGACGCTGGTGGAGGCACTGTGGTAAGTCTTTGGAATCATGTCTTAAATTTTGATGCAGCTCACACAGCCAGGACATCATCACCTACACCGTTGTCGAGCTGAACCCGATAAAAGTCAGGGAAAGCGTCAAGGGAGACGGTATAGTATCGCATTCTTGATGCTACATGTTTGGCAACTGATGTGATGTATAGGAAAACTTTGCGGAGCCACCTTTTTGGACGAACGTTTTCTAGAAATTCTTCGAGAGAAACTTGATCAGATATCTCCTGATACCTGGAAAACGCTTGAAGAGACTGGAGCACTGGGACGAATTATAAACAACGATTGGGAGAACGGAATCAAGCCTCAATTTCGTAACACTGACCAACACTGGATGATTCAGATCCCGGTAAAGGGACCCAAGCGGACCCATGATGAATTCCGTTTCTCAGACATTAAGCTGGATGTGTGAGTCTTCTTCAGTCGCTTGTATAGTGCTGGATAGTACTAATTTGTTTAACAAACAGCAAAGACATCCAAAGGATATTCAAGCCAATAGTGGCTGAAATCAAAAACCTTGTGGATAACCAAGTGAAGGCCATCAAAGACAAGTACAATAAAGAGCCAAAGGTACGGTTTTGATATTATCTGGCAACACTACCGAAGTACTAATATATATATCCTCTAGTTTGTCGTACTCGTTGGTGGGTTTGGTAGGCAACCTTTCCTTTTTACAGAAATGCAGGATGCTTTGAATCGCAGAAACGGGCTTGTGGGAACAGTCGAGGTTCTACAGAGCCAGGGTGCAGAACCGTAAGTGTCCATTGACGTATTTATACAACAAGAAGCTGACACTTAGCTTCATTTTCACGATAAAGCTGGACAGCTGTCTGCCGAGGAGCAGTAATACGAGGGCTTGAGCTGTCTGACAGTACAAGGGGCTCAACGGTCATGTCGAGGATCAGCAGAATGAGCTATGGTGTGAAATGTTATACTACGCCATGGAACGCGAAGGAGCACGATATAAGAGATAAAGAGTGGTCTGATATACATCAGGCATATCGGGCTGCAAACCAGACTTCTTGGTTTGTGCGCATCGTGAGTTACAGCATTCAAGCGAGCCGTTGCATTGGACTATACTAACAAATATCAAGGGGGAGACCATTCCAGTGGGCCAATCAATCTCCAAAGGATACCGTACAGACCTCGAAATGCCAGTCACACACTATTCCACAAAACTCATCTACTCAACCTCTGCCACTCCACCGAAGAGATGCGATAAGACAGTCAAGAAGCTTTGCAGACTTCAGTGGTCGACCGTTCCTGAATTCAACAGACTCCCTACTTGGGTGAATTCCAAAGGTCGAACTATTAGGCAATTCTGCTTTGACACTAACATGACATCGAACGGTGTGACTTTGGATTTTGAGATTATCTACAAAGGACAAAGCGTGGCCTCGAAGAATATCGACATTGATTATGGCCACTGCGGTGCTCTCGCTAGTAGCCGCAACTGAGAGTGTGATATGGAATGAGATTAAAGAAGATTTTTCAGTGTGAAGGCTGAATAATTTCAACCAACACTCAGATTTAGCATACGCGGGCTGATTTAGCTTGGATGTTTACGATCACGCAGAGTGCGAAGATGAGACTACTTGGCTTTGGCAGGAAGATAAATCAGAGTTACTTGATAGTTTGATTCAGGGAAATTTGAGGATGGATGCATTTAATAAAGAGACAGATGTGCCTTATCCGAAGCCGTGCTCTAAGTTTCATCACCGGTGCTCAATGACCGATAAGATACTGCTTGGTTGAAGGAGAGTGAGGGAAATGCCGTGATAAACCCCATCGTCTAGAATCGCAATTCAACAGACTTATAGAAGCGATACCGCTGAGAAGAAGAAGAAGATGGATACTCGATTTTAGCACCCCAGTTTGATTATCCAGAAATCCGGCCGCGGCATAACGGAATCACTCGTCTGCATAAGATATAATACGTAAATACATATAGCTAGAGGTAGTAGAGGTAGTAGAGGTAGTAGAGGTAGTAGAGGTAGTAGTAAATAGTTTTAATTTCATGATATAAGCTACAGTTGGGATCTAAACAATAAAGCTGAAACACTGAATAACACTTTCCATGACTACTACATAAAGTCGCTAGTGAAAGTATGCTGTCACCCTACACATCGTGGTTCAGCCTCTCATAATTTCTAGTCAAATCCATGGCCAGGTTGACTCGAGATCCAACAGCTGTAGCTACGGTTAGTCCTGCCAGTGTTCATGTAACAGCGGCAGCATAGCGCATGTATTTGCTCACCAGGACAAGAGAGCGTTCATCCGAGTCTACGCTGGTGATGTTTGCAATGCTTAGGACGACAAATCCCATAATCGGATTTGTGATTCTCCAAGCAATCACAATTAAGATCCCAATGAGCCAAAGGGCATAAACGAATGATACCGCAATAGCAAGCGATATTGTTGAATCAGATGATCATACACTTGAAACATAAGGCAAATGGCAGGTAAGTGTATAGCCAGAGTATGCACATCTAGTCACCAGACAATATGCAATAATGCTAAGTCAATAGAGTTAAGTTTTACAATTTTATAACTAATTTTATTAGAAACAAAGCTTTCAATCATTCTCTATTTAGTTCCTAGGTTCTATTCAGAGAAGTATATTCAGTGGAGATACGAAAGCTACAGCTAGAGGGACGTCGTAGCATTCCCAAGACGGTTGTTGCTGCGTATCCACCAGTTTCAAGAAGGCCAAAGAGTACACACTCGTCGTCGATCCTATCAGAGAATATGGCCAGCTTGCAGTCAAATAAGCCCATCGCACTCTGGCCTGGTGATTTTGTCTATACGAAAGAAATCGTTCCGCGAAAGTGGGCACATAAATTGCACGACTGCACTGCCGACTCTCCTTTCTCGCTCCGAGAGATGGACAATGATCTAGCAGAGAGTAGCTTTCATTATATTGGACAGGCTAAACCCAATAATCTCCAAGTTCATGGTGAGTTACATTGGAATTTAGGACGCAGGTTATAATCCACCATCCAACCGTTGTCCAGATCCACTATGAAGTCGATATTATAGAAGTACCCAAGTTATTGTTCCGGCTCAGATTTTATTTTAGTTGCCGCGTTGCTCAAATCATCTGACGCCTTATCATGGCTTGCCGTGCTGGGCATCGTTTCATCCTCCGAAGTCGATATAATTTCCACGTCTCGGAGTACGACCGAAGCCTTGCAAAGAGTCGTACTGAACTCAAAGCCTTCGCCATCTGCGTTGCCATATTTTACCAAGGCTGGTGCTTCGACAAACTCTACATCATTTTGCAATGTGTGAGCGTCCATATGGCTCTGCATAGCTTCCATTGACTCCGGGTCATACTGCGCAAGCTGCTTGCCATCACCATCCCCCAGCCACCTCAGAAAGAAAATGGCCTTTGACTTCATCATCATCGTATGGAGATTCCTCGCGGCCATAGTCAAATCCATTGTTCTTTTTTGAAAATTTTCCACCTCGCAGCTCGGAAGAAATTGCCATAGCGACAATCTGGTAGCATCAATCAAACCATTGATAGCCTCTTTAGTTGTTTCGTCAAGTTGAGGCTCCTCGTTGAAGTCGTTCATCGCTCTCAATTTCATGTGGCTAATCATCTCGAGACAATGAGGGTTATTGGGCTGTTTTTGGCCTATGCGAGCGGAGGTGTCAACTGATTTTGTCAACAAGCTGGGATGAGACAGAAAAAGAAAGAATTACCCTTTATAGAAACGATTTGTGTTAACAGTTGGCCAGCCGCTCCGTGCCAGATGGGCCGCTTCCCTAATAATACACCGAGAATGACCTTCTCCCATATCAGTCGTCGAAGAACAGCCACTCGTAGGCTTGCAATGTCACAGACTGATAGAGACGAGCGTCTTCCAAGCTGTCTCATCAGAGTCTCGATGCTATCGCATTCATTTACGGGGCGTTTGGTTAAACATTGAGTAACCAGACCACGAACGTTGAAAGCTAATTGTCCCCATTCTGTGGTTATATCAGAATCTGAAAACTTGGTATATCTGCCAGAGTCCTGTCTGGCGTCATCGATCGCTTTTTCTAGCATTCTTCTCAAACTGCGACACTCATTCTGCAACTGGTCGATCTTTGAGCTCTGCAACTCTTCTAATTCTTCCTGATGATGAAGTGCTTGCTGAGCCTTCTTATGCTCCTTTTTGAGAGCATTGAATTGAAGACGCAATTCCTGGTTCTTAGTTTTGGAAGCTTCGAAGCCATGAGCCTTCGATTTAAAATCATCCAGTAATCCATAAATCGTCGTCTCAAAATTCTTCACCTCCGTCTGGACTGCAGGTTTCCTGCCGCGCTTCCCAGGACGTACGACTTCATCTTCGTGTTTCTCATGGCCTCGTTTCTTTGGATTCGGAGTCTCAGTTTGACTCAATGTCGGCGATCCCAACTGTGCTGAGTCCTGTTTGCTTGCAGTCGAACGCAGGTTCCGAGAAGTTTTTACCTTGATGCGCGTTTTGCCTGAAACAACATTATCTTGATAATCTTCGTCTGCTCCATCAGTGACAGATGGGTTTTCCCCTTCACTATCCTGGCATTTTTCATCTTGAGCTCGTGCGGGTGATGCCACGGTTGGCGTTTCAACGGTTGGATTTTCATCATCGATGTGCGAAGATTCTAAAGATCCTGCTTGATAGTTAGCTTCGGTTTAGTCTTCTTGATATAGTTATGAAAAAGAAAACATATTTTCATGAAAAGGATGTTAGTTACCGCGTCTTCTGCTAGGAGTGCCGATACCGCGGGGCGGCATTGTGTCGTAATCTCTCGGATGGGAGAAGAATCGGCCTCGGCGTGTCTGAATATCAATACTCTATCACGTTGAAGAAAAAAAAGCTTTGAAAGAAATTAGAAAGCAGAAAGAGAGAGAAGAAGAAGAAGAAGCAAAAAAGACGCAAAGAGGGCATTTAACAGTGGGGGTGGTAATATGCAGAGCTTTCTGCCAGATGACTGCCAACTGACAATGCAGTGAAACACGCGCTCTTATTTATGTGACTTTTGCCTGACAATTGTTTCTATATCACTCCACACATTTATTTTCTCTCCAACCACAAACTTGGCATCGCTGACTCCTAGTTCGCAACGACAAAAATTGAGAAGCGCCCGATCATGGCTAGAACTGATCGGAGACAAAGAGGTGCCAACAGAGGGACTCAGAATGCCTCTGCAGCAGATCCAACGATTGTCATAGGCATAGACTTCGGAACCACGTACGCCTGCTCTATCGCAATCACGCTGTTTCTGATACTGATTCTGGATAGCTTCTCCGGTGTCGCTTGGGCTCGCTCAAGCCGGCCAGAACAGATCAATATTATTACGAGCTGGAAATCTCGCTTCAACTTCAACAGCGACAAAGAAAAAGTGCCCACCGTCATCTCTCGCGAAGAGAAAGAAGGTGCTCCTCTTTGGGGCTATGTCGCTCCGCTGGGATCAGCCTCTCTCCAATGGTTCAAGCTCTGCCTTCTCGACAAAGAAGATATTCCGGAATATCAGAGAAGATCAGAACATCTGAGAACCGCAATAAAGTCACTAAAAAAGTCCAACACCCATGTTGTGGATGTTATCAGCGACTACCTACGAGAGCTGTGGCAGTATACCATTAGCTGCATTGAGCGAGCTGAGGGAGCATCAATAGTCGAAGTCTCCGCGTTCAAAGTGGTTGTCACTCTGCCGGCTATCTGGCCTGCATATGCTCAGTTTCGGATGAAAGAGGCGATTGAAAAAGCAGGGATTCTGAACATTCGCGGTGTCTTCGATACTGAGCTGGAGTTTATCTCAGAGCCTGAAGCGGCCGCCCTAGCTGCTCTGCAAGATCTGTCTGATAGAGCAGATATGGTGGTAAGGCATATGTTCACTACAACTGAAACTATCATCACCGCACTAACTGATTGATCTCATAGCCCGGTGATCATTTCGTCGTCTGTGACGCTGGCGGAGGTACTGTCGTAAGTTATTTGGCCCATTTTCACGTTAACGCAGCTCATTTGCCTCCCAGGATGTGATTACCTATACCATCGTCAGTAAAACCCCAATGAGAGTTAAAGAAAGCGTTAGGGGAGATGGTAAGCAGCACATCTTCTTTTCTTGTTCAGACTCACACAGCTTATGTATTTTTTAGGAAAGCTCTGTGGCGCTACGTTTGTGGACGAGCGTTTCCGAGATCTCCTTCGACAAAAGATTCCTTTGAGTACTTGGGAAAGACTTGGGGAAGATGGAATAGCTCGTCTTATGAATAATGAATGGGAAAACGGCATCAAGCCGCAGTTCAGCAACGATGGTCGCAAGTGGTCCATACAAGCCCCCGTCAGTTCACGGAAGAGAGATCACGAGCAATACATTTCTTCGGATATCAGCATACACAAGTAAGCCCTTGAAAAGGTATCACCCATCACAAAAGAGACTAATTACTAACGTGCCTAACAGTCATGAAATTGTCAATGTGTTTCAGCCGATAACCAGCCAAGTTGTGGAACTTGTAGCAGCTCAAGTTAACGAAGTCAAGAGGCGGTACAAGAAGCAACCCAAGGTATGTAACTGGGTTTGAGCTGTCTGATGAAATAGAATACTGACATGGATTACTAGTTTGTGATCTTGGTTGGTGGTTTTGGAAGATGCCACTATCTATATAACTGCTTGGTTGAAAGTCTCAGAGGCAAAATAGAGATTTTACAGAGCTCTGGAGCACGGCCGTAAGTACAAACTGACACTTTGAAACCAGACGAGGCTGACTTTTATTCTTTTTCCAACGATATAGCTGGACAGCAGTCTGTCGCGGTGCGGCCATCAGAGGACTTGAACAATCCGATGGTGCAACTGAATCTGCGATTTGTTCAAGAATCGCAAGAGCTAGTTACGGCACAATGTGCAACGTCATCCCATGGAGCGAGAAAGACCACAGTATTCAAGACAGAGAGTGGTGCCCAATCGCGCGAGTGTACATGGCCGCCGACCAAGCCTCCTGGTTTCTTCGTATTGTAAGTGATTAATTGCATATGTGATCGAAATGGAGGGACATGGCTAATAGTCATCAAGGGCGAGACCATAACCGTGGGCAAATCTATTGAACTGGGGTTCAGCCAAGACTTTGAATCACCAGCCAGCGAAATCGTAACAAATCTCATTTACTCCAACAGCTTCCAACCATCAGAACGATGCGATGAGACGGTCAAAGAGCTTTGCCAGTTACGCTGGTCGAGGATCCCCAAATTCGACGATCTCCCTACATGGATGAATAACAAGGGCCGCGTCATCAGGCGACTCTCTTATGTGATCAAGATGACTTCCAACGGCGTCTCCTTGGATTTCGAGATTTCACATGACGACAAGATTGTCGCCTCAAAGAACGTCGCGGCTGATTATAGCGAGAGCGGCACCGCGGCACATCGGCATGCAGCCCAACTTGGCGAGGACAATAGTGGCACCTATGTGCCTCCTGGAAAGGGGCTAGGAGGCTGGGACGACGAATTCAGTGATGAATGATTTTTGGAGGTGATGTTATGTTTATGATGCCGGTGGATAACGAAAGGTGTTTGCTGCGAATTTAAGCGAAAAGGAAGCATATTCCCGAGTAGTTATTGCTATCTACAAATAAGCTATAGTCCAGGAAAGAAGTATGAAGGATACCAGCATTTCGAATAACGACGCTCTTTTTATTATCCGATATCCCATAAAATCTCCACTGATTCTTTTAGAAATCGCCAAACCTTCACCGAAAAGTTTGCTGATAGCAAAAACCACCGAATCCGCATCACTGCTCTACCAGAAGTCGCCAATCGCCACCGATTTTGTGCCAGAAATCAACAAATTCGTACCGTTTCACGACTAAATTCCACCAAATCCGTCCCATTTCTCTACAAGAAATCTCCAATCATCACCTATCCCCTGCTACCAAATTCGTGTCAATTCTCCGCCAGAATTCACTAAATCAGAGCCTGTTAACAATGGCTCTGAAGACTCGACGGGGCTTAACCAGCTACAAGACCTTCTCTTTCGCTTAAGTTGGCGGACGGAAACTCTGAAAGCATGAGACTTTTCTCATTTTTGGGCGCTGTTGATGAAGATTTGGATATAGATAGTTACACTACAAACTATCCATAATCTTGCTAGAGGTGGCAGAGGTGGCAGAAATAGCAGAAATAGCAGTACCTGGATTACATCACATTCCTCAGCCATTGCTGTGAGACTGACTTTTAGCCTTGAATAAAGTATATTATATTAATCGTGATAGATCTACGTTACTTTTCCTCTTATCCTTTGAAACAAACTCTCATTTTTTCTCCTGCTTCTTCTTCTCAAGATCAATGACTCCGCTGATGAACATGGCGGGTAAACCCGATACTTGCGTGTAATTGGGCTCCTCTCGTAAGATCGCATGTGCTGCAACAAGATATTGCTCAACAAATTCATCCCACATTTGCCTTTGAACTTTTGACCTTTGCAGCGGCTTAGGGATATACGGATCATTGAGCTTGATGGCTTCGACCGCCATGGCAACGCCGGCTTCATCCATGGATATTTGTCGTACCTGATTGAAATCCAGCAGCCAGAGATCCGTTGTGCGAACGAAGAAATCTTCGTGGATCCGTGATGGAGGCCCGGTGTAGACAGGTCCTGGAAGGTTGAGATAATCCTCGGCACTCATCTCAGCCACAGCTTTCAGAGGAGAGCTGCCTAGGACAAACTCGATATCTCGGGCATCGGTTTTGGCAGCCCAGTGCATAATGGCCATGGCAGTGGCCATTTTGCCAGCCAGCTCTTTGATGTCTAGCTGAAGCTCTACCATCTGGTCCAGGTGCATTTTGAAATTTCTGAGCGAAAAAGACCGTTCCTCTCTGCCTTTCAACGACCCGAGATATAGTCGCACTAGACAGTCTTTATTCGCGGCAGCATTGAGAGCCATTTGCTTGGCTTGGGGTGGACAGTACTTGTCGATGAGTAAGGCGCGGGTAGGCTTCGAAAGTGGTTGAATTCGCTCGGAAACGAGAACGCTTGTTGGCAGGTTGCATGTTTCTTTGGCGGCTTCTACCAGGCTGGGATTCTTATCAAAGTAGAGATGGTCGTCTTGCGGCACAAAGTAGTGACAGGCGGGGACTTTGACGTCGGTATATTTCCATTTGGGAGACTTCCATTTGCGAAAACTCTCCGCCACAAGTTTGTGCATTCGGAAATCGTTCCATAACGATTCCTGGTCTGCCTTTGCCAGTTTGAAGACCATTGACTCTCCATCAACCCCAAAGATTGCGCCACAAGCTCCTGCTCCAATCTTTCGGCAGCCTTCTTCATGATCCGCGGCGGCATCTGATGAAGTGGTAGATATCTGGCTTTGAAGTGACAACAGTTTGTGAAGGTCTAGTTCCATGGTAACAAGTTTGAGTAGTATTGAATTCATTGAAAGAAGGAAAAGAAGAGAAGAAAAAAATACAGAACAAACGACGGGGTGGCTGCTTTAAATATCCAAGGAAAATCCACTTCTACGAGGTATCCAGGACTCTAGCTACCTCATGTAGGTGGCTTACTACCTATTGCTACTCTTGCTACTATTGCCACTCTTGCTACTATTGCTTCTCCTGACGTTAGCTACCAAGTGTATATGACATCTAATTAGATACCTTTATATGTAGTAGATACCTTTATATGTAGTAGATACCTTTATATGTAGTAGATACCTTTATATGTAGACTGGCCGTCTTATTGAGCTCCAACTGGGATCCTGGATAGGTAACTCTCTCCCTGAAATACGTGCAAGTAAAAAGGCCAATTTGGGGTGAGCTGTCTTTACTTCTATAAGTTCACATTTTCCTGTGGCTTTGAATAGAACGAAAATAGAAAGCTTTCCCCTTAACTTTAGCGTCAAGTTTGTGGTATTTTACTTTCTCATCTGTCCTCATATACACCCAATACGCAGAGACATAGTTTAAGCCACTTAAGGGGCTGCTCCGCGGAGTGACTCAGGAGATACAGCCAGCCAGCAGCGCAGCAAGTAACCCACTAATCGTTCATCGTGACTCGCATGTAATCACTGGGTCGCAAAGACAACGCTGCAAGCATCACAGTACTCGTATAGCATCTAACCTACTGGTAACTTGGCTACTCTCTATCTCTGTACCGTCTGGTGGGTTGTGCTAAAGCCATTAACCTCCTCCCATCTCATGTATCCATTAATCATTAATCACTAGTTTTCCTACTACACAGCTGAAAAATACCTTTCCAATATTATACTCTTCATGGCCCCATAGGCCGCATTTCTCCAATAGTGTTTGGGGGGGTCCCGATATAGACCCTTTCCATCGTAGCCAGATCGGCTTGAGTAACCGCTCCTACAGGAGCTCTTTTCTTCCATTCGCCAAGACATATTAGCTCCAAGAACGCCAGACCAGCCTCCAACTCACAGCATCGCACTGCATTGCCTCATTCCACCTCCTGGTAAAAAGCCTTGATATCAAGGTGACCGTTCCCAATAGCAAATATACATGTACAACTGTTACCACTGGCTCATCTGAAACTGCCGAGCCATTGCATCTCGTACATGTGGTAGCATAGCGTGAATCCCGCCAATCGATCCCAGAATTTGGGCTCCTATTTTTCCGGGATAGGCGACTTTGCCAGCCTCCCTCCTGCGCTCACTCGCTTCTGGAGCCGAACCTCTTTATCCCGTAGCAGCCTTTCGGTCGAGCTGCTGGTGGTGGGTAGCGATGGTACCGAATCGCCACCAACAGTGTAAGCCCTGCCCTTCTTCTGTTCAATATACTGCTGCGCGTATCGCCCAAGCGGGAATGCGGGGAGCGACGTTGGGATTTCCGCGCCGTTTTGAACGAGGAGCTCTGCTACTGGAAAAGGTACCGGCTTGGTATCAGAATCTGTTGACGGCTGTCCGGCTGCTGAAGATGGTGAAGCTGGGTCAGCAGCTGCGAGTGCTAGCCAAACGGCATGAGTTCCTCTCATTTTATCCACAGTATTAGGGTTTGCCTTTAGTGCCAAAGCGTAGAGCACTTGCTGGATCTCATTCTTTTTAATCGCAGCCAGCAAGGTGTCGTCCGCTGTAGCGTACCGTGAAAGGGTTGGTGAAATCGGATCAACGAATATGCGATCGACGTATTTCGCGGTAATGTATCTGAGGCGCTGCTCACGGGTTGCTTGTGGCGCCAGCTTTTGAGAGTGGTCCAGTTTGGCTTCCCAGATCATGTTTGATACTCGGTTTCCGACAAGTAGGAGCATTTCGACAATATCGACCGTAAAGGACTTGATGTCCAGAGTGAGGGAGCGTATCTTGCTGATGTGCGTCCCCAAGGAGCGGTGGATACCGCTGCATTCGATGCAAAGAATAATGCCCAGGTTGATTGATACCCATTCAACCTTGGCTCCTGAGCCACAATCAGCGCACCAGCAATTTCCTTGGTCATTATCCCTAAGCATTTGTAATAGCCTGTCAGGGTGCTCGTCATAGCCCGAGCTGGGCGTCCGTACTGGAGTAGGTCGAGCCCCGACTGTGGTTCTCCGGAATGGCACTCCGCTATTTGCGTTAGAGTGATGCGAATTGTGCGAGCCGTGAATTGATTGGATTTTGCCAGTGAGAACCGAGCCGATGTCCCTGCTGATGGAGTGATCGGATCCTCTTGACGTCGCCTGTCGATCTCGGTAGGCACGGCCCTCCACTGCGCCCTGCAAAGCATTGTTGATAGACAAGATCCAGCTGTTCATATCTTCCTCGGAAGTTGCCTGATACACACGCTTAAAGTTGGGAGTAATGACCTCAAAGCAGAACCGCCTCTCAGCATTTCTGGCTTCACGAACCGAAGCCATGCGGAGGTCAATTGGCTCCATGTGAAGATCCAACTTTTGCTTCCAATTGCTGTATTCAGACAGCTTACCCTGATCCAAGACGATCCAAAACCTGGATGAAATGTCAGTAAAGGTGGGTAAATTTGGTGGACAATAGTTTATAAGACTTACTTGTGCCATCCTTGTTTATTTAGATTGCGAGGGTCAACATGACCCCCTGGCCGGCTCAGCGACCAGAGGAGTCCTTCCTTTCTCTGTGATAGGTTTGTCTGTAGAGTATTCTGCTCTTCGAGGTCACGAATACCCTTGAATTTGGAACTTTGACTGGGGCTGCCGATAGCCGAGGCGTGTCCGAGGCTGCCTGGCGACCTTGAGAGATCGGCAGGCATGCTGGCTGCCGCGGACGACTGCACAGCACCGCCTGATGTTGACGGCTTGAGCTGAGAGCCCAGGATTTCTGCCCTTCCCAATTCGGTGTCAGAAATATGGGCCGGATTGCCATTTGAGCTTGCTACTATCGTGGCGGCACTGCTGAGACTTCCCTGCTCTGGCTCATTGTATGGCTTGTTGCTTTTTTCAAGCTGGCGGCGCTTTTCCTCGCGCTCTCTTCGCTGATATGAATACTCTTTGTCGGCTTCTGAAACTTCGTTTGTCAAGGCTACAAGCTGTGGGCGGAGATTTTCAATTTTCTTGGCGGCAGTCATAAATCCATTCGTCTGCGAATCAGCAAATTTCGTTAGATGCGACAGCACCTCTTGATCTTTGCGGCCACCATGAAGGTCCTGCATGAAACTCGAATAGTCGAAGCGCTTGAGTTCAAAGTTTCGCCGCTTATTTTGATACTTGGAGTCGCTTTCAGCAAGCTTCTTAGCCTTTACCGAGTCTTGACGCTGACCAAGATAACGTGAAACATAGGCGTAGTAATCTTTGCTCTCTTCCTCGAAATCTCGCTTTTTGGACTCGGCTTGCTTAATGTCAAGCTGATATAATTTTGTAATAGGGTCAATAATGATTCTTTGTAGATTCAAAGTATTTTGACGTTCATAGGCCAGGATTTCTCGAGCAATCTTGTCGAAGTAATGCTCCAATGCAGGCTGAACAGCATTTGCATTAGTAGCCGACGCCTCGCGCAGCGCTTCTATAAAGGCAACGAAGGCATCATTGGCCTCAGTTTGCGTTGCATAGACTTGTTCGGCCTTCTTTAGCACTTTCTTCATCTGCGCGCGCATGTTGCCCGTCTTCTGCTCCAGAGCTTTCAATGTGGCGCGGAAAACGGGGCCGTCTTCAGCCACAACATCTTCGGCTGGCCTGGGAACGCATTGTACGTCAACCTTTACAGGCTCCTTAGCCTGTGGGAAAGGAGGTACGTTGGCCTCTCCAGGGGCAAACATAGGAGAGAGGGGCTGCTCGTCAATCTCCGCGGCGGCTAATCGAGAGTCTACTGACTGAGCTGAAGCAATTCGGATCTTGGGAGGGGCGGACAAAGAAAAGGGCGCTGACGGTGAGCTCGGATGAGTTGGTGTTGTAGATGAACCTGAAAGGTTTTGTCAGCAATGGGAACCCTGCAATTTGCGCTTCAAAGACAAGCTAATTCAACATACTTGAAACCCAATAGGAAAAGGTAGCTAAAGTGTGCAGTTGGTGAGCACGCGAATCATACTCGACAAACTGGAAAAGTTAGCTTTGGACCTATGAAAGAATAGGAAATGTTGCGACGAACACTGCAGCAGTTCCTCCAGCCACCGCCCCTGTCCTCATAGTTTTTGGGAGCCTTCCATTTCCATGTCCACTCGAAAGAAACAGCGGCGGCCCCGCCAGTCGAATAATCCCCAACAAGAGCTACATTTTCATTTTTGTGCAAGTTGGGATCGGCGTGAAATTCACGAGTGACCAGATTCGCGACTTCCTTTGAGGAAGAGGCATAGACAAAGGTCAGGCCAGATATGTTGGTATCCTTCGTCATAAGGCCATCGGAGATTGGGATTGGCAAGTTTGAGGACGCGGGTTGTTGCGTCTGGCGAATGACGAATGCAAAGGTAAATATGAGCTCATCGTCACCGCTCAGCTTAAGTAGGAAGTTGGGCGGTCCATTAATATTTGATTCCGGGTCCTAAAAGCGCCCATTATTAGCATCGTTTGTAAGAGGCGGGATAAACAAAAGAGGCCTTGTTGGTCTAACCTGGACATATTCTATCGGGTTATGGTCGCCAGGAGGTCGCATAGCGGTCACTCTGGTCGCTGGAAAGGCATTGGGAGTGATGTGAATCGAAGTGCGCTTTCGCGGGTTCGTGACAACAATGGAAGTGATGCTCACTGCAGGCCGAGGTCAGTATATCACATCGTCGCAAATGCGGTCAGGAGCTGGGACGCACAGCGGTTCTGGTCCCGGAGGTAGAGCGACGCCTCGTCGTCGGGCCTGCTGCTGACATTGCCCATGGCGACAGGAGCTCGGCGGCGGCCAGCGGCGGGAGTTGGTCAATGGCGATACTGGAAATGTGCGAGCTGGCAAAGGGAAGATGGCGCGGGGCTCGGGGCGGGAGGCGGATCGTCATCTGGAGGCCAGAAGCGATCGGAGAGGCGGCAAGGGACGCTGGGATAAGTGATGTGGGCAAAAGATATGCGGCGGCCGACAGCTGCGACGAGGTTCAGGTCGCAGAACAAAGATGAGCCATCCGCGAGCAGCGCCGGGGAAGTGAATAATATGGAGTTTGGAGAGAAGAAGAATGGAAGACCGCGGCGCATGGCTGCACGCCCTCCACAGTCACACGCGCCGCTATAATTGATTGTGCACCACGGCGGTGTCCACCTGTAGCTGGTGACCTGGAGCCCGTGTGGCGATGTGGCTTCAGTGCAGGTACCGCGCTACCAGAGCCGCCTGGAAGGGCCCCGAGCCATCGCTGCACTCCACTTGGACGGAGGCGGCTGTTCCAGGTAAACAGCTGCGACGTCTCTTATGACGGGGAGGGGACAAGGGCTCGCTAGCGCTTCCTTAGCCTGATCTCAACGACTGCCTCTTTCAGGTAGACAAAAGCCAATGGCTGTGGCGCGGTCTGAGTGGGCAGAGCCACGAAAAAAACCGGCTCGATACGAGCAGATCTCTCGGGGCTGGATTTTAGGGGTTCGCATGAGCCTTGCAATCGATAATGCATGCGTCCGCTGCCAAGGTACCAAAAAGTATGACGCCTGGACCAATCGCTCTACCTGATAGCCCCGTACGAAGCAAGGCTGTACTGATTGATGCTCAATGCACAGGCACATACAAAGAACCCGGCTGGCAGTCCTATTTTAGGCAAGCTATTGGGATCGGGTGGCGTGTGCTTCGTAATTCCTGCGATGACCCATGACACGATGCAGGCAATCATCTACAGCCGATCGACTAGAATAGGCACATGTAGCTAGCAACACTACGCGTATCGTGTAGACAGGCCTCGTCACAGGCACACGTACACATTCGTCCTTAGCCACAACAAGGTGGCCCCACTAGATATCGCATCGCCAAGGCTTCAAAGCCGCAATAGACCTAGTTGCAGTTTATACACAACAAGGAATCGTTATTTTAGAATATGTAGAATTAAAAAGAAAGAGATACTATATACTAGGTATCAAGTAAGAGAGAATAATTCAAGTGGAGACAACTCTCTGGCAGAGAGAACCTCTTTAATATACAGTTACAGGTGACAATGGAGGGGCCAGGTTACCAAACCAATCTTCCCTTCTAGTAATATACCTTCTATAAATAATACACATGCGCTCTCTTTAATCCAAAGCACCATTTCTAGAACCCATCGCCCTTGTAAAAGCGCCCCTCCCCCTCCCCCTCTTTTCGCGTATTGAGTTCAGCGTAGACGGACCCCCAGTCTGAGATTAAGAGGAAAGCTTCTCGGTAAGAAGCTTGCTTGTTGTCACAGAGACATCCGCGGGAGAAGGCGTGGCGTCAACTTTGATGACTTTGCCTTGGCCCTCGTAGAAGTTGACGACAGGCATGCTGGTCTCGATAAATGTGCGGAAGCGCTTGCGGATGCTCTCGGCGTTATCATCTGTTCGACCGCTCGTCTTGCCCCGCTCCAACAGGCGTTCCTCCATAACCTTCTCGGGGCAGTCGAAGAACAAGACGACCTTGGCGGGGCAGACGGCCTCCTCAAACTTATGGGCTTGATCCATCTTACGGGGGAAGCCATCGATCAGGAAGCGGCCCTTGGTGGTGCCCTTTTCTTTGAGCGCAGCCGTCATGGCGTTCTCAAGCAGCTTGATGGTAACCTCCATGGGGACGATAAGACCATCCTTGATGTAGTCTTTGATCAATTGACCAAATTGGGACCCAGGTCGGTCCTGCTCTTCGCGCAGCAAGTCGCCGGCAGAGAGATGGTGGAAGCCTTGTTCAGCAACGAGCCTGGCGCATTGTGTACCCTTTCCAGCGCCGGGGCCACCGAGGACAAAAACGACGGTCACGTCGGCAGGGCTGAACACCGGTGCATCGCGGGCAGGCAGCGCCGCGGCCGGAGCTTGGTTTTCGATCGCAGGAGACATGTCGTCTGTTTCTGGTAAGAGGTAAGCAATCGTTAGCCACAAGAGATGTTCTCGACTCGGCAGTAAGGGGGCGGCACCATCAAGGTTACTCACTTTTGATACGAGAGTTTGCCAGCTGGATGTAACCTGCCGACGCCAATCCAAAGAGCGCGAAGAAAGGCCAGAACTTGATCTGGCTGTTACCAGCGCGAGGGGGCTCGGAAGAATAGAAGCGCTGCTGGCGGAAGACGCGAGACTTGCAAAGCGGTGACGAACAAGCTCCTGCGCGTGTGGAGACGGCAGTGCGGTTAGCAAGGCGCAACGGGGTCGATATGCGAGAGGCCATTGGTGCGTTTTTGCGTCTCTCCGGGCTCCTTGGGGTCGTTTGGTGGTGGTGTGCGTGAGGAGGTAGGCGATGTCGAATATTGACGTAGTCGAGAGAAGGTCGGGTGTCTTGGTGGGCTGATGGCCGGCTGCTGCTGCAAACACGGGATATGAGATTGATGTAGATTTGGCTTGAGCAGAGTGCCAATCGCCGCAGGAAAACCACGAGAGATACCCCACTATAAACCTTTAATTTGACGAATTACTCTGGAAATTACGATGCTACAACAAACTACTAAAGGACGTGTACCCAAAAAAAATTAGTGAAAACAGTATATTCAAAACTTGATTTCTAGTGCTGTGTCTATTTTGTTGTAAATACTTCATGTTGTTTTAAACAGCTACCTGTAGATACTTGATCGCTGTTGTAGGCAAGAGGGGTAATCCTTGGGTTCAGCGTCTCGTGCTCTCCTTAATTGGCGTGGACTGACTGGCGATCGACGCTTACTGTATGTGGGTTATACAAAGCCAAAGGCTCAGTTTGTTATTGATGTTTAATGGGGCAGGCACCTTGGATTCCATTAAGCATGAAATGCCTTATTGAATGCTTTTTAGTAAAAACAGCCCATGCTTTACAGTCTCAAAGGCCTTCTTCTAGTGCGCTGAACAGACTCGGGTCCTCGGGCGTGTGCAACTCAGGGCAGCAGCTAATAATAGCACCAATGCAGTACTGCGGCTGCTTCTAGAGCCCATGTAATCGTATATACGATGATACGTACACGTAGATTCGGCCTGAATAATATCTACCGATATATATAGATTCTAAGATCAAAAATAAGGGGAAACACCATCGCTGACAGCGGTCTTACTGTAATCAATGGCAGATCACATCTGGGCCCGTACTGGCGTGTGCTTGATGCCATTAGCGCCTTGATCAAACAAAGCTCGTGTTCCTGATTGCTCAGGCTTGCGCATATGCGTGGCGCTGCACTTCACTGCGCTTAGAGCCATGTTCCAGGGGCCTTGAAGCGCCTAAAGCCGACCAGCATCAGGAGATGACGTTTTCTCCACAGCCACCCGCCATCTGTCCAAGTTGCAACACATCCGCACCACCATAAATCCCATTAGCAGCAAGCTTGTTTGCCAAAACACCACGTCCACGGATCCTGCTGCGAGGCCATCCTGCCTGTCCCCCATCGACTTTCGCTCGCCATCTGCCCCTAGCAGCGCTGCCTGCCTGCTGAGCCCCTCCCCTAGATCCAGACCGGCTATGAGGCTTAGCATCTACCGAGGGCTTGGGCATCATTCTGCCTATTGAGAGACGCCGCAATGGCGTCCCGTCAGTCGTACCAGTCTCAGCATGGAGTCAATAATAGCAGCAAAGACATGGGAAGGTCGCGGGCACAGTCTGCGCCGCAGCACCCCGTCGACCCAGACGAAGCTCGAAGCTTTGCCCTGCGTACCGCCTATCTGCACTACTTGCTGCAGCCCAAAGCTAAACGAAAGCAATATGTCCCGGCCCCGAAGCAGCCTGCGCGAGCGCATACGAGCGTGGGACAGCTCGTGCAAGATTTCGTTTCGGGAAACTCTTCGAGCATCAAGCTCCCCCACAACTTCGCTACCGCTCTGCTTGACCGTGTAGGTGGCGTCCTGAGGGGTAGCGAGGCTCTGCCAGGATACAGCGATGCTGCCGTCAAGAGAAGCTTTGCCGAGGCCTATACAGCTTTCTCGGAAAAGACGTTTCGGAAAACAATTGAAAAAGAGAGAAAATTTGAGCCTTTGGTCTTGATCTTCTACTCTGCGGCGACAAAGGCAGCCCAAAAGGGGAAAGGAGCTGACGATGAATCCGACTCATGGAAGCTACTCCCAGACCGCCACCTTGCCATGTTTGTGAGGTTGGCCGCAAATGTCATGAAAGATCAGGGACATGATCGAGATCGACCCGAGCTGATGTCTAGACTCACGGATCTGGAGAGCAAACTTCTCAGAAACGACCAAGATCTGGTTAGCAACAGCAGTGCTGGCACCGGCACCACGATTGAAGTGATAGTGCCTCTTAGCTATGAAGTCAAGGATATGCCCATGGTACAGACGGTTGCGAGCATCTTCGGCATGGGCCTCTCAGAGGCTCAGAAGATACTAAACGAAAAACGTCAGGTTTGGACTGAAGAGGCTGCGCTCAAGGACCTCAAATCATATCAGACTCGGCTTAACGCCAATCTGCCAGGCACGCTAAGCAGCCATGATTTTGACGTTGAAGATGCCTTCACTGAGTGGAAGAAATCAGAGGCCACACATCTCTCACAGATGATGATGGACATTTTAACGGCCAAGCCAGAGTTGGCAAAAACCAAAACTGGCCCCATCGACCAATCCATGACAAGCCGACCGACGTCAATGTACGAAAACGACCAGGCGTATGCCGACCTTAGTCGTGTGATCTCTGATCCAAGTGCATCATCTTTTGCCTTTGACCCGTCTATTAGTCTGAGCTCTCTAGCAATTGGGGAATCGAGCAGTATCAGAGCCGTAGATGAAACGATTTACACATTCACCCCTCCTAACCCCAGGTCGTTTTACAAGAATATTCTTCAGCAGGCGATGATGTTTGATCAGATGCATGCCGATCCCAACAATGACTACCAGCCGCTGTCGCATAAATCTATGGACCTGCTGAATGAGCTATCTGTACGGTGGCGTATACCGCAGTTTTCTCGACTCATTGTCCTTCTGGAGGGAGTAGCCAATCAGTTTCTTGAGAAGGAGATAGCTCCCGAGGACCTTGATGCTGCCTTTGATATAATCAAATCTCCATCACAAGAACTGAAAAAGCCGCCCCATATCCACCAATACAACGCCCCCCTGACCGATTTTGACCCCAGTCGGTGGACGTTGCATGATTTCGCTGCGTATCAGCACACTCTTCAAACTCTTCACGATGCATTATTGCAAGAGCTCTACGAGCTCTTGGAAGGTTGTTATCAGACCAAACCTCCTAATATTGGGCCTGTCATGTTCCTCCTAGAAAACCACATTGGTCAAGACCCAACCTTTGCCCCTCGGGCTGAAGTAATGAAAGATTTCAAACAGCTTCTATCCGAGCGTCTGGCCCAGAAAGCTACTGAAATCTACCACGAGAATATGCAAAAACAAATACCAGAGCGAAAGGAAGAGTGGGATTTTGCTCATGTTGTACAACTTGGCAAAGCCGTGTCCAAGGTGTGCGACCGAATTCGAAAGCGGTACAAAAAGACTTCAACTATCATGGGAGTAGATCCCTTGAGTATCTTGGTCTATGAAGTTTTCCCCAAATTCGAACAGGATGCAAGCGCCATCATCCAGATCATTATGCAAGGAGCCAGTGAAAGCGGCCAAGAGCTTGAGATTCAAGATGGGTTTGAGCTGTACAAAGAGCTGAAAGAAATCCGCGACATTCACGAAGAGTTCCTGCCTAAAGAGCCTTTTGCCTTCAATATTGAAGATCTGCTCGTCGATTTTGTATGGCGTTGGCTTAAGTCGGCCGAGGCTCGAATGGCAGATTTCGTGGATCAAGCAATTAAGCAAGATCAGTTCCAAGTGAGAACGGACAGCCCAGGCGAGATAGCTGGGGACTCACAGCGGCATAGCGTGTCCATTATTGACATGTTTATGCTCTTCAACCAGACGGTAGACCAAATCTTCAAGCTGGAATGGGGTAACGCAGAGCATCATGCCAGATTCATGACTACATTGGCAAGAAACTTCTCTGCTGGCGTTGGCCGCTACTGTGAGACGGTTGATCAGCAATTTGCAAAGGAAATGGATCGTCCGTCTGCTCAAGAGCTGGCTGCACAAACTCAAACAACCCAAGAGAAGTGGATGCAGTATGCTAAAGACGCATGGAACAACAAGGAAAAGGCCGAACCTTTCCACTTCTTCCCAGAGGTAAGTGCTACATCAACTGATACAATCAACTATCCTTTTTCTTTTTTCTTTTTTTCTTTTTGCCTTTCACTAACTAAATGTGTTTTCCAGTCTTTTGTAAAACTTAACAATATCGAGTACGCAATGCAAGAGCTTGATAAGCTAGAGAAGAACATGAACGTCGAAGCGTGCGCAGCATTATTAGACAAGAAAGACGGTGTGAAGAAAAAGTCTCGGAAGCCAAGCAAGTATACCTTTACCATAAAAGTGGTAGAGGCTGAGGACCTCAAAGCCTGCGACCCCTCAGGTTACAGTGATCCCTATGTCGTTTTTGGCGACGAGTATCAGAAGCGCCTTCACAAGACACGTATCATTCATCGAAACTTAAACCCCCGATGGGATGAATCATTCGACATTACAGTTCAAGGCCCAGTCAACGTCATTGCAACCATATGGGATTACGATACGTTCGGTGACCACGACTATGTCGGACGAACCTCGCTAAAGTTAGATCCTAATCACTTTGGCGACTACCTGCCCCGAGAATTCTGGCTTGATCTGGACTCACAGGGCCGTTTGTTAATCAGAGTTAGCATGGAAGGAGAGCGCGACGACATTGTCTTCCATTTTGGAAAAGCTTTCCGTCATTTGAAACGTACAGAACGAGATATGGTCCGAAAAATTACGGATAAGGTATGCTTTATCGTTGCACGATGTAATATGGCTGAGATTGGCTAACTTGCTTCCAGCTTACTGCTCAAATTAACGAAACACTGTCACTCGAGACCCTAAGGGCCCTCATAGGATCTGGAGGCGTGGGAGCTTCCATTACGAGTCTCTGGAAGAAGCGAACTTCCTCTGCTCCCCCATCTACAGCGCCGTCACAGTCGCAGATCGAAAACGCTCTCACCAATCTGTTTGCCTATTTCGATGACAATTTCGCCATTATGAAAACGACACTAACAGACGCGACAATGATTGCCGTCATGACTCGGTTATGGAAAGATGTGCTTATAACGATAGAAAATCTTTTGGTGCCACCGTTGTCAGAGAAGCCGTCAACCCAGAAACCCCTCACGCGCCTGGAACTCGACATTGTATATCACTGGCTGGAGATGCTGTTTGTGTTTTTCAATGCCAAGGATGAGCACTCGGGCGAGCAACTTGGGGTTCCTGCTGAGGTGCTCAAATCGCCTAAGTGGCACGAGCTTGCTTCGCTAAACTTTTTCTACTTTGAGGATACTAACAACCTCATTCGGGAATCGGAACGCATGGCTGCAGCATCTGCGCAACGAGCTCAGCAAGCTTTACAGCAGCAGAATCAACAACAAAGCCAAAGCAGACTTGCAGTGCCGAGTAGTTTGGGAGCATCTCTGGGTGGTGCGGGCTCGTTTGCAAGCATGGGCACCATCCGACGCGGCAAGAGTATTATGATGAGCCGAAATCTTGGAACCATGCGCAAAGCCAAGGAGGCGAAGCGGCGCGAGATGCAAGCCGATGCTAGTGATGATATGATCTTACGAATCTTGCGTATGCGTCCCGAGGCGACCAACTATCTCAAGGAGAGACAACGTCAGAAAGAGCGCCAAGCCGCAACAGCTGCCGCGGCGCTGATTGTGAAGAACAGTGTAAGCCAAGGTTGGAACTCTGGAGTTCCCGCGTTTTCAGGTGCGCCGTTCGGGCGAAACAGTCTTTTGCCTAACAGGAGATAAGTCGTGACATGAACATGGATGTGAGCGAAACGAAAAAGAATAAGAGAAAAGGAGGACAAGAATATATGAACAAAGCATCGAATTAGCTGGGAGAAAGGAGAGTTTATTTAACCTGGGAGAGGGGAGATTTTACGGCGAGAGCAGCTCCATCTTTTACTTCTGTACCTTGTCTTTAGTGTTTTATGGACTGTGGCCCGGCGGGATTTGGCCTCATTCAGATACCCTTATGCGTGTAGGCATATGCCGAGGTCATGGATTGGAGATGGTTTGATTTTTACGACATATCCGGGATTTTTGAGATTGGTGGACATTATGAGACGGGAGAGCGAAGTTGTGTAATCTTATCTTAGCATGTTAGGGGATGGTTACTCTTCAGTTATTTAGATAGCAATATCAAGCATTTTGTGTTTAGGAAATTAAGATCCAGCAGAGATTTCATATCGCGATATCAACGGCACATTAGAGGGTGGTCGCTCTTTAAGTAGTTATTTAGATAGCAACATCGAGCATTTTGTGTTTAGAAAATTGTTATCCAGCAGAGATTCCATGTCGCGATATCAACTAGTACCCAAGACGCCGTTAATTCTCTTCCATCCCCCAACCTCTGCAAGCACTGCCTTGGGCTGATGATAGGAGCCCTCTTACGAAGCTCGTGGCGCGGCCAAGGTCCCTCACAAACGTTCACGCATTCCTAGGCAAGGCATGACCTAGGCGGTACGTCGGCGACGGCATGTGCTCCAGCATCATGAGCGGGATCCGCTTCTCTTGAGGCTCTGCACTCTTAACGAACTGACAAGTACCCAACAAGTACCGCAAATGTTGCATGTGCTTCCTGAGCCTCTGTGAACGAATGAGAGCACGCTCAAGCGCAGGTGACGGCCCCGGTCCGGCAAAGTGGGCGATGGATGCCTACGGGGGCGCATCACCTGCAGGAGGGACCCAAGGCAGTCTGTGCCGGGCATTGGGTGGCGGGGATATGGGGATGCATCAGTCTCTTGGGTTAAGAGCCGGCCTGGGCAGTTGTTGGGTGTTGTTGCATGTAGGTATGAGGTACATGAAGCTACGGGGCAGTCGATCGATGGAAGGGAAGCTGAGAGTCGTGAAGCTTATTGGCAGTGCTAATGCAGAGCATTCTGTTACTACTAGTAGTAGTAGTTGAGGTAGTGAAATTAGTGGTAAATGTGCTAAGCTCTCCGTCTGTCTCGGCTGGCTGGTCACAGTATTCGCCATTTTCTACAGATACTGCTGTCCTGTGACTGGATGTAAGTCAGCTGGTTGGTGCACGAACAGGGGCGAGATGGACAGGAACCCAGAGGTATGGCACCACAAGCTGAAAGCACGCACCAGAAATTCACGACGGGCAGGGCAGACTCGAGGGAGACTCTAGGTACTCGTGATGGAGCTAGTGTTGCCGTTAAAACATGTATGTGATGTACCCAGATCACAAACCCTGGGATGCTCAACACTGGATTAACCTCAGACCTAGCTGCAGGCATAAGCTGGCAGCTGGGTACTCCGGGGTAGCAGTACCCAGCCGTCAAGCTCGCCTCTTCGCCCGCCGTTCAGCATCTACCAGGAGTACATCCACCCGCGCTCAACCGCTCCGTATCTGCCGCCAGGCCAAGTGGGATCATGTACCCGGCAGGTACCTTAGCGTCTCACCTGTGCCTGTAGCGCTATGGATCTGACAGTGCGGTGTGCTCTGTAGCGGGCCCAGTGACGGCGAACCAGGCTCCCTCCTCCACCACCTTCATTTTGTTTTATTATTCACGGTGAGGTACAGTAGGCAGCATCGCCCATCCTGTTCTTTTCACCTGTGAATCCCTGTGTAAGCACCCGCCTGAGGCTTGTCCGAAGTAATTACTCGCGGCCTCCGATCAGCGCCTCGGAGGACCATGGCGCCCCGAAGCGAAAAGAGCCAATTGAAGCGGCCTCACGTACGTTGTCTCGCCACGGAGCTCCATCGCCGGAAACCGCAAATACTCGCGATCCATTGGTAGCCTCGCTAACATTGATTTCGCAGGGCTCGCTGCCGGAGGAAGGCACAGACACGAAGAAGCCCCGCAGGTCCGACCGCTTGGCCCAGGCTGACCCGGATAAGACGCCCGTGTCGCGCGAACATCATCTGCCATCACCCGTCACAAACAATGCCACTGATGGCTCGGCCGAGCTTTCTCAAGAACACACGGCGACGCCTCCGGTAGCCGTGGCCGGCGAGCTCACTCCGAGAAAGGGCCCCGAGGGCCTGGGCCAGAGCCAGGCGCTGTCCTCTCCTCCGCAAGACACACAGCCGCTCAGCCAATACGTCGACCGACACCCGGCGCTCTCTGAAGACGTTGTGGACGAGCTGAAGGAAGGTGTCTGGGGCTATCTAGTCCCTCTGGACCCCAAGTACGGCGACAAGCCTCTGGTGCTGAAAAAACGCGTCGCATGCCCTATGGATGATGCTATTGAAGCTACTTCAGAGGCTGAGAAAAAGGGCAAAGATGACACATCGGGGGCTGCTAAAGAGGAGGAAGAATATGAAAAGACCAAAGTCAAGGGCGTCTCGGCAGGTGGTTACCTGATCGGGCGGCATGCCGAGTGTGGTAAGATTTCTTCGAAAACTCCGATCCTAGCTACCTAGTTAAGTAGAGAGATGACTGATTGGTGACGACGTATCGATAGATGTGGTTGTCAGCGAGGGAGTCGTTTCCAACCGACACTGCCTTATCTTTGCAGAGTCTGTCGGAACAGATACCGTTGCATTTGTCGAAGACGTGTCGAGCAACGGAACATACGTTAATGAAGCCCTGGTCGGACGAAACCAGCGTCGCGAACTAAAAGACCAAGATGAAATCGCCGTACACAGCAAAGCAAGATTTGTCTTTAGGTATCCCCAGAGCCGGCAGACAAGCACGTTTCAACAACAGTATACGCTCATGGAGAAGCTCGGCAAGGGTCATTTCGCAGAGGTCTATCTCTGCGTTGAGAAAGCGACTGGCAAGCGATATGCCGTCAAGATTTTCACAAAGCACTCTGGCCCTGAAGACAAGTCCAAGACGGAGGGTCTGCAGCAAGAAATCGGTGTTTTGATGGGTGTCAGCCACCCAAACGTCCTCTGTCTCAAAGATACGTTTACTGAGCGCGACCATGTTTACTTGGTTCTCGAACTCGCTCCCGAGGGCGAGCTGTTCAACTACATTGTGATGAAGCAGAAGCTGAGCGAAGATGAGACGAGAAAGTTGTTTGTCCAGCTATTCCAAGGCATCAAATATCTTGTAAGAAGCCCCAATATTTCACGCGTCGCAACCCACAGCACTGGCCCTTTCACGGTCACTTGAAACGCTGTCTAACATCCTGATCTTTGTAGCATGACCGTAACATTGTGCACCGAGATATCAAGCCAGAGAATATCTTAGTCGTGGACAAAAAATTGCATGTTAAACTGGCCGATTTTGGACTGGCAAAGATTATCGGAGAAGAATCATTCACCACGACACTATGCGGAACTCCCAGCTATGTTGCGCCTGAAATCTTGGCTGATACAAAGCATCGAAAATACACCAAGGCTGTTGACGTCTGGTCACTCGGCGTTGTGTTGTATATTTGCCTTTGTGGCTTTCCTCCGTTCTCTGACGAGCTCTTCTCACGGGATTTCCCTTTCACGCTCTCCCAACAAATCAAGAGCGGGCGATTTGACTACCCATCACCCTATTGGGACTCAGTTGGTGACCCTGCCCGTAAGTACATCACAGCTTCTGACCTGCTCAAAGCAACACCTTTTGCTAAACTGAATACTTTTAGTTGATTTGATTGATTCCATGTTAATCGTGGATCCGGAGCGAAGGTACACTGTTGACCAATGCCTGAAACATCCCTGGCTTGTATCCGGCGCACCAGCCGTGAATGATAGCACCGGGGGACTTGTTGGTGGCATTGAGGGATTGGAAGTCAACCGTAGAGCTCCCGTCCGGGAGAGAACACTGCTCTCGTCGCTCAATTCTGTGTCGATTACTGCTCGACTAGACGGCGGCAATGACGGATCTCCCATTAAAGTATTCTCGAAGAATAAGCACCGCGCCGTTAATGCTTCTCAGGAGGCAGGCCCGGCACATCAACGGGCACCCGAAGAGTTCATTGAAATGGGCGGTAAAGGGGATCAGGTACTTTTTGGTGAGGACGAAACGAGCATCTATCCTACGGGCGATATCGCTGCGAAGAAGGCAGATGGCAAGCCAAACGGCAAATAAACAAGGGGACAATCTTTTCAGTTGGCAACAACGAAGCTTCTCTTTCTGCTTTAGTTGGTTGTATGAGTCAACCATTGGAGTATTGCGTTGTACATATAGAATGGCGAGCTGGTGTGACATTTTGGTAAGGGGCATATGGCATGGATTGTTTTGCTAATATCTGTCTCTCTGCTTTGACTCTCATATTGAGGTTTCATTTTCTGTTTTTTTTTAACTGTTTGTGTCTTTTTTTTTTTTCCTATTTCTTTGGTTGGGATATATGCGCGGACTGCATAACTGATCAAGGGGGTCTGTAAACAGGGACGAGATGTCTCTCTTGGACTTTGGAAAGGGCCCTTCTTCTGGCCTCGCGAGCTAGGAAAAGAAAAAATGGGAGTAGTGTGCAAGGCGCCAAAGTATCTATCTATAATAAAGAATTCGGTATAAATGGAGTTACATAGGTTCCAAATAGGCCGCGAATGCCAGTGTAATAGAGGGCTGTGCCTGGCCCAGTTCAGTGACTGGAGATCAAGAGGTTCAGAAGCATGAGGTTCAACTAGCTCGGCCAAATCAAGGGTAACGAAAGCCAGAGAAAATATACCATAAAAGCAACACAAGTATCTATTTATGATAAAGATCCTTTGTCAAAAATAACATCCTATTCAGTGTCCCCTCGACCTGATTATATCTTGAGTGCCATATACATACACTGTATTGATCAACTGCTTGAGGCCAGGAACCGATAACACACGTGCCACATCACATGACCCTTTACACAGCGTCACCGCCCTCGCTTAGCTCCCACACTTTGAGAGCGGCAGAAAACTCGGCGGGGTGAGCAAAGTTTGGATTGAGATTTGATCACTAGGAGAGAGAAATCTGGCTCAGAGACCCCACCACAGGGCTATTCAGGCACCGACCCTGTCAGGACGCTCATCTTCACATTTTGCGGTTGTCCAGTACCACGCCCACGCCTACGTCCACGCCCCCGCTTGCCCTCTCGACCGACCACTCGATCGAAGGATCCCCAAGACCAAGTCGTCGCCTCTCCATCATCGGTCCGAGACGAGACGATAAAGACACGCGAGCGAATCGACACGCTTAACCGGCGCTTGGATAGAGAAAGGAGAGAAAAAATTCAGTCAAAATGCCCGGCGCCACGATCAACGGGCCGCAGCCCCAGCTGCTATTCGTCGATGGATCCTTCGAGGATCTTTCTCGCGAGATGGCCGAGTATCTCAAGTCGGATGAGGCCAAGCAGCTTTTGAGCGAGGAAAAGGCCGCGCCCAAGGAGGAGGTTCTGTCAAAGCTGGTTGCCGCCTCCAGCGCCCTTAGCACCGTCCCGGAGAAGGAGTTTACCGCCGCGTCGAACCTGATGATCCATCTCGCCATGCAGTCATCCGACCCCAAGAAGCTGCTGCCCACCCTCTGCTCCAACCTCGCCAAGCCCCTCATCAACTCACCAGTCCACGGCGCTGCCCTGGCCCTGAATGCGCTGGTCACCGTTTTCAACCTTCTCGAGTCCAATGATCCTGTCCGAGCGCGCGTCTTGATGGAGATCCTGAAGTTCCTCAAGGTACACGGCCTGTTCGACGGCCTGCGGACATACCTGGATAAGCTGCCGGAGTGGATTGTGTCATGGGGAATTGATACTGCTTTGGAGAGGAAGATTTACGAGGAGGTCGCCGAGGTTGCCCTCGAGTCAGGAGAAGAAACGTAAGGATCTATAATACCCAAAGGCAATGCTCACGAGCTTAGATTTAGCTCTTTTTTTTTTTAAAGGAAACGGTATACTGATGCCTACCTCTTTTAGTATCGCCTACGAGTTCATCCTGAAGGCGCTCCGAACTTTCGATGGCGAAGGAACTAGCTCTGAGGAGGCCCAGAGACTGTCTCTCCGCGCCCTGAAGATGGCCATTCTCTCCAACACCCACTTCCTCTTCCAGGATCTCCGAGCTATCCCCACCGTGCAGGCGCTCAGCGATTCTCAGCCCGTCTACTCTCAGCTTCTCGACATCTTTGCCGAGCAGGACCTTGAGGACTACAACGACTTCAATGACGAGCACAAGGGCTGGGTGGAGGAACAGAAGCTGGATGCCGAAAAGTTGCACCGTAAGATGAGACTTCTCACCTTTGCCAGCTTGGCCGCCACCACCCCCAGCCGCGAGGTTGAGTATGCCAAGATCACCAAGGCGCTCCAGATCCCCCAGGAGGAGATTGAGACATGGGCCATTGATGTTATCCGAGCTGGTCTCGTTGAGGGCAAGCTGTCACAGCAGCGCCAGATGTTCCTCGTCCACAAGGTCACCTACCGTGTTTTCGGCCAGAAGCAGTACCAGGAGCTGGCCACCCGTGTCGACCACTGGCGATCAACTCTGCAGAACGTTCTCGTCGTTCTGCAGCAGGAGCAGGCCAACGCCAAGGCCGCCAAGGCCCGTGAGGCTCAGGAGCTGGAGCGAAAGCTGGCCAATGTCAATGTCGGCGGCCAGGAGGGTGGACGACGAAGACAGCAGCAGCGCGAGAGGACCGATAATGACGACTAAATGATTGGTCAATCCCGAAATTAATCAACGGACAAGCCAGGAATTCAGAAGGAGACGGTTTTTTTTAAAAAAAAAAAAAACATGATGCGAAAAAAGAAAATCAAAATCAAAAGGGCTGGGCGGTTCCGGCATGGAAGGAGAGGAGAGGGAGATTTGAATCATTTTGTGTTAATATAGTATACATGCTGGGAATCCGATATCACACGAGCTGAGGATATTGCGAATGGCGTAGCCGGTTTAGCATATGATGTTTTTTTGTTCGACTTTCCTAGTAGTTTTTACGAGCCTAGGAGGGGTCAAAATATGAGGGAAAGCTATCGGTACAATAGAGTTCCGAAAGAGGAGAAAAAAAATATTGGAAAAAAAAAAAAGAACAAGGCTGACTTTTGAGTACTCAATATGAATTTGATGCTGATGCTGGGATGAACAGCATCTTTTAGATCCAGTCGTTACTTGTATCTTTCAAAGAAGCCCACGACATAATGGTATCGAAGAACTCTCGCGGCCATAAAGCAATGGATGTCACTGCTATACATTATTTGCAACTTGTCAATTACCGAGAATGGCAGCTTTCGATATAGCCATGGCTACATGTAGTTTTACGAAGTCTATAGGCGGAGGACAATCTCGGTGCTGACAACACTGTATGTAGAGTTTTGTACTTGCAAGGTATTCCTACCATAAAGCAAGCACACAGTCAAGGCAGAAGAACCACACGCTGTGTCACAAAAAAAAAAGGTCACGCACCCCGAATCCTAGCAAAAATTGCAAGGTCTCGTTGGCAAGGTTGGCTGTCCTAAGGGATGCTCAGCTCTGCTGTCTCGTCGAATCAGAGCAAGGCTCGAAACGCTTGAGCCTCAGCTCGTTGGCCAACCAGCCTCACCATTTTTAGAGCACGAGGAACAGATGGAATGATGTCAAAACGCATGATAATCAGCCCAGAAAATCCTCATTTTAGCCAAGTGCGAAGGCAGTAGATGTTTATTGAAATTATGTGCTAGGGTAGTTGCGTAGGTAGGCGTTCTTAGAAGTTAGAGGACTGCCTAGCTATAGGCGGATTTGAACGCCGTAAACGTGCTGGCGAGGCGCCATCCAGCGGCCTGGTCCGTTCCCACCCCCTCAGGCGGCTTTTAAACTGGTGCTGTCAAAACTGCCACCCACTCAAGCTCCACGACTGGTGAGCTCTTGATTCATACAATGTTGTCATTTTTGGGCATTTTCCACAGGGATTGAAGAAACCAGCTGCAAGGCAGACTATTCTCTTACGGATTGCGATATACTTTCTCAGCTTTTTTGGATAAGCAACTTGAACCTTGTGGCCGTTTCGGCCTTGATTCGTCCTTGACCTCTTTTCCTGAGTTGCGCTTCGCTCCGAGGCTCTGGAGTGATTCGATTTCAGCTCACAGTTCGTGAACTCAGGGAAGAGACACAGACCTCGACTGAGACGGATTCTGGGGGCTTCGGGCGCATTACTATGGCAACTGCGACGCCTTCTAGGAATCGCCACCAAGATGTCTACCCTGGGACGCCGTCGACAGAGAAGAGGCGACTCAACGGCCTTTTCCATCGGAACGAGTGGTGGTGTATGTTTCTCTCCTGCCATGGTCTCAACTCATGCCTATTCCAGAATTACACCCAACTTCACGCTCGTTTCTCTTTCAATTCACCCTTTCGCCATGCCCATATATCATTTAAAAGTATGAAGAAGCTCACACATGCTTGTTACAACATCTAGGCAACTGTGATCCTCGAAAACGCGCCGTCGACCGTACAGTAACCAGAGCCACCCCTAACAGGGGAAAGCGCTTCTGGGCCTGTCCTCACCCTCCTCCCGACGGATGTGGTTTTTTCCTCTTTGCTCATGAAGCGAGAGTGCGAGAGATTGGTCTCACGCCCTCATCATCCAATGAAGCAGTTGATGTGCCACCAGCAACCACCACTCCGTCAAAGCAACCGACCTTGACGCAGACACGCCTCACCGATCATGGAGTCGAGATTCTTGGAGGCAGACGACCAAGGAGCGATCCAGAGGCTGCGCTTCCCGAAAATGAAAACGATGACGAAGGCGCTGCGCTTCACCATCATCAAACCGTGAGCTCATCACAGCCGGAAGCGGGATCATCGTCAGACAAGGGCAAAGGGAAAGCCACTGCTGATCGATTCTTTACTTATGAGCCTCTTACTCCTGGCCCCAGTGGTGGTCGGAAGCGGGGCCGTGATGAGTTTGAAGAAGACCTCTTGAGCGACATGGACTCTGAGGAAGAGCGGGAGCTCGCTACTATGACAGACAGAAGCGCTCAGAGGTTTCTCCGCGCAGAGGCTTACATTGGCCAACAAACAGACGATGGCGAAGACGATGCGGCTGCCGGGCCGTCTCGGCCTGTCGCGCGCACCCTCTTCCCTCAGGCACGGGGTGCCAAACGGCGCAAGTCAGTGTCATTCGAAGAGCCAGAGCCATCTGCTCCTACGTCTAGCGAGGCCACTACTATCCATTCGAATGACGCCGAATTTGCGGCGCCGCCCAGCACCATGCAAATGTCTCCTCCCAGCAGCATGGAGGAGGCTGCCCCTTTCCCTTGGTCTGCAATGACCGCCACCCAACAAAATGACGGCGATGAAGACAAAGAGGGTGGCGACAATGATATTACTGAGCAAGTGATGAGCCTTCTTCAAACTCAACACATCGACCGCTCTGTTCTAGCGTCCGTTAACAATCTCCTTGTCGTGTCCGCTCGTCGGACAAAGGGCCTCGCCATGGGCCGAGACTCTGCCCGTGAGGCCGTAAAGGAGAAGAAGATGAAGATTGGAAGGTTACAGGAGAAGATTGCTGTGCTGGAGAATTCGGAGCGGTCGCTGAATGGTCAGATTACGCATATGAAGGCTGGACTGATGAAGATGTACGAGGCTAATTGATCTCATTTTCTATTTCATTCTCTATGTTTCTTTTGATAGCAAGGGTTTGGAGTTTTGGAGCGCAGGGTTAAGCAAGTATAAGTATATCAAGTAACGACAATAACATGTACGAGTTTAAAGTGCAAATCTCAGTGATGAAGCTTGGTGAATCAGCAGATACATTTCATACCTTGGAAGACAAAATTCTTTGTCTTGCATAGTCAACATTTCCGGCCGTTACTTAACATATATGGCCCTGCCTTCCTCTATGGAAATATCTTGGGCACTTGTTACTTGGCCTATAACACAAGGCCTTTGAGAATCTTACAAATGCTGTGAAATGGTTGTGGAGGTCAAGGCACACGACAGCGTTACAGGTGGAGTTTGCAGTACAGGGCCTCCGGGGAGCTTAAAAATGCTGTGAACAAAGGCATTTACCATTAATTGTTGAAATCTAACCAGATATTACCAGTAGATAGTACCTGCTATACTTGTTAAACGTTTCTTATCATACATCATCTCATCTACCGCTGCCATGAGCATGATCTAAGTTATCTCACTTCATTCCATTCAACGTTATTAGTGAACTTGAATATCGTGCAATCACAAGATCTCTTATTTAAGCAGTCCTTTTGACAGCCAGGGTCCAATCTCATGAAGATTGATAAGCCGTTAAACACCCTCTCGTTCATCACTGTGGGTGGACTCAATCTGCACCATATTCGCCTCGTCCCCTTGAAGTCGTCCTTGACATTAAGCAGTCGTCAACTTTTACGCCTGAAATGTCCAAGTGCCACTTGTCAAAAGATTTGGAAACTCGACAGCCTAGATGATTCCCGTTTCGGATGCTGGCTACTGTAGGGATGTCTCTAATTTACTGTATCAGTACATTTTGATGCATTGTGATCAGCTCACTATATTACTATCAAATTTCCCGAAATGCATCTCATCTGATTACAATTACACATCTACAAGCTGAAACGCTTAGTACCCGGCACCTTACAAGGGTAAAGTCATCTGCATGAGATCCTACATGGCACTATCGAAAGTCGTTAAGCCTAAAAAAAGGCCGTGCTGTGGTGGATAAGAGTCACCGCTCAGCGTACCAGTCAGGTGATAGCTCAGAAGACAGCACATTCGTGATGCTGGGGCTCCTGTACATCGTTACTCGATTTACCGTGTAGGCCTCAGGTTCAGGATCACTGGGATGCGATAATCTGTGCTGGAATCAGCAGTCCGGTGCCTGAGCGACCGAGCAAAACAAGCTACACCTGTGCTAAAGCAAGGATCAAGGGCTCTGCGAAAACACGCTACTGGCCATCCAAAACTGCAGAATGGCTAAAAAACGCTGGACAACTCATCGGGCAGGCTGTCACCGTATGGGTGTCCATTGGGCTGCTCTCATGTACGGTGGTAGAGTGGCGTTGCATTGGGGCCAGGGTGCGCTCACCGAGTCGGTGGATTGCAGACGCCCTACTGGCTGCGTGCGAGCAGCTTTCTGGGTCTGTGTCGCTGGCCTTTGACTCGCCTCGAGAGACCTGTCAGTTTTCCCTTGCACGTTTGAGGCGGCGACGAGGAGGGTTGCACAGAGGCGAAAAGTGCTCGGCGAGTGGCGGTTTCACGATTGGGCAACCACCCCAGCATGGAATCGGGCATTCTTTTGTTTCACTGCCCTTTCTTTTTCCTTAGCAGGCACGTTGCTTTTTCCTTTCCATGGATCGTTTGTAGCCCAGTTCTGGTCATGCGGACGGGTTGAGGACGAGGGTTCAAGGTTAGCTTGAGTCTGTCAGCCCTTTTCTTTGCCCACTAACCAGCTTCTGCCCGCTCTATGTACTTGCCCGTTAGAACATTGGAGAGACATGGAGAGAGAAAAAAGCAAGGTGCATGTACCGGCGATTTCGGCATCGGGCCCGAAGGTGCGGCTGGCCTGATGCCAAGCGCCAAGCACGGAGGAATTGCAGCGCATGGCCAATGAGCTGCATGTCTGGCAGGGATGCATTTGCAGGCCCGCGTTGCCCAGCATGAGGGATGAGATGGCAAGTGGGCGGCAGAGGCAAGACACAAATTCATGGCAAATGGACGCCCCTCGTCCGGGCAGAGGCAGAAACGGCTGCCCCTTGTCGAGACCTGGGGTTACAGTGGACTGGACTGTCGACTGCTCCGTATTGCCCTACTGTAAGCTGTTGTACACTGACATTCCATCTTCTTCGCAGTCGTACAGATACAATGGGCCGATCCTACTGCTCGTGGAGAGGCACACAAGAGCCGGCAGGACTGCTCCCGACGGCGGTGCTGTACTGCAGGGCTTCTTCCTTGCAGGTGCCTTGAATGTTCTCGCACGAGCCAAAAAAGAAACGAGCGAGATGGCAGAGGAAACGGCCGTCTTCGGGAACCCGCATAAGATCAGCGCTGGCCTTTGGACCCGACCTGGGGGCCGACGGTCTGGGTCGTTCCTTTTGAAACACGGCTCTGCGCGTTTATTAGCGGCCACTGATGATCAACGCTCCTAAGGGCTTGAGACGAGGGCGCTCATCAGGCGGGTTATATTGAACGGGTGCCAAATCTCTCCATGTGCCCCAGATTTTGTCATCAAGGACCCTGACCGACACTCGTCATACAAGCGAGAAGAGAGCGTGGCATGTGCTTTGTCCTCGCTCACAGGCACAAGGGAGTGCTTCTTGTCTTTTCTTTTCTTCTTCTTTTCTTCGCACGTGCGCACCTCCTCGCGTGAGCACCATTTGCCCAGTACGAGGTAGTACCAGACATGCAGCGCTTGCAACGACTCAGCCAGTCATATCCAAAGAAGCTGCTTCCCTGCAGCCCTAGTCAACAAAAAGGAGTAAACAACAAAAGAAAACAAAATCAGCGCGGAAAACGATCAAAAGTCAATCGGGTTACCAAGCGTCTACGAACGCCACGCCCAGAAATTATTATAAACTCGGTGTACCTTCAGGGTCTTTTTCTGGCCCGCCCCAGCCGCTATTGGAGACGTGCTGCCCACTAGGGTTGGCGCTGGCCGCCGGTGACGTCTGTGGCTTTTGAGCAAAGAAGGGCTATCCCCACATGCTATACGGAGGCCCGCTGCCGTATCTGGTCAGAACCCTGAGCGCCGTCGAGCCCTTTGGATCGGGGGGGATTCCAGCGCGAGAACAGGCTATTCGCTCGCTATTGTTCTGCATTCATTGCGTGGAAAGGAGCAAATGAGCAGGAGACAAGCAGTAGAAAGCCATATGATACCGTAATATTGCTACCACTGGGTAATTCACCTGACCACTAGAACTGTTGACCGCTGGCTACATGTACCTACAGGAGGGGATGAGACAGTGCGGCGGCTCTCATGCAAAGGGGACCTTATCCGGAGAGCTTCGATACCTGATTGACGGAGCTTTGCGAAAACCAAAACAGCTTCTTCTCTCCAGATCGGAAACGTTGGGTACCGGCACGGCAGCCAAGGATTTGTTGGATGCAGCCACAAAAGCCACCTTTGTTTGCTGTCTCTCAGTACATGGACATGGCTCGCAAAAACGTACCGAGTCCATGTATCGTGCATGTACATATCGAGGTACATCCATGTATCCACGCAAAAGGCTTGCAGCTTGTGCTCTGCAAGAGCTCCGGGCCTGCAGGTGTTTAGGCAGCTGCACACACATCTCGGCCTTACTGAGAGACATGGACATGCTTCTAGACCTGGGGCTGGCGGCATCGGGTGTTGTAAGTCTCTCACATCTCGCTTCTTGCCATGAGCCCCCTACCTGCCGGTACCTCTGCCCATGTAAAAGCCGATCTAGATGGCGGATGATAGGCCTAGATTACGCAGCAGGCACAGCAGGTGTAAGCCAGAGAGTGAAATCTCGACGCCTCGAACGGCTGAGAACGCCAAAGAGGAGCATCGCGCCCCCGACGTCTAGGTATTACTATTAAGGAGCAGAAAAAGAAAAGCTCTCAAGCACTAGAGCCAGGCCCAGCGCTGCCATGGCGTCCTGCCATGGCGCCCTGCCGCGGCGCCTGATTCGCAGGCCTGAGTCCATGGCGGATTGGGCTGCAGCAAGGGAGAAAAGATGGCAAAGCCTCTTTACCGATTGAGGTTGAGAGGCTCGCAGCACAAGAAAATATGAGACCTTGGCGCCAGTGACACACACCGTCCATTTTGGCTGTCCCTATTGAGAAAGATAGAGCCCGAGACGGCGACGGTGGCGGCAGGGGGTGACGCGGAATGGCTGCGAGAGCAAAAGCTTCCCATCGACGGGTACGGCGCAGCTAATAGGAACTTATCCGACAGCTCTTTTGCTTGCTTCCTTTTGGAATTTTTTTTTTTCTTTTTCCCGCCGGGGTTTGAAATGCGAGCCCAGCCCATCCATCACCCCATGCTGGTGGCGGGCTGAGGATGCAAGCGGGAGGATAGCAATAGCTCGGTGGCAAATTTTTTTTTAAAAAAAAGGAGAAGCAGACACAATCTCTTTCACACATACAGAGACAAGGGAAAACTGAGAGGACGAAACAAAGACTAGGGAAAAGATTAAAACAAGTAGGTACTTGTACACAGACATGCTCGGATGCCGGACCATCTTGCATGGGTTGATGAGATACTGCCGCCACCTTTAAGATTGACTCCATAGCGGCTTGGGTTCCGTATTTTTTTGTTTCCTGTGTCAATGCCCATGTGCTTGTAGCCGCTTCGGTGTTCTCACGGTGAGAAACGAGAGGGCATGAATCCTATTCAAGCCGCTGTTGACCGCTAGGGAGCATTGAAGCTAACGGAGGGCCTGATCACCTGTGCTAGCAGATACCGTCCAGTAGCAGCGCTTTGTCTCGTCTGAACATGGATTAAGGGCTGTTGGATGTGGTTTTTCTTTTCTTTTTGTTAGCCACGCGACGCAGACCCCGGCCTCCATTCAGACGGAGCGGCCGATCTGCTCAGCAATGCCTAGCACGAACTTGCATTTCTGCCCGTCTAGATTTCCTTCCTATTCTTGCAAGTCTCACGCCGGCGAGTGGAAAGTGGTTCACTTGTGATCTGGCTGCAATGTTTGCGCTCCATCTCACCCCTCTGACCTGCATCTGGGAGGCGTAGCGGGAGAAAAAAAAAAAGGCCCATCCACGTGCCGAGGAGACAAAGGCCCGGATGCTGTACTAAGGCATCTGCTAGCTTCAAAGGCTTCGAGGCCCCAAAGTCCAAATGTTAGCATCTAAACGCCTGCCAGGTACTGCCTCAGCCTTCTGGGCTTAGCACTACCCTCCCAAGGTACCTAAGGCGGTTAGCAGGCCACCCCATCTATCTGGCGCCTGCCAACACTTGCAGGCACATCCTTGACGCACCAGACACCACAAAGAGCCTCTAAAAGCCTCTAAAGTCGTACCGCACATTTCGATGTTCGCCGTGTCCATTCGCCTGAGACTTCCAAGACGTGCTAGCATCTCTGCTGCCGCCGCCAGTACGGACCGCTCAGCCCATACGTTGGTACTAAGGACCTTGTGCATACGCAAGGGATGGAGGATCGCTGCACCGCATTCAATGCTCAGGATATTCCGGTGGTACTCACACTCGAGATGTGCGAGTTAGTAGCCTCATATGGCTGCCGAGAGCAGCTTGTAAGATTTACATGCGAATGGGTACTAGCTGGTACTCTGCCGTACAAGGTAATACTTTAGTAGTCCGTCTCTTACTGGTGCCCGAGGGCAAGTCTCAGCCCATAGTCGTATTCTCGCGGGCAGGGAGTTGCACCACGTCGATCGCCTTCGTATTAGGTACAGCCCAGCGGTTCACACACAGACACACACACACACACACACACACAGCAAGACTGAAATCGGCCGTTGGCTGCCACGAGGTGCTAAGATACATGTACCCTACCAAGCAGTGCCAGATCTCATCTGTACCTGGCAGTACCGAGCACTCCAGCTTGCAGTTCTCCGTAATTCTGATCAAATATTTATGGCGCTCGCTTCGGATTCAGTGCGGCCTCAGCAAAAAAGGTCGGTACATTGGCGCTCTCCCTCCCCCCGCCTCAAAGGCCGCTCTGACAGGGTCTGGCCTCGCTGTTGTTCCCGCTAAGAGTGCGCCAGCCCAGCAGTGCCAGCACCCCATACTACCTGAGCTGAGGTACCTAGCCCTCTGCCAGTCCTCCGTGCTGCTCCTCCACCTTGCCGTCGAGCACTATTCCTATTCCTCCCCTGTCTGGACCCAGATTTAGTCTTCTCCTCCCATCCATCTTTCAACGTTTCTCCTCGAGGCCATCTGCACCGGGTGCATTTCGAAGAAAAAACCCTCTGCATCCCTACGTTAGTATTTCTTCCTCAGTACAACTCGTCCTTCGTCAACTCTCCCCGTTGACGGCTGCCTGTGTGGTGCTCTCCTTGGAACCTTCGTGATCCGCGACACGGCGATTCGAGCAGCGTCCCTCTTCTGCGCCTGTTCTTGTCCCTGTCCCCTGTCCCCTGCGCCTGTTCTTGCTCTTATCCTGTTTCTGCCTCTCTCTCTGGCTTGGCTCTGGCTCTTCTGCGCTCTGGTCGGTGCTGCTGGCCGGTTCAGACGACGCCAGTCCTCCCAGTTTCTTGCAATCTGCCTCTCCTCGTCGCCTCGAATGACGCTGGCATTCTTGCCTATGCCCCGTTGATTTTATCGCTTACCCGAGCCGAGCGTCCAGGTCCCGGCACCTTGATCTCGTCCTCGCCCACCGAGCTGCCGCTGTTCCCCGCCGCCGAAGACCAAAAAGCAGGGACGCTGTTTCTCCTCTAGTTTTATTTTTCTACTCTTTATTTTTCATATCTTTTCTATTTCCCTCCTCCCCGCCCGCCGCTTCGCAGCCTCCCTCCACGATATTTCGCCCTTCCATTTCTCTGGGGATCCCCCCCAGCCAGCGCCCGGCATGATCGAAGATACGGCGGCACTCGCTGCTGCCGCAGAGCTCATCGCCTCCTTGGCCAGTGACCCTGCCTCTTTCTCGTTAAGATCGGTCGGGGCCGGCTCCAGCGTCAAGCTGCCAGGCCGTGAAAACCCCGCCAAACGCACTTTGGAGATTGAGCTGGAGAAGCTCGCCCAACGGATTTCTCAGCTCGAGAGCAGGGCCACTGTCTCGGCCACCGCCGTCTTCCCAGAGACGCCCAACGAGGTCAACGACACGATATTCAACGATGAATCTGACACTCCTGTCAATGGCCGCCCTGCGGCTCCCCAGCTAAAGCTGTCCCAGGCTCAACAAGGTAGCTTGGACAGTCCGAATTTTGTATCCCACCAGCTGACCAAGGAAGCGCTGCAAGGACTGCACGCCCACGTTGACGACCAGTCCAAGCTCCTAGACAACCAACGCCAGGAACTTGCTGGCGTCACCGCGCAATTATTAGAACAGAAACAGCTTCAGGAGCGTGCCTGGGAGGCGATGGAGCAGGAGCGGGTAGCCTCCCTAGAGCGAGAGCTACGGAAGCACCAGCAAGCCAACGAGGCTTTCCAAAAGGCCCTCCGAGAGATTGGAGAGATCGTCACTGCCGTAGCCCGTGGCGATCTGTCCATGAAGGCTGGCATGGAAACGGTCGAAATGGACCCTGAAATCACAACCTTTAAGCGCACCATCAACGCCATGATGGACCAGCTGCAAACCTTTGCTAGCGAAGTGTCTCGAGTCGCTCGTGAGGTCGGAACCGAAGGTCTACTCGGCGGCCAAGCCCGCATCGGCGGTGTAGACGGTGTATGGAAAGAGTTGACAGACAATGGTATGGCTTCTGTTTACGTCGTTTTGATTTATCCCTCGTCTCTTTCCTTTTTCCCTTGCGCCACGCTGGTTGCTCCCTGTAATAGCATTAACGGGCTTCGAAACTAACATGATTTTCTAGTCAACGTGATGGCACAGAATCTCACAGACCAAGGTATGTATAATAATTTCCCTCATATCTTCTTACTTTCTCGCTGCCCCCTCTTCTCTATCCCCCCCATCTTTTCCGATTCGACGACGACTTGTCGGTTGAAGAGGAAGGTGGTTGAAGCTCCCAGGCCTGTGATCTGACATGGCGCCCATCCAGTGCGAGAAATTGCCTCTGTCACAACAGCAGTCGCCCATGGCGACTTAACAAAGAAGATTGAACGACCAGCAAGCGGAGAAATCTTGCAACTGCAACAGACCATCAACACCATGGTGGATCAACTTCGAACATTTGCATCGGAAGTCACGCGTGTAGCCAGAGATGTCGGAACCGAGGGCATCTTAGGCGGCCAAGCAGATGTTGGCGGGGTCAAGGGCATGTGGAATGACCTGACAGTAAACGTGAATGCCATGGCCGACAACTTAACGACACAAGTGCGCGACATCATCACAGTCACAACGGCCGTCGCCAAGGGCGACCTTACCCAGAAAGTCCAGGCCGAATGCCGAGGAGAAATGTTCAAGCTCAAGTCTACCATCAACTCCATGGTCGACCAACTGCAGCAATTTGCTCGTGAAGTCACCAAGATTGCCAGAGAAGTCGGAACTGAGGGCCGACTTGGTGGTCAAGCTACAGTCCATGATGTTGAGGGTACATGGAGAGATTTAACGGAAAACGTCAATGGCATGGCCATGAACCTGACAACACAGGTGCGAGAGATTGCCAAGGTTACCACAGCCGTAGCCAGAGGCGACCTTACCAAGAAGATTGGGGTAGAGGTCAAGGGAGAGATCTTGGAGCTGAAGAACACCATTAACCAAATGGTTGATCGTCTGGGCACATTCGCAGTGGAAGTGAGCAAAGTGGCCCGTGAAGTCGGTACAGATGGTACGCTGGGTGGCCAAGCTCAGGTCGCGAATGTCGAGGGCAAGTGGAAAGATCTCACCGAAAATGTCAACACTATGGCATCCAACCTCACTGTACAGGTATGTTTCAATACGAGAACCAACGAATCATCAGCAACAGCTTCTAGCTCTGCGTTGATGATGCCAGAAATGGCTCCCCCCTTTTCTTTATTTACAGGCTGACCGTCATCGTTTAGGTGCGAAGTATCTCGGCTGTCACGCAAGCCATTGCAAATGGAGACATGAGCCAGACAATTGATGTAGAAGCAAATGGTGAGATACAAGTGCTAAAGGAGACCATCAACAACATGGTTTCACGCCTGTCAAGTTTCTGCTACGAAGTTCAACGTGTTGCCAAGGACGTCGGCGTCGACGGCAAGATGGGAGCTCAAGCTGATATTGCCGGACTAAATGGACGATGGAAAGAAATTACCACTGATGTCAATACTATGGCCAGCAACTTAGTAAGTCATTCTTACATGTTCAATTTCGCATGCATACGTAGCTGCGAAAGCTCCAAGAGTACTTTTATACTAACCCATGTTCAGACAACCCAAGTGCGTGCCTTCTCTGATATTACGAATCTGGCTACAGACGGCGACTTCACCAAGCTTGTAGATGTCGAAGCCTCGGGTGAGATGGACGAGCTCAAGAAAAAGATCAACCAGATGATTTCAAATCTCAGAGATAGCATCCAGCGAAACACGCAAGCCCGAGAGGCTGCCGAGTTGGCCAACAAGACCAAGTCAGAATTCCTTGCCAACATGTCCCACGAGATTCGAACTCCGATGAACGGCATCATTGGAATGACACAGCTCACACTGGATACCGACTTGACCCAATACCAACGAGAAATGTTGAACATTGTCAATGATCTTGCCAACAGCCTGTTGACCATCATTGATGATATCCTGGATCTGTCCAAGATCGAGGCTAGAAGAATGGTTATTGAAGAGATCCCGTACACTTTGCGAGGCACCGTCTTCAACGCTCTCAAGACTCTCGCAGTCAAGGCGAACGAGAAGTTCCTTGATCTCACGTATAAGGTGGACAGCTCTGTGCCTGACTACGTAATCGGAGATTCGTTCCGTCTGAGACAAATTATCCTGAACCTCGTGGGCAATGCCATCAAGTTCACCGAACACGGTGAGGTTAGTCTAACCATCCAAGAACTGGAGGACAAGAGACATGTTGGCCCAGGAGAATACGCCATCGAGTTCATTGTTGAAGATACTGGTATCGGTATTGCCAAGGACAAGCTGAACCTCATCTTCGATACGTTCCAGCAAGCGGATGGCTCAATGACACGCAAATTCGGTGGCACAGGCCTCGGTTTATCCATTTCAAAACGATTTGTCAATCTCATGGGTGGAGACCTGTGGGTTAACAGCGAGGTTGGCAAGGGAAGTGAATTCCACTTTACTTGCCGTGTGAAGCTGGCCGACGTGCACGCGGAAAGCGTTCAGCAGCAGCTGAAGCCATACCGCGGCCACCAGGTCCTCTTTGTCGACAAGTCGCAGTCAAATGCGGCGACGCACATTGGAGAAATGCTGGAGGAGATTGGGCTCTTCCCTGTTGTCGTTAACTCCGAGAAAAGCTCAGCTCTCACCCGACTTAAGGAGGGTGGTGCTTTACCATATGACGCCATCATCGTCGACTCAATTGATACCGCCAGGAGGCTCAGAGCGGTAGATGACTTTAAGTATCTTCCTATTGTCCTGTTAGCTCCCGTAGTCCACGTCAGCTTGAAATCATGCCTGGATCTGGGCATCACGTCCTACATGACAATGCCCTGCAAGTTGATTGACCTGAGCAACGGAATGGTCCCCGCTCTCGAAAACAGGGCCACGCCATCTCTCGCAGATGTCACCAAGTCCTTTGAGATTCTGCTTGCCGAGGACAACACTGTCAATCAGAAACTGGCCGTGAAGATTCTTGAAAAATACCACCACGTTGTTACCGTTGTGGGTAACGGCTGGGAGGCTGTAGAGGCCGTGAAGCAAAAGAAGTTTGATGTGATCCTGATGGATGTCCAGATGCCCATCATGGTAAGTGATGAAGCCTTTTGCAGAGCAATATGTTCCTGTTAACTGACAAAACTTTCTTTTTACCCCCACAGGGAGGATTTGAGGCCACTGGTAAGATCCGAGAATATGAACGAGGCATGGGAACGCATAGAACTCCCATTATTGCCCTCACTGCCCACGCCATGATGGGTGACCGCGAAAAGTGTATCCAGGCCCAGATGGATGAATATCTGTCCAAGCCGCTGCAACAGAACCAGCTCATCCAGACCATCCTCAAATGCGCTACTCTTGGAGGTGCGCTGCTAGAGAAGAATCGTGAGCGAGAGCTTGCTCTGCAAGCAGAAGCCAAAGCGTCTGGGCGTCTCGATAGCGATCGAAATTTGCCACGTCCGAGCCTTGAGGGCCGAGCGTTTACCGCTCGAGAGCCTCTGACCAAGAATAAGCCCATCACCAAGGCCACGACTAAAGCCCTGGAGGAAGCGCGATCGGCTGCGCTGGCGAACGCAAAGTTTGGTGATTTTTCTGAGCTTGGAGCCGAATACTTGGATGAACTGGAAGAGCTGACAGAGGAAACCGACACATTTTTAAAAGCACGTGAAGAACTTTCTGACAAACGAAGTTTCTCAAGTTAAATGTGCACAAAGATGTCTTTCGGATTGTGGCTTCATCAGATATGAATGCCGCACTTTTGTCTGTCTGATATCGTTTATCAGGTCCTACGAGTCTATTGCCTGACATGAGCTTACGAGATCACACTGATTTATTTATACCCTCCCTCCTTGGCTATATTTGATGGCTAAGCTTTTACAACTCTTTTTCAAATCTTGGAGAGTATATAAGCTCTGGGGATTGCCGATCCTTTTATCATGTCGAGTTTGCATGATGCTGAACCTTTTCATCTCTTCAGCAGGGTGGCAGGCAGTATCACTCTTGATACGAGTATCTGTGTGCTGATCATGTCAAGGTTACCATCCCTCTTCCTGGTTTTAACCGTACTTTGTTTTTCCCAGAGCATCACTGTTGTTTTTTTTTTTTTTTTTGAGATTGTGCCGATATACTCCTCTGCTCTCAGCCCTCAACATGGCGAATAAGGTGTTGATATGACCTTGGAAGAGAAAAAAGGGGGCCTGACTGGCCTGTCCTGTTTATGCGGTTTAGTTGCTTTCCCTAATTCCCTTATGCATTCATCAGTTTGTATTTAAACTCGCGGCTCTCTTCGTCTTTATTGGTCTTTCGTTTTATTTCCCTTTTGATTTGTAGGGATGTTTTCATTCCTTACTAGCAAACGGTTGGAAGGGAATCGCAGGAATATTGCGGCAGCAATAGTAAGCAGGTTTCATGAGGAAATTACGAGAAGGGAATTGCATGACGGAAAAAAAAGCCAAATTTCCTTCTTGATAAGTGACCAAGGGGTGGGTGTGGGCTTTCTTGTTAATTTTTCATCTCCTTTCGTTGCCTCACTTTGTTTTCCATGGGGGAAAGAGAGAGAGCTGCAGGCTTGAATCCTTTTCCTCACATTCGTAGATATTACGATGAGAATAAGATGAGAGAAGTTCTTGGAAGGGAATGACGAGCAAAGGGAATGGACGTGATGGTTGGTACGGTGGCTCCCAAAGCCGGACGGAAGGTGGATAAGAGAAACAAAGACCTTGCTTTTACTTTGCTTTTTGCTTTTGCGTCGAAAGGAGTTTATAGTTTTCATTTTTTTGGTAGCGATATTCAAGGCTTTCCATCTTCTTACCGTGGGACACGATGATCCTTCTATACCTTTTTATTTTTGATGTGTCCAATTATGCGTGATGAATGATGGTGAGTTGGACGCGCGGTGCTCTTGATAAGTATGTTTACTTGGTGACGACTACGCATTCACACCCAAGTAGTGACTATTGTGTTGTATCAAGGTTGATTTAGCAGACACGTTTATTTTCATATCTATATTGCAACGACTCTTCATACATGTGTGTGCCATGTTTAAATGCAGCGCCCCCCAAAAAAAAATCAAATCTTTACGAACCTTGAATCGCTAACGAACCCAGGTATACAATCCAAAGAAAGAGAGAAAGAAATAAACAAAGGAGAAAGACGCCAAGAAACAAGACGAAGACGAAGAGAATGAGACTACCCATTCTTTTTTTTTTTTTTTTTCAATTCCCTTCAGACTTGCTCTTCTGTCCAGGAGCTCCCCCTTTTTCCTCTTCAAGGTGCTCAAAAGCGGCGAGTAAAGCGTCGAGTTTGGATTCGAGGTTTGTCAGGTTGGCTTCCATTGCTGTGGCGGTCTGTTCGCCTCTGTATGTTTTAGAAAGAAAAGGGGTTAGTTTTTTTCTTCTTCTTCTTTTTCTGTGTCATTGCTATTGAAGACTTCATCGAACGGTGGTGATGGGCGTTTTTTATGTCATGATAGAGAAATTAAAAGCAGCAGGGAGGAGGGGAAAAGGGGGGGGGGGATTGTGATAAGCAGGGCTGTATAGAGCAAGAAAAGAAAGTTTGCTCAACGTTTTGTAATTCCCCAAGATGACGACGAGCTGGGGCACAACTTGTGGAGATGGAAAGGGCGAGATTTTGTAAAAATGACGTCGATGATGCTTTGGGATTGTCGGTTGTGGGATATGGAAAGATGGTTTGACTTGTGTTTTATTTTGCCACTTTTTTTTTTCTTTTTTCTTTCTTTCTTACTTTGTGAGCTCTCGGAGTGTCTGGAACATTTTTAATTAGCCCACGGGTGTCTCAGATGACTCAAAAAAAAAAAGTGACATCACGCTGTTGTATTTCTCTTCCCCAGCCGCCGATCTTTACACCCAGCCGATGTCTCTTTTGCCCCTGATTGCTGGAATGACAGTTCATCAAAGGGGGGGACTGAGAGAGAGAGAGCCGGAAGAGCAATCTGCCCCCCAGTATGTGATAGCGAAAGCAAGGGACAAATGAGGCAAAGGGAGAACGATAAGATATCCAGCGTCCATGAGAACAAGGGGGAAATGAGAAGGGAGTGCATCTATGATGTAGTATGTGTGAAAAGCGTAATCAAGAAAATACCCATTTCCATATGAGTTTTCTTTTTGCTACATAGAGCAACATACCTGAGCGAGGTCAACTTCGGGAGCAGCCTCGTGCTGATCCGGCTTGGGCGAGTTGGCGACAGGGCTATCCGATGACGCACCCATGGTTTGGTTCGGTTCGGTGTGTCTCCAACGCTGGCTTCTCTTGACGTCTGGATAAGATAAAGAGAGACAGGCGTGTGACGGAAAGGGTGTCTTATATGGAAGACAAGGCTATCGGAAGTCGTAGCCGACGGGGCACCTTGTTTGCTGGGTCTGCGTAACGAAACTCGCAAGGCTGAACATTTCACGGAGTAACGGCTGCTGCTAGCAATACGGAGCATAGAAGAGAGCTCCGTAATGGATTGGCGGCTTCACGTGACGCGAGCTGCCCAGGCCACGTCTTGAATGTTCGCTGGTAAACCTCTGCCGGGCACAGCGTCTCGTATTTTTACAGGCATTCTGATATAATTAGCTCATATAGCAACCCTGGGTCTATTATGGAGAATTGTTGCTTTGGAATTGGTAGGATTTCGACTTCGAGTGCTTCTGTTTCCACCCCTGATTTCACTATCTTTTTTTCTATTTTCAGCCATCTCACTCGCGCATTTGGCAGCAGTCCCGCCGGCAGCTGTCTGTCATTAATCACATAACCGTTTGTTGAAGTGTGTGTTTTGGCCTAGGCCGGTCTGACTTACATGTCCCTACATATTCGCGTTCGCGGTGTAGGCTGCAGCTTTAACTGATACCAGGTAGTATCATATACGCGTCAAAGAGGCTGGGAAGCTACTCATTGGAAGGAACGCAAAATAATGGTTGAGTCAGTTCAATCAAGGTGATGCTCGGGCTTCGAGATAGTATCAGGTGGAATCGGCCACTGCCAATCCTACTATACTAGGCAGTATTTACTTGCCCAGGATTTTTTGACAACATCCGAGGCTGCAGACGGATGCCGTTCCGCAAGCATAGATTCTAAACTGTACATGCACCAGCCGTGCAGTAGCGGTCCAGCCGCTTGCCTCTTCACACGCGCTTTTGCTAAACTAGAATCCATGGGTTCCATTCCAGGGGGGTTATGAGGAAGCCAATTGATCCGAGATGCGGAGCAAAATCTCAAGATGGTGCCCCGTCCAGGCTATAATGTATCAAGTAAGTTTGTTGCTTCGGTTATATCCGTGAACCTAGTCTGGGCCTCGTTTATTGGCGCAGACTTCAAAGAGCCCCAGACCCTTCACGATCTGGCAGACGATGAAAAAGCAAAAGTTCATGCACACGAGTCTGATTAGGCCGAGTAAAACTGATTTGCGGACGTCTCCTTGCAACGGCCTCGCTTGGATACCCCAACATAGCCTACCTCGTTATTGTAAACTCGGTCCTCGGTTCCGGAAACCTGCTGCTTCACCACAAGTGCCTGTAAGGCAGACGGCCGTCTCGGCCGTAAGATGCTAGACGAAGCACACTTCGGAGCTCTTTGCCCATCGATTAAGTCAGATATCGGCCGCTCGCTCTGCGTCAAGTGAAGACTAGCTTAGAATGCGGAAATAGGACACCACAGGGCACCACAGAGCACCGTGAAATCCTCCTACTCCAAGCACGCCCCTCCCCTCGCATGCAGAGGCGAGGGTCTAGATTCTATAAACCGCTGCTGACTGTCGTTACCATTGGCTGTTGGGATGGGATGCCCAAGCGGCAATGTTTATATGAATCCATTTACCCGTCATGGCAGCCCGCAGCGAAAGGAATCATGTTGTAGAAAGAGGGAGGCGAAATACACATGATGCCATGTAGACTAGCTGGAGCTGACTGAGTCAACCGCACTTTGAAAAAAGTAGACGCAGTCAGCGCAAGCGATCGATACAACAATTTGCCTGAGGAGACGCTGATCGCGGCTTGATGAAGACACGGGCAATCGAGATATGTTGACCGAACTTACAGCGCCTTGACATCATTTCCTTTGGCTTGGCGTGAAACCGTCTCTAGAGTGGATCGCCCAAGGCCTTACTCAACTGAAGGCGAAAGAGCTCTGATCAAACAGTTCTTGTGGTTGTTTGACAGCCTGTACCGGCTCGTAGCATGGCATGGCTGGCGCACCTGTGAGAATTATAATACTATCGAGCGCCGAATGGCTGCAGATTCCAACCTCATGTCAACAAAATCAGCACAAGCTAAGCCTGCGCCTTTAAACTCTACTCATGCGGGCAACCGGTTCGGCGGGATCGAGATCTCCAACTCATTGTCGTATTTACTGCAATTTCCCATGACTTGCGCATGTGGTCATTTGGAAATGCGCCATCTTCGAGTAGTGGGCTGGGCGCCATCTTCTGTCGTGGCAAAACAAGCCCTCGTTCTCGTTGGCTTCCGGAAGTTACTGCCCCAAATGGCAAAAAGCAGCCATCCAAGCCATCTCACCACCACATTTGGGCGAACTCGGCATACGGAGTGTGATTTTCCGCTCTCTCTCGCAAGCCAAGTCCCTCCCTTTGTGCTGCTTTATTGTGGAACGAGAGCTAAGGCCAAAAGAGATTCTCATGTGCAGCAACGTGGCAGCACCGTTTCTGGGACGGGAGAGTGTCACTCTCTTTCAGACAGTTCGCTTTCCCGTTCTTGGAGCTCGAGACACTGCAGGCGGGCTGACTTGCCGCTCCATCTCCATTTGGGTCAACCTCGAGAGTCAAGCTTGCCATCCTCTCCTGTAGCCCGTGAGATGCGAGACAAGGAAAGGCGTGTGCCCAAAGTGGCGTGACCTAAGCAAGCAAGGGGCCAGAAAAACCAAGGCTGGGGATTCTCCAAGCACACAACAGAAAACCATGCGCATACTCCAACTGCAGCCAGTCCAGAGGAAGCTGTGCCTGAATGCCCGGCTGTATATGCGTATATTCACTTTGCGGTCCCTGTTTTTCCGCCCCCATGGCAAAGTCCGATGCTCAGGCTGGAATCCGATCACAGCACTCAGTGCCATGCCCCATCGACCTGGTTAGTGCCCTCGTAGTGCCGGCATGGGTGAAGGAAATAGACGCCCAGGCGTGTGTGTGTGTGTCCTCGTCATGCAAGACGGCAGCCATGATAGGCTGCCTGTCGTCACCGTCCACTTAGCCGGTACCTGGGCTCTTTTTCCCTTGCCTTCTTTCCACCTGCCGCAAGCCACGGACCAGAAAGCTTTGCTGGGATCGAGATCGCTGTCCTTTCAGACCAATGCCAGAGCCCAACGACAGCCCGTCCACGCCCTAGCTTGGTTTGCCTGCTGGACCAATGTTTATATTCTCTTCTCTCCACCTTGTCTCGAGCGTAAGCAGGCACCGCTTGACTTGGCTTCAGCAAGTACACAAGCCAAGGAGTATTTCCTTATTCCTCTTGAGTAATGATATTCATCGCGGTGCCGCTTCGCAACGCTTTTTGATGCACGACTCGCAGCACTGATGGAGCCAGGGCAGAGTCCCGAAAAAGCTGGACAAAGCCAAGCGCTTTAGTCACCATTTCGGACCCCCCTTCGTTTAGCCTTTTTCAGCCCTCTGTTGGCACGTACTGTCTAGAGTAGGTGCTTGATCTTGATTACAACATTCTCGCACGTACACAATTGCAATAAACATGACACTGCATCTATGCCATGGTACCTCGAGTACACTATGACGAGTTTTGTGAGTGAGAGGGGTGCAATTATACTGTAGTTCTCATGTGTGGCGTTGTTGCAGCTCAGCCGTACAGAGCACCGTAATTGCCCGCCTCTCGTCTAGGTAGTAAGTAGTACCTAGTATATGGCTCTTCTGCTCGCTCAGTTCACGGTTGCCCTGCAGTACCTATAGTCAGTCAGTACTAATATATGAGCCTCGAGGCGGAGTAAGCGGTCCTCATCCCACTTTTGGGAGTCGTATTTGTTCGATTAGTTCGATTCGGGAGTACAGACATACTTGTACCTAGTGAGACGTGCCTGTATGTAATTCTCTTCGACTTTAATAGTGGTTACTGGGCTTGGTGTTCGAAGCCTTGGAAGAACCGGTGCGCAGTGTCACATCACTATCGTCATGGATCTTCACCTCATCCAAGCATGTGAGACCAAACGCTGATGCTCTCGTCCGCCAAAGAATTTCTTGTACGCCAGCTTTACGTTACCGCCCTGCTAAGGTTTCTAGTCAAAACGGTGTGGCTCCGTTCCGTTGGCCTGTCTGCGGTGGTATTAGCTCGTGGAGTACAGCTCCCATGTCCGATCTCTCACCTCGTTACCGATCCTCCCCCCAGCCATCTTTACCTGTGGTAGCCGTCTTTGGATCGAAATCAGTTTCCTTCATCGCTGTGTTGTCGGAATCAAGACATCCATACAACCCTGGACACGGGCCGGGTTCTTCTCTGATAGCGACACACCTACCCTCAGCATGCCCTAGCAATCGGTAAGGCATCTGTCCAAAGCTCCACGAGAGCGCCCCCCAGTAGGTAATCAGTCCATCTCTTCCTTTTTCTTGCTAAGCCAAACCTCCCGTGCCATTCCTATCTTTCGCATGTACATACCTTTTGTTCTCAAAGGCTCTTTTCCCCATAACAACTTCTCCCCCCCCCCCAACTTCTCTGTGTCTACCCCCCCATTCTCTCAACCCTAGCCAAGTTCAATCACGTCCTGCTGTTTCTGGAGCCTGCCCAAGAAGGGTCAAAAAGGTACATGCTCATACATTTCTGTGGGGACTGTTGAAACCTTGCCGTTCAGTCCTAGGAGGTGCTGACAAGTACTACCTAGAGTGGCCGTCATACTTGTAGTACCGCCATACCGAAGCTGAGCCCGTCCCATGTCTATGCTGTGAGCGTTTGACATGGTGGTATTTTTCCATCTTGACCACAAATCTCGATTCATTACTCGCTGCGTTCTCCGCTTGTGCGTTTCTGGAAGACGTTTTGGCCATCTGCAGTCCCCTTGATTGTATCATTCAAGGCTGAGGGGCTGGGTCCATCCCCAATTTTGACATACGAGCGCGGTCATTGGGTTTTGTTTTCCAATTCGCTCGAGTCCCATTTGAAGTAGCAGATCCAGCGTCCCGTCGCAAATCGAGATGGTAGATTCTGCCACTTAGGTGGCAAAGCCTGCTAGATATAGCTCGCTTAGCACTCGCCCTGCCCCCTAATATCAGCTCTCTCAAGTTCGTATACTGCCTTTAACCTCAATTCTTCCTCCATGCTCACATTGTCAGCGGACGTTTAGCCCAAAGCCCATAACCTCGGAGCGCTGGCAAGGGGCTAGATCTTGGCCTTTCATCTCATGGTACTGGCTGGACCTTGGAAT